CAATGCAAAGTGAAAAGCACGTCGTGGGTCTTATGCATGAAAGTAGGTGTGCGCTGTAAAACTTAAGTGCAACATTTGTATAAATACTCGGGGTTCAAGTCAGACACTTTTTATTTTGAATTTGCATGGTCTCTTCACATGTACGAGTAAGTATGTGGGAGGCACGAGTTATGGAAGATTGGGTATTGTATCCGCAGCAACCTTTGTACGAAGATCCCATTTTGAATTTTGGTTTACTTGATGGGAAAATGCTGTGATTCAAAGCAATTTCCCTTCCAATTATAGGAACCAAGTAGTGTTGAGGCAATGCCGCAAATAGTTCTGCCTTAGTTTCTGTTTGATCTATGTCAGTTTCTATCCTTGTTAATAATTAAGATCAAAATTAGATTTCTGCGCACTCCTGTGAGGATCTTGATCATTATGCAATCTGAACTTAAGTAATTTAGATGTCAGACGTTTCATCTTGTTAATATGTATATTGATCGGCCAAACTTTCTTCTGAAAGACTAGTCGCAAAAGCAACATAATCAGCCTGGTGTGCTGAGTAGAAATAAAGTGACGTTCTATCTCAAGTACAATAAAATTACAATAAAATTCCGTCTGGCATGTACATACATCGGCAAAATGGGAGTAGCTGATTAATTTTGACCTTCTGATTAAGAAAGTCGTCGCCCTGGGCTGAGCTGATATTACAAAAAAGTTGTAAGTATACATAGTCTTACCATAAGAAGTGATAGTAGAGCGTAGTTTTTGAACCGGTCAACATAAAATTAAAAGGTTAGTTGTGGTTTGTGCACACATTCAGTGCCTATCATTGGTGTTGACCGTTTTTACTTGACGTGACTAGGTCAAAAGTAGGAGGAGCTTATCTACACGCGCGCGGCAATAATTTTTCACTTTTTGCACGAGAAAAAAATGCACAATGTTTGATTTAGTGCAGCAGTCCAAGTACAATTATGATCTGGTTACCCAAACTATTGAAGTAACGCTAGGGACAGTGGCTATCTATGACATAAAAGTTCCGGTTGTCCAAGGTCAAGGAGGACTACAGTGAGGTCCGATGCTTTAAACACCAGAATGGCACAAAATTTATGTCCGACGCCGGAGACTTTGGCCCCACAAATGACCTTTTAACTTTATAAATCAGATGAGCACTGACAAATTACCCTAAGATGGAGGCCTTTTAGTGTAGAAAGCATCACATGCCACAGATTGCCCAGACATAAGCTAAGGTCAAAAAATCTAACACCCTCTCCCAGCGGTACGGTAAAAAGCAAACAAAAAATAACCCGTCTACAGATGAGAATTTCTTTAAGACGGAGCCATATTTCCACAAAAAAGAAGCAAAATCTATGTTAAATATTCTTAGGGTTAGTTTATTGCGAAATGGAGATCAAAGGTTATCTTATCGGCCTACATTCATGGTTTTGGCGGGAATCGGCGGAATTGGGCAAAAACCGCCCAATTTTCTGAATTATGGAGACGAGATAGTTTAAAAATATATTTGATTAACGTCACAGTGAAGAAGGAACACCCCCTCAACTAGTCCATATGGGGTGAAAAGCCACCGACCTTTGTGAAGGGCTCCACACTACATATACAGCGAAATTCGTGATAAACTGGATTAAAATCCATGTTTCTGACTTCATTTGCACTTTAGGTTTGACCTTGGCATTTTCGAACCGCAGTCAACTTCACCATCAAACATTAATTAAAGTTGCGGAAAGGGTCTGTTCTGAACCCCATATAAGTGTCAGGGTCACAAAAAAATTTCTGACCAGGGAATGATACACTTTGTCGATTAATTTCGTGCGTAGTTTTGATAGAGCTTTCTCCTCTCGTGACCAATTTCTCAGTGCCACAAGAGGAATATATTTTCAAGTTTAATACATGTTTCTACTTGAAATTTAACTGGCTTTTCAATGGAATATAAATAAATTTGAAATTCCTTAAAACATAAGCGATATGGTCGTCGACTCTACTATCACTTTTTAAGTTGAGACTATGTAGAGTGATTGGACGACTTGATTTTTCTGTCCATACTCATGACTTATTTTTCCCTAGGAAATAATTCAATCATACTAAATATCTACAGTGCGGACTTTATTTAGCCCAAGTCAGGGACAGAGTCCGCTTCTAAATTTTTTTCCGGACTACTATCTCAAGCGGTTTTGACTCTATCGTGTCTAAGACAGGCAGACAGACAGTCAGGCACGACAGTTTCATAAATTCAGGCTAAACAGTACGTTTCTCATGTGGAATATCTGTGCAATACTATATTTAGGAGAAATACCTAATTTATCATGTATCAAAAAAATCTTGAAGTTGTCGTTATAAGTATTTTCAGTGATATTGGAAAAAATCAATGCTATGCACGCGTGGTTGAGCGAACGAACATACGAACATATAGCATTACTCCCAATAATAATCATATAACGGTTGCAATGGTTGACAAGAAATCAAAGAGAAAGAGTAACCAAGAATGAAAGCTCAAGGTTACCATATTCCTAAAGGAAATGGATGGATGGATGGATGTAATATGTGAGTGAATCCTTAGCATATTTGTTATTAGGGACTTTTTCTTGGTCTTTCTCCGCCTTCCTGCGTTCCTGTCACTCTTTCCACTGCATTCTAAAAGAGGGTTGGTATTATTACTTCGGTGGAAATGGTGCCTTTGAGAAATCTTTTTTATCCTGCTACTCACTCTCTTTCTCACTCATTTGTCGCAATGGCAGAGACAAAACGATTTTAAATCCTGCTATCAGATATTCTCTCCTTCAGGTTCCCCATATTTCCCGTTTTTACCAAACCCCGTAGGAAACCAGCCAGTAAAGAATTTGAGTAGCGGAGGTATGATCGTAGAAATTAGGACAATCTTGAAATATGTAAATTTGTACCTAGTCTGCATAATGTGCCCAAGAAAAACGTATACTTCATTTAGCCTTGCGGGCTGGAATGTAGTGACAATGAAAGTGCCGTACGTGAGGATGAGATGAAAAATACTTTATGTTGAGTTGACACATATTTGTGTCCCATGTTGAACTTTGGGCTAAACTAAATTGCCATGTTTATACGTTTTAAGTATTCCTTCGTTACTTTATTGCATTATAAAACATCTTTTTTGGCCTGCTACGTTTACTCATTTTGATTCCACTGAAAATTTGGAGATGGTTAACTTAGTCGTTAAGCGAGATGAGATAAGGGTTTTATTTTGCAAGATTTCGCAAAAATGGAGAGTGGATGGAATGAATGTTTTTGATAACGACAATGAGTCTCAAGGGAATAGCTATTCTTGTCATGACGTTGTCACTGTCCTATTAGCCCATTCCTCCGCACTGGGTACTATGCATGGTAGCAAGGAGCAGCAGTATTTACTAATACATATTATACTAGCATCCGAGATCCGGGCATTTGGTCGTTATTTTTTCGTTTCGGATCATTCGGAGGATAACCCCATGCATCACACACACAACCCTTGCAAACTATGGGAGTTGCTCATATACACATGTAAATTTGAAGATGGCATGTACTATAATCTGTATAATAGAGCCTTAAGCATTTACTCGATAAAAGCATTTATGCCCTGACTTTCTCCCACGCGCTTTCCCTCTCTTGCTAGCTTGGACAAAACGGTTTGTGAGTATTGTTTTAATGGCCAGTTGCTACTGGTGGCGATTGTCGGTTGACAGTGTTATTGCAGAGTACCTGCCTTCGTGCCGCATCTTAAATGACGTAGTTGAGATTAGAAACTGTTTACGGGACTAGAATGCAAGTGGCTGAAAATTGCTTCATGTCCGCTGTGTTTAATTTTAAATTGTCTACTCTTCCCTTCGCCTCTTAGCCCAGCCGGGGAAGATCTGGGATAAGGCATGCACAGTGCTTGAGTAGTGCATGCACCCGACTATGACGATATTTAATGGTTTAAAATTATGTACTTGACAGTTGTAGAAAATTCTTCAGAACAATTTTTTATAGCGTTCCATAATTTTTGGCAAAGCAATTTTTTTTACTTGCAAAATTAAATATTCATGGATTCTTTGGATATGATTTATTGCAAATAATAATTAACCGTAAAAAATTATCAGTCGAGACATTACACAAATTTTAAATAAATTATCGAGTATATGAGAAGAACTGCTGGAGTGCTGTAACTCACAAAACGTGTTACTCTGCTTAAATATCTATGTACTTTATTTATTGCATCTGCTTAAATTATGAATTATTAAAGAAACACGCACAAAATAAAATAGTATTATTTTTAAAATAAATTAGCTGATAAAGATAAGGCTTGCGATGGTCAAATTAGTAGTTATTTTGATTCATGCAAGATTTTCGACATAGTAAAAGTATGTATATCGGCGTCATATATTTCTTGAATTCTCTCCGCGCTTTTGTGGAGTGGTTACTCGCGAAGTTTATTGAACTTATCCGTCACATCAGAAGAAGAGAGGGAGAGAGAGAGAGACAAAAACGTAGATGATGTGAATGGATGAAAGGCATAGGAGGCATGAATAGGGCCTGGCTAACGACATGAGGGAATGTGCTCTAAGAGTACAATAAACCATTAGAAAGGGAGACTTTATCTGCACGAAAAAAGCACAGGACATTTTTGGATTGAGAATTGATATTACATGAGATGCTTGCAATGACGATGATGCTCTGATGTCATAACTGATTCCTTCTTCCCTCATTTCGGCCTAAGCACCAGAGTTTTTATCATAAAAGTTTCCCCCACCTGAAATTCCTCCACTACGATGGTAAGTTACTTTGATGTTGATGAAAACAAGATGGAGTCCAAATAAGTGTACGTATGAACATGAAACGCGCATTTTTGAAAAGTATTCATGTAGATACTCATCATATCTTCGACAATGGTTTCACAAATATCATGCAATACGCAAACTGGTGTAATTTTGTGACTATCGTCCGTCTGATAAAATCTAAATATTCGTTTTCATATCTTATTAAACTAAATTTGCATTTATATTTGTATTTTTCAGATTCCAACTTCTTTGTATTGGCAGATAATGCATTTCCGCTGTCAGCGTCGCTTTCCTCGAATACCGAAGTAGCAGGCCTAGCCGGTCAAAGCGTCCTTCTTCCGTGCCACCTTAGTCCAGCTTGTGGAAGCATCCATTCCATAAAGTGGTACCGAGCTGACCGAAGGGTTTACATCTTCAGTGAAATTGCCGAGATCTCTCGCGCCGAGGACGACTTATCAGATCGGTAAGCAACTCAAGTGAAGTTTCCTTTTCAAACTCTTCAACTTTTCTGGGGATTACAACTTTTTGCACTTTCCCGCTATTTTTTGCAATGGGTGGGAGTGGATAAAATTTTAACATAGACCAGAAAGTTCTAAAATTGTAGGAACGAATTCCAAGTCGTTCCGTTGAGCGGCCGATTTTGAAAATCACCCCACACGTTCATCCGTTAGCTACCACGGTTTTTGTCACTTGAAGAAACGACATTGGTGTTGGATGGAACAATTTATGACGGCACTAGAAGACACATTCTGTCGAAGGGATCATCCCCGTTGTCAGCAAGGATTTCCTAGTTTATGGAGGAGAAAGTTCTGTATAGATGGGCATTATATATTTTATTGATGCAGCTACTGACACTTTTTTGCACTTTCTTTGTGTTCTCTGGAGACTCGGTTTCATTTGGTTTCTGGAGCAAGGAATGCCTTTGAGAAATTTTAGAGCTTTGGACAGATGGCCCGGTCACATAAGTTTTTGACTCGAGTTCAGCCCTGGCTTTTGAATCCGAATAACAAGGGACAAGAAAGTAAAAATCAAACGAGACAGGGTGATTCGAGGACAACGGTACAATAAGTAAGATGATGGGGCCAAGTCAGGAGTAAATAAAAATGGGCGAATGTTATGTGTACACTTGGGAGATGTGAAATGAAACCAGCAGTTGGAGTTGAATAATGGAAAAATTCAGCCTCCTCCTTCTTCTTCTGAATAGTTGAAAGATGGATGAGCTTCGACGTGGCCTGTATTCGCCTATTCAATTATTCAATGATTGCTTCCATCCCATACCACAAATGTTGGTGGACCGGATGGTGGACGGTGCAACTCGAGCTAACCTGGATTGCATAGCATGGAGCGACTACTGTGTACTTTCTTCACAACTTTCTTCCTGGATACATACATACATATTTGCCATCGTCCGAGCCTCCTGCTCGTTGTATATTCAATTCCTGAGGAATTTTGAGGTCTTGGATTACAGTTGGAATGTTCTCTCTGTTTTGTACACTCTGTGCTGTATCGTCCGTCTTAGATGTTGCATTTTCCTCGAAAGTGGCAAAAGTAGATGACGCTTGCATTATTTGTAACAATAATCAGAATTTATGGACTTTAAGGTGCTTATGGACTAAAGGTAGAAGGCGAGAATAACGGTGTAATAATTTTGTGTTTACGATCGTATGTGCGGATGTTTGAGCATTAGGAATCTTGGTTGGTGCCATTTTCAAGTCGATCATTGCATCCATTCTTACTTGGACTACAATAAATGAGATTGGTCCATATAATAATAATAGTAAAAGCAAAATGAACTTGAACCCGTATTATTTCTTGACGTTGGTAGTGGAGAGATTTTCGGATTTGCTATATCATTTCACATTTATTGCACGAAATGCATACTCCACTTTTCGAGACTTGGCTTTGGCAACGTCTTTGACGATGTCAATTCTGTTCTTGACACATATTTTGATAGATTTATTCTCAATATTGCTAGTCTCAGCAAATAACGTACAAGGCATTGAACATGATAGATCGATGTGCCAAATAAGTCAGTCAAGGAAGTGAAAAAAAGTATATTATGCTGCACTTTGAAGACTGGTGTACATAGTTTGATGTAGATAATGCATTCCAGAAAGGAACGTTATGTAAATCCAAATTACAATAAATTTAAAAGTTCTTATGATCTACAAAATGTTTCAAATATCGCACTTATTATAGGTTAACCCATTGACAATTAGTTTGCAATTGTACCCAAGATGCCATAGACCATGGATCAGAGACCTACCGAATTCCGGAGTACGGAGAAATCCGAACTGCACGTGTGATAAATAATGCTACGGATATAAAAGACCTTCTCCAGTCGAAATAGTTCCTCCTACTCATATGACCGCTGTGCTACGTTTCATCACCTTCGATGAGTATACCCTCCGAATCTGATTTGGAGTTTTCCAATTTGTCGGAACTTAATTAAATGGATGTGTTTTCGGCGAAACCAGTTAATTCAATTTGCTGCACTCTCACATGGTTCTGCCACAAGTAACCAGATACGAGCCTAGAATCCTATTTTGCAGTCTTTGCAAAGTTATCCTTCTCATTTCCATTTAACCCATCCCCCAGCCAGACACTTTGCAAAGTCGGCGAGAAAAACAATGAGTCGGATTTTCATCAAGTTTTCAATTTTCTTCGTATTCTTTCTCTTTACACCTTGATCTAAATTGATGGTCCAAACTTGCAAAAGAAGTTCAAACGGGCGATAAGATCTACATTCTTGGTGTTGGATCCGTAGAATGATTTTATAAATTTCTGGATCCAGCTAATAAATATGTATTTCACTTCGTAAAGTTGAATTGAAAACCAAATCAATGCGTAGACAAGAAGAATTTTCCAGGCTTGAGTTTGTAGACGCAATACTCGTTTAAGTGTACAAAAACTATTTAATTCTATAATGATTCCTTGTTACCAGTGACAAAGGCTTGTGAGAAAAGTACGAGGGGCATGTTTCAGAATGAAATGAAAGTCTTAAAATGTCGCATCCTTCAGTTCTTTCTCTATATTTGCGTTCGATTCGTTAAGTTCAAGTGTCTCGTCTTGTCACTTTCTAAAATTGAACGAGTGAATCACTTGCAGGGAGTGTGCATAAAAAGTTTAATGCCAAAATTTTCAGAGCATTTCAGAGCAAGATGAAAGTTTTCTGTCTCAACTTTTCGTCTACTCGATGCAAATGAAATTAGTCTTGTCTTCTTAAAACGAGATCATTTGGTTCGTCAAATTCATTCATTTGATTTTAGTTGGTTCACTTTTCATGTACAATAAATATATAAAGTTGGTATAAAGGATAGTAAAAAATACTGTAGTGGGAGAAACCCTAAGATTGGGGGTAACCCCTGTTTATTGGATTACACGTAATGCTAAACTTTGCCTAAAACCTTCAGTTAATTTTGCATTATTTCATCTATATCATATGCATGCATAAATATGTGCACGTTCATAAAATGTATCAGTTTGAAGTTTTTAACCAATGCCCGGGAGCAGGACATAGTAAGTAGCAACATATGTACATATCCCATGATTTGATTTTTACTACCCAGTAGTTGTAATTTACATTTTAACGAGACTTTCTCCAAGACTTCCACCTTCCAAACTCTTTGCTATCCGCCAGCCTGACACGGTCCAGTGAGGCTTAACCAATAATCTGCAACCACTACTAGCCTACATACAAAAATACTTCATTGAGGAAACTATCGTGGTTTGGACAGACACAAAAATACGACTCCCAACTGCTCGAAAAGTTTTCTGTACTTTGGAAGAAGAAGAAGGGAGCAAGTGAAGCTAGTGAAGTGAAGTAAATACTTTTTACGCCGTCTCCTCTTCGCACAAAGTCGCCTCAGTCAGCTCGCTCATTCCCATTCCGTCTCCTTTGTTCTATGCAGATTACTTTATCCATTTCTTGGAAGAATGATTGTTTGAATTCCTCGGGATTGTTTCTGGCAGTTTGCATCACGTCTAAAATCTATGATAGGATGAGATCGGATGTCTTTCTAATTCGGATTTTAGAGGAAGAGAAAGTCTTTGTTGGTGATGTGTCAACCGAGCAGACGACTTTACTTTATTTTTGCTGTCGCTGGAAATGACAACAACTTTTCTTGTGTGGCGGAGAAAATTATTCTGGTTTGAACGTGTTTGTCTAGATTCTAGGAACATGGAAAAGTTTCCTTCAGCAGTGATGAGGGAGGAGGAGTCAAAGTAATTCTGACTGACCCACATGTCTGATTTCTTAGATAATTCTCAAGTCGAAGACAGCACAACAAAACCAAAAATAATTTGGCTGATTCGCCATGAAATATGTATATAAACTTAGTTCCTTTTCTATTAGGCTGGCTTGTTTTTGTGCTATTTGGCAATATTTCATTTTTATGATGAATGTACACATCTCACTCGCAATCATGGGGCAAGACAAAAACTAGTGGTTCCTTCCTCCAACCTTAATAAAAACAACAATTAATGCGTGTTTGGACAGTCGGCAGTCAGCAAGTTTCATAAGCCCACTTTATGCCATCATAAGATGTCTGAAGTACCACCCACCATCTCGTTATCTCAGATGGTATTTAGCTACATACACACATATACAGCTACATACATATTACGTGAGTGCATGTTGGTGTGTAGAAACGTAAAGTTGGGGCTATGGACATCTTTTGTGGAAGGTATTTTCGAGTTGTCTTTTATTACCTCTCCATCCAGTTTGTGTAAGTGGAGCAGGGAGCACAACAGGAAGGGGCACACAGGAGTGGGTAACAAATTCATAGAATACTTAGAAAGTACTTGTGGAGCAGTAGTATCAAATTTAGTCTATGATGCATGGCTTTGTTCTCTCCTCCTCCTCAAGATCACAACTTTCTCCACTTGAATCTCTTGAATTGAATATCGTCTCCAAGCGTCGCACGAGCCTTCCTTCTGTTGCCCAGCCCTACATTTTAGTTTATGTTGTTGCCAAAGTTTAAAGTGTTTTGTTATATTCGTCTTAAAATACGACTTCCTCCGCCATTCAAAGGAAATAGTTCAGCGAGTTGCAAAGGGTTCAACTTCTTTTCTTCGGTTTCACTTACTTTCAAATTACTTTTTTTACTCGTTGAGCCTCAAATAAATAACTTTTCTGGTTTTATGTGCTAGGAAGTGGAATTTATGTTTGAATTAACAATTTGATTAAGCGCTTGCATCAAAATTATTCAAAAATGTGTTGGACTTGAGAGGGGAAAATAATGTATCGTCGCCAGTTCTCCTTTGACAAAAAATGAGTGAAGATTTTGCATGTGAAAGTAGTATTTGTTTTATGCATAGAATTGGGAAACCGTCAATAAGTGAAGTGCATTATGTTACGGGATTTTACTTTTTGACGTGTTTTCTATTCATTACGCAGTAAGCCTTATGGTTTTCACAGCATTTCATCGTGCAACAAATTGTATGGAAGGGTTACACAGAGCTGAACTGAAGGCATAGAATTTTACTGAGGAACAATCAATTTTCCAGCTAATGAGACATTTCTATTCAGCCCGATTTATAATAAATAGGCCAACGAGCCAGCGTAAGAGCATGTGTTTTCCAAAATGGATACAATGTCATTTGTTATGCAGAAATACAAGTGCATACAATCAGGTACAGACGCATGGCTTGAGTGTATAAATGCTTATTTCCATTGGAATTGTATACTCCATTGAAATTGTTATTTTCAGTGAAGTATGTATATCAAGCTTTTATACTAGAAAAATACAATTGAAACATGCCATCCAGTTTGTATTCATAGTGATATTACTCCGTGATGTTGCAACGGATATGTGTGCCCTATTTACAATCTGAGCAGCGTAACGGGTGCCGTTGGAGATTTTATAACTTGTTGGTAAAACCACAATACAACACCCTTGCGAAAACCAATGGCATACATTCCACCCCAGAATTCTTGTTGCTTGACTTGGCCTTATGGTGGCTGATGGAGGTTTCAAGAGAGCACAAGATTGAGACAGTTGAAAGTTGTTTCCTGCGGTGGTATTTGTGAAGCTGGAGCATCTGAATTGGCCAGACAGAGACAATAATCAATAAATGGGATTGTTGTGTGAGATACAAGACCGAGAGAAAGAGGGATCACTGCCGGGATATGTATGCAGTAAGACGTTTCGGGATTATTCTCCCCGCAATCCACGCAAAATCTATTTCACTCTCTCTAAAATACGCGAACCCAAACTTCCACCCTGGTTCTCGGTGCAATCGCGATTCAATGAATTTATTTTCCTTTTTCTCTCTCTCTCACTCCTCCCACCAGGTTGATCTCTGTTGCGAGGAATGGCATGGAAGTAGAACAAATGAAAGTGGAGAAAGTCAGGCTAGAGATAGCGTGGATTTAATGGTAAATTGATCCCATTCGAGATTCCTCGTGGTCGTTGGTGATTTGAAATTGCACTCAGAATGTGAATTTGAGTTGATCGTTAGTTTTGTTAGCTTTTCGTTTCCTTGAAGGATATGAGCAAAATTGGACGCTAAATTGGATGAATTTTATTCTATTAGATGCATTAAGTAGAAAGCTAAATCTTGCTCTATTACTATATTTTAACTTATGTAACGGGTTCGTTTGGTTTGTTACGTAATAAGTAATTTTGAAAATGTATGTATTTTTTAATTTCAGAGCCAAATTGAAACTGCAGACAAACAGCACTTTGGCCCAATTGGAGATCAGCCCTTTGATGACGGCGGATGAAGACTTGTACAAGTGCGAAGTGACATATTTAGAAGCAAAGGAGCACTGTGCCCTTCTCCAATCCATTAAACTCAATACATTCGGTACGTACTTTCTCTTGGTTATGTGCAATATTATATTTTCGAGTTTAAGTAGCTCCGTATAAATTAAGGTAGAATAAAAATTCGGGGTCTAGGTAAATGCATCGAGGGATGCGATATCGGCATATTTGCGTCTCATACATTTGGACAATTAAATTTCAAACTAAAACGAATAAGAAATAGTTTTTAGGTTAATATCTGGATTTGCATACTCAATTTACTTCTTACTCATAAAATCTTATGTTTATGACGTATTCGTGTAGTGGAATATGTTGAAGATTTGTCATGGACAGTGTTATCTTCAAAACTCCTGTTTAAATTTATATACTATTAGATTTTTCATGAGGTTCAGGACCACTAGAATTTGCTAATCGAAATGCAAAATCGAACGATATTCAAAATTCACTCATATCATATTGTACGGTATAACTTGGTGAATCACATTAAGAAATTGAGGAAGATTTCATGAGATTTCTGTTGAAATAAATGGCAAACACGTATTATGTATTAGCCGTTAATCCTTTTGTAGAAGATATAATAGTTGTGGCAACTTGATGCGGTGGATCAATAATGATTACAGTTGATTCTAGGACAAACTGCTCAATTCATCATTGTCTACGTCATTACATGAGGCGGTGAGGTTTATTATGTCCTGGACAAATCATGACAAAATAACAAGATTTTTAACTCGGAAATATTTTAATTTATTCGTTCTCAAACCCCTAAAGTATTTTTTTCACACACGAGCTTTTGATATATTTACATGTTTTGTAAAAAAAAAATGTCACCGTAATTGTCATGAAACAAAAGTCCCTTTTAATGAGTATGCGAAACAGTACAAATTAATGTAGGTATTTATCATGTTGTTGCTTTTCATGTTACAAGTCTGACCATGTGGAATTTACAATATGCATATTCAACTCTGTACGCATGTATGTAGTACTTATTAACGATAAGTTAGGTTAGACTTTATGGTTAGGGATTAAGGTTCATTTGAAGCCCTTGTGCATATGGTGAAATTGCGTTTTCATTTTCTTATACACATACACATATGAAAATAGACGATCCGTAAGTAAATGGTAAGAGTGGATAAAGAGTTGGGCAAATCTAGACGAAAAACTTGATTCTTTGGAGAATGGTTGGGGAATAGAATAGATCTTCTAGTGCAGTCAACATTTGTATCACGATGAGATGGCTGGTAAAGGCAAAGGCTAATTGCAATCGATCAAGTTTTAATGATGATTTTAATGATGAGATTTTTCTGTCTCTTTTTTCTCTTTTCTGCCTCTTTCTCCACAATCAACTACCAACCTAACAAACGAATGGCATTACTGACTCTTTCGTGGAATCCTCTTATCTCCTCCTGTGACCCGAATGAATTGGATGGAATGGTGATGATGCGATTCTGGCCAACTTTTCCTCCAAATTTCCCTCAACTCGGTCCTCGGTCGTCGCCTTCATTATTTCCACTGGATGATGATGGGAACGACGCTGAAATGATGATAATCATTAAACTTTCCCTGAGAGCAGCCAAGCCCGAATATGTGAGGATTGAGGACATGAGTAAGTATCAAAATTCTAACCATACAAGAAAAATCTCACTAATGTACATACTGATTTTGAACTTGGCAATAATATTCATAAATAATAATAATTTCAGAAGGTTCCGAGACAGCAAACGCGTCACTAATAGGACCTTTTAATGGTAAATTTGAAAATAATATAGTCGCTTAAATGTCTATGTACATCTTGATAAGCAGTTATCTTAGCATACCTACATCTGTAATTCATTCTTATTGCAGAGGGGAACGTAATAACTCTGGTGTGCATGTCTGGTGGGGGCAAACCAGTGGCTCACCTGAACTGGTATAATTCTTCATCTCCATTGCCAGGTATGCTAAATCTCAACCTTTCCTCTAAATAATTATGGTAGTTCAAATGATGTTGGACCAACTCGACGCATTCAAACAGTACAAAGTCAAAGTGTACATAATTAAACATAATTAAATGAACTTTACGTAAACGTAAGCTTAAACTTTCTCACCCTCCATAATTGGTCTGCTACTTGGTTCCAATCTTTCCTCACGAGGCTCTTCAATTGGTCCAATTGTCATCCGAAAAGCAGGGAAGATAGACAACTGACTTTCACTTGTCTTGGTTTCGTCGTGTATCCCAGTGAAGATGTTGCCAATGCAGGCGTGGAATGCAAATCTGAGCTATTTTCTCTAGAAGAGATGGAGATGGATTGATGCCATTAGAGAATTTATGTTTATTCATGAGAATTTTATTGTAATTTCGCAAAGTGGTGCGTACTCTGCAGAGTGAGTCAACAGTGGACGACGAGTGTTTGCAAATCCTCCATCCAAGAATTTTACTTTTCCCGTTTTCCTGCCTAAAATATTATTACAGTTTTGCATTTGCTAGCTTCTACTTTATTTTATTCCATCACATCAACCAAACAAAACCAGAGCTCACGACTTCAATCTTGACGCTGCATTTAGATGGATGAAGTTTCCGTCGTTTGGAAGACTTTTTGTAATGTGACTATGCGGTGAGTCCCGGGGTTTGGTTGACGACGACGATGACGACGACGACGACGAGGAAAGGATGTTGATGATGAACAACAGCAAGTCAGCCACAGCAGCAGAACTCCCGAGGATAGAATGCTTATGCTTGGCTGCTCCCATCATCCGTCCTACACATGTATTCATAGTATTGCCATTAACTATTTGTGGGCTAAAGGCTTACTTATTTCCTAAAAAGTTTTGACTCTGTTGAAGAAAGCATTGTTTTGCATGAAAATCATTACCAGCAGATTTCATGCAAATATTTTCATTTCCTTGTCGTTTCCTTTCACCATTGATTCGTAAATGTTTGCGCCAAGTTATTCATTAATTCATCACGAGTCCAACACAATCCACTTTCTATCCGTGTCAATTGTATTTGCTGTGCACACTAATTTGGAGATTGGTGATGATGATGGGCTTGAGGCTGATTAAACTGACAATGCACGTTTGGTCCAACTCATCAAAAACTGCAAAATGGGCTCATTCCATGCAACACTAAACAAATTTAGTTAATGGGATGAGGAGGAGGCGATTTAATTACACACTAAAATGAGCTACATATGTTGTTGCAAATCTGCAGGTCAATATCGAAATATGACGGAAGACGATGGAACTGGAATTGGGCGATCTCAACTGACGGTGACACTTGGACGGGGAGATCTTGGTGCAAAATTGGAGTGTAGCGGTAAGACAAGTATTTACATATGTATATGAGTCGATAGCACCGCATTTTAATCAGATACTCATGATTTAACTCAAACCATGTGTATTTATTGTTTATTTTTGTTTTGCCTATTTTCAAAAATATTCATATATACATAGTTGATCAATGAGTATCTAATAAATAAAAATTGTCCTGATAATACGTATTAATTTTGGTTGCAGCGTCAAGTCCCACATTGGACGTTCCCATGTCCGCCTGGGTGGAGGTGGATGTTTATGGTGAGCAACCCTCTCTCTTCCTTCAGCAAAGTGTCGAGATTTATCATTCATTTATGCATCCAGCTCCAACTCATTGCGGACATACGTTGTACGTTGTGTTTGGCACTTGTGTTGGGGAAAGTTTGTTTTCCGTTGTGCAATACATCTCCCATCCGACTAATGCACGCTCTAGGGTCTGGCGTGGACTGACTATTTTACTAACTAACTTGCTTGGCTGAGCTCCAGCAGGCCACAGGCACTGAGAGGGAATGTTAGATTACTATCCTAAACACACCTACCTGTCTGGTGATTCGATTCAATTCACTCTCTTCTTCGGGCACACACACAGCGAGCGGAGGAGAGTCCCATTATGGAGTCAGGATGGGGAATGCAGTTTCTTCTTAAAATGAACCAATCTCCATTTCCCATTTAGAAAGTGGTTACAAATGCAAATTAAATATCCCAACCGACCGACATTATTCCAACACCATTTCTAATCTAATGTGATGGCGTGTACTGAATTAAATAGCAACTCCCTGATGTCGGCAATTGGCAGGTACGACTACGTTGTACACGAATACGCAATCCGGGTTAATGATTAGGGAAAATATTTGTACAAAACTTCAGGTTAGTCGGCAGAGCTGTGGAAATTTATTCTGGTAGAAAACCAAAGTGAAATTTTGCATATAATGCTCCAAGTTGCTCCTACATGGCCGCTGGAACATTGTTGGATTTGATGCAGTAGAGTGAACCAAGCCAAATTCGTTTTCGCCACCATATAGCCATGCACCCAGCCCAGCTAAATTCAGTCAGAGGGAAATCTCTCTGGTCTGCTACCTCCTCGTAATCATTGGCCAGGTTTATCCATCCGTGAAAGAGTTGCAAATTTGCAAATCAAGTGGTCCCCAACAGAGATACATACACGAACAGTTTTTGCTCACATTCACGACGTGGATTTAAATTCTTGAAACCTACACATTTCATTTGCCTTAAATTCAACTTTGTTCGTATTAAACTCGAGGCCAGGTGCCAACACGGAATGGTTCAGCGGGGCAGGCCAAGTCATGATGAAGGGTTACACAAAGTCAGAGGGCCAGGAAGAGGCAGTCTCCTAAGCGACTTTTGTATTCGCCTCGTGGTAAAAGAGAAAGCACCACAACACCGTGGTTTTGGGCAAGCAACCAAACCAACCAACCCATTCTGCTTTACACAAACCTATCTAAATGCATGCATGCTTCAAATTTTATTAGCATTTCCGTTCCCTCAGTATTTCTGACTGCGGCGTTTATTGCGATTGCGAGAAAGTGTGTATCCAAATCAGGATGAAACTGGAACAAACTAACGGCAGCAGTGCCAGGATACTTATTATTATGTGGGGCATTGTCAGATACATAGAACGTCATTATTACTGCTATATACGCACAGGTCGTTCGTATTCTTGCTCTATTTGCTCCAGGAGAGGAGAGGAACCTGAGATGAGACCCTAAATGGGAAAGTTTATCGCTGCCAACGTCTTTAATTATATCTAATGTTACATTGCACAAGTCATTGATATGTAAATGATGTTTTGCTGGTGTATGATACTTTCCCCTTGTGAAAGCTCTCGTTTCAACAAATAGCACTTGGTCTAAGAGATAAACTAAAATCAATACCATCAACCTAATTCCATCCTCATTAACATACTTTTCCTTTAATTAGTTCCACACCATTGAATATTATGGCACATTTCGAGGCCTGAGGTTCCCACCATAGGTTCAATTTAATTTATTCGCATTTGTGACTAGATGATGTGATACAATTGCCCAAGATGATCATAAACACGTATCGATTGTTATTTCCCTTCCCACGAGAAACAAATCAATTCTCGAGGAAGAAATAGCTCAGTGGAAGAAATGGTTGGCAGGAATTTGAAGATACGAAATTTTCGGGGCAAAATAACCAAAACATTTACATTCAAAGTGGTAAATATATACTTGAAGCTTGCTAATTGTTTAAAGCGCAAAGTTCACATATTTACGGCTACGTAAAATTACGAGTTCCGTGTTACTTTGTTTTAACAAATAAACTTTCGTTTGCATTTAAACTTTGTTGGATAAAATCTGCCACGAAATAATATTCAATACGAAGTAATAAGAAAATGGAGGCTATTTACTCGTATACAGAGAATTTATGTTTTCTTACCTTGGCGAAGATATTATGAATTAACTCGAGCACGGTGCTGGGTGTGATTAGGAGGGAAGTTGCAGTCCAATGTTTTGGCACCCATCGCAGCGATCCCACCGACTTTCCCCTCCTAAATTACACACCGTTCCCCTCCTCCTTCTTTTTCTAATGATCCTCTGCCAATTCCCACAGAACCATTGACAAACACACTCAACTCGAATACAATTCTGCTGCTAGTTAGACTAAGCCGGATGAGAGCATGTCTTTTTATTGGCTCATCCATCTCTTTCTATCCATCTTCTTTCCTGGTCAGACAACCAGCAGGAGGAGGAGGGAGAGAATGGGACGAAAATAATTGTAAAGTCAGTTTGATTAATCCGGGATTATTTATTTCTCATTCGATTCCTCCCGACGACGACGACTCTCCACTTCAAGCTCCCAATTTCAGTAATGAGTCTTCAAATAATGGTTTTCTTGCCAGAATTTAATCTTTACTCCATGAGAAAATTTATAAGTAAGGTCTTTAGCGATTACAGCTTTAATTTATTTTACTTTATTTATATAAATATGTTTTTGCTTGAATGAGGTGCCGTGTTGGTTCAAAATAAATCGCATCTAAAATAGCTTATTTCTAAGTTATGTGTTGCATTACTTACTAAAAACATGAATGTATGAAGAAATCAGACTCAAGAAAGAGGAATAAGTCAGGCTGGCCTCCTTGTAGGTGAAAGTCGACTACGGTGTTTTTCATCCTTCGTGCAGGTGTAAATATTTTCTTAGAATATCCTCGAATTTACATTTAAGTATCCATCTCTTCGCATTTCTCAGAATTTGTAATTTTATGGTCAATTAGTATTCCCTTGACGGTTGACGACCTATGATAACCCTGAACATAAGGCGAAATGTTGGATGCGTGTCATACCTAGCAAGAACCATCGCATGACAAAATTTGAAAATATATATATTTAGTCTCAAACTTGAAGCTTGTATAACATGTTTTCAACTAAAAATTTAGAATGACATTAATTGGGATATAAATAATTTTTCCTATTTGAATTTCAGTCCGTCCCCACAAATGGGAGCTGACTGGTTACGATGGCCCCGTCCTAGGTTGGTCTTTTCTACTTTAATTTTCACTCTCAAACTTTTGAAAAATTGTTTGGTGTATTAATTATTTCTCATCTATTTTTAGACGGAACTGTGGTAAATTTGCTGTGCAGAGTGAAAGGCGCCCGACCAGCCGCATCCATCACTTTCTTCAACGGAACCGACGTGATATCTCCACAACCTCCTTCCAATCTCGCCGTTCAGGTAAGCTATTTTTGCACTCTCATATTTTCGGTATTTCCCAGGAGAATGGGGCATAAAATGGATCCATAAAAATCAGTTGTACAGACAGATCACCACTCATCATTGAATTTAGTTATCTTGGTCACGTTCCTGAATGCAAAATCTTGAAATTAAATTCGGGTCGTTAGCCAAAAACTACGACGACAGAAGCTTTAGCAAAGACAGCCAAAGCCAGTTCTACTTTATATGCAGATTAGTCAAGAAAAACAACGACATGCTACACTACACTCCTATTGAATGTTGTTGAGTTTGGTTTCAATGCAGCATTAGAAGTGTTTATAGTCTGCCCTGCTGCTGCTGCCCCAAGTAAGAGAAAGTAAGTTAGCTGTAAGAAATTCACCAGAAACGGAGAACTCTGATGTGAAAAATTTGGTAGTAAAGGCGGATAATAAACCAAATCCAGGAAGATAAGGACACGTACTGGGAGGAGTGGAGCGTCAAGTTTAGTTTGCTACTTTTGACTTGTTTTATGTACACCAAAATGCTTCTTCTACTCACCGTATTGTAGCAAAATTCAGCTCGTATGAATGAATCAAAATGGAGGAGAACTCCTGGTTCTTTCAAGTATAAAAAAAGTTGACAAATTTTGTCGCATTCTCATAAAATCGTGATTAATCTCTAGTATTATCGCGTTATTAAGGAAAAAGTTTGAGGTTTTTTCAACTTTTGCATAAAAATGGTGGATGGCTTTTCTCTCTTCGCCTGCTTATTATCTGTACGTATTACGAGAATCACCGATTCCTGGGCGTTGCCAATTTGCACTCGAAATGCTATACGTATAACTCTACATACTACAAATGCACGTAGATATGTTTGTGTAATACCATTTTCCCTTTCATCACCATCATCTCGAATTTAAATTTGCATCATGGATTGCGACATAAATCACTGAATTTCCATAATAAAGTACACTTTCATCATAATATCAGGCGTCCTCACCTTCTCCTCATAGACTTTCAATATCAATTGACATTATGTACTGCATCCTCGTCTCTTATTTTGCGAGGAACAAATGGGATGCATGAAAGAGAAAGTTGCCCATCATACATAGCGTGGAGTCAAGAATGGGGTGAGCATAATACGTTTCCATCTCAAGCCCACTTTACATTACATTTTTCTCGTCTTTTTCTCTGGACTCGTTTTTCCCCAGAAATTGAGAGCAGCGGAGGAAGTAAGAGGAATTTCCTGGTTGGCGTGTCCCAGGCATTTCCTTCTTCACTTTCTTCTTGGGTTGCTGGATGGAGTAGTGCTTCTGGAAGAACAGTAGTAGTTCTGCCATATAGTGCTGTTATGTAAGCGCAGTAACCTTTACATATTGGCGAATAAGGGAAGATCCCGTTGCATATACGTAGTGCTAGGTTGTATTGGCGGTTCTGGTAGTGGTGGTGGTTAGTGTTTGAGTTTGAAGTCGTCTCTCCAGCCAGTTTACTTGTAGAGAGTAAGAAGTGGAGCGAGCGAAGAACATTTATCAACAGAAGAAATTTACGGCCAAATTTGCAGCGTTTCAGTCCACATCTACGTTAGTCAAGCCCAAATAGCAGTGGAAGAAGAAGTGTTAGTCTCCTCTTTGCGAGAAAGGACGGGATTTCATTTTCATTCAGAAGCTGGGACATGCCAAGCAACGGACACAGCATATCCCAAGCATCAAAGGATCCGACGACCCAAGTAAAGCTCCTCTCTTCCAATGTGCTTTCCAATACCAATAATCCCATGTCGCTCCCTCAGTGACATGTCGCAAAAATATTTTCAGGTTTGCGGAAAGTCGAAAATTTATCTCATGATTTTACTGGCCGGAGGTATTGTTCATTCGGAACGAATTGAATGTTTTAGTGAGATTGAAAGAACGTGTGGGAGACGAATAAGACTTGAGGCGATGGAGGTAGCGAAAAAAAACAATTCTGCCCGGCTGCTTTTTTTAATTTCCTAGGAACGATGAATTCATTAATTTTCCAATCTAGTACGAATCTCCACGTTCCTTTGCAAATGTGCTGATGCAATATTATTCGGGCATGGTGGCCAACCAATTTACATTGAAAATGGTTGGTGATGATTACGAAAATTGCCAGAATAATTTTGTTGGAAATGATGGCTTTCACTTAATCATTTCCAGAATTACCATTACAGATAACCAGATGGAAAATTCTATATTTAAATTCTGTTCGCGTTTCATTTTACCAAAATAGAAAATTTTCTCTCCAACTCTCTGAAGTCCGCGTCCTTTTGCTCGCATTATTTGTCAATATTCACATCTTGAGCTGACAAATTGCACAAAATTCTTTCTTCATTCAATTTTTATCATCTTGACTTGGTGCCATCATCCCAATAATGTCACTCCTACTTTCTCTGCTTTTTTTCTCTCTCGCTCTCTCTCTCTCTCTTCCTCTCTTCACTGTCAGCATAAATCTTTGGGTTGCTATCAAAACGTCTAAGTTTCTCTCTATATTTCTGAATTTCAGCATGACTACACCATCGAATCCGAAATTATTGAGGTAAGCTGCCAAATTATCTTACTCTGCTGTACTGTCTGTCATTTCTATTTTCATATTCCTCCTCGCTCGACTATTCCGTATTTTTGTGTGATTGAATTTTCATAGAAAAAATTGTATGGCTTTTCAGTCTCTTGCAATAGTGAATCTTCCAAAAGCATTTGTAGTGTAGTGGTGTATGCTGCAGCATGTATGTATTTTCGCTGTCGCTTTCTTTACCGCCGTTACTTACTTTCTCCAAATGGCGTATTTTACTTTCTCGTGTCGGTTGTTGCTGTTGGTGTAAAAATTGTGTTATTTTAGTGCGAAAATAATTTATGAGTGTGGAAAATTACCAGCTTAGAGCTTGGAGGCACAACCCATTTCCAAACTTATGGAGCGCAAAAGATATTTCATTGTCATTGGGTAGCTTTTAGTGGTGCTCCGTGCTAACCAGAGTAATGATGGCAAACAACTTCCGTTGGCCCACCTTAAAAAAGGTCTCTGCTTTCGTTTCATACCACATTCTTTTATTCGTGTCGTCCTTTGTTCTAATCTATCATCTTGTTAGATGAACATTTGTTATTTAATTTTAGATTTAATAATTAATCGAATTATGTTTACGTACATATGTACATCCTTATTACGATTATGTAAGGTATCAAAATTCTATCTCAAGAAGCCATAAAACCTCTGACATATATATCTGTATGTAGGATGTCCCAGATCTGGACGGCTACTGAAATTCAAATTACTGCGTGGGCCGTTAGTTGTCTTGTCTGGTTTTGAAAGTTGGACAGAACTCTAATATTTTACACCAATTTAGGAAAATCTACCTGAGTTGCCTGACGAAGTCATAAAAATATCGAAAAATTTACGACCTTTGCGCCTATTCAAATCGAAAGGAAGGCTTTTATGGGTAGTAAACCGAGATTAGAAAATGTCTTTTTTTGCATAAAACATCTGCATCAACTTTATTCCCATGTTGCCAATCTCAAGATTTTGCACGTTGGACATTTTCCGAAATCTCTCCGCACGATCTGTAATTTAGAAATGATAAAGGGAGCCATTTTTGGCTCTAACTGCGCTACAACATGGCTAGAAATTTAGAGTGAAAGTTTGGTAGTAGGTAATTAGTGTTGATGGATGAAAAAATAAAGCACTTGGGACCAACGGTATTTTCCTAAACAGAGTACATTGGCTTAGTTTTTTTGCATTTTTTCAAACTAGTTTGTTTAATTAAGTTACAGTCAGCCAGGTAAGTTACTTATTAAAATCCTGAAAATCTAACAGAGTCAGTAGTGATGAGTATTTATATTATTTTTTGCAAGGTAGAGGTGATGATTACAAAATACAGTGCATTTATCAAATAAACCAGGGATAGTCACCGAAACTAAACCATTATGACTTGTAAACGTCAATTTACAAATCAGTGTACATTCATGTTCCATGTCACAATTTGTAACTTTTTGAGGCGGTAAATTGCTTTGTCGCAATTTCATAATGGTCAATTCGAAGGCTCTCAGCCTGGAGGGGTATCTAGGTTTTTGGTTATGTAACACGCACTCGGGAGAAGCCAAGTCTCCACTGGAGAGAAAATGTTGAAAAATTGCGGATCTTGAAGAAGGGGTGAAAGTGGAATAGTAGTGAAATAGTATATGAACCAAGAATACATGTTAATGTCGTTTAGTGGATTCCCCCGAGACCAAATCAGAGCCCAACTTTTCCTGCCTTCCTTGTTTTGGTCTCTGGTTAGGCTCAGTTGCTTGGATTCAGCTTGGTTCCAGACTTTTCCTTCTGTGTGCCCGTTGCTTCTTGTTTGTTAAGGAAGAAAAAAGGAAATCCAATTATGCCTGGTAAAAGATTTGTACATGACCTGAATGACCCATCATATTATCAGTGGGGAGAAGCGGACAATAACGTGTCCTCCAAAAATGGTGGGCAAGATCTCCTTGATAAAAGAAAATAGAAAATGTATCACGACAAAGTCCACTGCTTCCTCCTCATTGAAGTGGATAATGGTCACTGAAAGTTGGTTTGCAACACATAGTGGACGACACATCCTCCATGCCGTGTCTCGTGTGTGCATGTACCTACGTATGTTGGTGACTTCAGTCCGGTCGTCTTGTCGAATGAATCTGTGGCTGTGTTCTGATTGTGGTCGGTCCTCTTGTCTGGTCGGTAATAAAAAGTGAAGTGAACTTGAAACGACAATGCAATTTCCTTGGCTTGATTGATTCGTAGTATTTCGTAGGGTGAGAGAAATGGATTTTTTGGATGATGCGTCCTTTCTGTTTGATTGATTAATATATATTTATCTCTTACGTAAGACCTGCGATTGAATGGATTTTATTTTTTTGGTCCATCTCAGGTAGAAATATATAGCAGCACTCGTAGATATGTGGAGGGAAAGATATCAGGTTTTTGTAACTAACTTTAAGGTTGCACGATATTCTAATGTGAAATACTCACGATTAGACTGTATCAGTGGAAGGGGGAGTGTATTAGCAACGAGAAAAGGATAATGTCACCCTGTCTCCAAGAAGAAAGATGGAGGCAGAGAGAAGCTAAGATCTTGTGAGATTGTTGATGAAAACCTTTTGGAAATTGGAATTGGAAGATAAGCGTTCGTGAAGACGACTGCTTTCCCCGCGCTGAATTGGACTCATTTCTCTTCGGGATGAGTTCTAATCTCTTGAATGCCTTTCACTCTGTGACTTTTCTTTTCTTGACTAATGAGTCCACGACTCAGTGTATTCTCGTCAAATAGAGAAAGTCAGCAATTTGGAGAAAGTTTTTCTCTACCACGACACAACTGCTCAAATAATCACCTGCTGATGTAATGCTTAGTTGTTGTTATTTGTGTGTAGCTTCGTGAATTACTTTGGTGTAGCTCACTATATTTTTCAGAGTGTAGCATGTGTGTGCTGATAATATTATTTTTGTTTAAATATGCTACTAAAAATAATATTGGCAAATCTGGGGATTGCAAAATCAACGTCACACTTAATGGATTTTGTTTTATTTCAGGCGGATGGAACCTATGAGACGCAAAGTAGAATGATATTCACTGCCAACCGATATGACAACGGTGTCACAATAACCTGTCAAACAACGAACCAAGTAATGGAATCCATGGGAGAAATTCCCTATGTCACATCCGTGAAACTCCAAGTTAATTGTAAGTGTTTTCCAAAGAAAGTTTTATCAGTTTGTGCAATAAGTTGGAATAAGTAAACGCGCAAAATTTATTTCATGCCAATTGGTGGAAAAGATTAAATTTTTAATAAGGGAAAATCTTCTTCGATCTCGACTGATACAGCATGACATCCTTTTTTGCCTCCTCGAACCCACAAGAAAATAAATTTGCAGTCTTGTGCTGAACCCCCGACTTCATTGTCTTTCATTATTTAAGTAATGTGCTGCTACCACAGAACTGCCCGTGTAAAAGCGGTCACGGAGTCTCGATTTTCAAACTATTGGCCCTGACAATGTATCAAAACTGGCGTATCGCATTGTGGTAGTATTTACACGACTGGGGTGGCATACGAAAGTGTGAGTAAAAGGAAGGAAAGTTGTGTTCCGCGACTTGTCTGGACTGGTATCTCTCCCTCCTTCTCTCCAGTTCACAGACTTTGCAGTTCACTATATCGCCCAAGTTGCCTCGATGGCGATCAAATCCATTATTAGGCAACAGTGTGGTCAGTGATGCAAGGGATCGGAGCTGATCTTGTTCTTGTGTGCGGATGGGGATGCGGTGGCATTGTACACCGTGCAGCGAGTAACATTGCCTCGCCTATAATAAAGGTTGGTACGAGTCATGGATGGGTGAAAGCAATCTTCGAATTTCAGTTTTTCTTGGAATGGATGGGAATAGTGTGGGAGAGAAACCTGCTTCATTTTCGTGCTCAGTCAAGCAAACTCCCCACCAAACCTGGGCTCCACCATCCAAACCCACAAAGTCTACCAGGGTGGTGGTTTACTCATTTTAACTTTCTAGATTTCCGCTCCAGCTTTTCCACCTTACGTTACCTTTCTCCACTGTCTTTTTTTAGAACTTAACACAACGCACAAATGTCGTACTTTTAATTTACGAGACAATGCAGGGCAGAATTGAAATAGTAGAAATTTCAGTAATGTGATGTGTAAGTTATATAAATATAATACATATATAGAGGAGGCAAGCATTTTGTACGCATATTAACTGCGTTAACGTATGTAAATATGTGGATACCTGCTTACACAACCTTTCTCTGCAGTATTTCTTTAGTAAAATTACAAATAAGTACGCCTACTCGTTGTTGACAAAATAGCCGTACAATAAACATTATGTAATGTTTATGAATGTATAACAAGGGACGAGTAAGAAGGTTACATATTCTCATACATTTTTATGTGTACATAGTGAGTTCTCCATCTCTCTCTGAATTTTTTTTGAGTATCAGACAAAAAATATAAAAAAACTCACAAAGTTGCACTGTTACGTCTCCTCCTCGGTGAAGAAGGAAATCAGTCAAATATTTGAGCCGCAAAAAAGAAACGCACATTCCATTCCACAACAGAAGATGAAGCTATTCATGCGAATGAAACGAAAAACTTTTCTAATTTCTGGAAAATGTTGTCTCATAAGAAAAGAATTCGGGTTAAATGTAAAACTTATTCATGTCGAATTGAGGGAGAGCTTACTCTTACTTGCCATTGTTTGGTAACATTGATCATTATTTTGCACCCATGCTGTTCTTTGTCATGTGTATATTTCGAAAAGTTCATGTACACACGATTATGCAGCTAAAACGGAATTGTCACTCATTTGTCCCACATAAGAAAATAGATCATTCGAAATTCCATAAATATTTAAACGTATTTATTTAATTAAAGTATTTCATTTATTGAACTTTTCTGTTTTCAGATGCACCTGTCGTGGACGTTACTCCTGCAAATGTTACTGTGAACGAGACAAGCGATATTCTAATTTTTTGTGAAGTGGATGCCAACCCTCCAGAGCTGATTTCAGTACGATGGTAAGTTTTCGTCGTCTAATCTCAATTTTCCCATTCTTTCCCATCTTAATGTAATTACTCGGAAATCATCTATTATTCTGCCCCGAGTATTTTATCACATTTATTCAAGAAGCGTAGCTCGTGTAATCAATCAATCATGTTTGCGTCTAATTGCAAGTAAATGAGCCGTTAAAGTGGTTGTCCAATTTCGTCAGTATCATCCAGCCTGACAACCTGACTATGATTTTGATTTCATGAGTTGCAGAGTTATTCAACGTTGTTTTCAACTTTGGATATTTACGCATATCCCTTTAAAAAATTGTTTAAAGTTTCCTCACTGCGAACGAGAGTGCCAATTTAAAACCCTTCTCGATCGGCAGTGTTTTTGTTTCACTAAGCTAAACAAAAAGGGTTTTAATTCATCTACCCTTGAAAATTCAAATGTCGAGTTTAGTCCAACCCATTAAAATTTTCAATTAAGCTAAAACCTAATTACTCGAATTGTTAAGGGAGGAAGAGCAGAAGACGAAGGAGAAGCCACAACACTAAGCAAATAGTAGCTCAGTCTCATTTCCAGTTTAATTTCACTATGCCTACTGCGTTACACTGCACTACCTCCAGTCAGTCCGTGGTACCGGCTTTCCTTCCCTCTTGATTTCTTACAACCCACTGAACCAGGAAACTGTTTGGGCTGCATGGCCATGGAGACTCGACTAAAATTACAAAGAGCTGAGCTGTTGCGTTAAAAACATGATTATCATGAATAAGAATAAATGGAGGTTGGACCCTGCGACTGAGCAAATTTCCATCATCACCTATTTTGCCTCCCTTTTGTAATCCATGGTCCAATTCAACCTTTCGTATTTACGTGCCAACCAATTTGTCGAGCTGAATGCCAGTCCATAGCTTACCTAGCTTAGGATTAGCTTAGCAGACAATTTGGACTGTCCAATCCAATATATATACTTTCCCTCTCAAATGGTGTTTGTTCAAATTAAAACCATTTCTTAGTTTCACGGTGTACTTGGTGTCAAAAGGGTGTAAACAAAGGGAAACTCGTTTCACTTAATGAAAATCATTCTTCATTTAGATTTAGAACATTTTCATTTATTGAGAATCAATAATTTCTGGTGATTTGTTCTACCCGACGTGAGTTTGCTAATGAGTTCAAGATTATTCCTTACAAGTTCAGGGCTGTGACAAGATATGACTTTCGTACGATAAAGCATAAGCCATTAATAAGAAGAAAAAAAGTTTTTCTAATTTCCCTGCAGATAGTATAATTTTCTGCTGTTCATAACTGTGAACGACCACAAAAGTTAATATCATCGTGGTTTAGCTATATCCCAGCGAAACCCCCGTTCTTATTATTCTCTGGATTCCATCTTGTAAGTGAAGGGTATGGGTGCCTATACATATGTGCGTATGGCACGCGGGGTTTGAGGCGAAGACGTCGTATAATTTGACTTCTCTAAAGAAAACATCCAGCATGGTTTTGACTCCGACACCCGCCACCAAGCTGCCAAGATAAAAGTTGATAATAAAAACAATCTGCATTTTTAAAGGCTGAGGGGTGTCTGAAATAAAATTTTTATCACCTTCATTATCTTATGAATTGGAAGGGGGCGAAGAGACTTTGGTGGAGAAAGCAAAGTAAAAAAAGCAGGAAGAGATGAACGAGCACTCATCCTTGATCATAACTCATAATCTGATCTTCTCCCTGCCTGCCCCTTGTCTCGTTCTCGCGGCTGTGTGCCAGGCCTGCCGTGTGGGTCGAGTGTATGGCTGATGGAAGGCAAACAAGGAAAGCTGATGGAGAAAACCATTCTGTCATCTAAACAGGCCTCCAGGCGATACATCCATTTAACTAAATGTGGATATCTTGCTGGTTCAGAGATTGAATCACACGTCAGACAAGAAGAAGAAGTTGGTTGGATGCAGTTGTACTGGCGGTGGTGCGGTCGTGTCATTATTGTCATAAAGTGGATGAATGAGGAGGCAGAGGCAGAGTGGTGCGGTGGATGTGAGAGAAAGCCCCTTGGGATTTGAGGTCTAGAAAAAAAATCATTCCCAGCCCTAATGCTTTGTATGTAGGTTTTAAAGGGGTAAAAGTGCAGTTGCAGCAAATGTTGTGTAGAAAGGACTTGAATGAACTGTACTGACACATCAAATCGCGTAATATTTTCTCTCATAACAAAGTATGCAATACCATTGCACTTTAGGACCAGCAAAATTTGATATAGCCTTTTCTGCTGCGTTTTATATGAACGTATGCACATCATTTAATGTCTTGTAGGAAGCATTATTGAAATAGTTTTGGCAAGATGTAACCTGCAGTTCTATATTGTTTATTGCATTCCACTTGCTCTCCAATATCCATCCAGCGCCCGTTATTGTGCTGCCAAGAAAGCCGCCCCGGCCCTCATCGAGATTGGATGAAGCAAGGACACGATGACGATGGTGGCCAAACTGTGGATGATGAGATATTCAATTCACACTTCCAGAAAGATAGGGGTTGATGCCATGGGGAATGGCTGTTTCAATAGTGATCTTATACGACTCTCCACAGTCACCCTGCTACAACCGGATTGTAAATCGATGAAGTGCAGCATGAGGAATATTGAACAGATAGTGAAAGTGGATTTTATCACGTCTTTATGTAAAAGTGTTTCTTATTATTATATCTGCTCTATTGACTAATATTGTCATCGTATGGGCCACCCTTTGTACTTCATCTCCCCTCTTTTCACCAGCCTGCATGGATATGCAATTCTATCCCCAATGTCAACAGAATCCAAACATACATACACACACGCAAGCTATGTGTTTGTGTTTTAAAATTTTGAGACTTTGTTGATTTGAGTGGAATTTCGTATAAAGGTTGTGCTTCAAACTTTTACACGTTCTTATTGAAAATGAAATTAATGTCTCCCTTTCTCCCTGCTTTGATCATATCATATTGAATAATTCTACGTATATAAATTACATGTATGTATGTGTAACTAACCAAGCCAGCATCTTCTAGAGTCGCGTGCAATCTCTGCAAAATCATATAAGTTGTCCACTCCTTGACGATGACGGCGTCTTGTTGGAGCTCAAGCACCCTTGTCTCCTGCCCGCGTTGTCTATTCAACATCTCGCAACTCTCGGCCAAATGGTGGTGACCATTGCCAAATGAAAAATAAAAACTGAGAAAGGAAAGAAGCAAGGGCATTGCATGTCAATGGTAAATAATTCCAGGCTGGATGGCAGATTCTGGAGGAGTGGCACTCTGTTTCCGGTCCATTGTTAAGGAAAGTCCCAGTGCAAACAGGCCAAGCCGAGGAAGCAACGGAGAGCTTATATTTCTTCATCTCTCGTACGCATTGATACGATCCAAGCACGGATATGTGTACGTTCTCATATCGTACATACTGGTAGAGAGCTGGCATTGTCGTCTGGAGATAAGATTGTTTATCAAGTTCTATCCCCAATCTGAGGATAGCTCTCTGTTTACGTAGACTGCACTCACTCCTTCGCTTTCTCTTTCTCGTGTGTTTATATATGTGTGTGTGTGTGCACATATAATATTATCCAATCCAAGTTGGTGCTCATCCACTTCAAGATGAAGGGAGAGAGAGAGAGATAAGAGTCATAAGCACTAAAGCAAACGCTTGTTTTCCCATCCTTATCTCAGAAATGATTTGAAACGGACGAATCTCAGGAAATAAGAGGGATCATCTTCTCTTCACCTTTATTAGATTGACTGGGCAATTCTTTTGAAGAAGCAATTTTCTTGGAGAAAGTAATACACTTTTTACATTTTTAGGAGGACATCCTTGGGGAAAGAGTTCATCTAATATTATTATTTCCGCCTGCAACACTATTGACCGAGTACACAAAAATAATTGACTTTTTTATTTCATTTTCTGATGTTGGAAAGTATTTTAAAAAGACGCGGGAATTTTTAATAATCAAGTCAATCTACCTGAACGTATGCGTAATAATCACCTTGTAGAATAATAGTGCAAATATTTAGCAATATCACGAGAGTTTATTAAGCATGCCACCACCACTTCTGCCTGGTTGTTGCTGGATTGTTTTGTCCGTAAGATTTATTACAAAAGTACAGTGACACTTGGTAAATTAATCAAATCTCGGTCTGCTACTGGCATATTGAAATATACACCAAAGTATTTTGGTGCGGGCTGCTTTGCAAGAGTTGACTAACTTTAGAGAAACTTTGTCCACATTGACATAAGACAGTTGGACAGGAAGACTGTATGGTGTCTTTCATCACGTTCGGTTAAGATAAAGTGGGCGTTGAAATCCTAAATTGTCCCGACACCTTCAGAATGGCCCCCGTCGCCTTTATTGTCTTTTGTGTGGGAAGAAGAACGGAAATCTGGCCTTGTAAATCCAGGAAAATTGAAAACTTGGTGTTTGTTGACATTGCGATGCTCTGCATGAAAGCTTGATTTCGCTGGATTATTTGAGAACCTACATGTGTGCATATGCTCTCACATTTTCCTGCCCAACAATAATAATTCCCTGTATGTCGACTCGGTTGCAATCGAAAAATTTGGCAAAGGACAGTGGAACATTCATCACGGAGCGCTGGACGGGACGATTCTTCAAAGTCATGTTTCCTCCTCCGCTAACAAGATTTTAGTTTACGTAACGAATTCAATACTATTATATTATATCCCACGCACCAGCATGCTTTCCATGGGAGGCAGGACACAATGAACTACATTATGTCATAAGCTTGCTTGGGTGAGTTGTCTGTATTAGGTCGGCTGGACCAGGACCTTCTTTTCTGCAGTTTTTATGTCGGGCTATCGTGTACACTACGTACATATGTATGTAATGTATATATACATAGCCATGCAGTTTAGGATTAGTTGGTTGTTGACATTGTTGAATTCTCTCACCATCCTTCTCTCATGTTTGCAAGATACACAACACACACTAGTCAACACTTCCAAACAGAATGAAAAGAAACCCACCCCGCAGTTTACTTATCCTTCGCCCAAACAAAAAAAAATAGATTTTTTATTTTGTTCATTCATTTCATGAAATAACATGGAGTTACGATTCATGATTTCAGCAGTGGTTTGCCGCTGTGCTGTGTAGTTTCTGGGAACAAACAACTTTTCTGAGCGTGGACTTTCACTCCTCGACATGTTTGGTAAATGGGAGAATGGAAAGTCGTCGTGAAAAGAATTGGTTTCTGGCGATTGTGGGCGATGGATACGGAATAGAGAGCGGGTGGCCATGCAGAGGAGAAAGTGACTCCTCTTAACTTAAGTTTGTGTTTGTAGAAAGAAAATGTTGTGAATGCGTTTGTGCTTGGGTTGGGCGTAAACCAAGCCATCCATCACCCCCATGACAAGGATCATCCCGAGAAGCCATCCCGCTGTGACCTCTGCGACGATCGATATCTCATCATTCCCTTTATTCACCACAGCCTTGTATACACGTATATCTATTTTGTCATACTTAGCTGCTGGTCTAAACAACAATTATGCCCAATTCCTGGTGACATTATGCCAAGTGGCCTCGTTTTATGACAAACTTTACAATGCATACATTCTTGTCGTCTTGCTGTTTGTGTTGTGTGTGCTTTTGGCACATTCATTCTGGGCTGAGCCTATAAATAGTGTACATATGTACATAAATGGTTCTTAAATAAAATACGATGTGATGTCGTCATGTCAAGGTTATTTTGGTCATGCCACTCGACCAGTGGTGTATAGGTACCTTGTTTTGTAAGTACTTCACTCTGCAACCTGAATACATACGGCGTTACTGTACACCACCACTTACGTACTTTCACTTCTGCCCAGGAACTTCATCTCATATCAGTTTCACCAATTAAGTGATGCCGTCTCTCTTGTGGTATTTCAGGTATCGAAATGGAGACTTGTTGGATGTGAATGACCTGGCCAACTACGAAGGAGGAAATATTCAGCAACCGTCTCTCTTGGTGAAAGCCGTGGCCCGAGAAGATTTGGGGGTGTATTATTGTGTTGTGCAGAATCAGGTTGGCCAAACCCAGTCCAAATCCATGTCATACATCAACGTTCTGTGTAAGTTTGAGCAGCTAAATATTGTAAATTATTTAAAATGAGAAATTTGCAAACCAACCAACTAGCCACCTTTCGTTTCTTACTTTTAATCCCCCTCAGTTTCTGTATGCACAAGTTATCCTTAATAAGGAAAACAATGTCAATTTTTAATTCTAAAAACTTTTGGCAAAAGAAATATAACCAGGAAATGTTTAGACTTATTTTACAAAGAAATCCTATTAAAAGTTGGTCTCATAAAAATGAAGATGGCGAATTCTTAACTTTCACTTGTAGTTATTGTTAACTCAACTCAGCATATGTTTAGCTGAACCATTATATTTGCAGTGACAACAAGAGTGTAAGACGTAACCTGCGGCCCCAGTTAGTTAACACACACACCACGCACAACTTTGAATTGACGTTTTGCCAAGAAGTCTGGACGTAGATATGTAGATGTTCACCAAGTTTAATTCAAAACGGATTTGCACATCTGAAAACTCTTAAAAATACTCGAGTATTCTACTTTGGGTAAAAATTTAGACGAGGAAGTTTCATTTCCTTTAGCAATATCAAACTCTTTTAATACTTTGTGGAGAAAGCATAAAATAGAAGGCTCAAATATGCGACGAACTAGCTCACTTTGTAAAACAGAACTTTCTCTTGATATTTTTGCCTCTGGGTCGAATCACACACTCGAGTTCAGCAGCTCTCAGACAGCCCAATGCAAACTTGTTTTATTCTGGTGGTAAGATGGTGCAAAAACTACAAAATTGGGGGTTTTGCTTAATCTTCTTGATCATTGAGAAACTTTAAAGTAGGTTTGGTTTAGAGAAGAGTGGGCGACATGCAGGGCGTAGGAATAATGGGTCAGAGCTGGAAATATAGAGTAAAAGCAAGTAGGAAGTCCTAGCCTAAAGCAGGGAGGGTGAGTGAGTACGTAGTAGTTAACAAATAAAAGTTTAGACTTTGTTTCCGTTCGCTAGATGAAAAATCTGAGCTTCACACGCCACAAATTTTCCTGTGGGATCGATCTAGCAGAAGGCTTTAATCATTCCTTTGTGACCTGATTGCAGGGATTAATTTTTAATAAGTTTGTGGATTTTCTTTCCAATTCTCCTCCTTCTTCACACCAGCTGTAATTGACTCTGTTTCTCAGAACAGAAGTCGTTCAAAAGTAATGCGAAAACATTGTGTTATTCCGTGGAGGACGTAATTGAAAAACTTTTGCGTTTTAAATTTAAATTTTGACACGTTATTTATTAACACCACCACCTTGTTCTCAAAAAGAAAAAAAAAAGTTGGCAAAGTAGTTGGATGCTTGCTTATTATTGTATATTTTTTGTATTAATTGTCTATAATATTTTGTGTACTTTTGTAGATAAACCTCACGTCAGCCTGGGCATGGAGCCAGCCACTCCGGTGAAAGAACAGGTCTGACTATTATTAGAAATGACAAAAGTTGAGACAATTGGAAGAAGAATAGGATTTGTATTCATAGACTTGATACATAAATATGAAATAATACACCATGAATTTTAAAATACAGTACCAATTATGGAAATGTCTCATCACAACAGATTTTGCAATTTAGGTTATTTGCAGTCCGATTTCAGTCCTTTTTTCGGATAATTCCGTTTTTCTATAGTCTTCGTCCTTATAGTCATTTTTTTCATCCTTGATAAATTTCCTGACATGTTTGTGTGTGAGACATTGGAGTAAAATTGGTGCATTTGGGGCAAATGAACTGATCATGAGTTGGAATTATTTTAATCGACCCTGAGAAAAGGTAGCTGTGCTTTAAGCTATACGGAAAAGTCCCATTATTTCATTCAATTCCTATTTTGTACATACTATGTACTGTTAAATACTTTAACCCCATGGTTGTTTTTTAATGTTGGGAGCAGGAGGAGCGGAATGTTACCCTTGCTTGCGACGTAGAGTCGGGAAATCCTGCAATCCTCGATGCCGTCCGATGGTACCTAGATGGAGATTTACTCAAAGAACTTCCCGAGTGTCCCAACATCACGACATCCGCACCCGGAAGGGACGTGGAAACTGCAGCCGACCTTTGCGACATTGGTCAGCAATTTAATTTAATTACTAACTTTTAATAAGTCCGTAAAGTGTCATATCCTGAAATTAACAAAGGCATTCTCATGCTCAACAGACCCTTCTAAACTTCTGCTGGAGACTGTTGGCCGAAGCTTTCAGGGGAATTACACTTGTCAAGGACTTAACGATGCAGGTACGTAATACGAGTAAATATTTGAATATTTGCAAGAAAAATAGTACATAACTTAATTCGTGATTATGTGTTCATAATCATTTAAGCAGTGAACTAAACATAATCTTCAAATAGAAACCCAACAAAATAGTAATACATTGACAAATTCAGGATAATATAAATCTGTTCCAGCATTATCAGATGATTGTGGCACAACTCGCCACGTGTTATATTTTAAGGCATGATTTTCCATCTCTTCCTGTAAAATTGAGAGACATTTAGGAGAAAAGATAAAAAGACAAATTAGAACAAGACATTTTGTATCATCAAAGCTGGTGAAAGCGGTGGGTCTGCTGTTATTTGTTGAACTTCCAAACTCTTTATACATTTTCAAGGTGTTGGTCCCGTGATACATACATATGATCCCCCTTGACGATTATGACAAAATGAGATTAATACAAATATTCATACGTATTTAAGGCGCCCCCACATTAGGCTCACTAAAGTTTTATTACTTGGAAAGAAATGCTCAATTATCTTGCTTACATAACGAAAACCTAATCCATGAATTGTGACACATCGCGCAGGCTGGGGTCCTCATTCGCCCCCCGTTGAACTACATGTCCACTGTAAGTTTCCCTCTCTTACATAAGTATTGAGCTAAATTGATTACTTTCTAAACGTTTTCCTAACTACATATTCCTATTGTATGCTTTTTTCTGTAATTTCAGATCCGCCCGGTCCAGCAAAATTGGAGTTCGAGCCACTTCTGGTAGTCAAAGGTCAGGCTTTGACAATGCAATGCATCGTAGAAGAGTTGGGCAGGCCGGAGGCTAAGGTGTTTAGGTGGATGAGAGGAACTCATGTCCAACCGGATGTTCGATCAATGAATTGGACGGCGTATTCGGTATCGCTGGAACACAGAGCAAATTTTAGGTGAGCAAAACTAAGAAAATAGAGCTTAATAATATCATAGCATCGGTTTTTGTGGTGGGGGATGCTCGAAAACCACAAAATCTGTCATTGCGTCGTCAAGTCTTAAAAGTTTTAATCATTAAAATCCTCCTTTAGTTGTCAAGCTGTAAACGAAGCAGGTATGTATATATGCATTTATCTATGAATTTATCGTATGTATTCTTAAGCATGTAATGTATGCCTCACCTGCCCGACTGATAACTTAGGTCTCTCCCCTCCGGCCACTGTGAACATTGACGTTTTTGGTAAGTAATTTCGTTTCGTTATAAATAAATAAATTCATAAATTTGATATCCTATTTTGCACGGTTTGGGTGGACGTTTAAAAAACTTTAATTCATCAACCGTCGCCCAACACTTTATCGTAAATTATAAACTACGCAATGTTAGAAAAAGTCAATAAAAGCAACCCCTTCATGGAAATTCATAATGCATGTGCCCATGTATGAAGGAAATAAGTGACTTGTTCAATCGAAGATTTTATCAAATGGTCATGAGATTACATCACCATTAGATATTTCTCTTCAAAACAATGCAATTAAATTTTATTTTTTACTACAATGAACACTTTCTCCCCACAAAAGTTTATACGAAGGAAACTCCTGAATATGTCGTCGTCATTGCATCTCATTTCATGGTTTCTTATGCATAGATGAAGCTTAGTAAGTAAGTGTTAGTGAAATACCTAACAAATACGAAGACTTTCTCCATTTATATTTAAGTGCATCAATGTTTTGTAGCGGTGGGGAAAAAGTCGTGCCAAGAAACTGTCCCAAACTTGACTGTGTGGGTGGATGATATCAGATGAAATGCATTCTGGTCAACTACCTCAATCCTGTCACGCTCGTGCAATATAAGCAAAAAGAGGCCGTTGTTGCATGATGATGTGATTCCAGTTGACATAAAATTGAGCTTGCACGTGAAGCCTTTCCCTCCTCATAACTATGTAGCGAAAGTAAGGTGTTGTACCTCTTGGGACTTTCACCAAAATAAACTCGTACTCATTGATCGCTAATAAAGAGTTTCAGGTTTTGCAAATTTGCAACTGCCCTTTGCGTTTCTGCATGTGTCATAATTCATACATGTACAAAAGTAAGTATTTGGGGTCAGTCACGTAACATAAATTATTAATACAAATGTCAGGGAGCAAAGGAAGTAGGGCTAAAATTGGATTTTGATGATCGGATTATAATAGCGGGTTATTTTTATTTATATGAAAACAAAAAAATACAAATACAAATTTTTATATACAGCTCCACCCACGTTTATTGGTCGTCTTCAACCATACATGGTAAGAACATGCATTGTTGACGCACAGTTTTGCTAGAATTAGAGTTAATTTTTCCTAACTCAAATTTTCACCATTTACAGGGAGTGTTAACAACGAGCAAAGAAGTATTTCTGTCTTGTCACGTGGAGTGCTTTCCCTTGTGTGAAATCGTTTGGTTGAAAAACGGGCTGCCGATCGGGGAGACGGAACTCTATTCGATAAAGACCACAACACTGCCACCGGATCAGACCAAAAGCGATTTTGAGTCAGTCCTGTCCACCCTCTTTTGGAATTTAACAGCGTGGCCGAATGGTCAACTTGATCGCCAACTTGATAATGCCAATTACACTTGTCAAAGTACCTCAAACAGTGTCGGAGCTGGCGTTTCTAGCACGACGCACTTTCACGTCGAGTGTAAGTTATTTTTCAATGACGGTTTGTACACCCCTTCTTCACCACCAAATCTTCCCCTCTTCCAACAGTACTGCTCGTATCCACTATTCACAAACTCGCTTCGGAGGCAGCTCCAATTTACTTATGGTTTATGCTGAAGAATCAGTTTTGTATAGAAATAACTTTTTCCCCTCTTATCAAATACTACGTATTCAAGGTTGTCGAGGATTTAGACAGTGTGCATTTTTCCTTGAATTTGAATATTACACATATTTTGTGATGCACTCGAATCGTGCTTGCTCCTTGGCGTAACTTTGTGAACAGCCGAACCAGGGGAGACACAATAATAAACGCGTGTATTCATGTGCGGGCTAACGATGTTGGAACATGCGATACTGCAAGTATGGAAAGTCGTTAGAAAGAAATTTCCACTTGAGTAGATTGGCAGTGAGAGCGAGAGCAGGAGAAGAACACAAGTTTTCTCCGTGTCATCTCACAAACCTTTAGGTTTTGTGTTTATTGCGTGTAAAGCAAGGCACACAACACGGTATGTTTCGGTATGTTTCCCAGTATCGACGAGGAGGAGAGGAAGGTTACAATTTGCTTTTCCCTTTGTAAATTATTATGACTACTTAAAGCCCATTCTCCACGATACATACCTGGCACAAAATCCAATAATTAATGAATTTCAGATCCACCTGAGCAAATCACTCTATCATCACCCATGATTGATGTCGTGGGTAAGTAAGAAAATCAGAATGTGCATTTAACAATGCCTACTCTTATACATAATTATTTCATATTTGTTTCTTTGATACAGAGAATGAAATCCCAGACAAAGTCACATGTTCTTCCAAAGCTTTCCCGGGTAATAATAACAATATTAGCACTACTTAAATTTTGATTATATAAACAGATACACGAATTACTTCCGAATTAGCACACCTTTCAAGAGATTAATTCAGCTGCTTAAGTGGTTATAAATTTACATTAAAATCCCAAATCCATGCGCTTGGTATAATTAAACTGACTCGCTTCCAAACAAGATGAAATAAGCTCAGATACATAAATGCAGAAATTTGGGTGCTTGAGTGTGTCTCATCTCTATTTGGAGATAAAGAACGTTTGATGTTTTCTTTATGTATTTGAACTCTTAATATCCATTATCTTCATCCCATTGGCGCAATAAAGAACAATATCATATTCACATTTCACATGCATAAAGTCCATGACTAATAATCATTGATCATGTTCTTCACGATTGAAATTATACTTTAAATTCCAGAGGCAAGCTATTTCTGGAAATATGGAACGGAAAATGTATCAAATGGTGCTGTACTTTTCTTCAATACTCAATTTACAAGAAAAATGGGAGGCGATTACGAATGCGTTGCGTACAACAAGCATGGGAATGTTTCCACCAAAGCCAAATTCAACGTGCAGTGTAAGCTGTTGTTAACAAAGTATTTCTGTTTGATTGATGCTGAGGATATTATCAGTCACGTCAATTCATTATTTTTATTATACTTTGTACCCTGTTGTAATGTGTGTTTTTCTCTACGATAAAACAGACATCCCAGAATGCACGATATCCCCGAAGGAAGTTGATGATGAGATGATGCTGGTGTGCGAAGTTGAGTCCAATCCTGCTCAAGTCGATTTTGCTTGGATGCTCGATAACAGTACTTACTTGGAGAAAGTTCAGAGCAAAGGATTGAGCAGTAGCATCACGCTTATTGCCAGCCCTGAATTCTTTGGGAAATACAAGTGTTTTGCCAACAACTCTATTGGGATGTCTGCCCCATGCGAAAGAGTGATATCAGGTAATCATCCGCATTCTTACCTGGACAATTAGTATTACTTTCTCGAAAATAAAATAATTGTGATTTTAAGTGGAAGCTTGAATTAAATTTGAATAGCATAACACATTTTGTATAGACTAGCACGCAGAGTGAGTATGTATAAATATAGAATAGTACTTATTGCTATCAAATATAAGGACGATATGGGTATGAGGATTTTTCCCTCTGCACATCCTGGTCAGATTATATGTTGGTGGTTCGTTAATGACAGTTTGTTTGATATTCATTGACAACTAGCTTCTCTGGAGAAGAGTAGTAGAATACAAGGTATACACTTAATTACTTGTAGCATTTCATGGCCAAGTGACCAAGAGCGTATAGATAATTTTGCTTTTTCTTCTAATTTTGTTGAAAGAAACCTCACAAAAAGTTACTGACGTATTTATATATTAAGTTTAGTTGCGAAATTATAGTCTTGGCCGAAATTTTGAAACGCATGCAGAATTCTTCATAAACTAATAATGCGCAAATATATTACATTTGGGAGATATTGATTTTCCCGTTGTTACATAACTCTTCACTTCCATAAAGTTAGCTTAATTTCTAATTTCTCTTTCCTTCTCTCCTCGTGTAGCTGGAAGCTGGATCAGGAAATTGTCTGATGATAAGATTATAATAATTGCTGCCGTGGTGGGAATCGCCATTGTTTTATTTTTGATTGCCTGCATCATTATTATTCTGGTAAGTTATATGAACGCTTACTTCTACGGTCAGAAAATTTTCAGCCAGTCAAGTAAAATATTTACATAAAGTTCGGTATATTTTAAAATGTACATAAAACTGTGCGTTATATACAATCTTAAGTGCATTAAAATCATAATAATATCAATGATTGAAGGAATTTGAACGCGTTTTTCTATTCTATTCCCGAACACGGTCACGTAAAATGTTGAACCCTTTAATGGAAAAAACATGAACTTTTTTTTATTTTTCAGGTCTGCAGACGTCGACGGATGAGCGAGAAATGTGAGGAATTTGTATTCATCAATTTATACTCCCCTTATTTCCCTTTCGTCCTACTTGTTAGCCTTATTGCTTTATATCATTGCGTTTCAAGATGGTATAAACACATATGTTAAACGCCGCCGCCATATAAAATGTGTGTGACATTTGCAGTTTTTTTAACTTATCGCAAATTGTGTGGGATTTGAATGAAACGTCAAGTTTCTGTTTGTAGTGAATACTACTAATGCTTTACTTTTTTTATATTTTTGATCAAGTTTGTTGTATATGTATACTAAACATATCAGTAGGTTGTCAGATGGGATGGTATGTAGCGCATCCCAGTTCATCTTCATTGAGAGTTCAGTCATCTGTCGAATTGGTATTTGTTGATTGCTGTGTTCCACATTTAGCTGAAAGACGTTGGGTCTATAACAAGACTATTGGAAGATTCGCGATGACCTGCAACCCGACCACAAATTAATTCCCTTGTCACTCCCTTAACCCAAGTCACTTGTCACCGTCAGGCTTACCAAGTCCAATCCATGGACTCGGGACAATTTGAACCCTTCAATTTAATGATCGCAATGCCAAGCAATTTCTCGACGCTTAACTGGATGGCCGAATTCCATTCAGTCACTTCCATTTCTCAATTTCCTCTTATCGACTCCCCAACAGAGAGAGAAAGAAAGATTTCCCCATTATGGTCAAGGACATTGTTATACAGAAGGATGAGTTCCTTTGTAATAAAGCGTTTTATTTTATTGTGTTAAAACTCGATTTACCCCATCCTCCGTTACCCTGCTTTTCTGCATCAAATTGTGCATAACAATTTCTTGCAATAATGTCAACGGTTTCAAATAATCTTTAAAAATTACCAGTTGGGGTATCTTCGAAAGGAAATTGCAACATAGTTTTATGTACTGCTGGCAACTCAAACGGTCCGGGTAGGAGTATAGTAAATATATAAGTGATAAAACCTGTGTACCAGCCAGGATACCATCTCCGGAGGATATTGAGGTCATTTGTCAATTTCCGGAAGATCGATTTCAGTTTTGATTAATTTATGAACGTTGTATTATGGAGCCTGTCACACTCTCTCCATGCAGTAGATACAGATATATGTATATATTTATGTAGGTATACACGTGGTGGTATTATTTCTGATACGCTGAGATAGTGTGTCATAATTCATACTTAGCAGCCATAAAGTCACACACACACTTTTCAAAACAAAATGCTAAAAATGTAGTCTTAAAAATTGCAAAATAATTCATGTTTCATTTTTGTTTCTTTATGTTTCTTCCTTGACTGACTATCTCCCCCATTTTGGTCCCCTTTGGTTTGAATTCCGCATGATTTTCTGTGATAACCTAACCCAGTAAGATTAGCAGTAATCAATTTGGTTGCAGACCAACATGCCCGTCCTGAGGAACGACAAAAGTAAGTGTGGCCTTTACTAACTTTATTAACACATTATGCAATGTGACTGTTGTTACTTTATATATTCATGATACATAACCAATCGTCTGGAGAATATGTAGATGTACTGATCCTTAGTTTGCGTGAACCTCTTACTCACTTACGTATTAATGAGAACAAACTTTCAAGAGGGAGTCAATATTTAAAAAAAATTATTCAGTAGCCGTGCATCGAGCATATATTTGTTTAGGCGTAATATGCACCGGGTTAGTAAATCACTAGAGTAGTTTAGTCCACGAACTCACAATACGGCCAAAAGTTTTAAGATTATTCTTCAAACAATCTTGGACTTTTATATTTTCATCCAAACGGTTCATTAAAGCAAATTAACTTATAAACAAATAGACAAACACTGGAACAAACACTGGTAAATTTGTACGGACCGGAAATTTTGTAAGTTATAAAAAGAGTTTTTATTACTGCAATGCAACTTGCAACTCAACCACTACCACCAGCAATCACTGACCCTCATTCATTCCATGTTCTCCCTTGTCCGTCATTCACTCTTGTCATGTTTGTTGATGTTGAATTGCATTATTAACTAATTGTGTTTGTCCAGAAAAAAAAACACAAATAACTCCTTTTGCTTAGATCAGTGTACGTTTCGTAAAAGTGTACGTGTTAGTTTCAGAGAAAAGACTGTTCCTTTCGTATTTGTCATTATTGTCGATTGTCATTAGTATTGTCGTGCCCGTCCATTTAGCAGCATATTTATATCACAGCCATACATATTTAATCCGCAGCGAACATAATTGGCAATTAAACAAGTTAATATACTGTGATTGATGTATTACCACTTACAACATTTTTCAACATTCAGCCAAGAACTCGCTCGACTGCATAATATGTACATCAACCCAAACAATACTACTTTTCAATTTTATCTGTATATACTCACCAACGAAGAATTACAACAAATGCAGTACTATTAGTTACGTACATGACGATTTGACAAAGGATGCACTTGTACGACGACTTCTAACTGACATCTCATGTTCTTGTGGAACAATTACGACAATTGTTGTTACACTAAAATCATTAATACCGAAACCTTTCTCTGTTGTGTGCCTAGTCCTGAGGGCAGAGCTTACATTTATGACGCTTCTCCATCACTCTCTACGAATTTCACTTCCACCTACACCCATTTCACAGGTAAATGGAACCAACCACTCTTTCTCTCAAAGTTGTCGTCTGTAAAAAACAAAATCTCGACGTCTTTATCGCTGTTTCCTTCTCCTCTACACCTCTCTCCTCACTTTACATTTGTCTAAACAGTGTCAATTGTCTCATTTTGCCTCAATATATATATTTCTATATCTCATTGTCAGCTATGATTTTACTCAACACATGAAATGAACGCAAACCGCTTCACTGTTGACTAATAACTCGCATAACATTATGATCATGTTACAAAATAATCATAAAATTCACTCGGAGGACGCACTCACAATCCCCCGTGTTGGCTTGAATCATTGTATTTGCCTGAATGCATTTTTTATCGCATCGTGTGAGAAAGTTATGTGACTAACAACATTGTAATAATAATTGAGATGCACACTTGAGCTATAAATAGCACGATACGTGTGATATTTATTATACATATGTATGTATAAAGAATAACAGTGCATGCATTACGTTATACGTATGTAGATATTGTTTTTTGTTGTGTTCAAAAGATTGATTTGATGCTTTTTTGTATCTTTTTCGTTGTGCCTTATAATTTTGCGTGCGTGTGCGAGCAGTCCTGATGGCAAAGATGTGTCGACATCCACTCTTGGGGCTGGAAATAACAATAACACGAGGACAAGCCCTCCGCCACCTCCTCCACCCAAGCCGCCTACAACTCCACCAGTCGATCCTGAAGGGGACAACTCGACAAATCAGTCAAAATGGCCGGTTAAACCGGGCGTCCACCTTCACGTAAATGGATTACACAGCTTGGGAAAAATTGTCAAACCAATTAATGGTTTCAGTTATGGAACTAAACATTCCACGTCCACACTGCCCACTAACCTTAGCAATAGTGCTCCCCATTTAATATCTTCGCAAGAAACAAGTGGTAAATTCCATCGTTTATTTTCTTTTCATAATTAAATTATAATTTAAACTTGCATTTTCAATTTCAAGTCTACATAAATTTTTGGAAAACAATTTTTTGAAATTCTTTATCTGTCATTTCTGAATATTTTGTTGTGTGGGAGAAGTATTTCTCAGAACTGGCGTTACATATATTTTACGCGTAGCTTTTTGTTCAGTTGTCCCATTTGAATTTGCCTTTAACCCTTTAGACACTCCGGTTAGTACGACCACCTTGACAAGAAAACGGAAGCGACCATCAAAAGGTAAATAATTTGCTGGAGATTGTTGGTTGAGTAATTATTTCTCAACGAGAAACTTCTCTCCGCCGCCAGTATATAAGCCATTATTTTCAGCCGTTGACATAAAATCAAGCCAATCGCAAAGGTTTCAAAGGATTATTGCGTGCTTTTAGCTTACTGTGTTGCATTATATTTATATCCGTATGTATATCAACTTGGGAATTTGCATGTGTTTGATCTTTTACGCTGAAAATGCCTGGTTGCTGTTGTGTCGTGTCTGTCGTGTCTTGTGGGAGCACGCCATATTGAGGTTTTGAGGCTGAAATCCATTTGTGCTGCTTGATGGTGAAAGCTTTAGTCTTTAGTATATCACTCGTTTCTCATATTATTCCGTCTTATCAAAGCAAATCACTTGTGTTAAGTCACTCAAGCATGGTTTAAAGCCCTGTTCCTGTGGCTTGATCAGTTTGGGTCCACGTGTTGGCATTTTGATTAATTTCTCATTATGTAAACTATAGATCCCAGTCCGGCACATCGCAAAGGGGGGGATTTACATGATGATAATAGCAAAGCGTTCTACGAGAATCTTCCATTTCATGGCCTCGCATCGCCACAGTCTAAGGTAATTCTATCCGTTTTTTCTGCAGAAATTTTTCTTTAAATATTCACAAACTCACAATCTAAATAATAATACATATACTTACAACAACCATAATATTTTTAACTACCCAATGCTGAAATATCGTTTGCATTGTCTACGTATCCAAATGAATGTTTTGCTTATACATTAATTTGTTTTGTTTTTTACTTTTGTTTTTGGTGTGTGTCGCTTCCCATTTGACCTTGTGTTGCATTCTCCTATCCAAACACAAACCTCACACTATACGGAAAATAGCCGGCAGAAATAAGGCCACCAAGTGAACTGAGTCACACAGGGTCTTCAGGCTATGGTTCCACCCGCAGCCAAAGGGAGAAAGCTGCGCTTGCAACCGGAAACGACGGAGGAGGGCCCCAGAAATCAACAATGGGCTCATTAACAAAGCCTGTTAGTATAGTCAAACCGTCAAAGGAGCAGAAAAGGGCCATCTCTCCAATTGCTTCGAAATCTACAAGCAATGGCCCCAAGACTTCTACCCCAAACAGTGACAGTACTACTACAGATCTGATGAACTCATTTAGCTACATATCAGAAACGTGTGGCAGTTCTTCTAATCTTGTTGTCGCAAATGCTGCACTCTTGGATATCCCCAGTTCCATTTCGACATTCCCTAAACGAAGCAAGAAACCAGTAGGTGTGGATGCAATATTTAATGCTCGTTTGACCAAAACCGAGTCAAATACAAATATTAGACTTGCCACGGTGAAGCCGCAAAGGATTGCATCTGTATCTGGGGGCTCCCTGCGCCCCTACAGATTGCCAGAAGCATCAAGAATCCTTTTTCGGTCGGTTAGAGGAAAATATGGGATTAGGGGATGGCCCTCATTACCTGAGGTCGTATTGGCACCAGGGTTATCAAATTCCGGAATCTTAACCTCGGTTGACGACGTTAGCAAGTCTAGTCCCGATAGCGCTGCCTGGTTTGAGAAGCAACCAGCTTCATCAATTAAAAGTGATTTGTCCAGTGGCAGCAGTGGTGGTGGTGGTGGTAGGAATTTGAGAGGTAGTGGCGTTGGTTGCTCAACTGCTTCTAATCAAGAGCAGCAGAACTTGAATCATTCCTCAGAGTCCGATCCAGCAGAAGATAGCAAGTTGGAAGCTATTACTATTGCCAATACCATCGCCAATAAAAATGCTAATAAAATTATTGGACCGAGACCTAACCACCACCCAGAACAAAAGGGGGTTTTTCTCACTAAACCAACCATTAGCAGCAAACCCACGTCTCCGTCCTCGTCGTCGATCAATTCAATCATGACGTCCATTAAGCCCACTTCATTCGACCTTAGAAAAAGTACAAATTCTAATCCCATAGTACCAACCTGCCCTACCTTTACCACTACCGCAACACTGCCCACAACTGCCACGATTGTGGGCAGCTCGAGAAAAAATTCTCTTGGCAAAGAAATTGCTGTAGCGTGTGAGAAAAAAGGTTCTAATTTGGCAAAATATCCACCTCCATTAATTGGAATTGGAAATGCCATCATTCCACCCCCACCAAGCAGCTTGGATGATGATGAGGACGAGGAAGAGCATGAAGAGAATGGGACCAGCAGCAATGATGACAACAACAACAGCGCCACTAATGACCAAGCATGTCTCACGGTGAAAGCAAAGTTCAAATCTGCAGTTCCAATGGCTGCCCCTCGAATACAGACCAAATCAAAGGGCATATATCAAAATATACCCTTTACGAAAAAGACTCCTAGGCATGAGGTGTAGTAAATAGTTACATACGTTCAATCGCTTTTCTCCTCGTTGCTAATTAAACGCGTGTTCTTGACCATTCATGTCATCCTTCCTCCCGTTCAAATTAAATTGTGTTCTCAACCGCTATTCATTGTACTCTTTTTTGTTGTACATGTAAATATCATGGCTTGCTCAATGATTTCGGTCATGTTCAACCCGCTTAGCTACCATTCCTTTTATACATATGTGCTACATACATATGCATGTGTGAACGTACACTATTTGTACATATGTACATGTACATACATGTATTTGCCTATCTAACTGGTTTAATTGTGCACTAATAAGGGTTTCTTTGTAAATATTTGTACATTAACCACAGACCCTGCTGACCCCACTCTCCCTCCAATACCAACATCAAAATCCCAATCACCTCACAAATCATCAAAGCCATACCCTTGCGGGAAACCACCTTAGCCAGCACCAACTGCAACAGCTTTCCGTTGCACCCCACTCCCACTCTGGTCTCATCAATCAGCAGCAATCATCTCATCCCAACCAGTATGCAACAACTCATCGCACCTTCCCATCCAATGTCCAGGCCGACTTGTTTTCGTCGCTGAACAGAAAGGGACCGAGACCAGTTGGTCCTCCGTTCTCCAAAGCGGACATTATGGACATGACAGGAAATGGTTCAAATCGGAGAACTGCCAATGGGGGTGCGCCTCCATTGTGGCATGCTGATCTCATTTATGGTCACATTCCCAACGGTCGTGGCAGTGCTGGAAACAATGGGCACATGATGTCCAGTAATGGGCAGATGCCACATAACGGGTACATTCCAAACGGAATGCGCAACGGGAATAGCACGATTGTTGGAACAGTTCATCCCAACAATAATTCTGGTACTCAACCTTTCCCTATGATGAGAGGAGGCGAGATAAATGTTTGACATAGGGACACTGTTTTATAATTGCTTGCTTAGTAATCACCAGAAATATTTAGGAGGTTTCGCAGATTTGATGCGAAAACTGACTGCCATAATTATTACCCTCCATCCACAACCATTCCTATTCCCATCCATAATGTCCTAGCGTGTTGCAAATGTGTACATAGATAGATGATGGCGTATTTGGTTGTCACCAAACCAAAGGCACATGCCAAGTGCAATCCGCTTGACCTCTGTGTCAATAATTGTAATAGGAATGTATGTATGTACATAATATATCGCAAGTGTGCTATCTGGTTAAAATGTAGATTTTTTGTGATTCATCAATCAAATGGTGTATTTTGGGGCTTGGAATTTGTAATAGGCTCATTGCACTATCACTGACTCTATCTTGTACTGGTTGGTGTTATTAACAGTTAATAGTATACCGTGGACATTGTTTATTTCTTTGTGTCGAGTGTACTAATCATATACACAAGAAATATGACTTTGTGTGCTTGTCAATTGTCCTGCATTGGTCATTGTCCCTATTTCGTGCGGATTAATGTATTTGTTATGAATAATTAAATAAGTTTATGATAAAGTAATCCATATTATTGTTTATAAGAGCTTTATGCCTAATCATTAATTAACTCGAACGAAATCATAATATTAAAAAATAAACGTAAACAATGTTAGACTGAAATTTGACATTCATATAGAAAAGGTATTTATAATCCTTAAGGAGTACATTTACAGTTAAGAAGTACATATACTAAAAAATTACTAAGATTTTAATTGTTTTTTTACCAGTAATAGATAATACATAACAATGTTTGTTGTTTTTAATGTATGAATATTTTTTATTTATTTTTGTTACATTTTTTTACTACTTTTGTTTACAAAGATAATTATTACATATTACTATTACACGTACAATATATGAACTCTAATTTATGTCAAATTCCGACCCATTATGTATGTATAATTTTTATAGCCGTACAAACCAACAACGGCAGAGTTGGACTATGCAGACTCTGACTATAAAAATCTCTACAACTACGGTCCTATGAATTATAAGGAGGTTTCGAAAGAAAATAACAATCAAAATGCGAAGAAGAAAGCAGGAAATTCAACCGTCGAGTCTGAGATGCTTTAAATGTTTAAAAATATTTAGTTATAATCCTTGTAACTGAAAACTGGTGATCATAATTTCTTTTAAGTATCATGGAAAGATGTGTGGCGTCTTTTACTTCTCTTCCGTCTGTATCTATGTATGTTTTATGTGCACTGTTGCGGAATATTATAAAATATACATTACGTACACATTTATGTATAATAAATAAGTAAATGTGCCTTCCCTAGATCTGTAAAGTATGGAGTTCGCTGTATGTATTACCATGTTGGATTGCACACTATATCAGATGTGTCAAAGAAGTAAATTCATAAATGTACAAGTCGAAAGAAATGTTGAGTGTCTCTGAATTAGAGATGTTGTTTAATGATTACAGTGATGCGAAATAAATGATTTTTGAGAAAATATACATTTGCATGGATTTCAGCCTCAAAAATTTCATTATTCAACACCGCCAGGATACAACTTAGTGATAACAAAGAAATTACTGCAATTGTACGATCAAGCTCCAGCATTGTGTTTCACTTCCGGTAAGCGGTCTGGTTTTTTCAGGCAATAATAGTGGTACGCATTATAGGCGGAAAATCGTCTCGGGTGTGGTTTCGAGCAAAGCAGTTGACGTGACGTGGAGTTCTGCAAGTTAAATAAACAACAAATTGCAATGTTGGTAAGCAAATCAGGAACATCCTTTAGCATACCCATGGTTGATTGTCGTCGCATTGGTCATGAGCTAGGGTGATATTTTTTTGATAAAGCGGTTCGTTGTCTACGGTAAACTTCCCATTGGGAAACTTGACATAACAAGCACCACCATTTGGACTTCGACATATATTTAAGCTTTGATTATAGTTCATTTGCACCCAGGTGTTGGTACTGATTTTCGCATATTTACAAATGCAAGTCCCTGCTAGCTTTTCGTCCAAGTCCGCCGTGGCACACACCATTCGACCCTTGTTTGGATACTTGGCCTTCTCACAATAGTCCCACTCCAATGCTTCTGTGGGGTTGCATGGATCCTATTAGGAAATCATTATATAATTACCATCCAACGCGGGGAGGAATGTATTGAGAGCAGGAATGAACTTTAATATTTTTAATATTCTTATGGTTTATACTTGCCCCATGCTGAGCGTTCGTGTCAGCCGGTTCTCGCACATATTTCCCTCCGACGCTCATTTGTGCCAGCATTTTTGCGTTGGGTCCATAATCTTCAGCGTATATTCCGTCTGTGCCATTATTATTGGTAGAATTAGCCATCCCTTGATTTCGTCTTCTGGAAGGTTTCCCCATGGATCGACCCATGGAGCGGCCGTGTTGAGTCATATTATTGTCGAGAATTTGGTCGTCGAGAGAGGGTTCAGTGGAATAATGATCTATTGTAAGATTAGTTGTTACTTTTGGTTTATGTCTGCGTTGCATTGTGGGTGCTCCAAGTTTGTAAGACTGTTCGGGCCGATAGGGGACAGGTATTGCGAGATGTCGAGTTCTAAGTTCCACAATTAAATTTATTTGTGGAGAGGGGCAACAGCTTCTAAACAGAATCAGTGTTACAAATACGGCGAATAATGGCAGTAGTGGCAGACTCATTTGGATGAACAAGCACTGGTCTTATCTTGGAAGAGTGGCAGCTAAAATCGGATGTGGTCATTGTAAATTTAAATATCATATAGATTATTATTATTATTGCCGAGGTTGCCAGATGCCGTCTCAGATGATAATTTTATCTCTGTTGTAAAACAAAGTGTTGTCTCTTGACAACCTACACTACATATTAGTAAATATTAATTGGCGTATCTTTATTGAAGATAACGGATGATAACGTACAGGTGAGAAAAAATGGTAAAGGGTTTCCTACTACTCTCTACAAACTAATTATTAGTTGCTTCATACATCTAGTATTATTGATTATTTTAGATTTTCTTCAATTTCTAAGTAATAAATAATTTGAGAAAAAATTATTATAAAAAATTGTCTTGATAAAAATTTTTATAGTTTATTATTTATTTACAAAAAATGTGTTTTAATAAAATAAAATTTGAGAAAATTACGAAATGTTTTACCAGAGTCAATATTGACTTTATGTTGTTGCATGTATAATTCCTTAATAAAACTCTTCGATGGAATTGAGGAGTTTGATTAAAGGTCGTTCACCTAAGAATCACATGATACGAACTCTAAATAATAAATTATAACCAGTGATTACTATTTCGTTGCAATCGTAAACTATAAATAAAAATATTTTCTAATGTCATCTTTGCGAGCTATGCACTAGCAGGCATCTCCTAGTATCCGTTGATGGATAGGTTGCAAAACCTACTGAATTGAGCATTCCTATTATGCAAGATACCCTCGAAAGAGTAGAAGTTTGCAATCCAAGACGGTTACACACTTGCATGAAAACCTGTACAAATAAACCATGTTGATCATGAACTTGAACTCACTGCATTCCAGATGTATTATTAAGATTATGGGACTTTACGACTCCGACTTGACAGAGATTGATGAATGATTGACAATTCGCATTGTATTTGCACTTGTACAAACCGGGTTCATTATCTCGTTGTGTGCGCTATAACACAAGCAATGATCATAAAAAATGTTAACAATAATCTAAACTCTACATGCATTCCGATTATGATGCTCCTACAAGTAGTGTTGTTGAATTGAATTTAAATGGTCAACAAACCAGGCATCGCCATTGACTGATATACGTATGCACAAATCCCATACAAGAAACCAACCACCTTATATGGAACACATGTAGATGATGAGATGAGAGACAAATTAGCAAATTCAACTTCCTTGTTAGCCCCAGACGTTTGATTTGATCTGCAAATATCACAACCAAGACGCTACTCAGTTTTGCTCGACACTTATCCTGGTGCAGGCATAATAAATATTTGTCACCAATCTCAAAATGAGACGCGAATATATCATTTGTCTCGTCATAACTTTGGCCACAGTTTCGCAAGGAAAGAGATGGAACACGAACAAGGACTCCATCATTGTAGATGGTTAGTAATTAGTGACATATTTACACATGTTCATATAATTTCTAATTTTAGTCCTAAAAAAATTATTGGATTATTTCAGCTCATTTCAATAGTGAGGAAAATGAACAGGTTCAATTTGACGATGCGTCAAGGAAATCAGAGTGTTACACTTCCGAAGGGGAGCCAGGAGAGTGCGTCACGATGGTCCGATGTCATCCCATTTTATTTTCAGAAAAGGGTCAACTGCGAAATGCAGGTCTGGCTATAACCTACGCGCAGGCGGATAATGTCTGCTCCAGCAAGAATACACTGGACGGAAGTTCAGAAAAACAATCAAGCGAGGGAATTGATGAACGTATGCATAAGCAACATTGCTTTCGAGATGGGCTGCTATTCTCACTTTATATTTATTTGCTTATAGAAATTGGACAAAAAGTCATTTGCTGCTCGAGAGATAGAATTCAATATGATGTCCGCTCCGAACTTGACCAGGATTTGGAGACCTACACGACAACCGTTCTCCCTTTTACCGTCGATTCGGAACTTCCAACAACGGGGTCGAGTAATTTGGATGAAGTGTCAGATTCCACCCCCGTTGCCACAATTAACGTAGAAGATGACATAGTTATTGTTGAAAGCGACAATAAATCACCCTCATCAGTGGCACCAGTGGAGGTTGATGTTGAAGTTGAATCGATAACCACTCTAGCTCCAACTCAAACTATTATTGGTGACCCTGTACAAGAACCAGGAGAAAGTGTGACTAGCTCGTCAGTTGATATTGTTGGAACATTCGCACCAGCAAGCCAAGCGCCTACGTCAGGGGGTCAAGAACAGGAATCACCTCCAGTTAGCGTTCCTCCTCCGACAGAAGATAGAGACATTTTCGAACCCAACCCAACCTCAGTTTGCCCATCAACAAGCTCTTACGATACTTGGCCCGTTTTCCACGATTATCCATGGCTGGTAAGCCTATTTAAATAGAAAATATAGCTACAATGCAAATATAACCTTCTCATATCGTGTTTTGCAATTTCAGGCGACGATTCAAACTCGTGCAAAGACTGGTCCCACATGCAGCGGCTCTCTTATTACTGAAAGTCACATACTCACAAATAAAATTTGTATTCACAGATTTAATTCACGAGACGTAGCAAGAATGCAGATTCGTATCGGGTTTAGCAAGCGATCGTCAAATGATACATTCAACGACTATTATGTTCTAAGAAATGCATCCAAAATAATATTTCACAAGAGATTTCATGAAGAAAGTAAAATGGACAATAATATTGCTCTAATCAAGCTGGATGAACCAGTTGAATTCGACCAGAATGTCGCTCCAATTGGAATATTTGCACCTCTTGGAGGCTACGATATTGGAAATTGTACTGCTGCAGAAGCTGGGTGGATAAAATATGGAAATCGAAAGGTCACCGGAATATCAGATGGTGTTATCCAGTTTGTGGAACCACCCACGAGTGACTTTCACCTGAGAGAAAGTTTAAGTCGAGTTCTCAGCAATGAAGAATGCAACACTCAATTAAATTCTCAGATTACTGACAAGATGATTTGTGCAAGGACTACCATTTCAGAGGAACCCACCGTTTCAACTGATTTCTTCAGGTTGGTTACTTCTTTATTCTTTACATTATGACCAGAAAATTAACACCGGATTTTTCCCCATGGTCTTTTCTTTGTAATAAAAATGATTCTTTATCGCTCTGTTTTTCAGGTGGAACGATGGAGGTCCACTGGTTGTAAAAGTTGGAAACACGTTCCAGCAAATTGGGATAAAATCTTGGGCGTATGAGGGTCAGCAGTATCCAACTGTTTTCATCCGAGTGGAGTCATACCTTGATTGGATTAGGAATAATTTAAAAATGTAGGGAGCCCATGCATGAATTAATTTGTAAGGAAATAAGTTTTCTGCATAGTTGTAAGCTCCACATAATTAGGCTTCGTAGAATTTTATTTATTTATTTATTTGTGGTTATGCGGTAACATTGTACAAGTTAATTAAAGGTCATTGATAAAGTTCACTCTAATACTTACAAATGTTAGTTGTGTATAAATATTTATAATTTGCTTCTGAAAAATTGTTTCGTTAGAAAGAAAAGAACGTACGTACGTATAAAACTTCCATGGAATGAAATCCGGTGTTTTCCTTTTTGACAATGAGCCAACTCATAAATCAGCCATTTGCAATTTGAGAATAAATGTGTTTCAATTTTTATCCAATTTACCATCAAAGCTTTTACTTGAGTTACATGTTTTTGAAGAGCATACTATGAGAATTTAAAACTTGCCGTGCTATATTTCCGCATTGCAGTTATGAAAATCTGATGACAAAATTGAGTTATGTTGTAAATTATTGTAAGCTCAAGCTCCCTCCTCTCAACGCGGTGAAAACTCGAGGATCGCTCCTGCTTGTACACATCTCTGTAGACTCTTGTCGAAATGGAACCTTCCGTAAAACCACCAGCTCAAGTGTCACATTGGAAATAGGATGAATAGATGAGTGCGGAAGTAAGCAAGACTTCTCCATCTCGGTTGACAATGCAGCCTTGTAAATATGTGCTTGAACTGTGCTCTCCCCTGCTGCCTGCGACCCTCCCTTCCTCCTTAACAAAGGTTGGGTGGCAACACTCAATTTGGAGCTGGTATCCCACTTGTCCCATGCAGGGAATGTAATTGAATTTCCGGGATCTTTGGCAGCCTCTAATTTTCAAAGGGCGACATTCAGCAACAATCTACACTGTAATTGTATCATAAACAAAAGGGTATTATGAAAGGGGTGGAGGAAGGAACGACGGGGTTCTCAGAGCACACTTTCGATGAAACAGTCTCCACAATGGGATGATACAACTTCTGTCATATCTCATTTTGATTTAAAGTCAACCAGTTCAACAATAACGGGTTGTTGCTGTTGCTTGCACGGGAAATGTGATGGAAGGAAGAACATCAGACCCACTTTCTCTCTTCTGTCTCTTCAGCATTCCGTGGCGATGAGATGAGAAAATAAGTAATGTGCGTGCATGAGAAGGAAAGTGAGAATTATGAAGCTCGTGTGTATGTCTGTACTACTCTGTAGCACCACAAACATTGAATTGTGTAGATCGACTGCTGCATGCGTCCCTTGAGACCGTCGATGTCGATGTGCGAGACTTGTCTCCAAGTTCTAAAGGGTGACGACAAAGGGCACAAACAAGGAGCAGCAAAATATTTAATCGAAATACTGTTACATCTGTCATTGCTAAATCGACAAAGACAATAGTTTGAGAGAAATTCATATCAAATTTAAACCTTAATAAGTATTCATTCGATTCTGCACATTGTATACGTAAATAAGAAATTACAATCATTCATCTTATTGCAATAAAGTAAGTCGAGTCAAGCCAAGTTCCATGTTGGTTAAATCTAGATTTTTGTACGTAATTATTAAATCTTAAAAGGTTTGTACACAAAAAAATCTCTGAAAACCTCATGATTGAGTTATTCAGCACGAGTAACAATGAAGATTAAAATTTCAAATCGTGCAAAATAGGATATCAAGTAAAATAACCTGACAAGTTATCAAATACTTTGTATAAATCCATTTGTTCTTTATTTCCTGAATGTAATGCACATACTTAATTTATCCGAAGAATTGGAAGCTCAAGTTCCAAAGGCCCAACAAATTTTCTAAAATATTGCGATCATCCTCCTGTCACATTTTCTCTCGGAATGGCACTTCTTCGACCACTTTAAGTCGAGTGCCTCTTAATTTTAGTTCATCCAGGAGACGTTGTGCCTCTGTCAAAATTAGCTAAGAACATAAACACATAAATTTCAATTTGAGTCGTCCAAGCGATTGAAAACAGTAGATGTATGAAGTTTATTACCACAATATTTATGAGCGTAATACACGAAATCTGTGGCACTTGTTGTATTCCACAGAATAAACCGTTAACGACTTCCCGACCTCGGTCAAAGTTTCCCAACTCGAATTCAGTCAGACCTAATTGAGAGAAGATTATGTATTACTCACAATCTTTGACTCCTAATTTTAGTCATTAATACCATGTGCACGGAATGATATGGTATACCTGTCAATTCCTTCAGTGTCCCAATGATGTCTGAAATATTGTCACAAAGGCTGCAATCAAAGAATAGCGAAAACGCTTGCAAGTTTTCTAATCCTGCAAATTTTTGAATCCCATCCTTAAGACAATCGCTCATTGAATAATCGGATTGAAACTTTCGGGCTAATCCTAGCTTCAGTCTGATAATGTTTGGAAAAAGTGTGACTAGAATTTGAAACGATAATGCACAAGAAATGCTTCCAATTAGAGTTAATTTCCTCAGAGTTAGAACTGGTTCGTAGAGGTCAGACTTCAATAAAACAGTATCCAGATCGCCTTTAATTTAATCAAAACATTTATATTCATCAAAACATTTATATTCTTGATTCTTGATTTAATTCTCGCCTTGGTTAACGTTGATATAAAAAACCTGAAGGTTGCTCATTTTCTTGCATTCCAGTGACCGAATACTAGAATCAGTCTGTAGAAAGCCTTTCAACTTGAACACTTGAACCCTGCTCAAATCTGGGTAGTCATATTTTGAGGTATTGAAAATATTGTGATCATTGTCATTATTATCTCCTGTATCGTCAGTGTCATCTGAACCATCGTCATCGTCAAAATATGACCCAGTAGGGAAACCCAAAGTCAGAGTTTGCAATGTTCCTGCTACTTTCGTAATCAGAGGTGTAACCCAACTGCATTTATTTCGGATGTTTAATTTTGCCAACTTTGGTAGAAAAAGGTCCTCAAAATTCAATTCCTCATTTCCGTCACAAATGTCCAACTCTGTAAAGTTTTTGGTAATTTCTTGGCAAGGTGCAATCCCTGTGAAGAACTCAGAACATGTCGTTTGCTCTCCCATAGTGATCGAGTTTAACAATGGGGATGACTTTGCAATCTCTATTAATGGTGCTGAATAACTGCTGGCGTCAATGTAGCTTCGCGTAGGGAGTATTTTAAGGGACTTCAGTTTCAGTGTTGTCCCCAACGAAAAGGCAAGACCTTCAAGTGAGATATCCTCTGTGCAAATTATGGTCAGTTCTTCTAAATTTCGGCACCATGTTTCAAGAACTTGTTTAATAACTGAGATTGTGGGCGAATCGAATGATATTGAATTCAGGTTCGTTCCAAATTCCCGAAGGATAACCTGAGACTCCAATTCACGTACGTCGAAACACGCATATGTAAAGGCTATCCCCTTGATGAGCACAAGTCCATCAACAGTTAAATCCATCATTTGGTAAACGCTGTCAAGCGGAATTGGGTCACCCGAAGAGTCATGACTGTTTTCCCATTTATGAAAATCAATCCAGGTTTTTGACGATAATTCAGGCACGACTTTTGCGTTCCAAGCCTTACAGACCAAGCGAACATTTTTCAACGTGTCGACATCCATTGCTTTAAAAACATTATCTAATGCCTAAAATTAACAAAAATAGATACTTAATCACTCATATCAAAGACTTTTACTCATTATTATTCTGCTCCATGTTGTAATCATTTACTGGGCCATGAGCAGGCGTGAGTGTCCAATTGAAATCTGGCTTTTGATTTTGAGCTTGAAAATACACAGCAGTGGCAGTTCGATAATGATTGTCCATCCGATTATTGACATTAAGTTTCATTTGAGAGGGTGATAAAATTGGGAGCTTTTGGGCCTCTACAACGCCTTCATCTTCTTCTGCAAGCAGATGCATGTACAAAAATCATAAATAATTTTTTTGTTATCATATTAATTGGTATGACTAAAGTCGTACTTAATATCTATTTATGTATTAGGATGATGTTGGTAATAGATGTTTATATGAATTGCATACGTTTAGCTTCCTGCTGCCGTTTGTGCTTTAAGTGTGCATTCAGAATGTCGAATTTGTATTCAAGGCTGAAAACTTTGTCAACCAGCATGTTTACTTTGAAAAGTATTGAATTCAAGGCTTCTTGATCCATTGTCAGTTTTTAAGTATTATAATTTATGAACGCGATAGAAATATATGAGATAGAATGATCACCGACTATGGATGCACCCTGACCACGGAGTCCAAGGTATGCTCGAAGAGCATGGCAATTGTAGTCATGGAACTGTCGCTTCTTGTTCTTTCCTTGATGTTTTGTGACTTTGTCCCATTTAAAACTAGAATCATAACCAGAATGCAATTTTGTTAGACAATCTAATTACGATCGCTAATCCTAAGAGTCAATGCATGTTGACCAGAATACTATCCAAATTAGATTTTTCCCTTTCTTCTCAAGCTAACTAATAGTTTTACATTTATTATGTATTGTTTAATAAGCATTTGCAGAAATTTACAGAAGCCAAGTACGTTAAGTTCAAGGAACAATAAATTATAGGAAATATAACCATTTTTATTCGCCAAATTCGATGATATGGATTAAATAATTGTCTAACATAGTAAAGTTACCGAGTAAAATTACATCATCATCTTTAAAGCATCGCTCTACGTATATGCGTAAAGATAGTGCAGATTCATATTTAAATATGCCTTACAAAACTAATTCAATTTATTTCCATTACGTGGAGTCACATAATGAAAAATAGAATGGATATATTTTTAAAATATTTTTATTTCCGTTCTTTCTTCTTTATTTGAATTACAAATCCCATCGCTTGAAACGCTTTCCGATATTCTTTTCCCATCCAATATTGATGAACTCGATAGTTATACTTGTCGCTGCAGGAAGTTTCCCATTCATCTCGTGCAATTAGGTATAGTTTCATAGCAGCTTGGGCATCTGTTATCTACGAAATAGAATTCGGTATTTTAATGTGGCACATTTTTAAAGTAAATGTTAAATTTAACAATCATAATAACTTACTGAATTGTGTTCTCCCTTCTGAATTTCCACTTTTAGATGGTCCTTAACCAATGATTTCAATGAAGGGGTTTTCAATCTTTTGAATTTTTTCCGATAGTAGCTTAAATTGCAAAAACTTATATTAAAAATAATTATCCTTGTCACTAGCAAACTATCCTAAGTATTTTAAATATCTTACAACGAAGTATCTCTTATTTTCGCTTTGGGGTGCTTTAAAAGAAGAACGTCAAAATCGGATTTTAGCGAATGTCCAATAAGAGTTCTTCCTTTAATGAGCTCTGCGACGCTTTGCAAGCACTTTAGAAAATCCTCCGCTGTCAAGAAAAATTTAAACATTGCAACGATTAGATTTACAATAATTTGTACACATTTGTTTTTAACACAAGAAAGAAATAATATTTACCATTTTTAAGGTCCTCCTCCCGTACCCCACTAAATTCTGTACGATAGTCAGTGACTGGCAACTTTGGCTTTACAAATTTATCATAAAGGCAATATCCAAATTCATTCACAATGGAAACTCGTGCTAAGGCATCTTCTTTCAAAGTCCCAACACCAACCATTTCACAATCGATCGCCAACGCTGGTGTTGGTCTCGTCAAAAATTCGTGTTCTGGTGATACGGGTGTCTTCAAGTGACCGTAGTGGGTATAATCAAAACATCCCAAAGAGTTCAGTCCAGTAAGCTTGGGAAACGAGACGTGTCCATCCTTTTGTTTCATGGGCGCAACCCTCGTCTCACCTTCAGTGCTCGAGCAGCTACCAGTTGAAGGAATTGTGATGTGCATCTTATCTGTAGATTTAATTGCTTGTTCTAGAGCAGCAGCATTTGAAACGGAACTGTCTGTTGTCAATGAACTACTGGTCCCACTTCCTTCTCCAGATTGTTTTTGTTCCATTTGCTTTTTATGCTTCTTAACGTCACGGCGCAAAAACTGTGGTTTCACCGGTCTCACGCTTCCTGCTTTTTTGGCCGATATTTCTGCAGACTTCAAGATCAACCAAAGTAGTTAGTCATTATTAGTCATATTTGATCAAAGTAATAGTAAACCTTTTTGCTCAACAAAAGTTTCCAATTGGTAGACGCTTCAGTTTTCGAAGTTGGAATTTTCACAACTGCTTCAGATGGAGTAGTAACCTTTCTTGCTTTCCTGTGTCGCGATTTCAATTTCTACAATATACAAATAATGTCAATTTAGCGATTATCGACCATATTAAATATTGCTTATTATTATTATTATTATTATTATGACGAACTTTCAACTTCAAAACACAAAATAAACAAAATGCAAAATGAACCTTGTTCTTATTCTGAGTGACCGTTGTTGAGTCGACAGGTGGACAACTTTTTTTAAAGCTTCCCGACACTGAATTTGATATCATTATCACATCCGAACTTTAAAAAAGTAATCAAACTTCAACTTTCTCTTCTATTGAGTGTTATTTGGTTTCACACGGTGAAAAGCACGAGGAGTTGTGAAAGGGCGCCGACACGAGTCGCACTTTATACCGACTTTGCAAAAGTTTATTTTCAGAGTTTTCTTTAATTGTAATAAATTGGTTATTATATTTGTCTTTGTTTTTATCAGAACTTACATAAAATCTTAAAGCAGAAACTGTGTATCAAAAACAATATGCAGCAACAGAGATGTCATGCTTGTATTCATTTTATTTAGTTGAAATGCAAGTTGAAATGTAATGCATGGCGTTCCTTTAATTCGGTTTAGTCGATGCTATTCAATTCGTCGCCGTCATGATCGAGGATGGTGTCCCCAGTTTTGTAATTGACCCCATCAGGTGACCGGAGTGGGCGGACCAGTTCCCTGTCGTGGATTGAATACATGGCGTAAGCTGCGTGGGTGCAACTTCGAACATTTTGCATTATGCTTTCCACGTCAAAGTTTCCAATCATGACACCATAATTGGCATTCGAATTGACCCTGAAGGACCAAAAACAGGATATGGTTATATCTGTTACAAGTGCATTATAATTTTAATTGGAATTAAGCAATGATACGAAGGGATGACGAATTACCAGCGTCCAATCAGTGGATGTATGAAGTCCTCGTAAAATAACTTTTTGTACTTGGGAGCCCAAACGGAACGATAACCGGCAGGGTAGTAACAGGCACCGTATGAAAATGAGAAGGCCCACCACAACGTTTCAATAAAAACATCAAGATTCGGAATAGAGTCGGCCATTTCGGCTGGAGGATTTAGATGAACCTCACGCCCACCAATGGCGACAAAATCAATCTACGATACCAAGATATTATTGTATTTTTTCAAAATTATTACTTCTCGGTGTTAGTTTTTACTTTACCGTTCCAGCAATGTCATGAAGGGGTAACTGATGCATTAAACTTTTACAACGCTCAAGAATATCTGACGTGGAGTTCCAACGAGAAGGTTCAGGCTCCTTAATGATGGGGAAAATGTTGTTGTAATAAATCATAACCATTTCGTAAATAATATTCAGAAATTCTGCCGGAACGTAGGCATTGTGACATGCAAGCTTGAAGATGTCAAAAATGTCGTCCAGAATCTGCTTACGCCAACTAACTGAGAATAAAAATAAAATCAGATCTTTCGGTAGCATTGACTGGATGGCAAATTTTCCAGAAAGTCACATTTAGCCAAGAACTACATAGACCAGAAATTTTAATATCTCTGCATTCAAATCACTGACATATTAAACACGCATCTACATACATACATACTTTGCAGCATATCTCATTCATAAACTATAAGAACAAAATTAAATTACGTTGTAAACTTGGTAAACTTAAATATTTTGCCCTTACGTTGGGGAAAGTTCAGTTGGTATTCGAGACTTCTATACTTAAACCCACGCTTCATATTCCAGACGGTGAGTTTAAGCATGTCGTCGTACCCTAAGGACCCACCGCTGGAGTTTGACTTGTAAAAAATGAAGTTAGTTTAATTTATTTTATTAAGTTCATTTTTCTTAGTACCAGCTTGTAAAACTTTTCATGTTCTGTTTCCTCAGGTGTTTTCAGGGCATCACAAACCACTTGATGTTCATCAACAAAGGGGTCATTGTATTTAATGGTGTGCGCCTGGAGGGACGCTGTTGAAAAACCATTTTATATTTAAATTACTAGTTTTGCGATAAAATCATATGTATTGGTCAATCTTATGCTACTGTACCAACATCAACCCCAGCTACGGATAGAGATACAGCTAGTACTCCGATGAAGGTAAAAATAATAATTTGCAAATTCATGTCTACTACTGAACGACTAAATAAATACTAATTTAAGTGTTTTCAAAAGAGATTTTGAAAACAAATCTCGACAACTACATATGTGTACGCCAGGTAAACCAACGCTATTCAACTGTGCGTAGAAAATTTGTGAATTTGGCAGTTCGAAATGTTGATACAAATTTTGTTTAGAAGACCAACTTCCGGGTTGAGTTCTCAGGAAAAATGTTGCTGCCCTCAATCTGCCAATTACTTAATTTGATTCGGGTACCAGGAGTTTATTGTAATGACTTCTACTTTATGCAGTGTGTAAGAAAATGTTTCGTTTTGTGAAGACAATTATTATTTATTGGTGTGTTGTAAATTTTGCAAAAGGTGACTTGTTAAAATTTAAGGAAGATTATTTTAATCTACGTCATTAATATAAGACACTCTAATTATAGCTCAAGAATCGTGTGAAGTGGGGGTTTCTTGGGATGGAGCCGGAATATTTAATAGATTATCAGCTATTTCAAAGTATGTCGAGTACTCGAGCTCCGTTAGTCAGGCCGTGTCATATCTTGAAGCAGTATCAATTTGTCAAGAGAACGGATTAGATATAGCCGAAGTCAACAGTATGGTTGATTTCATGTCTTTAAAGTCTTTTATTCAAGGTTTGTTCCATTATATTTATTATTAATATCCTTGCATGGTGCATGAAAACTTTGCATAAATAAATGCGCACATTATTAATAACATGACTTACTGATTTTATTTTGACAAGAGGGGCAGTCATACTGGATTGGAATGAACGATCTTGACCAAGACGGAATTTGGAAAGATTCGAATGGCCGAATCTCAAAATTTCAAGTCTTCGGCATTGGAGATCCTGATGATGTGCATAAACATATACGTTCACATAAATATGCATAATTTACATAATATTTAATGGATGCAAATTTTTAGGAATTATCCGACTGTGTATTGCTGCGCAGGGCACATGGAGAGCTCAGAATGTTTGACGAAATGTGCAACGTCGGAGCCAACTTTCTTTGTCAATATCCGGAAGGGTCGTATTGTGACATTCAAAGTTTTCAGCATTCAGCAGGTATATTTATACTGATTTACCTAATGTTTGTAAATTGAAGTGACCTTCTTGGCCGAAAATTGCATTGGTATATACATATCACATAGCTGCCTGTGTATGCATGTATGTATCATGTCTTTACAATTAATCATTATAGAGCATGTCATTGGCGGAAGAGAGGATTTGATACCGCTCGGAGAGAGTCCCAATCTGTTTGTCAGCACGGTCCAGGCATGAATTTTATGGACGTTTCTGCATTGCTGATTGAATTTAGCTTGACCAATTATAATTTGTTTTATTTATTCATTAGAAACCATTTCAGCACGCAATTTTATCGTGTATTCAAGCAAAGAAAGTGCCTTTATATTTCAACGACTCTGACACCACTAAGGATGTTACAGAAAATATAAAATCGCACCTTCTCTCTTTTGGTATACATAGTTCAAATATGCACTTATATATCTAAAGTATATATGGATTTTAGATACTAATTTTGACTTAGTTTTACCTAGACCTCGACGAGGAGACTCAATTTTGGACTTCTGGAAAGTTAGAACGCGACGCCACTGGGGGCTTCAATGGAATCGTGTACTGGGATGTTTTAGAAACAAGTTATGATCTGTACCACAATCCACTTAAAATTCCCTACGACTGGGCCCCCACTGAACCCAATGATCGAGGTGGAGGTTATGAAATGGGGTGTGTAGATATCTCCTATCCATCAGAAGGAAGTACCCCTGTACTGCAAGCATCCAACTGTGAGATTCCCAAATTTTATATTTGTATGGACTCGAAACTCGTCATTTCAAAGTTGGACTTTCAGGCGAGACTCAAGCGAATTGCAAATGAAGACGAAGGTGATACACACACTTTCTACATTTTTGCGATATAGTAAAAATATATAAGTTTGTTTTTAAATAATTCATAATTTAGGCCTTCGAAAATCGCTGGTTGTCAACAATCTGCCATTAACTAATCACAGTGGAAGTTCAAAGAAAAGTTGCCCCCCAGAACCAATTAAAAATATTGACCCCATAAAACTGAACCATTCTGCTCTTCTTGAGTTGCCACAAACTTTGGATTTGATGATGTTCATCTTGAAAAATAATATAAAAAACGGGCGGACCAAAATTAAAGTCAAGCACAGCATTGTGTGGAAGCGAGATTTTATTGACACAATTTTTGAAATTTTCAAGACGGCCGTAGACCATCACTTTGTTCCTCATGAAATGCTCCACATTGCGCGTGAAATAAACATTTTGTATCAAAACTCTTATGACGGACCAGACAATTCGAACCACACAAAAAATTGGGAAATAATTCTCGGAGTGCTAGATGGTTGTTTAGAGTCACTTGAACCCTACAACTTTGCAACGATAGGATTCAGAGTAAATATTCATATTATTGCAAATTTTTTATTTGACAAAATTCACATCTTATTTATAAATATCTCAAAGCTCAAATATCTCATGACGGTGGATCATAAGTTTGAAATTTCGATACCACCAGAAGAAGCTGCTGAACACCTGGATCTTAGTATCGATATTTTGTGGTATGTCGTTTTTGTGATTACAATGCGTTGTTTTATCGTACATTTAAATTAATTTTTAACTTGATTACAATTTTTTTCACAGGCACGTCTTCAGTTTCACGCTGGGGTCATGCTATCCCACGGCAGCATCTATGGACCAAGACCCTTTAGTTTGGGCAGCAGAGTATTACAATCTATTTCTCACCGAGATCTTGTTTAAAGTTAAAGACATTTGGTAAGATCACACACGTTGCAGATGATTAAGAATTCTTGCTAAATTTGCTAAACTTGATAAAATATAAATATTTGTGTGAAAATTGATTGGGTGTCTAAATATTTATGTAGGTTCGATGAAACGAATAATAACTTGCTCAGAGCTGGATTAATTTATGGAGACCTTGACTTGAGATTAGCAATCAATAATTTCAGAGCCGCAGCAATTTCCTCGTACATTTTGAATGATATTGAGGATCGTCAAGTCGTGCGACCACTTTAAGTAGGATTTAAATAAGATCATTGAATTGGGAATATAAAGACGTTCGATTTCGTCGTATTTATTATAAGTCACACATAAACCTAAAATTATCACAAAGACATCATTGTATGAATTTTATGGAATACTGATAACCCTTTTACATAAAATATTTAAATAAATAGTTACATGTATTAATATTTCTTGGCTCTTGTATTTATACGAAAAGTCAAAACAATTGCATTTCCTTGTCCAAACAGTCCTGCCCATTATTGATAAATACGATTTGTAAACTTCAACATTTTACACACATTAACTTTGCGGACATAAATAATGTTTCTATATGTGTACTTTACATAAATCGCACTTGACTCAAAATGAAATTACATAAAACGTTCCTATTTATATGCGTTTCATACGTGACGGATAATGTGTTAGGAATAGAAAAATCGTCCCATCACTTCCACCGGTTCCCTAGAGGATCATCAAGCGACTTGTCATCAGACTCTGATTTGCAAGAGATAGACTTTCGAAATGGCGTTGACGAGATAAGGCAGGTCCGAGAGGGGTTTGACGAGGAAGTAAAATCTTTAGACGCTAAGATGGAGGACAAATTCAATAGTAATAAATGATATTCAATCTAACTAAATATGTGTAAGGTAGAATCAAAACAATTGATTTCCTCACTGCTTACATAGAACAACTTGGTAAAAAGATGACCGAGTTTGGAGAAAAGTATGAAAAGCTGTTTGTGGCCATGAACGAAGAAAATAATATTCCTTTGCGGCGTCTCAGTTATACATCCAAGTATTTATGGGACCAGCAAAATTTTACTTTGAGGAGTTACAAAGAATTAAAATAGTAAGTAATATTATTAATTAATAATTATTCTATAAATATTAATTGTAAAATTTAATTAATTAATAGTAAATGTGACCACTACAAGCTTACCATTCCAGAAGTTCGGAACGAAGCAGATTTTCAAACAATCGTAAATTTCTTAATGGGTACGTATTTATGTATCAATCACAAGTTAAAATTCAAATACGAACTAATTTTTTCGCAATAAATACGATACATTGTTGTAGTAAACCCTAAGGTGGTCGTTGGGCTTGGACTAAATGACAACCTCGAGGAAGGAATTTTCCTGGAAGGTGATGGTGAAACCAAAATCGAATATCAACGATTTGCTATCGGGGAGCCAGATAACGCGCAAGTGTGAATTTCATATATATTTATTTAGATGTGAATACTACGTATTTACGTATGTATGCATGTTTGTATTTTTGACCATTTCATGTCGTTTAACATTAAAGGGAAAACAAAATTGTGTCATCATCGGCATTGTACAGGATGAAGTTTCCATGAAGGACGTGCCTTGTGAAAATATGAACGCTAATCTTATATGCCAGCGCAAGATTGACAGCTTTGGATACGAAGACAGTGTTGAGCGTACATACACTAAATATTTCAAGATACAAAAACCTTTTATACCAAAAAAACATGTTTTGATTTTAAAATATAACTAATTTCAGATGCTTCAATGGAGCCGGAAGGATTGACCATGATAGGAGACGCAGGAAGTCGCCGATATTTTGTTTCCCACATGCAGAGAGTTTGGAAAGATGCCAAGCGGTATTGCGAAGACGGTGGCAAGCAGTTATTGGACTTGGAGTTAAATGAAGCAAATAATCAAGGAATTTTCATGTCCCTTGCTTGGCAGCGAAGAATCAAAGGTACATATTCAATATTCAATAGTCATCAATTGATGACTATTCTGCGTAATCAATTCAATTGAAATACGCAAAATCAACTTGATCGTAATAAATAAGTGCACGATGCAGTGCATAATAATTTTTGAATAATTATTCAGGGTTAACTTCCCAAGTTGGGTTTTGGACGTCAGGAAAATTTGAAAACGGAACGAGCGACAGGTCATTTACATGGCAGTCTAACTTGAACAAATTTGAACTCCAAGGTAATAAAGTCATTCGATGGGAGTGGCTGCCTGGCGAACCCGCAGACCAAGGTGGCAAAGGGCTGGAACGATGCTTGGACTTTTTGCTTCCTTCATCACCATCAGAAAATGGTGGATTTACTCCACAATTTCGAGTGTCCAATTGTCACCTTCCATTCTATTTTCTGTGTTATGAAGATATTCAAAGTTAGTTAGCTTTTCTATTGATACAGAAGAATAATACGACTTCGAATAACATTTAAATATTTAACAACACATTTCGTTTGTTCAGTTGATGAGAGTTGCAAGGAAAATGGGCCAATGAAGTACATTGGACTACACTCCAAATTTGTCTATGATACAAGCAATGTTCTGGGGGTACGGGAAACGGCAAAGGATTTGTGCGAAAAATGGGATTATCAACTGGCTGAAGTTGAAAGTATTGCCGACATTTCGCAGATTGGAGCTTTCCTAAAGTGTATGTCTGATCAATATAGTCATTACATTCTTATTTACTTGCAGATATTTTACTTTCAGATTACTTACTTTACTCTATTATCATTTATAGCAAACGGATATCAAAATCGAATTTGGCATCTTGGTAAAATTATATGAATTTTATGTGTACTTTCTCTTGCTTTATAAGTAGCTCTAAATAGCCCCCAACGCTAGGAATATCCGATAAAGACCTAGAAGGAGAATTTTATGAAGAAAGTGGGACCCCGATTGTGTTTAATGCCTTTAATCTTACTCAGCCTGATAACAAGGTACAATTACTGTTACTGCAATTTTTGGCTATTTAATTTAAGTAATGTGCACATTAAGTATAATTTATAAGTACATAGCTGCATACGTACATATATGTGCACATATGCATTACACCTCGTGCATTTTGTTAATAGGGAAATGAAGATTGTGTTGTTTTGCTATTCGACAAGAACAACCTGGTAATTAATTAATTTGCGGTTTCCATCCACCCACTGGTATTCATAATCAGTGTGATTTTCATACAAGGTAATGGATGATCGAGATTGTTCAACTCAGCAAGGTCACGTCCTGTGTCAATTTCAAAAAGACTCCTCGTGTTTCATGAACAGTGCAGAAAGTAATGTGTACAACAATGAAGTGTAAATTAATTAAGATGTAAATAATGAGATTGTTGTTTCATAGATGTGAGAAAACCTGTCGAGGATGTTATGTATTTTGGAGAGACGGCGGTCCGACGTTACTTCCTGAGCAAGACCCAAGTATGTTTGTAAACTGTACATTGTCCGATTTGTGAAACTTTGTAGGTTCTAATTTGCAGAAAACCTGGTTACAAGCAATGCAATTTTGCAGTGCAAGAAAAACCAAGCTATTAGATTTGACATTCATAGGAGAACTAAAAAATCCAAAAAATGCCATGTTTTTTGTACCGAAAATGGTAAACTGGGCAAGACTATACCGCACAGGAATTTGGACATCGGGCAGATACCTAAGATCCGTTGAAGATGGTCAATTTAGATGGGAAACGACGCTGGAAATGTTTAAAAATGATGACAAGTCAATTAACTTCACATGGGCCCCCGGAGAACCTTCAGACTCGACTAAAAGGAGATTAGAAATTTGCATAGAGCTAGTTTTGGAACCCTGGGCAAGCTCGAAAGCCGGAGACGCCATGTTACCAATGTTGAAAGCTGCAAATTGCAAACTCCCAAATTATTTTGTTTGTTATGAAGATGCTCCACGTAATTGTTTGGTCTTTAAGATTTATTTTCATTTCCAAAAGAATTGTTATTTACGGGTTGTATAATGGATGCAACAATTTTAATTAGATACTAAAAATTGTCATGTGCCACCAAAGATCGACTACGGTTTCAAAGCCTTACGCGAAACAGAGAGATTCATTTACGTAGACATTCCTCAGAAAATGGATGCTGAACATCGGGAGGACATTTGCAAAGGAGTCGGTCTGGAGCTTGCCGAAATTTCTTCAGTTCAAGATTACAAAACTGTATCTAAAGCATTAGATGGTACTTTATTTATTTACTTATCCTTAGACAGCTTTATTATCACCTCAACGATTTTACTGACGAGCATATCTAAATATTGTACTATGTAAATAGAATGGAATGCTACCAGCTTATATTTTGGCCTTGGCTTGAATAGTGTTGGATCAGAAGGGTTATGGTCAGAAGGCAACGGGTAAATTTGTTGCAAAAAATAATCTCAATTATAGTAATATATTTATAATTTCAATTTCTAGCAAATCCCCCATTCGATTTCAAGCATTTGGACCAAACCAGCCACTGTACTACCACTATTATGTAATGTTAACTGCTATATCCTATGTATCACACGCTTATCAGGTGGATGGTATTCTGACAATTGTTGGCATTTAAATTATCATCCTTTCAAGGAACCTCTTGACCATGTCGTGTTCAACAAACACAAATCTCCAGTTTGGCAAATGACCGCAATCTCCGCAAAGGCCGATACAAATGTACTGTGCCAGTTCAATAGAGAAAGTACCTGCAGCTTTGCAAGCATCTTTAGTAAGACAATAATTGCTCAATTATGAAATTATGAATATCTAACCAAATTATGGAACAAGATTAAAATATATCCTAATCAACATAACATTTTATTTTATTAGATTATATTCAAAACAACGAACCCAAGGACTACCTCGTCAAATTAAAATTCAGTGATAATGCATCACAAGATGGCAATATGTCGTACCACATTGCCGATTCCCAGGTAGTTTAAACTATCAGTTTGGAGAAATTTCTCCTAACATGGCTGAGACTTTATCAGTAATTGAGTTATAATAATTTATAACCAAACCAATATGTATTCTTTTTAATTCAGACAACGTGGGAAGAAGCCATGAGATTTTGTTGGTCAAGGTAGCTCAGCTCAATATTTACAATTAATAATGGTCATGTTGATGCGAAGTGTTTATGAAATTTATTTATTGAAGGAGGATGAAACTTTTAGATCTTAAAGTGGACAGAAATCAAGCCCAGATAATTTACCATTTGTTGACTTCTTGGTTGGAACGAGTCGGTAGGCACGCAGACGCAACCATAAACTGATTTAATTTTAGAATAATAATTATAAAAAATAAATAAAAACTTGAATACTATATTCAGGCCTGGATGCATCTGTGGTTCGATTTTGGACTTCTGGAAAATATGTAGAATCATATGCCGACCGACAGTTCCGTTGGGAGACGTTCTGGACATTTGTCCGACATCAAGATTTACAGAAAGACTTGAATTTAGTTGTTCAACCTCCTCCAATTTCTACTTCAAACAAAGACCGTTGTGTGACCATTGGGCTCGAAGGGATTTCACCAAGAAAAGGAGAATACAAAGCGAATTTGAAAACCTCAAATTGCTTCATTCCTCAAGTAATATACTAAACATATCAAAAATTGCACTTGAGTTAGTTCTTTCTTTATTCTCATGACGTCGCATTGCCATTCAATTGTTTTACAGTTCGTGGTGTGCGTAGAGAATGATCACCCAAATCGACACGAACCTCCTCCATCGGTTCCAACAACTTCATCTTTGGCCCGACAAAATATTGGTACGTTTACTGATAACAGGCATGTTATGTTGAAGTATTAATATGCACAGTGTCACAATGTAAACTAACAATTACTTTAGCGAAAATAACCAACAAGGAAACTATTTCTATTTGTAAGCGACCAAAAAAAGAAAGCGAACAAATTGCCCAGGCGCAAATATTAAAATGGATCAAGACCCATCGCCCCCCGACGCGTTTAAATTGTGAACCTCAGCCTGCTACAGAGGGATGAACTTGCAGATTTGACACAATACTAGTACTTATGCATTCGGCAAAATATTTAGTTAGTGACATGTCACTTATTGAGAGTTAAGTAAATGGCAAGGGTCACAAGTATCATATAATTGGATTACACTGAAGTTTTAAAAACTAGGAAAAAGTCATTTTAAAGTTATTTATCAATATTTATTTCGAATATCAAATCCTATTAAAATTTATAGGAAATGCATAATATGTATTATACAAGATATATAATTTCAAAATTGATTAAAGTAAAGAACAATGTCCACTTTGCCCAACCGATTACTACGAATCCATGTCAAATTGACCCCGTCAGATTTCCCCGCGACAGATTTCCCCGGTCATATTGACCCCGCGACAGATTGACCCCACGTCATATTGACCCCGCGACAGATTGACCCCACGTCATATTAACCCCGCGACAGATTGACCCCACGTCATATTGACCCCGCGACAGATTGACCCCGCGACTGATTGACCCCGCGACAGATTGACCCCAAGTCATATTGACCCCGCGACAGATTGACCCCCGGCAACTATTAGTTAATACACAAATAATCATCGGGGGTCATCGGAGTGGGTGGGGTATAATGCACCAAAATTTCAAAATTATCGTAGAGAGCTGAAATTTAGTACAGAGGTTGCTAATGGCTTATTGGCTAAAACTCAAGTTGGAAAAATTCAAGTTGGAAAAATTGTTATCTTGAGGGACCCGTACTGATTTTTCAAAAATCATCATATCAAACTGAAATTTGGTAGAGATGTTGCTTATAGGTACCATTGGAAGAATATAAAAAGAAATTGGTAAAATTTTTATCTGGAGCGACCCTATGGGGTGACTCATACCGATTTTTAGAAATTGCTTTAAAAAGATGAAATCGGCAAGGTAATACTTAATGGCTTCTCATTATAGAATATGAAGTTAAAAGTGAGCAAAATGTAACCAGAGTGACCCTGAAGGCTGACCCATACCGTTTTTAAAAGTTGTTATTTCCATCTGAAATATGGTATGGGTGATAAAAACCACTTCTGAATAGCACACACAGCTTTGAAAGTTCAAGATGTTAAGGGATTTGATGGCAAATAATAGAAATTCTAACAAATATGACTCGGTCTATATGAAGTCTGCATTGTAGGTTTTTTAGCTTAAAATGAGGATAAAAATAGATTAAGAAATTTGCATATTAACAATTAAAATATTACATTATGTATGTATACTTTTGAGTGGAATACATATTTTAGACTTAAATTTTAAATAGGAAATAAAATTAACTATTTATGTGTAAATACATTAAGTAGTGCCTGTATCTATGGCCTGGGGTCAATCTGTCGCGGGGTCAATCTGTCGCGGGGTCAATCTGTCGCGGGGTCAATCTGTCGCGGGGTCAATCTGTCGCGGGGTCAATATGACGTGGGGTCAATCTTTCGCGGGGTCAATATGACGTGGGGTCAATCTGTCGCGGGGTCAATATGACGTGGGGTCAATCTGTCGCGGGGTCAATATGACGTGGGGTCAATCTGTCGCGGGGTCAATATGACGTGGGGTCAATCTGTCGCGGGGTCAATATGACCGGGGAAATCTGTCGCGGGGAAATCTGACGGGGTCAATTTGACGCCCTACCGATTACTACTCGACTCATTAGTATTTTCAGGCATGCATACATCTTAAATGATACAAAAATCCAGGTTAATTCGAATACAGGAGTAAGTAAAGGGTTGAAGGAAGCATTTTCATTGCATGAAATCTTGGACCAGGCGAGGAAGGAAATTTAACGCCATCTGAAACCCATTTCATTGTATGCTGCTGCTTGCTCACCCTTTTTCTTTGCTTCTCCTCCACTTCTTTCTTGCTTTCACTCCGCAATCAATATATTCATCAAACGTGAGCTGACTGACCAGCGCAATTGCTGACGACAACATTCGTAAGTATCAAATTTTAATTTTTTGTCACTTTGTAAGGAGCCATAAACCCGGAAGAAATCTTGACCCTAGTTTTTATCGCAATTTAAGCTGAACCTGCAAAGTTTGTATATTTATTGTTGTGTGTGTGATGGAGAGTTGTAGTATATGTAGTGTAGTGTGGCAATGCAATTTGTCCTTGGATTGAATACTATTCGCTACTAAACACAAAAAGCACGATGGAAGAGATGAAAGTGTGAGGAATACGAAACAACGTGTTTATCTATATAGGGAATTGCCGAAATATAGTAATATCACTTTAGTTAGATCGGAAGCAACAAATACAGTGAGTTATTGCGGTCTGTATAACTGAAATTTAATTTATCGGATCAGAAGAGCGAAGCCGGGTATTTCGGCATCCGTAAAAGCACGTCTAAGGTTTTCTAATTGTTATAATTTTAGACTGGTGGGTGGGAAAAAGGTTATCTGCTGCATGGTGCCTGCCCTCGAAGAAGGATCATGAGTCGAATCGTATAAAACAAATTCGGGAAAACCATTTTGCAAACCTTGTCCTGTTTGAACAACTTCACCAATTGAGATTTCGCCGAAGACATGTCCAATTTGCCTTTAGAAACCCCTACTACTGCTCCTGCACCCGTTGTGTATGCGAGAAAATCACAGCCAATTTTGAGGCCAGATCCGCAGATAGATATCGGGCCCTTGGCAGCAGAGACGGTCGCGGATGATTCATCAACACTAAAATTTGTTCCACTAACTCCCGTACAAGCTGAAGCAACTCCGAAACTACAAGGTCCATCTGTTGCGGGGACAAGTCAAGAGGAAGGCGAAACAGATTCTAGAATTTTGAATGCTGCATTAACCGGTATTAAACATTATTTCATAAAAGATTCCAAATAAGTTCTGTTGTTTTTTATATTCTAATAATATCGAACCGGAATTATCCTTCGTATTTGTTTAATAAATTCAAAATTGTAGCCCTTCAAAGTATCCATTCCGTTGTGGGGAATGAATCCTCTAAACCATCTAACCGTGTTCTTCACCTTGAAAGTAAACCCCTTGTAGCTGATAATAATGTAGGGCTAGCAAATCACGGTTCGTTTATTTATTTTATTTATTTTTGTTCTTCATTTTCTTGAGTTTCTTTATGTTGAACAATAATTATGACAAGATTTATTGTGATTTATTATTGCCCTTTTAGGTTCCAGGGGAGGAGAGATTCCATTGATTCCAAATTCCTTGGCGAGACGTAGTATTCCTCCCAAGAAGCAGCAACGATTTAGCTGTCCTAATTGTCAAAAAACATTTATAAATGAAGTATCTCTTGATGCTCATGTTTGCAATCAATCTGCCCAAAATAGCAAAACACCCAAGAGTGAAATCATTAATAAAGGTATGTAAATTATCGTAACAACAATGTTAAGTGTGTTTAACTGAAGGGCACATGTTTGTTGCTCTGCCTGTTGGTCCCATCAATGTGGGACGTATTTGCTAATTTTGTCATTTTTATTATCATTCACCAAGTAGGAAAAAGAAAAATTAGTCAAGCAGGAAGGAAACCAAAAATGTCTGATTCTTATCCAAATTTGCCATCTCCAAGCCAAGTAGAACGTGGACTTCCATTGAAGAAAAGAGGACGCCCAGTTAAACACGCACTGGTAATTCCAATATTATAAAACTCAAAATTGAATTTTTTTGAAATTGAATATCGTTGTACCACAGTTCGTCCCCAGTACTGCTAAAGCTCAGCCCCAGAAGCAGCAACTCACATCAGTTATTACTAACGTGACGACTCCGACTCATAATTCGAATCCTCAAACAGCCCCTGTTCCAAACGGAATTAATAAGGCAAATGTTGAACAATCAGGTTTAGAACCAGGAACACCACAAAACTCTTCGGAAATAATGATGGATCAAGCATCTGCTAACTCTGGACAACGATCACAGCGAAAGCGAAATCTTCCAAAGTGGTATGAAAATATGGTCTTGGATGATAATTTGATGATGGTACGTATAACATTAATCCTGATGTAGGTTATTGTCTTATGAAAATAACGATAATTATAAATGTAAATGTACAGGGTACTGCTGGTCGGGGTAACCGAACTCCCGTGATTGCTTCACCCGTCGCAGCGAATCGAAAATTATTGCATAGTGGTCCATCTTCAGAGGTTGCTGCTCAAGTCAAGCCAGTCATGAAATTACAAAAGATGGATACTGGTGGTGGAAAAACCACCGAACCTCCGCGAAAAGTCTCAAAATCAGCTATATCAGAATCACTATCGACAAAAACTTCTGAGATGAGCCCAAAATTATTACCACAAAAAGCTCAAGCTCGAATTAGAAGGCCACCACCATCTAAAGATTTGGATGACCATCCAATGTCAATAAACAGATCCGTCGTAAAAGAGGTCAAAACACAGAAAGCGGTGGCCAAGATTTCCCCCATGAAAGAAATTACAACAAGTGATAATGTGGCAAGTCTTGCTGCAAAAAGTAATGGAAACAATTCAAAGGGTCCTATGGATGAAGTACAGTCCAGCACGGCAATTCCCCCATCAGCACCATCAACAATTCAGTCCCCAGACTTAACCCATGCCAGTACTGAAATTGATGTCAATAATACAGCGGAACTATCTTCGACACTGACTGAAGGAGAAAATCAGACAGATAGCATTGCAAAATCGGAACGTAAACCTGTTTGTACTCCTAATGTGCCCGGCGACAATTCCAACACTGCACCAGGGCAGAAAATTATTTCTCCTCCAATTCAGAATAATACAGATACGGTTGCCAAAAGTACTACAGAAGCTGCACCAACCTTAAAACCTCAAAAGGTTGACGAAACTTCTACCATTGTGAAGATTACAGGGATTAATAGTGGTCACATAGCTTCAAGTATTACCACAATCACTGCAATTACTACACCTCAAATCCAAAGAGTTTCTGAATCACAAAAGAAAGTGAGCGTAAAAGCCCTGCCACCAGTGGGGAAGGGGAAACCCACTACTAAACGAAGCGATTCCAATCGTACGATTTCCGATCAAACTCGTGATTTAAACTCAAATGGATCTGTGAAGCAAGTTGTATTAATTGCAGCTCCTAAAACGCCACAACCTATACTTAAAACAGCTCCATCATCGTCCAACTCACTCTCTGTTAGTAGCTCCGGACCAACTACACGGAAAAGAAAATTGGAGGATGACAATAACGGAAGTAAGACTGTGTCACAAGAAGAAATTCCCAAGACGGACGCAAATGGAGCTAAAAAATTGATAGAACCAGCAAAGCGGACACGACAATCAATCGTAGCGATGCCTCCTATCAAAAAATCGCAGCAAACGTCAAAGCCAATTTCTGAAATTAAGCAAGAGAAGACTTGCGATCCAGTTGATGGCACAACTAGTGGCGTCATGAATGGGTTCGGATCTCCAGTAACACCAGGGCTAAGCCAAGCTTTTGTTGGAATGCCTAGATTACAAAATCAAAGTGGACTTCCTGTAAGATTAGTAGATATTACTATATTATCTAGTTCGTAAAACGACGATTGTTTTTTATAGATTATGGAAGATTCAGATAACAGTTCGGATGACGAAGATCCCACCTCAACCGCAACACCAAACTCTAGCCGCTCTTCAAGACCATACATTAAAGAGACGGTTATTCGCTTCCTTGAGAATAAGATTTCAAATCGCAATGTAAGTATTATAACAAATAGTGGTACTGAAAGCAGAATTTTTTGTTGAGAAGCAAGACCTTGACATTCATGTTACTTTTTTCAGATGCTTCGAATTCGCGAAGAATTGATGACATTAAAACAAAGTGGCAACTACTTCAAGCTGACCAAAACTGCTCCGGTATATTACTTCAAAATTTGTTAAGTATTAAATGTTTTTAAAATATAAACATATATTGTATATTACAGATGGCTGCCGGTCTTGTGCATGACATGTTTTGTCAATATTTTGGTACTCACGATCCTGTTGAGGATGAAATGCAATAATCCAGATTTTTGTTACTATAAAACTATGTATTTAGAGCAGTTAGAAGCAGATCACATTCCGATTGATTATTTTTTTGTTTTAAAAATAATAGTTCAAGTTTAAACTAAACATATATGAAAAAGATTAGAATGTGAGTATGCTAAACGTAATATTATGTATAGCTGAACAAGGTGGCACGACGCTTCAATTGAACTAGTGTTTAAATAAGTAGTACTTTGAGTAATGCGTATTAATGTGAATTGTAGTTTGTTTTGTCAACTATTGAGTGTCATTCAATTTTTTGCGAGTCTTACAAGATGACTGATGTATTAATTAATTATATTGATCACATTTGCATGTATACTGAATGTGAAATTATGAATTAGTGTTTTCTGTTGTGCATTTGCAATTGCACACACTAAAATTAAGACCTCAAATTACACAGAAATTTATAGTATTTAGCTGGTAATTTTATACCTACTTGTACGCCTTAATGCTTGCTGTCACTTACATAAGTATGTAATACCACGTGTATGGCAAAGAGTGATTTTATGTGTTAATAAAGAGACATAACATGTATAATCTTTAACTGAGAATGACTGAGGATTAAAAAATACGATTTTATTATATATCAAAAGCAACAAACAACAAAAGATATGATGATAGAAAAAATGAAATGTGAAACGCGTCTGCATTTGTACAGTACGAGATTGTACAAGCCACGAAAACTCCTCAGCTGCTGGAGCAGTCAGCCTCAGCACTAGTCAGCAGTCAGAATCTGACTGTCAGATCAGAGTGCATTTCAGACAAGTTTTATTTATTATCGCAGATCATCATAAATATTTCATCCTATTTCGGAAAAGTATGTGACTCATTTTGTATTTCATATTTTGAACGAGATAAATAATGGAGAAACAATTAGAGACCAAGGCACCTGAGGTAAGTAAATACCATTAATATATAACAAATACGACATGACACGACAATTTCCAACTGAATGAATTTTAAATACAAATATGTTGCAGAAAAAACCAAAACCATCATTCATCAATGCGAAATCCACAAAGATCTCGTCAACATCTCCTCATCAAGTTCAGGATGCGGGATATAATCTTGTGGACGCACTTTTGAAGCATGACCAACATTTGGATGAAAGACTTGAAGGACTGGTTATTCAGAGTGACGATACCCAGGAAAAGGTTTCGAAATTGGAACAGGAGTTGAAAGATTTGAAGAAAACGTCGCAGGATTATGATGACCAAATTGCAACCCTCGAAGCTAAAACTTCTGCCGTATTCGACAATGCGACGACCAAACTCATAAAGAAATATTTAGCTATTTATGAAAGACTGAAGACTGACGAAAAATTATTTAAGACGTCTTGTAACGAAGAGTTGGAAAGATTGCAACTGGAATTGGCGACGCATGATGGTTCGTTTAAATCAAAGCTCATTGTTCAAGTCAAATATGAAGGCAATTTGGTTGAACGTTTAAAAATGAATTATTCTGTCGCCTTCATTCATACAGATGTCACGGATGCAAATAAAGCCGACCTCCAGGCCCAGTTGGACAAATACAAGGAACGAATTGAAGAGGGGAGAATTGAGCTGGCTTCAATCAATAGAAAAGTTGCCACTTTAAAGCGTCAAATAGAACAGGTTCCTAATCGACAGGAATTAAGGGAATATCGCCTTCGCTTTTCAGAGCTTTATAATCAAGGTATGAAACCTTGTAGTCGGTATAAATATAATATTGCAGTAATAATTTCTTATAATAATTTTCAATAGTTTCTGGAACACATCGATCCACCAAGCAATTTTTCAGCCTCTATAACTCACTAGAGGACACCAAAAGATATTTAGGTTAGTAAATACAATTTATTTCAACTGCCGTTTAAAAATCTGTTCCACAAGCTCCAACTTATGAATCTAATGAGGAAATGAATTTCCATGCGTTCGTTTCCAGACTATTATATTGTCAAGATATACTTCCATAATGAATAGCTGTGACGCATTCTTTATATTAAAATCATCGGTTGGCTTTGTATGTCCAATATTCTAAACTGTCTTTGTATATCTACATTTAGAAAAAGAACTGTCTTTGCTTAATTCTATTGTGGATTCATTCCAAGTGTAAGTTCAACTTAATAAATGATAATTCATCTTTGTTCATTCTTAATGTAAATGGTTAACATACTTATAAATATAGAGTCAGCGGGAGTGCCTCGGGACGTGAAGACTTTTGTCGACAACTTCAGCAGACGCATGACGGAATGAAAGAAACGTGCTCCAAAGTCGAGAAAAGGTTACAGACTGAAAAACTTGGAGGTATTTAAATTTTAAAAAATACTCTAGTCGCTTTATTATGGTTTACTAGGTTATAATAGTAATGTCATGTATTTGTTAAAATTATGTAGTGGAAAAAATGCATATCGAATTCCAAAAGCTGGTGGACTTGAAGGTGTCGTATGAAAAATGCCTAAAGGAATTGGAAGCAGAATGTAAAAGAAATGATCACCTCTTGGCCGAGTGTAAAGATTTTGAAAAATCGGCAGTTCCAACAACAAATTAGTCATTTTTTACATCTTTCTTTCTGTATGGTGTGTAAATATAAGTAACTGACAGAATAAGTTATTATTGTGTGTTCGCTATCGCTCTTTCAAATGGTACCAGACTTGGTGTTTGTAAGAAAACCATACTGGTGGCATATGCCAGTCGTTTGTGAAGCGTTTTGACTCCTAGTCCTCCGAAACTATAATCAATAGAGATTAATTTAAGTTTATGCTATTATAACATACGAGTATATTATAGCGTGTGTACATTGCAGTGTATGATCGCGACGAAATTGTTGGGGATTTCCTAAAAATAAATAATATATATACACACATATATATCTGAAATATTAATGTAAATAACTACTAACAAATTTACCATGAATTTTTCAAAAGGGTGAAATACATTTCTTGAACGACTCTAACATAATCAGTCCAGAAATTGGTACTCGATTCAAGTAAATGATGACACATGGAGTATGCATAATTTGCAATCATCCATGTGGTGTCAATGACATGGTCGCTGAAAGATAATAATAAAAACACCTTACATTAACTTTTTAATAATTCTTATGAGTACTATAAAATCTAATACTTACACTTTACGATTTCTAGCAAAGTCTGGGTTTAAGAAGAAATTTAGTTGTTCGGGATGTCTCATTCCCATGAACGGTTTCAATAGCATCTACAAAAGTTACGTACTAATATGTATGACGAGATTAACTGAGAATACTAATTTTTAAAGTAATAGTATATACATGTTCTATTTGAGGAGTATTATGATCGACCATTTCAGCACACGTTGAAATAAGTTCAAGAACATTTGCAATTTCTTTGTCATCTAGGATTAAACTTGATTTTGTGATTTTCCATGCTTGGTCCAAATGGTACATGGCAAATTCTCGCAAAGTTTGAAGGTAAATCCTTGGAACTAGTTCCTCTGGGATTGATGATATAACAATATGAAATATAATATCTAGAATCTCAGTTTTCCAAATATCCTCTTGTCGATCAGGCCACAGCATCTGGATTGGATTGCTGAAATCATGAAAAAATCTCAATGAAGCGAATTTCCGAATCATTTCTTCGTTCAAGGGTTGCGCATCCAGTATCGAACTATCTTCATCCTTCGTACAGTTCTTAGTAGCCGTTAGTAAAATTTGGGTCTACCTTTCACTGCAGCCACAGGAGTGGGAACAATATCAGGAATGTCTTCAAGACCATTTGACTGTCCATATTCTCTGCAATTCGTCAATTCAACTGTTTTTTCAAATTTATTTTCTGGCGCACACTTGGCGAACACGCCTTCAAATCTGTATTTGTGTAAATCGGTCGTTCTTATAAATTCTGGATAGGTGTTAGGGAAGAAGCAAACAGGATGTTTGAATTGTGTCTTTGGTTTGATGCATAATTTTTCCCCATTGTAAGTAAAAAGTGTCCAGGAGGATTGACCCACTGTGATGAGGGATTTCAGGGATGGGAGCCAGTTCCACTTGAACTTCATGGCTTCTTCCCCTGTGGGAGCAAAAGGCTGGGCGAATGAGCTAAAATCAGGTCCTTCGTATACGGTGATGCTATTCAATTTCACCAAATTGGTTCCAATGGGTTGTGCTGACCCAATACCGCTCACCTTCAAGCATTTAAAATATTTTCATAAATAAATAATTAATTAAAAATGTAATTATTATCATCGTCACTCTACTTGAACGCCTTACATTTTTTGGCTGAAAGCACTTATTGTCACCCGAAAAGAATTGAACAGATTTTAAATCATTTATTCGAAAGTCAGGTTTCTTGTAGATCAGCCATCTTAAATAATGCAGTAAATTTAGCTCTAGTATTTTGAGGAGTACATTTTAATCAAGTATTTATTCATACGGTCCAGTGAGGCACAGCGTCTTTGGAATAATGCTCGTGTGGTTTACAAGTTTGGGGAAATTGGACCAAAATTCTAAATTATCAGCGTATGTGACGTTTTGTCCGTTTGGCTTTCCGTCAGATACAGAAGCTCGGACATACTTGCCCTCAGTGTTTGCCAGGACAGAAGAATTAAAAAAGACGGAAAGCTGCAATATTAGCAGAGAACCAAAAGAAATTATTTTGAGCCCCATTACAAAAATTGGCAACTCATTTAAATTTAAAACAGATAAACTATGGAAGGGAACAGATTGACTGCTTTTGAACAAAATACATAAGTACTTGTAACATGAAAGGTTTATAAATTGCATAAAGTGTATTCCATAATAATTATGTATGTATGTATTTACTATTTACATATATCAGTCATTTCCGGGTGAATAATAAGTAACGTCCATAGATGATGCATATTTCTAACGTGTAACATTACATTTAACATTACACTTGTAACATTACATGACATTTTCAATATATGGCCTATTTGTTGAATATATGGTAAATCGCAATGCATGTCAACCATAATTGTTTCCTTTTTTTATGTTTGCAAGTGACGAAATTCTAAGAATTCTATTTCGTCGTGATTGTTATTTTGCTTGTGGGTCCTTCTGCCAATTGAATTAAATATTTCGTACACTCGTCAAACTGTGCGTTCCCAAATAACACAAAATGCAATTTCTCAATGCCGTAGTAGTTTATTCCAATTGTTTGTTTTATTTCGTCTGCTTATCTTATTCTCAAGAACCGGAAGCAAGCATTAAGATTCTCAACGCTGATATCAGTGATACGACAAACTCTGGAAATGACAAGCACACCATTCTGAAATACACGGACGATCCAGATGTATGGGCGGATGTTAGTGATTTTATACAGGATTTTGATCTCTCACTTCTAAAGCTTTGTGTTACAGGAGTGTAAGTCGTAAAGATACACGTAGACAAGATTAAGTAATAGCATGACATATTTCTCCAACTACAGCTTTGTGATATACAAATTTCCATATTATGAAGCAAGGGACGAAACTGGAGTCAGACTTGTAAACGGAATCGACAAATGTATCGAAATTGATGACGTAAGGTTTAAACTTGTACTAAAACTATTACCGACTAAATACTTGTGTATCCAGTACTACAAATTTTTGATAGTTTAACGTATTCATTTCATTATAAATAGGTGTGGTCTGTTCAGATGGTATCCAGTTTTCAAAGCGTATACGCTCATATACTCACCACTTTTAAGGAGCCTTACTTCCAAGGGCGGGGGTTCCCGGTTGGTAGATCCGTGTCTAGATTTTCTGCTAATTTTGGCGACAACGTGGAATCCTTAATCATAAGTGGATCGACACCTTGGACCATAGTTTCCTTCAAGGGCCTTACCTATTGTCTCACACCCACATTCGATAAAGCTACAATTTCATTTCCCATTTGTGTCTTCACTACCATGAATGACACCGTAATTGGAAAAGACACGTTTTGGGAGAGTATAAAACCTGGGTGCACGTCCAAGTCAAAGGTTGTGAAAGTCAATAGTTGTTTCAGTTTCTCAGAGGCAGCAAAAGTAGTGGAATCTCCAAAGGGCCCACGACTTGAAGATGGTAAACATATCTTGTTCAGTTTAATAATTATTGTAGTAAATGACTTTGACCTTGCACGGTATTTTTGAAATCTTATTTTGACAGTGGTGAATGAGGCAAAAAGAGTGATTTTACCTGCAATCACAGAATGCAACAAGAACGAAGATTTCCTTACCATTCTCGATCTTCGAATAAACAACGATTTTTCTTCCCCACTACAGATGCGATTTCCCAAGAATAAAAATGATGCCTGGAGGACAACTCTTATCGACACAGTGTTTGACATTACTATTCACTCTTTCCCTATGGTTGACCCAAATTTACAGCGGATGCTGAATGAAATGTTCGTTTATGTAATTGAGAAGGATGTCTGGTCCAAAGGGGTATTTTTTGTATTTATCTGTTATTTAACACGTCGTATTTTATGAATTTTTATCAGAGGAGGGAGGAAAATATTAATTAAGTGCAAGTACAAACAAACCATCCAAATTAAAATTTCAGTCTGGAAGACCAAAGGAACACACTGAGGACCCTGAAATTTCCTCTATTGCGTCAGAATTAGAAGTGTGTCTCGAGCTCCTCAGCACTAATGACAACATTCACCAAGTGATTGACGTATGTACAAAGATGCAAATGTATTAGATTATATGTATGATGATCATACTATGATCCATCAACGAATGATAGAAATTGAGAAAATTTTGAGGAAATGGTATCATGTGCAGATGGTGAAGGAATATCTTGATTTCGTGGAAAGTATGCCTCTCATCGACACATCGGAAAGATCGGAATATATAAAAGGCGTACTAATGGAGGATTTCAAGAGAAATATAACGTTTGACTTTATGATGGAAATGATTTGGCTGGCAAGTAACCAAGTTGCTTCAGCTTGTCACATTGCTTCCGGCGAAGGGAGCAATTTTTGGATAGACTTTTATCCCATCTTCAAAGATATGTATTTAACCCCCATGATCAAGTTTTGGTAATGAAAATCATGCAAAACTATGTTATTGCACAAAAGGTTTTACTATCGTTTGTGATTTGTAAAAGGTCCAACCCAAGTAACTTTGAAAGATATTATCCGCATTTTTTTGGAGGAATGCAGTTTAACGTTCAATATGAATACATGGCACTGTGTTCGTCATACTACCGGACCATGTCACATTTAGACATTTACTCGAGACCGAGTGAGTTAAGTTTAAAAAAGCAATAATAACGTTTATTTAATCTGTTACATTTTCAAATAGTTAACTGTATATTAAATGTAATTCTATTTATAACCGACTCATCACATATTTGTCGTTGGGATCGTATTTGAAAAAATCTTCGTCATCGTCATCATAAATATATGTATCACAACAACTGCATATCTTATTGCAGATAAATGCAATTGCAACCCATGTAAGAATAATGATAATCGCAATGGCTGCCATTACGCCATAATATAATGCAAGATAACTTGTGTCGTGGGTTAACACCAATATTTCTCTATCTTGATCTTCAAATTCAATTTCAGAATCAGAATAATTATTTGACGACGAATTTGATGACATGGAGTTATTTAAATCGGTGGAGAGTATGTCGTCTTCGTCATCTTCATCGTCATCATCCTCGGTCGTAGTGAGAGAGAAATTTTCGCTCAAGTATCTTCGGGTTGAGTTTGTGTACAGTTTAACAGTTTCCATCCAAGGGGACAACTTATCTTGCGTACTTGAAACGATCCAAACAAAAATTCTTAACAATGAAAAGCTGAGCGATTCAGATTTAGATTCATTGCTATTGTGAAATTTTGTGGGAGGATCACTGAGGGACTGAATCGGCTTCTTAACACATGTTTGCGTTGTTTCGTCAAAAATGGTTCCTCTTGGTTGACAGTTTTGACGTTTTGCAGTGCCATTCAGGCATTCAATAAAAACGGAGGGCTGCACAGGATCTGAGTGAAAATTTGCTTCATTTTGACAAATGGTTGCATATGTCACTGCAATATATATATAATTGTCATAAGTTACAGACCTTGAAGGGCACGCCAAAGTGTACAACATTACCATTGCAGTTCGCCTGCTCAGCAACCATACATAACTTTTCTATTCCATCAAAAAGGAAGCCTTCTGTGCACGAACTTTTACGAATGGCATATCGCTCCTTAAGTAAATGTAAATTAATTATTAACTTTGCCTTAATTGTGGCCATTTGAAGTAGCTTTATATTGCAAATATGTTTAATACCGTAAGCACAGCAGAGGAAACCGGGGAATGAGACTCGGATTCCGCTTGAGGCACTAAACGAATGCAGGAGACAAAATATTCGACACAATTTTCCGGATTTGAATACATCTCAATTTTATCTAAATCATGACATTTTGGATCTTCGCCAGTCATTGTAGACGCTGACAAACTTTCAGTAGATGTCGATATTTTCATCGTCTCAACTACTGAAGGATTAGAAGGTGAATAACTTGGAGTTGTAGTAGAATCTGGTCGTATTGTTGTTGTTGCTATTTATTCAAGGTTTTATGTTTTAATTTTGTAATGCGATATATTTTTTTAGACAATGCTCAAGTTCAGCTTACAACTATTTACTGAACGGTCCAATGTCAATGGGTTCACATGTTTTGGATCGTCATCTAGATTCTGTACCAATGTTGAAAAGTAGATTGAGGTATTATAATATTTATTACATATATTACTGCCAATAATGCGTGTATATTATATTTTTCAACTTATCTGTACTTACAGAAACAGTACTGCCTGAAAGGGGCAGAAGTAAAGTTGATATGCAAATTCCGAAGAAAATATGCCCCACTCGTTTTTGCAACATTATTATAGCGTAATCAATCACAAAGTAAATAAAGAGAGTCTTCAAGAGCTAAAATCGTCCATAATAAATATAAAATAAACAAACACGGAGACGATTTGTAACGCTGAAGTTGACTGAAAATATTTCCAAGAAAAAATATTTGGACAATGCGTCAATAACAAATATTGGAGAAATTATATACCAACAAGTTTCTAGAGGTTGAGATTTTAAACAATGCTCGACAAATATTATTCTTATGGACCATTTAATATTATAAATTTACTATTACAATTGCATAATTCTACATTGTCTGGATTTACATTTTACAAGTCATAAACAATTTTGAATAGAACATAGAAATAGAACATGCTTATGCAAATACATACATACATTTAAGCCAGAAATTTATGCAAGTATTTCATATTCATATGAAAGAAAGGTTGTTATTATTGACATTACTTCATTTTTGATATTTCATCTAATTATTAAATTAAATTCAGGTAAAGTTTCTGATATATCTGTATCTCATGATTCCCATTGGGCGTGATACGTTAAATATAAATTAAAGTGTACCACAATTAATTAGTGGAAGTTAGTTACATATTTACGTATGAATAAGTGGATACGATTTCGCAATATTTGCATGTCAAGATGAATTTTGAACAAATAAAAAATTAAACCATCAAAAATATATTTTTAAAAATAAATTTGACACTTTAATAGCAAATTGACTTCTTTTCCTAATTTTAATTTAATCTATACTTAATATCTGCCAAATTTGATAAAGTTAAATCGACGTACACACATCTTATTTCATTCATGAATAAATGTTGGAGTGATATTAAATCAAAACATTAGCTTATCTTGTAATTTCAACCATCTACTAATTACGTCTTACAAAAAAAGTAACTGGATATAACTACAATTTGTTGACGAATTTGTGCCTTTCGTATAGAAGCCAGAAAAAGCACGTCCTTCAACTGCATGCAATATAAATTATTTCTGGTTTGCCACAAATAAATATATATATTGCCCATGTGCATAATAAACTTGAATGTTTTCCAAGACAGGTCATTCATACAAAGTCACATACACGCATATAAATATACATGTGAATATTGTACAAAGACGCTGACGACGTTGTAGACTAACAGAATTTGAAGTAAATTGAATTAAAAACATTGAAAGGTTGGTTCCCCAAATTATGGATAACACAAACGGCCTCCAAGAAGTTCGAGTTGAAATTAAGTCGCCAATTACAATAAATCGGAACAAATCGCCGGACTTAACTTATAGTGTTGCATATTGTCGTCCTTTCGCAGTCAGCATTGGCCTCATAGAACTGGTAAATACGTACATAAATGACAATCGGTTAACCGTTTCGTACATTACAAGACATGATTTTTTTATTTTTGGATATTTAAACAGGTAGTATCATCATTGTTTGCTGGATTTCTGTGTTATCTAGGACAAAACTACAAAGATATAAAGCCAATCCTGCAGTTTCCACATTGCTTAACAGATAAAAGTATGTAGTTCTTCTATTGTTGCTCAGATAAGAATTTTTGATATGTTCTAACCCAACAGTGGCCGTGGGGGTACTCAATAGTCTCAGCATCTTGTGTGGATTCGAATTCGTTTTGGCAATCTGGTTGTTAAACAGTATTCTGAAGGTATATAATTTTCATAAATTTCTCATACTATTGACTCTGTTCAATGTATTGAATTGAAATGAAATAAAAATGCTTAAATTTGCAGACAAAAATTGATCAAATGCGTTGCTGGTTGATTATCATGATGACATACGAAATAGTGATGCTGACATTCGTCATCTGTCTGGGATTATCAGGATGCAGGGCAGATCCATTAAACACATTAACATTCTTCCGTGCATTGTTCCGATTTCTCGAGTTTGCGATTGTTTTTGCTCACGTTGAAGAGGAGACTTTGAAACGGATGCGACATAAACTGCGAGCTGTTCGAGAAACGCTGTGCGATTCGACTGCTACCAGCCGTTCAAATATTTCTATTTCCGAACCTCAAGAGGAACATGGAGAAATCTAATCAAAAAGACCCTTCTACTAATTTCCCCTGAAAGACTGAACAGCGTGGTGGGTGACTGAAGATTTAACTGGTTTCCCGTACCTGATCCCCAAAATATTTCATGATTCCTGAATTTTGTTACATTTTATAACATAAAATAAATTCCCGAACGATAATTTTTTAACGGCGTATATTTTGAAATGTTCACTCTGCAATTTAAAAGATAAGTAATTTCATACTCTTCTATCTAGATATACGGTCATAATGTACAACAGGCTCGTCATTGAATTTAAACAGCGCTAAATTTCATACCCAACAATCAAACTCATTTGAAAGAAGTAATTTTGTCATAATTTTGTCATAATAAATAATAATTTGGTAAAGGTCAAAGGTAAGAGTGATTACTCTTCAGAATAGTGTAATATCATGTTGCTGGTCAATTCATGAATATTTATTAAATGACAAAGGATTAAATGTCCCAATAATTCAGTTGTTTTTTCGTGTAATTTCGCTTATAGGCAAAAGGATGGGTTTACAAGAGGACATGAAAATTGCTGTGATTTGTTCGAGTAACATGAATCGAAGCATGGAAGCACACGCCTTTCTCGCCAAAAAGGGTTTCAACGTAGAGTCCTTTGGCACCGGAGATAAGGTGAAATTACCCGGTTCTGCGCCCGACAAGGTTAAAACCCCGAATTTATTATTATTATTTGTATGACTATTTTGGAGGTAATAATTTATTTCTACTTTCAGCCCAACGTGTATGAATTCGGAACAACATACGAATTTATTTATCAAGATCTTCTTACGAAGGACAAATCTTTGTAAGTTTGTACACATGCGAAATTAAACTGGGACTCGCTGTTTAAACACGCATTCATTTTCTATCTTGACAGATATACTCAAAATGGACTTTTACACATGCTGGATCGAAATCGCAGAATAAAACAAAAACCTCAAAAGTTTCAAACCGCCGCTGTCAGATTTGATGTCATAATTACTTGTGAAGAACGAGTTTATGACCAAACCGTAGATTGTGAGCCTATATGCTATGCACATTAATGCACAATAGATATGCTACGAACTTTCGGTTGATTTGTTAAATACATACATATTCATCTATATTTCTTTTGTGGGGAATAGATTTGAACTCAAAAATTCCTGACGACAATGTTCCTGTTCACGTCATTAACATTGATATTCAAGATAACCATGAAGAGGCAACCATTGGAGCTTTCTTAATCTGTGAGCTGACTGGCATGGTACGTGACATAATTGATTGTGTGATATTTTGTGCCTTACACAGGTCAGAAAGTAACATTCGTTATAAATTAATTTTTATAGTTGGCAGATGCTGAAGACTTGGACAACGAAATTGACGAATTGTTACTGGAATTTGAAGCAAAAGCCCAACGAAACATCCTTCATTGCATCATGTTTTACTAATAAGATTATTTATATGCCTTATGTTATTTATATTTCCATAAGAGTAAAGTATATTTTTTGATATATGTACATATGTAGAGGTATGTGTTTGGTAATATGTTTGCGTAGGCTGAGCTTACGTATATTTTCTTCCGGTCCGACATATATGCAATTATGGGTGTAAAACAAGAAAGCAACGAAATTATATTGCTATCGTCATTGTCATCATTGGCATTTACTCCCTCGGGATAATGTACACGTTCCAAAATAAGTGGATTGTTGGTTGGGTCATCAAATTCCCACACATAACGGTAGTAGACGAATTTGTACGAAGAAACCTCAGATGTTCTACCAAAATTGAATTAATATTCAATCACTCTTCAAACAAGGACGCACAACTCCAACCAGAATAGATATGACGTTCTCAAAGTTCTTACTACATTTGGTGCACCTCATCAATTTCTTGCATGATTTTTTTGTCGTACTTGTTTGTTCGTCTTCTCATCTCATTCTCATTATTTTTGATAAAATAAAACTACTCGTAGCATAGTCGACATGTCGTGGGACATGAATTAAGGGGGTGTAGGTATGTATGTACATGCTTATGAATGACCGCAAATACATAATACACATCTTAGAAAATCTAATCGAACTAGTTCCCTTTGGAATATTTTTTATTGGTTGGTATACTCTAAGGATTCTATCAAGGAATTGGGTTGATGAAATTGTCCGTGCCATCTCAGGATATAAAAGGATGAGAAATTACGCACAGAGTCACTTATCTTGACAGATCGCTCCCAGACTTCAGACAACGTAAGTAGTAGTAGAACATTTCATATTGTCATCCATCATTTTTACTTGTCAGTGCAAAATGGTGCTTCGAGTTTGCATGGCTAATTTGTTAATTTCTTTCCTATTTAAAGGTATACCAGTAACAGGCTGGTGGCGTGGATAAAACATTGGTATCTTAAGTTCCCAGTCCTACTACGATTCAACAGCTCTCGACGACGAGTCACCTTCACCAATCTGCGAAGAACTTTCTCGATCTCAATACTTTTATCTTCCAAGATCACCCCGTTGGTTACTTGCAATAGTCATGGCTAAAGTTGCAGGTCAGTTTAGACCCATTTTCGTTTCAAAGTTTTTCTTTTTCTAACGAGAACGACAAAGACGACAACGTTAATAATCATCCTATTTTTTATTGCAGTGATTGCTTTCACCATCGCCCTCATCATTACGTTTCTCGTCTCGAGTAAATCTGTCGAGGCCAGTGGGGGGTACGGTCGCAAGCCCCCATTTAACGGATCAATCTTCGGCAAACGGAACTCGGGTGAGACCATCTTATAATTACTATTTTGTTGGCATCAGCCAATTTTGCAAACCAGGGGAAGCCTGGTATCTTAAAATGTTAATGCCCCATACCTTCCGCGGCGTACATTTCCTTTGTCTTTAAGGTTATGGTGCTTGTCCTTGTTCTACTCACAAACAGAAGCCACATATGCATAGTATTATACTCTACTTGGAACTCATTCTCAAATCTAATGCCACGAAGTAAAATGATATCTCGGTGTCGAGATTGACCACCTGTTGGAAGTTGTATATGGCTGCCCGAAATAAATCGAGCCATTTCTTGTTTAGAAATTGAGTTGTGATTTCCTCTGACGAATGTGACAACTGTGGTGCACATAAATATTTTATGTATGAGATGTGAATAACCCGGCATGATAACTTATTTTTAGAAGGAGTTGGAGCGAGTTCCTCCAATGGTGAAGGGTACGGAGGGGGAAAGTCACTCGGAAGCCTTTGCGAAATCGCTTGGGAGACATGTTCAGGTAGAAGTTTATTAGCAAAGAAAGTACATTTCATCGTCAGAAGGTGGAAATTTAATTGATTGAAACATGTTCAGCTCTCTATCTGGAGACTTCAAGGTGAACTTCTAGCTCGATCAGCCTCTACTTTTCCATCTATCGCTCCCACCTTCTTCATCATCTCCGGTGAGCATCTGCACTCTGTTGCCCGTCATTCCCGAAACTCCTGAAAACTTTAAATGTATTTAGACTGTTAAGAATCAAACAGGCTTGGCTGCTTGGATTATTTTTAGAAAATTTAATAGAGATGTACAAATTAACGTGCGAAGGAGGAACAATTAGTGCCACACGTGCAATTCTCCTATCTCAACGGGTCTGACCGGGTTTTAGTCGATTATTATTTAGTCAATGTCGTTAGCCACATAAATAGCAAAAAGCAAGATTACTTTGTCAGCATGAAATTATAAATTTCATGAATTTCCTGGTGTTAGGATCCATTTAAATAGATCATAAAATTCTTGAAAAAGGTTAAATCTTTACATGCTTTATCGAGGTATGCAAATTTTTAATCCATTTTAAGATCATAGTGCAATGATTATTAATGGGAAACGTGAATGTAAATGTGCAATTATTATTAATCATTTTAAATTGTTTGCCAGAATTAAATGGCCGAGTTGCTTCAATAATATATAAAGCATAATAAAAAAAATGACGTGAAGAAAAAATCTGCACCTGTCCAAGTCATTATTATTATCACGGGAAAAGTAATTTATAAATACATGTAAAACAAAAGATTGTACAATTTTTCTACCACCCACGAGGGCCATCATGCAATGATGTATATGCTAATAGCTTATAAAGATTGCTGAAATGCATGAGGGCATGATTCCAAAAATGTTCGCTTGACGCTGACGTCGTAAAAGCGGAAGCCATATTTTTATTGTTCAGTACCATGAGCATCAAAGTGAGCCGTATAGTAGTATAAATTTCGCATTTCTTATTATTGCAACCATTTGCTTGACTCGACACGATACCTTCTCCTGGAAATCTAAACAAAACCCACTCTCATCGAAACCAATTAGAAAACAAATCGTCATCTGAAAAGATGGGGGTCGTCAGCAGCAGGTGTTCTACGTATGATTCATTATTTTTCATTATGCGACAGTTGGAAAAAAGAATAAAAGCAATTCGAACAAAAAGTGGGAGCCACGTATAAAAGGATGTAATTAAGGTCAACTAGCTTACTTGTCACTCACTTCCTTTTTGAGACAGTTTCTGGAAGAGTCAGACCTAAAATTTGGCCTTTGGGGAAAGTCTCATCAGGTTCAAGTTGCTGTGCTTTTAACACAGTCAGCTCTTTACACAGACACAATTTTTTATTACATAATTTTGAGTTTGTAAAACAACTTGTCACCAATTACGCGTATCATACGAATAGCGCGAAAGGATGACCAGCGTCAACAAACGAAGAGGTAAATATATCCTCGGTGTTTTCTGTCAGCACTTTACTCGCTATCAAGTTGTATCACGTTGCCTCAAGCATCACTCTTAATTTTAGGAGGATCCTTTCCCATTTGTTTTTGTTTTATCGTTGTCACAATGGTCGTTATAATTCTCCGGTTGACCCACGCTCAACCACAACACTTTTTCAAAGCGAACGTAAGTTTTTTCACACACATATTGTTTCTTTCTATCGGAGTTAACCAACACTTTGTGTGCCTCTCTATACGTTTTTATTGCAATGCTTACTAACTGTTTGGAACATGGATTAATAGCAAGGAGCAGATGTATGGTTCCCTTTGAATTTGACATTATATCATCAATTTTAAGCATGAAAACATTATCACTTTATTCCATTTTGTTTGCTGCTGCTGAGTTACCTAATCTCATTTTACCCCAAATTTGGTGTAGGCCCCAGTGTCGAAATCTCTACCACGGATCGGTCGTCGCAGTGACTTGGAAACTTTCCCTTTACCACTGATGACTGACAACCGTCCGTGGTCTGAGGGCAACGTTGTTGAACATCGCAACGGGAACCAGCAACCGCAGGAAGTCCGCGGAGGAGGAGGTGAAAGTTATGCAATTCCATTTCTGGAAGAAGAAGAGAGTCGTCTCGCCCCAAACATTCTGCATCAGGTGGATCAATACCTCTGGAAAAAGTTGATGGCTGCTGCTGGTGATCCAGACATTTCAGAAATTCGCAACGGCGACACTATGCGGAACGTGTACAGATCTCGAGCTCTGAAGTAGTAGGCTTCCTACGCATTGGATTATTTAGTGTATAGCATTTATGTACGTTAAGATTAGTACACACCGGAACTGCATATCGGAACTGTGGGTGTATTCTGTAATAATATGTACGTTTAAGTCATTTGTTATTGATCGAAGCGATCACTGAGTGACTATATTTATTACAGTCAGTAAGCGACAATATTTAAAAAAAAGTATGCTCTTAGTATTTCTGGTACGTGTATAAAGCACGAGGATTGCATAAATATTCATAGCACATGAGTTTGGATTCGAATAATGTTTTTAGCTTTTTTTAGAGCCATCGCTTTTGTCGCGTATGTCATATTATTATCCTTTTATGGATAAAGCCTCTGTATTGACAATAATAGAAATAAAGTACGTTTTTAGTTTGTTTAAAACCAATCTTAGCCTTTTGTCATTCTTTCCTAACACTTTCAGATTAGTGTAAACTGTATAGTCTGCAGATGTATATGTAATTAGTGAGTCATTAACTGGTAAAATAAAATATTTGTAGGAACATGCAATTTGTGGTAAATTAGAATAGAAACGTTTTTAGATCCTATCTATGTATTTATTATAATTGCATTGCTTATTGTTGTTGAATTTATATACGCAAAAAAACAATTACGTAAAACTTGTGTCACCCTAATAAAAATATATTAGTAGTTTTCGTGTCGTAATCGGAGGTAGTTTTCGATGGTGAGTCATTCATTACTAATCCCACTATTGTAAAGTCCTACAGGTAATCCGGATCAATACTTTTTATACTACGTTTCTGAGATTTTTATTATATCACGAATATTCGCATACTAAAATTTTCAGACTGAGAATGAGCAAAACGTCATAAAGTTACTCTAACGTGGGCGAAGAAACACGTAAATGCAAACCAATCTATCTGCTTCTTCAGACAGGAATTATCTCCAAATCAGAATATGACAATGTCACACTTTGTTCAATGTGTTGTAAGTCCTATTTCCAGAATCTAATCCATTATGAATACAGTAGAATTAATCCATTAAGTTTTTATTCTATTTATTTGTCGTGTTAAATTCCACAGGGAATTGAAAAGATGGCATGGAAAATCTCGAAGTAACCTTTGATTCTGTCTACCCTGAACGATTTGTTGGCTTAAAAAGGGAAAAACTGTTTCACTCCAGCAAAATAGGATTTTCTCTTTGACGTGATGTCAATTGAGAACTACGCATACGAAATATGTATGTGCATCTACTTCAATAAAGAGCCAGTGTTGAATTGGAGTGAACCAACAACTGCTCCTTGTCGCATGAAAAAAAAACCTCATCTCGTCGTTTTATAAACCGTGGGGTGTGAAAAGAGCCACTCCCTCCGCTTAAACTTGGAATTTCTTGGTTTCTCTAAATCATGTAATGTCGCAGCATTTGAAAACCAGAAAATAATTTGTAATACCTTCGTATCTAGCTTACCGCTACAAAACAGCAAAAATGTAGGGATTAAAATAGGACCCGAAAATTTTTAAATTGAATACTTTGGTTACAAATCCTGCATACACGGGACCTTTCTACCAGTACACGGAATAAACCCACAAACTCTTGGTGTTCGTTGTAAACATTTTTATATCAATGAGTCGTACATACATCAAAAATTCCACAAAAATTTACGATATACTGAATTCGGAATGTGTCAGTTTTAACGGAATTAAAACAAACGCAGGACGTGTGATGGGACGAGGCGACAAGTGCGGTTCAATAATTTCAATGTTTTCGCCGTTTGTTGATAAGTCAAGAGATCTAAACATTTGCAAACTTGACGTCTGTCGTTCGTTGCCACTGGAATGTAACTCTCATGGGGAATTTATTTCTCTTGCCCTCAAAGATTTACATTTTCTCGGAAACCTTCCAAAGCTTAAAGCATCATCCAGGAAACCAATGTTTTTGCGAAAACACGTTTGAATTTTGTGAGAAGGGAGGAGTAATTCCATGGGGAACCTCCTCTAAATCCCAACAGCTTATTCTTATTCCATTGTTTTTCACGCCAAGTCAATGCCTACCAATGAGGCTTCGCTTTTACTTGAGTTGGAACTACAGCGTAGCAAAATTTGGCATTGAAATTCATTGAATTTTGAATTGAATGCTCCGCAGGGGCACCATTGTTTTTGTCCATGCCACTTGTCAACATCTAACTAGGATTACTGGAATCCCGTTGAAGGATTGTCGGAATATGCATCGAGATTACAAGTCTTACATCAACATCGATCCAGCAATTGCTTCGTCTCCTTCAATCATGGGCAACGCATATAACTCGTGATTAATTTCCGGTTGTATATTACTGTATGACGGTGTTATACGCGTAAGTAAATATATAGACTATCAGACTTCGGGCCTCAATTAACTTACCTATATATGCACAAGTTGGAATGAATGAATTAGAATGAAACTACATACGTACAGTCGCACGGAGAATTTCGTATGCATCAAATCTGATGTTTCCCATATTTATGTTTCGCGTTTATGAGCAGAATAAATATAAAATCCCTATTTGTATAACAAATTGATATTTTAATTAAATCACCAAAATATGTACATTAAAATTAATTTACATAATGCATAATTTGATAGGCCACAGATGAATTTCCAGGAAACTAATCAGAGTTCAAAGTATTGCTCACTTTGCATTACTACGATTCTCTTTGAGACGAAAGTTCCATCATGGAACACTGATTGTTCAGTTCTAAATATTAAGAAGGCGGCTCTGGAAGGAATTAGGACATGATGTGTCGAATTATTTGGTTAAATTGTTGTTGGTTTACCTGCATCATTCAAATCGTGAAAAGTCCTAGCGATGGAGCATTATGCATATGTGTATGCATATGTGTATGCAATTATAATATGCATCTATTCATTTGAATTAAAATGACATTTAACTTTGAGCACTCCTCAATAACTTGAAAGTTTGTCCTTTCCTAGAATCCTTATTTTACGCTGGTTGACAATCTACGTATATTTTTATTAAATAACTTAGCACGGCAAAATCTAAAACCCCATCATACCAAATTGCCAATGTGGCTATAAAATTTTAATTTGAAATCCAATCGTGTACGTATTACTTGTCAACTAATTTTAATATATTTCATTGCATAATAATTTCGTTGGGATCTACTTCCAATACTTAACTCCATTGTAACTTCGTGAAAGTGATAAAACCAAAAATAAAATGCGTCACCAATTTCTTAATTGCTACCCCTTTTTACTTCACACAGCCGTGATCTTGTTTATCATCATGGTTGAAGTGAAAGGTGTACCAGTTTCCTTCGTGGATGGTAAGTTTCATTTTGATACCAAGTTAGATTTATATTGATTAAATGATTACATTGTACATCACGACATGCAATACATAATCATCACTTGCTATCTGACCTAGACTTTCCCCGGAGGCACCACGTTCCACTTCATAGAACCACAGACAATCATTTCCAAGCATTTAAGCACCAACGACAGTTTGCAAGTCCATTCCACAAATTAAATCAGCTCCCCCAATGGCAACAACAGCAGGAGTCAAGTCACCACGAGGACCATGTAAATTGGGAACAACGTCAACGTCGCCGAGAAGAAAGGTCTACTAATTCACAACCAGAGAAAGATTCTTGGCGGTTTGGGCCCGAAGCAAATAATCAAAACTTTGAAGATTTTTCGGAGCCTCATAATCACCAAAGTTTGCACGATTTTAGACATGCTCGGCCCTTGAGCCACCGGCAACAAAGAAGTAGGAGAGATGTTCCAATAAAATTTAATGGTGTGTACAAAACTATGAACCTCTCGCGATATAAACTGCATTAACCTGAAAATGAGCTAATTCTTCTAATTCGTAACATTTAGATTGGGAGTTTCATCGGAATTATGAATCTGCGGGTGCGGAACCGATCGCAAAATTTAATCAAAACAAAAAATATGATGACGATTATAGCCCAAGAAATGGGGTCGACTACAACGACAACGGTTATTGCAATTCAGTGGATTGCAGAAGAGAACGATTGACTATCAACCATATTCGGAGGATGAGTCCTAATGCTGCTTTTATGAGTACTCCTGCTGGCCAAACTCCTAAATCCAATAATGGTGGTGGGAAAAGTAACACCAGAAATTCATTACCATTGCAAATGGCTAGGTCGTCAGAAGCTCGAGGTTCTGAATCCCAGGATCAGCCGCCCAGAAACGACTACGCTGACCAAGAACAGCAACAGCAGGAATGGGAATGGGAAAAATATCGTTACAATGAGGAGAATTTTCACGAATTTTTTCAACCCGACCACCAGACTACTCAGGGTTATAAACCTTTCCCTTCCAGGCCAGCCAACACGATGGGGAATTTAAAAGAGAGTTTGAGAGATTTAGACCAGTTTGGTCATGCCATGTTCGCTTCTGGAATGGGTGCAGGAGAAGACTCTTTTCCGGATCTGAGCGTGGTCAGATTTAGAAGCAGCAGCATAGCTTTAGGGGATAACCTGGAAATTGTGAGAATCGAATTGGATATCTCGGATGGCGAAGAAAATGAAGAAACCAAATTGGAAGATGTGGACGATCAATAACGGCTGCATTTTATAGTATAGCGATAAAAAAAACATGGTATATATTGTTCGAAATGTATTTTTTCGAAATGAAACTTATCTTGTAGTTCTATTTTGTCATTTACGTAGCCCATTAATTAAAAATTGTCTAGTAAAGATAATAGTGTGAAATTGGATGATATTTTAATTCGCATAACCAATTATTTACCAGCGTATGTATGTAAAACCCTACTGGCCATCGGACGAACCGCATTATTTATTTCATGAGCACAAATCAGAGTCAGTATGTACATACGTAAACACATTATATAAATAACATGTCCATAAAGGAAGCTCCAAGGGGGACTGTCTAGAACGATTCTTGGGTCTTCAGCTTAGCAACTGCATAGTACTTAATTTTTTGTCGTACGTGCATACACCTGTGGTTAATGGTACCAAAGAAGAGTAAGAATAATTAATGAACCGGTTACATCATTGACATAATTAAATGAAGTGATGATTGCATAATGAAAAGTCATCCTTGAGTGCATAATTCTTTTAGGCGAAAGGTGTAGCTTTTCTATAATCAAAGCTGCATAATTTCAAAATGGAGTTGAAATTGATTTTAATTGTGGTTTACATTGTGCTTGATATTGCAAACGCAGCAGTAATAGAACCCATCATACAAATTGACCAAGGTCAGCTCAAAGGGAAAATTGGGGAGAGTCGTGGTGGAAAAAGTTTTGCAGAATACCTCGGAATTCCATATTGCCAAAAACCGGAGAGATTTCATGTATCTAAAATTATTCATCGCCATAATACTAAAACCACATATTACTCAACTAACCACCGTAATAAGTACTTAATAATTTTATTGAATAAAATTAATTGTTTAGGAAGGAATATTACCAGCCCCGAAATGGGAGGGATTACGAGACGCAACAAAATTTGGCCAAGTCTGTCCTCAATTTGACCGAAAGTTAAAATCAGTGATAGGAAACGAAGACTGTTTATTCTGTAACGTGTACACCCCCGAGGTCGGAATTCCAATAACTAAATTCCTTCTTTTCTAACAAACTGACAGTTTCTCCTCTCCAGATTTCAACTCCTGAAAAATCGAAAGGAACGCCAGCAACTAAAGTCTTGAAAAAGCGTCCTGTACTTTTCCATATTCATGGAGGCTCATTTGTCTCTCAAAGTGGAAATTTGTTTGGTCCAAAATATTTATTGGACGAGGATGTGGTTCTTGTCACTTTCAATTATCGCCTCTCAGTTTTTGGTATACTCAAATACTCAAATCACTAAATACTTGTATGTCTTTTGTAACTTTCACTTAAGAGAAAGTTGGGGACTTAAAACTTAATTTGTTGTAGGATTTCTAAGTACTGGTGATAATGAAACAATTGCAAATTTGGGATTAAGGGATCAAATTCAGATGTTGAAATGGGTAATTATGTATTTATTCTGACAAATTCAGAGGCGATTGCTGAGGCTACTTCTAGTATGTACAAATATTCCATTTGGAGTTTGCAAATTTTGTTCTGAACTCCTTGTATGTAGGTTCATCAAAACATTGAAAAGTTTGGAGGCGACCCGACGAAGGTAACTTTACTTGGCAGTGGAAGTGCTGGTGGGGCATTGGCATCGTATTTGATGATGTCGCCACTGGCAAAAGGTAATATACAGCATAATCCAATGGAAATATTAAATTGAGCCACATACTTACACAGGAACATACCAGCATGGTTTAAAGTGACATATTTGTTATGTATCTTATGGTATAGGATTATTCTCCTCGGTGATTTCAACCAGTGGAACTGCGATCTGCCCGTGGGCGGTGGTTCATAAGCCGGCTAAAATTGTACAAAAATTGGCTGCAAAGCTAAATTGTCCTTCCAGTGCGAAAAGTAGCAAGGATATTGTGGCATGCATCAAGGGAAAGAGCATCAAAGACATTGAAATCGCACGCGTCGCATTGCAAGTAAGACGTTCAACATACATACATCGCTAAAATTCTACATACTGGATTGGAGATTTAGTTGGTTACAACAAATCTTGTATTTGTGTATTTGCAGGGATTTGTAGAAGACCCAGCCGTTCCTTTCGCACCCGTCGTAGAAAGTTGGTTGGTGAAAGATCCGGCTTCTGCTCCAGTTATTCCAGATGTACCAGAAAAGTTGATGAATGACGGGAAATACAATCGCGTCGCTTGGCTTACAGGAGTCAACTCTCATAATGGCATAAATCTTGGGCTAGCGAGTAAGCGTAATCGTCATTATTGTGACGAGACTAATTAGAACCTATAGACTCATCCGTGTTACTATTATTATTATCCTGGTGAGCCATATGCTTTCTCCTTATTCCTTTACATAGCCATCCTAACCACGCCAAAGAGATTGACGCAACTGGACCAAGAATGGAGTAAATTGGCTCCTCTCACTTTTCATTATAGTCAAACCGCATCCCATCCCTCAAACGTATCTGCCTCTATCCGCGAACATTATTTTGGCAAGAAAAACATCAGCTTAGAGACGAAGGACAAATTGATCACAGCTTTGACGGATAGGAATTTCATTTACTGCACAGCACAGGCTGCATCACTCCAATCAAAGTTTAGCCCAGTGTATTTGTATCATTTGGGTTATGTTGGAGGACACAGCTTTTTAGATGAGTGGAACGTTAGGAAGGACTTGAGTAAGCAATTTATGAATTTTATTAGGTATACAAAGTTGGAGACAAAACTCTGAGGAAAGAAAATCATATTTTTTTTAGATGTTACGGGTGTGGTGCACGGAGATGAATTGCAATACTTCTTCAACTTGGACATGGGCAATTTCCCCATCATCAAGAAGGGAGATAAGCATTTTCCATTCTCTGAGAAAATAGTAAAGCTATGGACCAGCTTTGCACAGACTGGGTAACACTTTAAATTCTTAGTTTTGAAACTGAGGTAACAACTGTCTCTGAATGATCAAAATTAGAAAACCAATGGACATAAGAGCTGATAAGACTGCTGCAGAATGGTCACCTGTCCCATCAGGAACAGGGAAACATGCCGTGCAGTTTTACAGTTTAGATTCTGCAGAGCTAAGTCGCCCCATAACTCTTGACGGAACAGTGCAATCCACGATATGGGACGAGGTGGACTTGGGTGGCTACAAGGCTACAACTTCATCCAAATTTGCCATTGGTTATGAAATGTCGGATAATCGGAAACCTTCTCCCATAAACTCTGGACGTACAACCTCCTCACCGAAACCACTTTCGTCTCCAAAACAATCTCAACTTACACCGAGAACTGAGAAACCTTTGGTCGTCCCAAGCCCCTCGATTGAACACTTTGAACCAATTCATGTCAAGGGAGGAACAATTCTAAAGGACGAGGACCCATTCTCCAGTACTACGACTACCACCACAAAGAAACCTGGATTTTTTCAAAAACTCGTTGGCTGAATGCAATGTTAATTTTCTCTTTGCAGGCCTAAGCCACCCTATCATTTAGAAATAAAAAAGCAAATAATCAGTGTATTAAACATTTTATAGGAGTTGTATATGTATATTGATACTTTTACATATTAGTATATGATGAGTCATTTTTTTAAACACCTAATGTACAATGAAATGACTAATTATTGCTAAAAGCATCCATTGCATCCACTTTTCCTCTCAACTCATCCTTTCCCATTTATGACCCCAAACTTGTGGTTCAGTATCGATCCGAAAATTAGCTAGGAGGACAAAAACACACGGCGATAAGCTAATGCATTTTCGCCATCTCGCAATTTACCCAGTCACTCACCACAGTCCAGAATAAGTGGTCTGCCTGGTGCCGTATACGGAGAGATGCACCCGTTCACTTGCACCCCCTCATTTGCGCCAGCATAGGATTAGTTGTACTTATGCACATCTTCCACCCCACTCGCTTGATCCCTGTAAACACGACAATTTAAAATTAACTATCTTAGAAATTAAAAAAAGTCGGCATGATGCGAAATGTGTGCGAAACTTTCTCCGGATCTCATTGACTATTTACACAATTTTTCAACCACTACTCACTAAGGAACGGGTGCAAGTGAGTGGGTGCATCTCTCCGCAATTCGCCTGGTGCTAAGAAAAACATCGATCTCTCACTAGGTTTGATGTTTGCGGATCATCATTTCAGACTGGTACACACGTATTTAGTAGTGGACTGGAAACCATTCCAGATCATAATACTTTGCATGAAAACGAAACACAAATAAAGGATAAGAGTAATATGATTTTATGAGAGCTATAAATGCTACACATTTGTTACAACGCTCGTATGCCGTGCCCATGATTTTGTCCACATGTGATCATTGAGTGCCCAAAGTCTTTGTTAATGCGAGCACCTGGCCCTCGTTTTTTGCATTACAATAACAGGAAAAATAAACCATTTGGGGTTTGTTAGACGGGTGTAATTTTTTATGATGCCTGCAACTTTTACCCTTCATTTTCTATAGTGTCACTTTGTTGCAGCCTGGTGCCATTGCCAGGATCAGGTTCATTGATGGGTACTGCTACTGGGCACCCTTTTGTCAAGGGTGGATACTCAGACACAAAAATGCATCAATTGCTCGTTAGCCAGAGTTTCCTACTGAAGCTTATTTTGGTTTTCATGATGTGCATAGAGTTAAAATCTAGCAGTACATCGTTTGCGGTAACGACAAGCGGTCAACAGCAGAATGAGGGTACAGTTACTCTTGACCAATTACTGAGCACTGTTGTTGCAGGGATAAAAATTACGCTGTTGGGGCTGACTGAGGGAACTGTACTTTAGTTCACATGCAGTGATTGCGAAACTTGTGGGTATGAATCTGCTCTATAAGTTAATCTCAGGTGGACTGGTTCACCTGTAAATAGGTAGATATTAAGATTGAGAAAACCAGTTCTTCTCAAGCGTACAATGATCCACGAGACCTCAAGAGCTGTATATGCATACCTTACAATGTTGTAAACGTGTGAATATGAAAGGTAGCAAGCAGTAAAGTGAACCTTTTTTGCTAAAGATATTTCTACCGCCACCTGTAAAACGCAAGGATTTTAAAAGTTGTAAAATTATTTACTTAAAATATTTCATAATATTTAAATCAACAGTTTGCGCTGAGGTTATATTTCTGTTGTGTATTATATCTGAGAGATAAGTACTTACCTTGTTCACATACATGGATTTTTGTGTTTAAGTTACTCTGTTGAAGTTTGAAATTGTCAGAAAATATGACAAAAATGAACGGCCGAAATCATAATGTGACATTAGCAGTGGCTTTTGTAATAGGATGCCTTATAATGTTGCTCTTTCTGCTGAACAAAACCCATGAGACGCTTGAGGACAGCAGAAGTGCCCTGAGCACTTTGGAGGATAAGTATGCAAGTCTTGTCAAACAATTTGAGTGTAAGTTTCAATCATGGCATAGGATTTTAATCAGTAAACTAAGAAAATTATTTTGAATTGTGCATTGTATTTTTTAATTAATTAATTAAATTGACAGCTCTCTACGAGTATAAAGAAAGACTTGAGCACTCATTCATGAGCTTTAAAGAAAAGAAATCTGCCGTTCTCAGCGAAGCAGACACAGTCAAGTCAGAACTCGCAGTTTTGAAGTCATCGCACAAGAACGAGATACAACGACTGCATGTAAATTCAATATCACTAAATAATTTAGCCCTTGTTGTTGATAATGTGCAGTGCATTGACTTTTGAACCTAATTTATGCGTAGGATGAATTGGATGCTTGTCGCCGACGTGAGGAAATGGCTGTAATTCACAGATCACAGAAAGACGACGCGTTATTGTCCCCTTCCTCGCTCGTTGCCCAGTTGCCCTCGATGCCAATTTCTCCAGTGGAAGATGTTCACAGTAACAGTGCGAAAGAAGCGTCTGGGATAAAAGTTATCAGCAGTCTCAAAAACATTCATCAAAATCAAAGCGACAGCAACAAAGGAGTTCCGCAACCCTCCATGGATCCCAATGTTGATCTTGCAGGAAATGTGATGGTCTAAATAACACTGCCATAACTTGCCATTTTCAATATAATCTCCATTTCATGTATTTCCAGACACCTAGTCATTTGAATATATAATGATTTATTTATTAGTATATTTATTTTACAAAGTTCACGAGGATATTATATCGGATCATGAGGATAATTTTATCTCGTTTATACTTATGACTCAATATTTTATAAGATTTATATGAATTATAAAGATTGTTACAATAATAAGATCAAGGAGCTCAGAGTACATACATTTTTTGTACTTAACCCATTCTTCCACAGAGTTACATACGTCTATAAATATTTAAATACATCACATCACCACAAGAGAGAAAATATCTAATACGTAATTTGGGATTTCTGTGATTATTTTACTAGCATTACACATACATACTTTTGAGAACAATGTGCTCTATTGGAGAATAAAATCGAATACTAATGTTATTACAACATTTTAGAAGCACTCTTTAAATTATTTTGAATAGTTACTGCATAATTTTACGTCTACTTATATGCCACATATTAAGGATATGTTTTTAAATAATATATCCTATGCATATTTGCATATTTACGTCAAATGAGGTGGTGGGTATGACATACATATTGAAGGAAATGATTGTTCGGGGTATCGGCCGGAGGAGGAAGGAAGCATCATACACATTTATCTGCACAATAGTCAGCATTTGAACCAGTGATGACCTTTGCTGCTTGACTCATATTTAGCTATTTAGTAGTGTGTGTAATAGCTCAAATGCCTGTAGAGAAAGAGAAGGTAGAGGATGGAGACAGCCATGGGAATGAGATGAAAGAGCTCCAGCCAACTCAGCGTCCAAATGGTGGTTATCGACGAGGGGTCGTACGAAAGGGTATCGCCATCCGACAAGTGATGATTGTGAACTTGATGATGTTGATGATTGTGAAATTCGTGCTTTCCATCGTGATCCGACCCTGTGAAAGTTGAAGTGTAGTTCTTTTGACTGAAATCTCCTTGGGATAAATAGAATCGGGAATAGTCGACCAGACTCTCGATCGCGAAATAAAATGTAGGCAAGAGTCCCAAAAGTGCGAGGATGTTGAGAATAGATGTCATTTTCAAATCGCATTGCTGGATTCCAAATGCTGTGATATTCATATAAAAAATTCACATTAAAAATATGCATGTACGTGTCGATCGATGTAGCAATTTTGTCATATTAATTATTGGTCTATCCTGGCGTATAAATAAATTGGTGAAAACAAAAAGTAGTCTCACAGTCCCCCACACACTTCGACTTCTTGTCCCACTTTCTCTTTAATCAGACACTTTGATTCAGAGTTACGTCAACTCACAAATCTAATTAGAGTTCTTTGATGACGACTGAATGGATGAAGCAATACACTGGCTGCGAGTGGGAGAAATGAAGGAAAAAACCTACAGTGTTCATGCATAACTAACACCAGTTGCACTTTCGTACGTCGTATGACTTGTGTGTCTGTACGTTGAACTACGTTTGTCAATTTATTATTTATTTAACAAAATCTTTAAAGCTATGTACTACTAATTTTCGCAAATCATTCTAGAAAATGATGAACATTCATCATTCAATCGCTGGGTTTTCTTAATGCTGCTAATTTCTCTGAATCACTGCATAATTATCCGTTTGATCTATAATCAGGGTATTACGCAACATGAAATTAAAGTATAGATTTGGTTGAAAGTCTCGACGATGTACGTATGTATTTGGAAGCAACAAGATTTAATAGACTTGGATTACGTAATACTTAATCGCATGAATATGAACTTTTGAATTGCATCTGTTTGTCATTCGGCATAAGTAAAAATAAGACGAGTTTTCCGAGCTAATTCTCCGGTTGTGGGTGAAGAGTTTGTATGGTTATACCATTATAACCTTGGGAAATGAGACACAGATACACCAACCACTTATCTGCCCACATATCTACCAACCAACACAAACGCAAGCCGGGGAAGGCTCATCGGAAACAAGGATAATGACGAACCTGCAGATATGATCCCTAGAAGAGCAGAAACGAGACCAAAGCCGAGGCCAAAAAGACCTCTCTCCTCCACCGTCGAAATAAGTGCCACTCCACTCAAGACCATCAACGTCAGTCCCAGTATGACCTGAAATCAGAAAATTAAAGCAACACATTATTCTTGAGCACCATCTCAATAAAACCTGAGCCCTTTCTTCTTCTTGTTCAACTTTCAATGGCTGTATTCTCGTTCAAAACAACATGTTTTTAACAGCCAAGTTCCTTGTCGAAACTTTGTTTATATATGTGACACGAAAACGTAGTATGCGGATAGAACAAGAGCTGATTAAGAACATGCGCTCATTATTTCCATCAACATTGACGCGATCCAGCTCCGTAATAATTCAAGACTTTCACTCTTTGAGTTGTTTTATGCAGAGTTTAACATCATGCATCTCATTGAAACCTTTCTCGCCTTCATCTTGTCTATAATTCATTAAGAGAACATTCATCATGCCCAAACAGATTAAGTCAGATCATTCTCGGCAACTTTCTCCATTTAATAGCATGCATGCACGACGATCTAAGGATAAGTAGGACGACCTACCAACTAACTTTTACACCACGTTTGCCTCGGAAGAATTCTCTCTCTTTCATCATAACCCCCGAAGCTCTCAACCATAACATAACCCATTTTATTCTACTAATTGACCCTAAAGAGTCAGAAGAAGGAAACCCGGAACAAACAAAAATTTAGAAAGCGGCGGCATATATATTATTAATTACTTACACATATGCATATGTATATCTATATATATGAATTGCGATCGATGGATTTAATTCTCAAATGGTTCATGCATTTTTTACAAATTGAATACGAGCTTCATTGAACTCCCGGCGTCTTAGCAGAATAAATATGTACGTTGATTAATGAGTTTCCTGTTGTATGCTTATTATATAAACATATTTATTATAAAAGGAGCCAAGGCATTAACTAATCGTGAATATGTAATGAGGCGTTGTTGGCAGCATAGGCAATTTCGCACAGCATCGACTATTGAATTCAGTTATTACATACAAATGAGTCTGCGGGTTAACTTTTCGCACAAATTGGGAAGCCTGGAGGGATCCAACAGTGGTTGTGTATTAGACCAACGATGTGGGTCTCTACGAATATTGTTCACGAATATTCAGGCATAAACCATCTCATAAAGGAAGGAGCGAGCAAATGATCTTGTTCGCCTTTACATATCAAATGTCGATGTCAACTACAGCCACGTTATTATTACGGGAAGGAAACTTTTGCCTTGCGAATTTACCAGCGAATTTTTTGCGTTTTCCAACTGACTTGATGTCGTAACTTGATCTGCCACTCGCTCCCCGACACTGGGCTTTAGGCAGAAAAAGCAGAGTGTGCATCATGAGTTCCAAGAATTTAAGTGAACTTTATACATAGAATAATGTTTTACATGTTTGGCCAAATAAATACGGCATGTCTTGGGGGCTCAACTAAACTGGCTGGATGATGGTGGTAACGTTTATTCAACCGAAAACTGTTTAAGGTTGTGGTTCTAAGATTGCTTTCAGATGTCAATCGAGACCAACGCATGTTACGTATGTACGTATCATAAATACATCATTTTGTCTCGTGTGTAAAAGTTTTTGAAAGATGGGAAAGTTCTTATTGACTTTTACCCATCTCTTTTTTTGACGCTTATGTAATATTTTTTTAACCTTCTAAATGATAATGTTACGGAGGCTTGGGTAAAATTATAGATTTGATTCATGTGCTATACCATCCCTGAATATTAAAATATGTTAAAAATGGTTCATGCAACTACGTAGCATCCCTTTAACTAGCTACATATCTTCTGACGACTATATAATATGTGTAGCACCCACGTTACTCTAAATATCTGCAGATACTTATTAACTCAAGCAAAGGCGGTGTCATCAGGCCAACATTTCTTCCTTTAGAATACGTGTGACACAGAATAACTCTTTCCCGTCACATTACTGGAATCAATTCATTTTTTTCTTATCACAGATTCGAATCTTCCTTTGAGCTCTTTCTGAGGAGCAAAATGGACTCCTCTTTCTCAATAAAGAAGGACGAGGAGACAGATTCCTTGTCCTTGTGACAAATTGAACTTTTCTCCATCTGCTTGAAAGCCTTTTACAGTTAGTGAGAGGAGAAAGTTTTTGTTCAGTGTCGCTATTTGATAAAGTGAATGGATGCAATGATCTAGAACTAAGTCGACCGCAGCAGGAAATGAGTTCCCAAAAATAGAGTGAAATTCGGTACTTTGTTTGGCATGTGTGCCATCTGAAAATGGATCAGCCAACAAATAGAATTTCAATTGCTAGGATTTCCAAAATTCGGAAATATAACTTGATAAAGAAATAGTTACAGTCTAAAAGCGAGTCTCAAACAGCATTTTTCTAGAAACATCTATATTCATAATGCATCGTCATATTTATCTTGTTTCAGAACAATACTTTGGCTATGAAGATACGATCGGATACATCACATAAAAATGCATCCAATCTTTCGTTCTCTCCAATTTTGTTTAGGCGGACAAGCGCGCATTGTTAAAAATATTTAGGAAAAAACATTAAACATTGTCTTTCGAATAGCATACGTTGCAGTGAAATAGACACCCAATTATCCCTCCTAAGAAAAGAATATTACTATTTTTATATGTAAGATCCATATATGTAGAGTACGGCATTCTTTTTACGTATCTCCGACCAAAATCATGAAGACAATGAAGAGATGAGATATACAGCCAAACCGTAACTTTTTTATTGGAAAACTTTTTTCAGATTTAACGAATTTCATGTTGTGAGAAATCGTTGTATTTTATGGCTATGCGCTACAGAACTTTCATTTAATCTCACGAGTGTCCCACGCGTACATACGTTTGTACATATTGCTTCACAGTAACTGTTGATCCTTGTGCCTATTCTCGGAAAGCCAGAGTGATTAAAAGTTTTAAGAAAGTGGGGATAGAAGAAATTGCTTTCTCTTCCACGTACTTGCGACTTTACCTTTGAGACGAATGAAGAAATATATTTGTGCAGAAAACGGGCCCAACCAACAAATGATTAAAGTGGATTAAAGACTTTTCAATTCCGCTCACCCTCCAACGACTCGTACGAAACCGAAAGAAGCATAAGGCATTGTTTTATATTTCTCACAAAAGGATACACTCTCGATATTTACTTCCTCAGCTCCAGAAGTCTAATCTATCGGCTTCTCTCAATTTTGGCGCAGATTCATTTGGCTGACTGAGCTTTTCATCCAATCTACCAAGTAATAAACGAGTAATCTCATAACGTCAAAATAAGTCTATTGAGACATTACTGAAGAAAATACGCAGCTCTTCTTATCTCATTTCTTAGAATGCAAACATTATGCAAATAGAATTTGTATCCTATTTATTGCTTTCAAAGAACTGAATCAATAAAAGACAACCACGCAAGGTTGCAGACTTAAATTGAATTTTTATTTTCCCTTTGTAGCGGCTATAAATTTGTAATGCATTTTCTGCGTTAAAAATTGGGTCTGCGAAAATCGGTTGACTTTTTTTTATAAATATCTATATTTCTTTCGCTTCTTATTATTCAGATCATCTGAAAGACATAGAAGTTATTATGCACATTGGTTGTGTAACCTATTGATTATGGGCCAAATATATGCATATATTTACTTATGTAGCTATTATTGCAACTCCCCTGTTGGTTGTTTCATATTCGACACTATTTTTTTGGTTCGAATATTTTATCCTGTTGTGCATGCAATCTAATAAACTAGCATTACTAATTCAGGCAAACTGCCTCTGGAAATTTATTTTACTCTGCATACATGACTGGGTGTTGACATACTTATTAAAACACAAGTATCGTACATACGTACGCTCTTGACTTTCAACAACTTTTTCGTATTCTGCGAACGTGATTTCTCCTGTTGGAGAACTTTGCACACTATGAACGTACACACATTTTCTCTTTGGCCTGGTTTGCAGGGGCAGAAAGCATAAAGTAAAAATTATTAGGATGAGCCAGCCACGCCAACGAGTTTATATCCAATTAGCTGGGTTGGAAACCGAGGTAGATGGCAATTAAAAAGTTTGTTTATTCAACACTCTTGAAATTGCATTTCATATAATTAATCCCAAACTGTGCTTTATCCAATCTCGCCAACTTGTTCAAAACCCCACAAAACCAACTCATTATAACCCACGGAAATTATGTGTCAACAGTAGCACCCAGCCTCATCATTAGAAGTCTGTGGGAGGCCATCCGCTCAACGGGGATGACTTTCACTTGATACAACTTACATAAGTAAATGAATTGACAGCTTAATGTAGAACTCCTCGCATTCGTGATTTGATCGGTTTGTCAGATCAGATTTATCATTTTGGCGTTATTGTGGTGCCTCAAAGAGTCGAGTCTCAACCATGTAACTAAAAATATAGTCTCTGAACTGAACGGCACAGGCGGCTGCAGAGATACACATTTACATAACGTGTGAATATGCATGGTTGTTAATGTATTTACTTGCGTGAATGCGATGAAAGTGACTTCACAGTATCATCACACTTTATCCTTTTGCATTGTTTCTTGATCTACACACCAAGTTGGCTTTATGGAGATAAACAACTCATGTGCAGTCCCATATTTATTCAAAGAATCATTCCGTATATCTATGTATTTAGTAGTAGGCAACCACTGCTGAATTTTATACCGGAATAATATGAATTAAAATCTAACAAGTATTTATTGCCAGCTATATAATTATGTTAGTCCGAAAACTCAGACAATTCAATTAAAATAGTCCACTTAATCTTATTAGGCCATGTGTATGTACATACATACTTGCGAAGAGTCGGTTGTAGGAAAAACCCGCAAGACAAATTAAGCAAATTTTGTGCTACAAATATACTGTTGGTTTTTTGCTACGATGCAAAATGATAAGGATATCAAGTTCATATACAAGACTGAAGATAAGCATAAGTACATGCTTATATAATAGTTAACATTAATAATATGTAAGTATCTAACTCAATCTAAGAATAAAATGGGAAATTCTCCGACAACGTGATAATTAGTGATGATACAAGTGATGCTCAAATTGCATTACGAAATATGTATCAGAGAGAAATGTATACACGTAACTATTCAATTTTATGTAAGTCTGAATAGATGTCATTTCAGATTTTCTGATCGATAAACAACTCGCACATGTCATTTCTTATGACTTTTTGTGTCCATATTCAGAAATTGAACGAGCTAATATTTATGGAATTCTGACTTTTAATTTAACAGCAGCACAATTATTTCAAGAGATGGAAATAGCAAACCTGTGCAACTTGAAGACGCAGTATTTTTTGCTGCAAGTATTTGAGGGATGGATCTAAATGCGATCCAAATCCTTGCGTGGGGTCGATAGAATTACACGTTGGTCCAACTTCACTCACAAAACTAACTGAAATTTTTCGGTTTGGGTTTGGCATTTCCGAATAACCAACTATTCCAAGTCTATTTGGATCATCCATTCTGAGATGATAAATGTTTATCTTGCTTTTCACTTGGATATATTTTAAATATGTATTCGTTGACCTCCTTTCCAGATCCGTTGAATATTTCAAAAAGTCTCACAACATTTTCCAGTTTTCCACGTCTTCCACAAACACGACGTCAAACTTTTTTAAATTCTTGAAAGCACCTCAAAACCACAAATAACATTTTGGATCTAATGAAAACTGATCAGCAACTGTCTGCCTTCAAGCCGCGTCATAAAACTCTATTATACAACGGGGCCTGGTAGTGACAGTAACGACCAAGCAAACTATGCTCGACTTGGCTTAGGCTAAAAGAGTTTCGTACAGGAAATTGTAGGTGTGTTACGTCAGCACAAAACATATCTTGGACACCTTCGTATTATACATATGTATGTATGTAAGAGTAGAAAGTACACATGCACAATATATATGAGCTTAGTGCTTCGGTGCAGCAAAAAAAATTAATTTTGAGGGCTTATAAAAATGGGATACTGTTTCGGAAACGCCTCGACACTCTCGTTTGGCTTCCTCGAAAATATCGCAAACCTTTCTGCAAAGATACCAAAAGTGAACTAACTGATCTCTCTGTCTCAAAACTCCTCCGGTTTCAGGCCGTCAACCGAAGGACCCGAAGAGCCGAGTTGGGCTGATGAGAGTTCAACATTATTATGGTTTGTGGACTTGTGGCCTGCAAAGCATGAGAGCAAGGAGAAAGTCGCCGAATTGTCAACTCCTCTTGGTGCAGACACACTGATACGACTCGACATACCTGCAACACGGTGAGAACTTGACTTCCTCTGCCTCGTGGAGTGCCTCGACCAAACAACACTATGGATGACTGACTATCCTGAATAATAAAAAATCTTTGGTAGAAAGTTTATTTCCATTTTGTACGAACTGCATGAATTGGATGTGGCGAGCTTTACAGTCAAAAGTTGCCCAGCCTCTTCAAATAAGACACTAATTGGATGGAGGCTGGAGGCGACTTTTACAAACAGGTCTCAACCCCGTTTACAGAGACTTTAGTGAAAATAATTTATGACGTTGTCATACATTTAGTAGTCGTAAAAAGAAAACGAAACTGACTACCCGGTGCTGTGAAAGTAAATAGAATTATAACAAAATGTTTAGGAAACATTATTATGGGTGAAATTAGATCAATACTTTTTGATTTGTTATTAATGCGATTTACGTGTTTCAAACACATTGTAAAGTGATCGTGTAAGTTGGAAATTCTCACCGTTCACTTTAAATATATAAGTAAGGTGATACGAGTTCCATGTTTGATTCTCAAGAAGTTAGACTTCTTTATGTCGCAAGTTGTTGGATGGAAATCATGCTAGAATTATGAATAGATACACATTTGTGGAGCTATTGTGCTTTAGGAGAAAGTTTAAATGTTTTGTGATACATATTGAATTGATACAAACACTTAAGGCCCTAATTATAGTGTGGCCAATAAGTTTGAGCTGAAATAAGTCGCAAATAATTTGCAGTCTATTGAATCATTCAAGTATAAAGTGGGAGAACCTTGACGGCATCTTTGTGAACATGTTTTCTCGACTTTTCTACACGAAGAAGTTGATATTGAGAATAAAACGACGACTCCGACTTGAGCGAGCTCAGGAAAAGTTTTTTAATAGTGCGAGTAAGTTACAGTCAAAAGTGAGCTTCCATAAGTCTGACTTGGACAAAGGCGTTTCTTCCCAGACTTTGATACGCCGACTGAAAATTGGGGAAAGCTCTAAAACTTGAAGTGTGAAGAAAGAAAGAAATGATGCACGTCGTCCTTTCCATATCTCAAATTCTAGTTTGTCTGTCTGCATTCGTGAATTTCTCACCTTTCATCACGTTATTGCCTTGTGTGGAAGAGCAAGAACGATATTCTATGTAAAATCAGTCGAGTAAATCTCTTTATTGGTCCATCTCTCTCAAATTTCAATTCAACGTAAATACATACCTTCTCCTATTTACTAGCACCATCGCCACTTTTATGAAAATTTTATTCTCAATATACTCCACATTCATACATATGAATGTGTACAGCACAAGAATTAAGTACATACTTCACTACTTTCGATCTCACAATTTATTCGATTTAAGCATAAATGTAGTCAAAGGAAATGCCAGGAAATATTTGATCGAAGGAAAGTGTCACCTAGATTAGGTTTGAATGCACTATCTTCAAACTAAAGCCTTCTCATGAAATTTCCAAAGTACCCACTTTGTGATTTTTTTAGCGAATTTTAGAAGCCTGAGTGTAACAGTGGGTATTAGATTAAACTAATTGACATTCGCAGTGGGATATAAAATATATCTATTTATATACTTACCACTAAACAATTTAATCAGATTCCTTCCCTACACACTCAAGAATTAAATACACAATACTCGAAGAGACGTGAGTGAGATGAAACAAGACAGGAAACTCAGACGAGATCATGGATTCTTAGATCCCGGCAGATATTCCGTCTCTAATAGTGAAAGAAAACCTTGCCTAATCCTATTCTTTCTCTGTGGTAGGATTACTTTCGCCCTAATTGTGAAAGACAACAAGTAAGAGAAAGGTCGTCTTGGCTTACGACGACGACGCGGCGACGGGAAGAAGCAGGAAGAAGAAGTGCAAATACCCTACACATTTATCTCCGTGGACTTATTGCTGGGCAAGCAGAGTAAAAGTCTTGTCAAAGTTGGTCTACCAACGAGTACGTACGTATGTACGATATAGTTATTGAGATTGAGATTAGAAGACTCGGCCATGAACTGCGACTTTTGGAGGCATCTCTGTCGAGTCCTGAAAGTCCTGAGTGTTCATGTATATCTTCTCACTGCTTATTTGCGAGAAAATCTAATCAATTGAGGAGGAGGCACAGGAGCGTGTGCCCTATAGCTGTATAATGTCGGTAATAAATATATGTACTAGAGAGTGTATAATTATAGAACGCTGGGAAAATCTTTATAGGTGGCAAACTTTGTGCTTATTACTAAAGCAAATTGGATTTTTATGGAAAACAGTGAACCAAGAGGTGACATTTTTATTTTGTCTCTTATTCTGCTTTCACACAAGTCCGATGAGCTCATACGTATGAATACTCGTAAACATGCTGCTAGGAATCGCATCAATGCGCTTCGACATCGTTTGTTGCAAGCAGCCTCAATGAGCGAGTGTCAATTATTTTGCAATTAACCTGCATGAATGAAAGCTTAGACTGAATAGTTGCAAAGAATATCCAATAATTAACTTGCGAAAATAAAAGATCATGATTTGCCAATTCGAACTAGAACTGTTCAGAGTCAATTGTAATTTTGTTTGTCACTGGATGTACATACGTTACGTGCATTCTTGTACCAAAGTAAAGTTGGGATGAAAGGAATGACTTTGCAGTTGTGTTCATTATTACTTAATGAAGTTCATCTCAAGCATGGTTACGAAGGTCAATTTTGTTTGTCTTTTTTGATTTGTAGTGCCATATGCATAGTACGACCGACTATTCTAAAAACAATTAATTTAAAATAAACTTGAGGACACGCTGTCAGCCACTGTTTTCTTAGTATGTATAAATCAATTCACAGTCAAGTTTTAGCATAAAATGTCTTGCATCCTTTATGCAATACTTCTACTTAGGAATGTGAGTGCTGTTAAATAAGTAGATACGACTGCATGATTACTTATCAACACATCCCAGCTATTACATACACACATAGTTGCTGAGATTTTGTTGATCCAAATAATTTGATATCATCTTAATTCGATAGAGTTTTTTTTTTACTTCTGTGCAATGCGGCCTCGCTCGTGATACGGGCAGAGCATTTAGAAATTGACTAATTATCATGATGGATGCATAACATTTTATCTGTACAAGAAGGAATTAAAAGTCTGTGACAACTCTCTGGCTTCCTTGATTACTCATGGACACACCCGGAGGGTATGTCACATAGCAATAAATTAACTTGTTCATGGTTGGCTGTAGCATTTCACATTGTGAGCTCATTAATCTAGAACAGTAAATAAAAGAGTTAAACAAAATCGACAAACAATCTCATGCTAATTTTAATTAATTAAAACCACTCTAAACATCTTGCGTGTATGCATATGTAAGTATCTTGCACCTAATCGTCATGTTTTATCGTGAAGCTCATTATTTTATGATTAAGTTGACTACTCGGAAAAGTGGCTTGTTAAAATTTTGCAAATTTTGAACTATACAAACAACAGTTCGTTTATAATTTTATAAGATCTCTAACTTTGTAAAGACACAACATACACAGAATTCTTACAAGATGAATTTGAAAAGATAAATTAGCAAAAATTTAGTACCGAGTTTTTCCACAAAGTGTATTCTTAATTATTCTAGTACCAAGGTTTAATTACGATCATTATCGTGAACGACTTAACGTGAAGTTAACTTAAATTCGGATGAAATGAAATATGATGGGTAATACATATTAAAAAACATTCAGTTAACTACCCAGCCGGATAAAAAAACTATTTAGAAATCTAAAGTGAATAATTTTGTAGTAAATTTCCCTTTCTCGATAAAATCTCAATTGTCACTCTGCTTCTATTTACAACAAACTACATCGGTTGGTGGTGATGATAACAGGAACTAATGTATGTACCTATATTCATATTACAGTAATGGTGAGATTTATAAATTAAAAAAAATATTAGTATATCACCTTTTTTGAAAGGTTCCTTGACCATTTTACAAGCACCAACCTCAGACAGAATGACCAACAGCAAAGAACCATAAACCCAGCATCGCGATTAGTTGTAGATATGATTTTGCAGATACATTTTTGTTCATCAAGAACAGCGATGCGGCGATAATCTAAATACAAAGACTTAATAATCACAAGTCACACATATTGCCCTTCACTGACTCCATTGTTATACGCTCGTTGGATTAATGTGCAGATATTATGCATAGTACATCTCTGCTCAATAGCATACATATGTCCTTCGCCTTTGCAGTAATTAAGCAAAGTTCATTAGGAAGACAGTTTTTGGCTGCAAAATTTTCTCTTTTGACAATTGATGAGAGTGAATGCAAGAGATTATTTTAATGATTCTAACACTAAGAATAAATGCGTGACTAAATAAAAGGAAGTTTTCTTATCCAACATTGTACATATGTATACATCTTCATTCCATATCTGTATGTAGTACATTTTATCTGTATGTAGTCATACATTTAATATTTTTACTATAATTCGAATATTTGTGCATATAACTCTAAGGGCTTGATCACAAATATTTAACCACCTATCGTGCACATTTCGGCTATTACACATGTAGCACATTTATTTTACTTTATATCAGGGTTTCTATAATAATTTTTACGCACTATACAAACTATTCAACAACGGATTGAATACCCCCTATGCCCCAAATAAAATAATTTAATTACTACACATTAATAAGTATATACGTATTTACAACTAAAACTATCGAAGAAATCGACAATATGAACTTATTTAACGCCAAAGATGAGACAAAAGGTAATAGTTATGTGAAGGCTTATCTCATAAGATCAACATGAACCCAAAGGGTAGTGACCTAATTGTAAACCTATGAAAAATTAGTTTGCGAATATGTAATCAAGAATACGATTAGTCTAATCTAGCTAAAACATTGTAATATCCAAACTTCAAATTCATAAGTACATAAAAGTGCAATAATTACAGACTTCTTGGTTGGCTTCCCATAAGCTCATTTACGAATTATGATAACGCTGCGTCTATTTAAGTATTGCACCAAACACTTTAATTGATGTATAGCCTGCACCCCTGCAATATTTCATCAATAATTCAACAAAGCAGTAATTCCTTGGTATCAACAGCACTACTTGCGACTGTTGTCTGCTGTATTTAGACGCCAAGCACTTTCAACGCATCCAAGTTTAGTCGGCATTGTACAATCAGCAGAGTAAGTGGAATAAGGAAAGAGCGAGACTGCAATTTTCAGCAAGCCGTTCCTTGACCATCATTATTCAGTCGTCGAGTCGTCGATTGCTAAATTATATAATTGCTTAGAAAACCACATTGAAATTATTAATCTCTATGTTTTTAAGTGCTTGTGGTCGTCCAGTGTCAAATCTAAGTCATTCCATATATTTTTTTAGTAATGTGCAAAGTGGAACATTTTAGTAGTTTATTGGTGTAATATGAAACAATGTTGAGGGTTGGTCGCATATTACCTCGTATTTTCCAAAATGAGTCTTCAGTCAAATAGCAGTGTTGTACTTTGTACTTGGGTAATTGTGAGATTCTGTACTTTGACTTGTGAAAAAGTGATGTGCAGTTAAAGTGTGAACATACAAGTGCAACTACAGCGAAAAGTTTTTGCTCATTCGATTCGTCTCACCACCTACAAACTTGTCAAGAGTTTAGCTCTCATATCTCCAGAGGTGACCATTGCTCAAAAGTTTTTTTTTTTTGAGACGTTGTTACAGACTGACAGCGTCATGCTCAAAATGTCGTCACAATATTAATATGGCTGTCTTATGAACATGATAAAACCAATTGAATCTGCAGTGTGTATCTCCAGTCGCCCAAGAGCATGGACTTGTAAAAGTGTGTGGTTTAAAGGAATGAGATTCTAAACGTGCTACAATAATGAAACCCTTGGATATTAAGCAGTATGCTGGAGAAAGCAGAAAATCCGTTGTCTGTTCCTGGACACGTGTGTGCCGAAGTTGTCCTTACATTCTGGTTGTAATTAGCCTGATAATTTTGTGCCTAACTGCTTTTTTTAAGTATGCGGCATTGGACTGGATTATTGACCAGCAGGTTGAACAGGTACATATTAATACAGCTACTTTTTATTTACTTTATTATTTTGATCTAAATTATGGAAAGAAGTTAAGGTTGAAAAGCAATGAATTTTGAGTTCTGATGTACAACTACTGTATTTTAGCATTTAAAAATACATTATTTATACATACATGCAAACAATTTTGCAATTTTGTACTAAATATTTATACAAAGTTACATATTTAAAATTTTTAGAATTTTTAAATTATTGTTTTCAATTTTCAATTATCGTATATCATGCATAAATTATTAACCTAGCATCGCAAACAAAGAAGTAGTATGTACTATGCATGATGTTTTGTATACGAGTAGTTTTTCACGAGTCATGGCTAACAAGTTATATGAATCTCAAGTCCGATTGAAATTATGTCACTCAACATGAAACACATTTTGACAACAATAAGCTTATGATATAACTTATTTAAGAGGAAGTTGTTGGCTTTGAGATGATGGTACTTACTTACTTTTTAGTAGCCATCATCATGATTACAACTAAAACATAGCATATTAGGCTATTGTTTAAGACAGTGGTGATGATTGCGTGAGGGTATGATTAGATCAACTTTTGGTCAACGCATGTATTTGTATATCTGTAAGTATGTGGCATTTGACATTGGTTTTTCTTATTCTGATGTGAAATGTTCATTGATGAATTCTAAAACTAGGCCAAGAGTGTAAATGCATTACTGAATTTCAATAAGTACGCAAGTCCAAAAAAGTCGCATTGCTCGATTTAGATTTAAAAAAGTCGCATGTCCTGCTGCCATATACACGTTACCTTCCAGGACTAATTAAGTATGTCATTTGAATTTGAAAAAAAATTGCGCATGCTACTTGTTGCGTGTCTCCCATGAACCATTTTCAACTTAATACTGTTTAATTGCAAGTGTCTTTTTATTTATTTTATCGCGTTCGTATGGATGATTCAAGTGAAAAATTAAACAATGGACACTGATAATGACAATGGTATTATTTTATGATTCATAAACCAATATTCAAATTATGCAAAACTAGGAATAGGATCTTGTTTTATCATTTGTCTGGATCTTCTAGCGGATCCACTTGAACAAACTACATACTTTTTTAAATGCGAAGTCTGCGCACGTAAACCATAACATTGTCGGTATCAATGATTTACAGTGATCAAGGTTTGTGGACTTTGTTAAAAAATGCATGAAGATTTCTTATGCGTTTGAGAGCAAAGTCCGAGATCGAGTATGTTAGGTCAGGATTCCACTTTTTATTCAAGTTAGTCAAAGTAAAAACGACAGACTTTGATACTATGCAATATATACATATATCTAAAAAAAATTCTTACGTTAGCAAATAATAAATCAGGTAAAGTTACTAGTGCAGTCTAACATACTTTTTTTGATGTACCTGTTAAGTAAAATAAAACAATGGACCAAGTAATAATGAATAATTGCATGTGAAGTACGTAGTATTCATAATTTTCGAGAATTACCAGTTTTAAATTACCAAAAGATCCTCCTCCAGACAAATCATCCAGCGTCATAAACATTAATTCGGCTAATTGCACTTCCAAACCACGAGCAAAGTACATTAAAATGTGACCTTGTAGTTTACAGCGTTGACAATTTTTAATTAGCGTGACCAATCCACAGAACATTCTTGACTTTGTCCTGTCCTCAGGGACGGTACAATTTTTTCATGTATGTATATTTTGTGCAAAGCAAACATGAAACATTTCAAATATTCATATTAACAGGTTCCTCTTCAGAGTAATTAAATTAGCCCATTGTAAAATGTTATCAGTAAACTTTTATAATTAACAAGGTGGAAAAGAGACAATTAACATAAAAGTGACAAATTTGTATGCCGTGTGAGAACCAGACATTGAGAATTTTTAGGATATGGTTAAAGTTTTTGAAATGAACATTCTAAATATGTATGTACCAGTATTCATTCGAGGTCGTAAATATATTTGTACTTTGATTTCAAGTCCAAAATATAATAATTTCAAAGTACTTTAAACATGAAGAGACAAAACGCATTCAATCAGACGACTGAAGTCTAAATACAATATGTAGTTTCTTCATGTCTTTTGCTGACATTTGCTGTTTAGTGCACAATTAGGTTTCTCATTGCAAATTCGTTTCATGCTCTGACAACTATGATCTACTTCCAATTATCAATTTTGTATGCAGCACCTTTCCGTATGTACAATTGTATGGTACATACTGTATGTATGCACATGCACATATGCACATTGTGCCTAAAGTAATTTGAACAAGAACTAGCTACATTTTGTAAATAAGTGTGTGGATATGATTTTGAATTACATTATTGTATTATTACAGTAGGTATGTTGACTTCCTAAATTAGTTATTTGTGCTAAAGTCATACTTTAACATATGCGAAGTTTCAACTGAAATCCTGTAATTGATGAATTTTGCTCTATAAAGATTGCTGTTTTTAAGTTATAACACTCTTACATATTAAATGCGTAACGAGAGCTCATGCATTCACTAGAGTATTGTAATAACAGCAATTTTTTGCCAAAGCTTAACTTTGTGGTAACTTCAACTCAGGCATTGAATGCGTAGCCGTAGCCTATGTAAATATGAATGAAGTGCAATAAATACGAATGCGAGGATTTAGCGTTGCATTTTTAGTTTCACTAAACTTGGTCCTTGCGTCATGTCAATGTCAGCAATTATTAAAACTTTTAAAGTTGGCGTTCTTGTTAATTTTTAAGCTTATATTGCATACGCATACTTACACTTGATATACATACATGCATACCTAGAGAATATACACACCTAAAGAAAGTGATAAAGAATAAGTCATTAGTAAATTAAACTGAATGTTATTTTTACTCTTTTTAGAAACTACGACTTATCCCTGGAACGGACACATTCGAGAAATGGAAAGACGTTCCTGTCCCCATAATAATCAAATTCCGTATCTTTAATGTTACGAATCCTGTTCAAGTACAAAATGGGGGAATTCCATCCTTGGTAGAAGCTGGACCATATGCTTATGAGTAACTATTTTAATTGTGAAAAAGCACTTCTAGGTTTTCAATTAGTTAAAAGCGTTGTTACATTTTCGTAGGGAAAAGCGAGTCAAAGAAATCATTGCAATGGACGATGAAAGAGACACGATAATCTACAAGCAGAGAATATTCTACACATTTCGACCTGATTTATCAAAAGGGTCCGAATTTGACAGATTGGTGGTCATCAACGTCCCCTTCGTGGTACATATTAACCAACTGTAGAATAATGATGATCTTTATATTAACGATTTATGTAAATTTCAGACATTGTCAAAAATGACATATGATAATGTGGGCAACTTTTCCTTCGCTCACGCCTTAGCAGATCGAAATATGCGACAAAGAGGAGAGCGACTCTTCACATACGCCAGTGTAAAGGAATATCTTTTTGACGGGTATTCCGTGCAGCACTATCTCAATTTCCTGAAAAGTCCTGCGCTCGCATTGATCGGAGGGGTAAAAATTCCTTCCAGTATCAGCACTGGAAGGTTTGGCTTTTATTTGGGGGTAAGAAACCTTGTGACTTGATTCCTTTACAATAACAATAACACGCATATTGGTAATTAAGTAAATAAATCACTGTTCACAGAAAAATGGTTCGGATGATGGGGAATTCGTTATTCGAACAGGAAGAACGAATCCACAAGAATTTGGTCAGATTGTTAGCTGGAATGGAAAAACAAAGCTTGGTATATATATATATTTTTACTAAATGTTTGGAATTATTTTGGTGTTATTTTGACAATTATGTTGATCATCATAAGATTATTATGATGGCCTATGCAACCTAATTAATGGAACTGACGGATCATTGGTTCCACCATTTGTCACCAAAGAAAGCAAAATTAGATTTTTCTCAACAGACATATGCAGGTTTGTCATCCTCATATGTACTTATCAGCATCAAAAACTTAATATCGTTTTTTCCATTTAAAATGTGACAGATCAATTTATATGGTGTACCGAGAAGAAAGTGAAGTCATGGGTGTAAAAACATACCGCTTTCGCCCCCCAAATGCCAAGCAGATATTCAGTCACCAGGATTTTTGTTTTTGCCCCCAAGGAAAAAATAATGAATGTTATCAGTACGGTGTGCTGAGTATGGCCCCCTGTCGTGATGGTAAGTATGGCTCCGAATGGTGGGAATAAAATTACTTTATTGCTCTACACTTTGTTCTTGTATAAGCGAAAGTGAATAATTATTATTTATGAAGGTGCCCCGGTTTCGATGTCGGCCGTGCATTTCCTTGACTCATTCGAACAATATTTAGGTGGTGTACAGGGTCTACAGCCAGATAAAGAAATCCATGAGACTTTCCTTGATATTGAACCGGTACAGATGCACACACACATTTGATACTTGAAAGGTTTTAGAATGTTAAAACGATTTTGTGCATGAAATTCTGAAAATTTTCAGAAAACTGGACTAATTCTAAACGCTGCAAAGCGTGTCCAATTTAATGTGATGCTAAATCCTAACAGAGATATGACCACATTTGCCCAGGTCCGGAAAGTTTTGATACCATTTATGTGGGTGGAAGAGGTACGTATTTATTTACATTGATGCTCAATATTGTTATCATTTAAGTTTTAGAGTTATCATTCCTATTTATTTTTTGTATGGTTGATGTTATAATAACAGACTGCGGAGCCAACCGAGGCATTCATTCGTGAATTGCAACAGCAGCTCTTTAGACCCATGGAGATCGCCAACACCGTCGCCTTGGGGGGATTAATTTCCTGCACGATTCTGATCATGGCAGGCCTGCTGGCAATATTTTCCGTCCGAGCAATGTTTTCCAGAAATCGGCACTCCGCAAATTCTGTGACCTCGGATAATTCCAACTCATTTCATGCCGAAAGTAACAGTCGGGAATCCTCTCGAAGCCGTTCTGGTTCTATTAATTCATTTAGTCGTGTCAGCTCAGCCACGTCGTTTCATACGAATAAAAGCATGGGGAGCATTGTCAGCGTCATGAGCAGAGGAACAATGACGACCACAAGTGAAAGCAAAGGGATCCTCAGTGAGGACATCCTTATCACGGAGAATGGAACAAATAGAAAATTACCATCGTCCAATGAAAATACAACTTGCGAGCTGGGTATGAACAATGTGACAAGTGCAAAAGGAGTCTTAAAGTTCGTGACACCACAAAAATCTGACCAGAATGATCAGAATGCTAACAAATAAAACAATTTTTTTGATATTGATAGTGCCAAATTATCAAATATATTTAACATGTATGTACTTGAACGTAATACTACGAATGTAGATTTACAGAAGCCATACATAAATATATTCAGTATTCACTTTGTGGTTATTATTATTTTTATTGTTATATTAATTTACTCATGGATAGCTTATTTAATTATTTATATAAATACAAGCCACATGTACCTAATAATTTTGTGCTCATTCATCATGGACTTGTTTGAAATATAAATAAACTATAACGAAAACATGTATTTCAAAAATATCTGGGAAAGTGAGACTGGTGGTCCTTCTCGACAAATCATCTTTGACAAGCATTTATCTGTCTTTGTTAACGGTGGGAAGTAATGAGCAAATGAGTGTTCTCTAAGCTGCATGTTCTAAAACGGAAATGTATCTACATCTCCTTTTGCTAAGTAAACCTGTCAACGTGCCAAGACATAATTTTTCAGTCTCTCTCAACTTTTGCAACAATTCTCGCAACACCCATTAACAAAACTCCTGCTTATAAATTACTTGATTATGGAGATCTGTCTGCCCATGGAGAAAAAGAGAGTGCGTCGTGGCTCCAAGAGTGTTGAATAACCTACCAAAAACTCTACCATCATAAAAGTGACCAGCAGCCTGAAGTTTTATATTTCAAAATTTCGATTTAACGGCAACTCAAGGACACATGGAGTTTGGACTTTTTACATCCGAAGGTGGTCCTGGACCTTCTCCTCCGGTGGGTGGTTTATTTCTTATTATTTCTTTATTTCTCTTTAAATTATGCATTTTCAATTAATCTGGGCCGGGCTGAAATAAGGCCGATTTAACGTGACATAAGTTACTTGTCGCCTACAATAGTAGCTTATGTACATGGGCCGTCAATCGCTAATTGAAATTGATGAAATATGCACTCAATATTGGGAAAACGACTTGTGTTATATATGTATAGTACATGGTATGTAATTTGTTCATTTTTAATTGTAGGTAGCTGATGAGGTGCCTACTCAGGCTCCTAGGTTGGGAATGTTTAGTAAAGTAACTGACGACGCGGCTCATTATCACACCAAAATAACTATTGTTGGCGTCGGTCAAGTTGGTTAACACTCAGTGTTTATTTTTATTTTTTTAATTAAATTTGTATGTCTAATATTTTTTAAATTTGTTTAAAAGGTTGGAATGGCATGTGCCTACAGTGTATTGAACCAGGTACTTTAGGATACGTATTTCGAACACCTATTTTATTAAATATATCATTTAAGTACTTAATTTACTGCTTGAATATTACAGCATTTGGTGAGCGAAATTGTGCTGATGGATGTGAATGAGGACAAACTGAAGGGAGAAATGATGGATTTGCAGCATGGTCTGACATTTTGCAGACCGATTAAAATCTCGGCTGGAACTGGTATGAAAATAGTTCACCTCTAGCCAAGAAGAAACTCGAGAGAAAGTTGAATTAAAACACTGTTCAATTATTACACTTATAGATTATGCGTTAACGGCAAATTCAAAAGTGTGCGTGGTCACAGCCGGAGCTCGTCAACGCGAAGGGGAAAGCCGGCTTGATTTAGTTCAGAGGAATACTGATATTTTCAAAGGCATTATTCCAGATCTTGTCAAATATAGCCCAAACACGATCTTGTTAATTGTGAGTAACCCAGGTATGTAAATGTCAGAACCTTTAAAGTTTATAAATCTTTTTGATGCAGTCATAATTATTTTACGACAATTTCTAGTGGACATTTTGACCTATGTAGCCTGGAAGCTTAGCGGTGGGCTACCTAAACATCGAGGTATACTAATTTGTCATACATATTTATAACAGCTACTATTACAAAAATTCAACGATACATGTTATATCTTATGCTGTACTGTCCTTGTCGACATATATGCGTATACGTATGCATATAGGCGTATGCACACATACGCCTTCATAATCAGCTAGTTCTTATGTACCTGTTCATTAAATAAGATAGGTGCAACGATTTTTTTGTGATGCTGCACAACTTTTTTTATAACTTAAGGGAATTTGGGTTTGTTTTAAGTGATTTTCTCGTTTTTTTGTAATTTTGTGTATATTTTCTATATTTGTAGTAATTGGATCAGGTACGAATCTGGACTCTTCTAGATTTCGATTCCTAATGTCCCAAAAATTGAATGTTTCTCCGTCATCTGTTCATGGATTCATTATTGGCGAACATGGAGATAGCAGTGTTCCGGTGTGGTCAACGGCAAATGTTGCTGGTGTCCGACTAAGCGAATTACACCCTGACATTGGAAAAAGTGATGATCCTGAGAAATGGCATGAATTACATGGTCAAGTAATGGACAGGTAAGTAAAATCCTTAATGTGAGGTACACAATAACTTAATTATAGTTATCACTGATTTTATGTAGTCTTTAATAAAAAGTTGAACCTGTTTATACTTTTAGTGCTTACGAAATCATTAAGCTCAAAGGATACACGTCTTGGGCCATTGGATTAAGCGTTTCTAGTATGCTGGAGGCTTTATTGATAAATACGCGAAATGTGTACGCCGTGAGTACTTTGGCTACCGTAAGTCACCTCATCTACTTACAATTAACACAGGTGTATAAATAATATTTGCACAACTAATTATTTCAGGGATTTCATGGAATTAAGGAAGAAGTGTTTCTCAGTTTACCATGTGTCCTTGGGTCCTCAGGGGTTTCCCATATCGTCAATCAAAGTTTGACCAAGGAAGAAGAAAAAAGGCTTCAAGACTCTGCTACAGCTTTGCATTCAGTGCAGAAAGGGTTAAAGTTCTAAACACGTTTGAACCGTGGCTTTGTGACAATTTATGTCGTATTTTGTATATAATTGTTCCGTCTTTGTCCGACAAAATCCGAAATATATGGATTTTTCCTTATTTAACTGCCGGTATGTCTATAACCAATCGTGGTGATCACGCCAGATGAACTAATTTTTATTTAAACTTGTTAGCTTTACTCCCGATGTATATTTTCGCTTACTTTGTGAAATATATTTAGTTTTTACTATGAAATTGAGCATAAATAAATCAGGTTTTGCTGCATTTTAATTATGAATTGAGCATAAATAAATCAGGTTTTGCTGCATTTTAAAATTATGAATTGAGCATAAATAAATCAGGGTTTCTGCATTTTAACTATACGTGCAAGTTACATGTTCGTCTAAAAGACTTAATTGCTTCTGATATTCCTTTAGAGATTTTACATTTTACATTCCTAAACAATCATATTTATTCAAATATTTTATACTGCCTGCCTCACTGACTGGCTGTTCATTTGACTTTGACTAATAATTTAATTCCCATATTCCTTTCTAAAACTCTTGCTATAACATATAATTGTTGAATATTGAACAGGCAAGTCTAAAAACGGGCTATAAATAAACTTTATATATGAATTTTATAATTTTGGTCCTTTTCTGGAAAAAAATCATAGCGTCGTCATTGCACGTTGTTCATCTCTCGTTGTTCCACACCACGAGTGCGGGGAAACCAAGGCCACAGATCAGCAGGAATCTTTTCAGTGCTTGCCTGCCTCACTCACTAACAAGTATGAAGTAAACAAACTTCCAATAAAATTTATTAACTTGCTTCGAGTTAGCTAATTAAATAGCTTAAACAAAATGCCACTTCTTCGAGATATAGCAATAAATTTACTCACAAGTGACATTGAAATCGAATTGCCTTCCTGCCCTGACAACTTTGCCGAACAAGCTACTGAATACACGGCAAGAAAGGTGGTGTGGTGGATTCTAAAAAACCGTGAGGACCCTGCAGAAAAACATGTCTTGAATCTCGAGCTTCCAGACGAAGATGAAGCTGAATCGAATCAAATAACGCCAGACCATCAGCGACCCTCGGCTTACGACGAATTAGACCACCTTCGAGCGGAGAGTGACACCGATTCGGTAACTACTGCATCAAATGGTAGGAAAAATAAGCGGTCAAAAATCTACATTAAAGAGTTTTTGGTGAGATTTTAATATAAAAATTTTGATCATTTATAAATTTTTGCATAAGGGTTACTATGTAATCTAACTAACATTTTTTTTATTATTGATTAGGGTCTGGGCACATTGAAAGCCAAAATTCGCAAACCGTCTTGTAACAGTGTCAACTCGGATGACAATTTTATTAACGTTTTTGAGTGCGATTCTGAATGTGATTACTTCAACGGAAACGCTGCAGTATGTATTACATATAAAAGTATTAAATCGACGTCTGGCTATAATAATACTTTGATTTAAAGGGTACATGCGTTCCATGTAATAAACGAGTTGTTGGGAATCATCAATTGGAGGAACATCTTAGTTCTGCTAGTCACAGAAACTCCTTTCGAAGTTTTACGTGTAAGTTAATACAATAACCATGAGTCGAATATATATAATAATGTCCCTTTGCAAACTTCAGCACTGGACGTTAGGAACAACAATTCTTTACAAGATGAAAATTCGGAGGAAAATTATGTAATACTTGCGAAACTGAAAGTATTATCTCCTGAAGAATCTGGTAGATTATTACAATTTCTCATGAGGCGACAATTGTAATTGTAATTAATAGACCCAATTATAATTAATGTTTTTTATTTATATTTTGGAATATAGTCAATATTCCGCTTGCAACAAACAAGTGCACAATCTCTATCTCCCCTGAAGAACGGTTAGCTGTTTTACGCAAAATAAATATTGGCGACTATGATATACCTACAGACCACACTCAAAATGATACAAAGCTAAGATTAAGGTATGCTCAAAAATGGTCTTCTGTGTTGGATAAAAAATGGAACCAAACAAAGAAGCAAGAGCAAATGTGAGTTACCCAACACTGCAAATGTCTTTATTTTGTATAATAAAGTATTATAATTATGGTGATATTTTTAATTTCCAGAATTATTGACGAATTCAAAGCATTGCGTACGAGCTATTTAGAAAAACCATCAAGTCACCCAGCTCATCGAAAAGAGTGGCTTTTATTTTGGGAAACCCGTCGTTCTCAACTGATTAAACAAGGAAGAAACCCAGACACTCACAACTACCATCCCGAATGGTGTGATTACTGGTTGCCTAAAATGTTGGAGCTTTTAAGAAACGACGCAGTCAAAAAAATGTAGGTTTCCTGCTACTTTCCTTATATTAAAGAAATTGGTAAAAGTATTCATTGTGCTTATTTTACTATTATAGCTACAAACTGAAGGTTGCTAATGGTATGGATGCTGAGAGCTTGAAGCACTTGCTTGATGTAAGTTATTTAGATTTTATACAATTAAATAATAGTTATAATTGTTGATTAATAATTAACATGTGCTTATTTATGTCACTATAGAGTCCGACTCCAATCACAGGTACAGTTCGGGTTATGCCAGGCACGCAGCCCTACTATTCACAAAACCGTTCTCGGAATCCAAATCGTGTTCAAAGACCCTCATCCTCGTCGTCGCATCGATATCCAGGACATTACGGAAATCTCCCTTCGCCAAGCTCGCCGCCCTACCCGTCTTCCTATTACCCTACTTCCTCAAATGCCAATTATAGCTACAGGTACGGGTTCGCGGATCCTAGTGTTCTTAGCCAGCAGCAGCTATTCTATCCATATGACAATTATTATGGATTGTATCATCCAAATTCAAGTAATCACTATTATTATTATTTGCCATAACGCATTTTAAGTTCTAGGCGGACTGCTGGGAAATCAACCTATGAACGACGACCTTATGACAAGTTTTAAGACTGATTCAATAACGTGTTCTGTAGTCTACTTAGGGCGCTGTCCATTAATTATGTATTCCTTCTCTGCCATGATAAATATACACAGCATTGAGTGATAGGTACATAATTTGTGGTCTTCGCCTAATTATTGTTTTTCTAATTGTTCGTCTAGATGGTAATATTTGTATTAATATCAATTTTATAAACCTAGAAAGATAGGGTTTGTTTTTTCTGTTTATATCAATTATCAGCATATTTTTATACAAACAAATGCAAAGTGTTTTGCGTTAATCTAAAAATTATTTACAGTTTTATACAAGCAAACATTCTCAATAAATGATGCCAATCAATTTATATATAAATATTGTGTTTGTGTGCTATGTACTACGTATTGTCTTCAATGAAGATTCATTCTCTTCACCGAAAAGTGTCGATTTAGTACTTCTCAAAATAATAAATCATAGTGCGTATAATTTCAACACGACCAGGTGTCTTTTACATAAAATTAGATACAAACAAAGTAGTTAAATTTAAATTTGACCACAAAACTTCATAAGCATGAATTATTGAACGGAAACGGCTCACAAGACAATCACATCCAAAGGTGTCATTGTATTTTCATGACGCAGCTTAGAGTAATCTTTTTTTTCGCACGATACTTATATCCGGTCGCATAAATAGCTTAATGTCTGCAACTAAATACATCATTATGATTACGCTTCAATGGTCAATGATGATTGTTGAGACGCGTAGAGATTGCATTAAATGATTGTCGCAGAAAATGTAATGTCGACAGGTGTCAGACCCCAGTCTTAGTTATTCCTAAAATAATATACCTATGTACATATACCGTATTCCTACCTGGTCTTCTCTGATAGTATTCAGGTACATAGAAGGTCTTTGTTGTACTCAAGTAGACAGTATGGCAGAAAAGCTGAACAAGCTCTGAACAAAAGCCATTTGTTCAAACTAAATAAAAACGTCCCAAACTTATTAAAGAAAAATTTATATGTTTGGTTAAATCAAAGTAATTCGTAATGAAAGATTAAATTTTTACGCTTTTAGATCTGCTTTTATTTTTACAAAGGTGGAGGAGGAAACAGGAATTGAACGGTGTGTGAAACTTTTTTATGACTTAAAGCTCTACTTGTTTTACAGATAGATTACTACATATTTTAGACTGATGCTAGAAATTGGGAGGGTGGGTGCGACGAATCTAGTGTAATTCGTTGTTGTCACTACATCGTCATAAACCCTTATGCAAAAAATTATCAGCGCTGCACTTTTTGATTTCAACATTCAGTTCACGACGGTACATGTAGATGCAATGCAATGCTATGTAAATGTGTAAGTACTCACTTGTGTACATGTATTTTAAATATGTAGTTCTCAATCAATCGGCAAGGTGCGAAACGTTAATTAAAACATGGCTCTCGTGAAATGAGAAAGCACTATGATTTTAAGCGCACGACGCACTCATTAAATGGCTTTAAAAAATCCATCGTTCTAAGCAAGCAAACCAGCATTCGTTCAATGGGTTTAGACACATTCATCGTCATTCTTGAAATTTTGTCAACTCCTTAAAAATTTCTATTTGGTAGGTGGGAGGGGAGCAATGAAGCCAATTTTCCTCAAACATTATCAACAATAACAATAGGCCATTAATCCGTCATAAAATATCAGACTTGGCTCGATTCCTTCATACATACGTGGAGAAGAAGAGTTACTCGGGCGGAATTATTTAATTTATTTAATAATAAAGTTGACGACAATTCATTGGTCGTCTAAAGGAAGCCCTCATTGATGTATGTCTTTGCAGGTTGGGTCCTTATCGAGTCCAGTTACAGATTCTGTTTATAATGCATTGCTAAGACATTAGGACATCATAATATGCTTCAACTTTGAAAGAGTAATACCGACGCAAGAAAGTTCACTGTCGCGAAACTAGGCAATCATAATAATGACAATGGTTTGAGAACTACATGAGACGACATAGAACGGACCTCTGTAAATAATAATGCCTACGTAGAAGTACATAATTTGAGCAAGTTGTTAGTGTCCTAGCGCTTCTTCAAAAGAAATCAAAAGGACGTTTAGAATTTGCTCGTGTAATGAAATGGATCCTCAAACCCGTGGAAATTGGGAAGAAAGCGTGATTTAAACAGTTCATGAAAATGGTCAGAGAGAGTCAGCAACCAACGATCTTGTCGGTATGGTGGTCCCCTAGCAAACCACGATCATCATCATCACTCAACAACTTGAACAGTTTCAGTAGGCAAAATGCGGTTCAAAGACGCACTCATCACGTCCCAAATATAAAAAGACCATTCTCCACACTTTTGTCTTCCATTCGTCTGCCGAGTCGTTGATTGGTATCAAGTGCTTACTTACTACTACGTGTATCCTGCAGCGTTGTGTGGTCCGCCGACGACGCGGTGTGTCGAACGTCGTAAATTGGTAGCACCAGGCACTGACGGATAATATGAGGAGTGTCGCTGCTGGAGGTCAATAGTTATCAATTACCAAGCTCCATCGCTGGAGTCCTCATTATTATCTTGCCTACCAGGAATACACGTTCATACATTTCAAATAAATATTCAAGCACAATGCAGATTCAGGTAATTTCATAAACCATTTTTTTAATAATTGTTTGTGAGTCATTCGAGTGTTGAAGTGAACTATTCCAACAGTTCAGGATACAAAATTGAACAACCGTTTGAAATTTAAAAGATTTTGTAAATCATCAAAACTAATCCTTCGTTTTAGTGCCTGGCAAAGATATTTCAAGTCTTTTGCAAATCTTGTTAATAAGGACTTGATTTCCACACATAAAAGACGCAACCACAACACGCAACATTGTACGCTCGTAATTCTTTTATTATGCCAACTTAAAGACCAAAAGAACAAGTTGAGCATACGCTAGCTGTCCACACATAAGTAGATAAGCGTCCAAACTTTATGTAAGGAAATTCACATCCAGGTGACGACATTTACGTCGATTCTGCAAATCTGCTAGCATTGGAGTAAAAATATTGTGGCACAATCGTGCACACTTTGGTGAGCTGGTAAACCTCAAACTACCTCAAATTTGACTTCCTTTATCCCAATTGCTCAGATCGAATTATTCCTAGTACAAAATGTCAACGGGGAGCCTTTACTCAAGTAAAAATCTCTGTAACACCACTTTAATGTTGTTTATTATCATAATGAGGTTAGTAAATAGGTTCTGAACAAGGTTTCCCAATTCATGGTGCAAGTGAGATCCACGTCCTTCAATTTCCGGACATTTTCATTTGGCAGTGTAATTATTCAAACTAGTTGTGCTAAAATGATCTTCCAAAAATGATTTGGCATACAATCAATAAAATTAGCTTCTTGTTCACATGAATAAACAATTGTGAGCTACAATATTGTACTTGAAGCTTTAAAATATATATCTGAATTCAACCACAAAAGAATTTGGCATATTTCCGGTTCATTATACATTGTTGCCACCAGAAATGATGCGAATACATGCATCCAAATTGTTGTTGTTATTTCATTCACAGAGTGAAGGCCACTGACTGGCATTGTCCACTTGACATTTTTGAAACAGATTTGTACGCATGATTGCTTTATTCGAAACATTGTATTTGGCACCGTTTCGATTTCCAACCGTAGTAAATATTATTGACGTTTTAACACACGTTTTCCTATGTGACTAATAAGTGGTTGCATAACAAGAAATTGCAGTAATAATATAACATCTCGATACAAATTTGCAATAATTTATGCCTGTTGCTCAGCTCAGATGTCCGTATTCAAAAATTATAGCTCACATGTATAAATATATAATAATTATGCAATATGTTCTGTTCAACTGAATCTAATTTAGAATTTCTCATGCGTTCCTTCTCATCCACTTTTCTTCAATAGCGTCGTTAGTCTTACATAACCATGATTGACCCCATGATCACAAAATCCATATTATTCGTTCGAGAACATTTAATTTGTGTGCATTCAGCTAATGCTGAAATAATTGCACTGCGTAAAAAATACATATGTAAATATGGGAATCATGTTTATTTTGTATTTGACCAAGTTTTTTTTTGTCAAACGGGATAAATTTTAACTGAAAATTGGAAATTACAACAACAAATCCTGGCATCATTTCCCTCAACCATGAGCATTTTAAACTGCATCACCTGTTGACATAGTCTATGGTTTTCCATTTTCTCATCAAGGGCTAATTGTCAGATGCATTTGTAAGCTCGTACTATCAGCGTTTATGTGTGCTTGATTTTTATTACTGATGATGTTATGCATGATTAATCAAAAGCAAAAAAAGGTATTTGTCTAAAAACGAAATTGAAACAGAGAGTGCTCGGTGGTGATGACAAGATTAACCACACCAAGTAATCATCCATTGGTCACAGTTTGATTTCAACTCTCGATTTATTATTGCAACAATTTCATTTTGAATTGAAAGGGTGTACCTTGCAAAAGAAATTTGCTGCTTATTGCCACGTAAAATGGGGAACCAATTCATGTTCGAATCTCTTTTGCTCTACATGCATTGTGAGCTTGGGTTTGTGCGTGCTTAAATCAAAGACAAAAATTTCATTATACACAATACTTGGTTGTTCTATATCTCTCTCTCTCTCTTCATGAAAAGTTAGGTTTGGATGAAATATTTTTTGCAAATTTATTTTAGAAAATTAGTTTGGTTTTGGTAGGTTGGTAGGTTGAGGACGTTTCAGCCATCATTATATAATAGTTTAAAATTGTGTTTTTGCCGATATTTCATTCAGGCCTTTATGCGATGTTGTAACAGCACATACTTTTTTAAGCAAACGTACATAATACCTTTGATGGGATCATTAAGCACATATAGAAAAAATATTAAGGTCACACAATTTTTTTGAAATATGCCAAAATAATTACAAGTACGCTAATATTTATCAAGAAATTTATATAATACTGACCGCACATGAAAATAAAGGAAACCATAGAATGAAACTGCTTAAATTTTATACGCGATGCATAATAATTTTATTGTGCGCAGGTATTATTATTATCGATGATGCTGGCGATATCGACATCGTCTCCATCGCCGTCTCCTCCTCCAAGGGCAGGCTATTACCCATCTTCATCTCCCCGACCAGTTTACATGGGTATGCCATTAACTCAACATATGTAATGAGCATCTTATCATGGTGCATGATGAGATACCATTTTTCTGATGACGATGCTAATGAACTCACAGCCCAACGGTCTCGAGACTATCCAACCCAGGCCTCTTCTGAAGACGATGAGCCATATCCATCCACATCCTCTTTGGGGACAGCTCGAACTACCAATGGTGCTGAAGAAGCTGAGGATAATACTGGTTTTGTGGAGCCGATAGACTTCAAAAATCTTCTCCAAGACGTGGACTCAACTTCTAAGGGCTTAGAACTTGGGGCTAACAATAACAATAACCCGTTGTTTGCGTCGGAATCAAAAAATTCCTTTGCTGGATTCTTTGGTTCGGACAATAAGGACCCGTTTGCTGATTTTGGGGGCGGTGGTCTCGCAGCAGCTTCGTCCGAAAGAGTACGTTTAGTGCTTATATATTTATGAATAGATGCACATATGCGAATGAATTGCATGATGCAGTGCATGAACAATCCACCAAGCACATGTTACGATTATTTAGAGCACCAAGAATCCTGACGATAGAGAATCCACTGGTTTTGTCGACCCCAATGTAAATTTTAGAAGCTTGTTTGATTCATCACAAACTGCTAGTAATGGCTTCACACCGCAAGATTTTTTAGGAAGTCAGGTATGTGAGCACGTTGATGCAGATTAATTTATTTTTGCATAAGCTGATCTGCCTAATCGCAATCATGCGTAATCTTATAAACATGTCCAAAAGTTGCAATTTTATTACGTCCCTTGAATTAATGAAAGCAGGGAGATGGAAATGGGGCGAGGGGATCTCAAACAAGAGCATTCCCATCTTTCACCTACAGCGGAAGAAAGGAGGATGGTCCACCAAACAGATTCCGATCAAACTACCGACAAGTTGACTCCCAGGATGACGACTACAGCAGCAACAATCGTGGAAGGGATGACGATGATCGAGACTACGAGGACTCCCCCAGAGGTCGACCACGATACAGCAATAACAGTCCCACACCAAGATACTCTCCAAACACGGAGGAAAGCTCACACCGACCACAATCAACGGGGCGAGGAGGAGGAGTCTCAGCAAGCCCAAAAGCTGCTGAATCAAAAAACAATCCGAAATGCAAAAAGGCAAACTCATAGTCATTCTCGAATAAAATATTTAATGTAACTAATTTTCATTATCATACTTATTTTTTATTGTATCACAACAAACAGGTCGAAAAAACTGTAGACTATGAAAACGAGGATTATGCCGGTTTCACCGAACCAGAACCTGACTATGACCCCTCAACCTACAGGGGACGTTACAAGAGACAGTCACGACCTCGACAGGGGAGACAGGCCAAAGCCAAGAGACCCATGACTTGCTACGTGTGCGAAGATGAACAAGGTATGCATCGATATGGCATCAATGTTACGTGCGAAATAATTTTAACCGAGAATACAATTTCAGGACGCTATGCGGAGCGCTGTTCGTACGATTCTAAAGCCAATCCGAACAAGAACGAATATTTCCACTCTTCGTCGAGCTCTTTTAGCGATAACGGCAACAACGGTCGACGTCCCTCTGGGTAAAAACTAAAGATTTGATGTCTTCAACACAGCAGTTGATTCGTATCTACCTTTAACACATAATCATACAAATACCTGAGTTGCCTGATGTACACTCGAGGTTTACTTATACTAACATTAACAACAAAAATTCAAACCACACGAAACTCTCATTCACTAAACATTCAATCAATAAAATACAATTTACAAAATATACGACTTCCTAACGGACTGACGCAAGCACGCACTGATTTCATGAGATTAATTACTTTATTTCCACAAGGACTGCTACATATTATGGAGTTCGATTACTAATTCGACTTAATGAAACAAGTTTACACAACTTAAAAATTAAAAAAAAAACATGAAACATGTCATGAAAAAACACCAACATTGATTGCATAATAAAATACAAATACAGTAATGTTGTCGTCCATTATGCACAATAGAAAACAAGATAGACATCGAAGGAATCCATCGATTAATCGCCGGCGATTTGACGTAGCTTCCACGACGCTTGCAACCGTATCACTTCCAGCCCCAAAATCTGTTGATGTGGCAAACGAGCCCAAGAAATCGTCAGAAATAGAAGAGGCCGAGCCCAAAGTAGTCGAGAAGCGTCAAAGTGGCCCAGACAGATATGCCTCAAATTTTGGAAGCAATGGTCCAAGAAACAACGCAAGGAACAACAATCGCAACAATGACTTTGACTATAACGGTCCTGCCCAAAATGGGGCGGATTTTGGTCTCCCCAGAGGCTACATTGGGGCCCGAGAGGAAGAAAACGACAGTCCTCAGTACCAGCCGCAAGGAGGAGGAAGAGGAAATGACTACGGATTTGATGGTGCAAATGATGGCAGTAATAACGATGACCGAGATTTTGGATTTGGTGGAAGGGATTCCTCCAGCAGCAATAATAACAATAATGACTTCAATTTTGGACCACCAGCAGATTTTGGTAGAGAATCGGCCCCATCCGGCGGCGGCGGCTCAGATCGTGGTTTCAATTTTGATTTTTCAATACCAAAGGAGTACGACCCCGATGTTCAACTCCGAAATTCTAACCGTAACTCGAATCGCCAGGGAGGTTTTGATGGTGGAAGTGATGCGACGAGCAATCGAGGCGATGCCCCAACCAACTTTGACGCGGAGTATGACGATTATGTAAAAAAGAATTTCCCCGATGCCTTTGGTCCATCTTCCGCCTCCTCGTATCCAGAGGCTTCAACACGACCCTCATCATCCTCCTTTCGACCGAGCGGTACGTCCATCGACTACACAACACACGTTATATTATTCTAATTCTATTTCATACGAGAAGTATTAAACTGGATGACTTTGCGTGTTTTCTACAATATAGCCGGACCACCCCTGCCTAGTTATCAACCAAGACCCCGTGGACCAGATCGAGACCATAGTTTTAATCAATTTCATCAACCAGAAAGCTCTCCCCCACGCGGACGAGGCAACAATCACAGAGGGAATCCAGACAAAGAACATACTCAGCCAAGCTACAACTTTGCTCCACCTCCAAATTTTTACAATGATAGTCCTCAAGGAGGATTTCATGGGGATGTGCAGGACAATGCTCAAAATTTAAATAAGCTGGTGGAAAACTTTTCAGAAAGAGATCGTGCAGGTTGTCAACGAGTATTGAAGGGAGATATGAGCTGTTTTGTTTGCCGTGATGCTAGAGGTAATTAATTAAGTAATAATTAATTAATGCATAGTGGTGTACTTAATTAATACATAATTAATACATAATTAAGGCATGAACAAGGAAGAGTGTATGTATTCTTCGAATGACCCCAAAAACCAGAGGTATGCATAATTAAGTAATTTTGAATGATTTTCCAACGAACAGAGAAGTATCATCAAATTATCTTATTTACCATATATAAATCAACCATGATAAAGTACTCGTTTTCTGTAGGATGGCTTATCATGAGGTAACTGAGTACTCTTCGGATCCTCCTGCAAGTATTTTACCGCTGCCTCAAAATCATGAAATTGCCGAACAACCACAAACATCACAAGCTGCTTCTGAAATTTCATCAAAAACTGTTGCCTCACCACATTCTACTCCGTCTAATGCAACAAGTCTTCACAATAAAGTAAAATCCGATACGAAATCCAGCACCCCGAAGTCAAAGTCTGTGACTAGGGTGGAGTCCACTGTTGTTACAAGAAAAATCCACCATGAAAACAACACGCCATTCGAATACGATTTTGATTACTAATTGGAGCAGGAATTCGAGATCTTAATAATATTAAAAGTTTGCATGCATCTACGTATGCTTGGGTATATCTTGATTTATATGAACCTTGTGGGAAGGAATTTAACACAGATACTCAGGTCAAGCCTTTAGACTAATATGTTTCCTTGTGGAAAATTATGTAGCGTGGTCAAATGTTCCAATATAATTTTCCGACAAACTTAAGTTTCTACTTATGTCCGCATACATACATATGTATGCACATATATGTAAGTAATTTTAATTGTTGTCATCTGTGTGACGACATTTTACGCAGTACATCGTTCTACATTATTGGAATGAAAATTGTTACTTGGTACAATAAATGTTGATAGATAAGTATGTATGTTGTTGATGACGTGGTGAGTGGATTTTCTAAAACTCTAGAAAGTTGCTAGAGCTATTATTACAAAAATGCAGAACTGCACAAGTTTGTATTTATTTGAATACCAAAACTAATAAACATATCTGCATCTGCTACACTCATATAATTATGATAGACTATGCATAAATGGAATAAAGTTGACAACACGTAGAGCACACGTACATATATCCAGTCATAGATAAATTTTTAAATATTTCATGAGATCGGTTAGTTCGCACACCTCACACGAACTTCAAATGCATACGTAAATGTCAATCTACATATACATATGTAAGTACAATTGCCATTCAAGGGTTTATGGAAGTCGTGGGACTTTTCCCTGCATTCACGGTATTTGTTGAGTGATTTGATTTAGATCCCATTTCTATGTTGACCACGGGAGCATAACTGAACCACGGGATGAGACCAGACAACCTTCCTATTTTTAATTTAACATACCCAGTTAAAACTATAACAGCAAATGTAAAAAAATAACTACACAACTTACTTGATATATTTGGATGCTTCTGCCAAGCCCATTTTTTGAATTCCGGATGTAGTAGGACCATAGTCGAAAATACAATTTCGGGTATGCTAAATATGGCTTCAAATATTATAGCGTACCATGTGAAGTAAAAGCCTGTTATTTGGAGAAAGAATAGCACCAGTCGAATTATCCAAATTGGGCCTGACATCAGGATTAGTTTGCTGAACAGTCGAAACCTAAACAGAATAAATACAGTTGCAGGCCAGCCATATTTACGTATGCATCCACAGATTTGTAATTTAACATTAGAAATAAATTTTTATTTTCAAGTATTTTATAGCATACGACTCTAAGTGTCTTCTCCCACCGGGCTCCTTGTAGAGAACCGAGCCTGTTTCTTGCCTCAACCCAGCAATGGTCACGGAGGTTCTGATGAAGAGCACCAAATTGAGAAAGATTAAGAAAATTACGGGTAAATTGTAATACGGAATTGTGCGATGGCTGTAGAGAACGCAGTATTGAGATCCACACGTTTTTCCTTGTGCTCCAAAGTAGCTGATGGTAACAATCGCCGCCGGGAACATTGTCGAGAACAAAAGATTAAAAATAAAATAGTGCGGCGCAACAGGCTTTGGAATTTTACTACTGTAAAAACCAAAATTATATTTTCATGTAATTACTAAATAGCGGCCTCCAATCGTAAGAAAACAACAATGATTCAAAATTATTTGTCAGACCTAAACGTTCTCCATAATCCAAAATCAACACATGTCAACCAAGACAAAGTGGACAAATAGAGAAACTTCATGCTAAAATCCGTCACTTTGCAGCCCAGCGTTCTTGTCTCAAGAGCCAGTATTGCGGAGTTGATGTTGACAAGAAACATGGAGAGGAGATACGAAGAAAGTGTCCAACCGTGTACATTTTTGTGACTTGTTATGAATTTCGCCATCGCAGCAGAAAGGAGGAGAGGACAGGTTGACAGCCAAATTGACGCCAAGAAGTATGCCTTTATCGGGCTCTGTTCCTAAAATTAGGTTAGACCAGATACTTTATGTACATCCAAACATATATATTTAGTCAAATACTAAATACACACGACGAGCAGTGAAAGTCTTCATTGCATTGATGGAATTATGCATAATCCTGCATGGAATTCTCTAATATTTCCACTTCACTTTCCTACTTATTTTTTAGTCAATTGACACTCTTTCTGGGTGTGAGTTCTAATTCTAAATACATATACTCACCATTACATTACACTAACGACGTCTAAATATTTACCTAAGTAAATTGTTGCGTAGTAGTAAATTACGCTTACCGATTGTTGGAGAGAATCAGAAGGTTCACAAAACATGAGAAAGTTGTTCAAAGATTGTACACATTTTTGTTGAAGGATTTGGTTATCCGTGGGTCTTGTGTCATAGCACAAAGCGTTGTTAAAGTATCCCTCCACACAGTAATTGTCATGTTCCATTTTATTCATGTAGCTTTTCCGATGAAAAAGTCCACTAGCAGTCTCATATTCAACTCCAGTTGCCGTTATTTGAAATCTACAACCCATTTCGTATGGCATTTCATGAAATGAATCATTCCCATCATTTCCACTGACCGGGGGCAAATCTTCCAAAAAAGATGAGGGAGACATGCTACATACACAAAGGGGTTAACAGATACAGTTAAGGGTGATGCGAACAAGGTAGTATTCAGCCCTGTTGTAGGAATATTAAGCAATTAATCTGCACGTGCCAACTACAAATACATATAGTGACAAACATTTTTAGCATTAAAGCAGAATGCCGGCGGAAATGAGATACTGATTTGGAAAGGATTGATGAAACGTATGCAGTTGCGAAATAAGTACACAAACGCTACTTACTTACTACTTGCACATGGATCGGAAATATATATTTTAAGATCATATCCTGGTGGGCATGATAACGGAATCGCGATTGCTGTTGACGTGGAATTGATGATGACGGATGACTTGAAATTTTGAGACCCATTGACAATTTGAAATGGAAGTCGTCTATCTTGTTCCTCATGGGACTCTGATTCTACTAAATGCGACGATATCTTTGGTCGAAAATGATTTGATGCCGCTCGACAATTTTGGTTCTCAAAGTCCCATATTTCATCTTCTGGACAGCATTTCTTCGCAATTGGTTTCAACTTGGCCAAGTGGCAAATCTTTACTGTATTGTCCTTGCTGTCAATATAGACAAAAATATATTGCAACGCTACGACATTGATACGAAAACTTAATTTGTGAAATAATCCGACGAAAAACTTACGAATTCAAACAAAAATTATCTGGTGGATAAAATACATCATCTTCATTTAAATAATTATCTTTAGTCAACTTTAACTCGGATATCTTAAAACTTTTATTCCCACAATTATCAAAGTGTGTGATATTAAATTCATTCAATTCTGGACCTCTTTTTACGACGCTTTTATCCAGAGGCACTGGCCTGTTCACGTAATTATAAAATCTTTCAAACTCTGCATCTGCACAACGTTGTAACATTGTCAATGAATTCTCTCCGCGAGCTTTTAAAATTAATGTAAAAAATAAAACAAGGCCAGAGTATTTTCCGTTCCTCATTAACCCAAAATATATGCACAGGTAAAATTCCCTAGTTTTTTTCAGATGTATTTTACACGAAGCAGGCCTAACACTGGTTTCATAATAATTAGGTTAAAGTTTTAATGCACTCGCATTTGGAACTGTTTAGGATTAGTTTCACAAGCAGTAGCCGCACTAAAGAAAAACATAGTTTGTAATTAATTATTCGTGATTGTCGTATAGTACGCAAATGCATACGCACAATAAAATGTTAAAATATCTGCACATCATCTAATTGAATTTCAACGAACAACTGCCTATAGCAAATCAGTGGCTTGATGAAAAGTGCACATAAATGTACCAGTGGCTCTACATACAACAAATATAGATATATATTTGATAGAGATGAGAATTGCGAGGCAACTGTTGATCTGACCCGAGACAATCCTGAACTTATCTTAAAATGCACTGTGATGCTACCACAGAGAATTCTCGGATTCAGAGTGAGCAAGAAAACTTGGAGCAAACGCCTTAAATCGCTGGAATGGTGGTGATTTTATAGTCAATGTCAATGTCATGCGTTGCATCGCCAAAGCAGTTGCACGTATCTAGTACACTGAATAAATTCGAATTGTGTAGAGCAGTAATTTTAACATTTTAGATGTTCCACACATATTATAGCGTACACTGTTGATTTAATTTATCAAGTTAATTTTGGAAGCTTTCTCATCAAGAGACAGTTCTGGAGAATCGTGTCAAGTGACAACCCTGGGGACCCCACTAAAGAACTCCTAGCAGAATTTGAGGACAACTTGGTCTTTTAATGCACCGGATAAATGCTGTCGTGCCAGAGCGGCACACGCAGAAGAGGAACATAATTTTGGAGTCATGTTTCAGTACCACATAATTTGACCTTTTTGCGATCATTCATGTCTGCAAGGTAACCCAGCACCATGCACTAATTTGAAATAGATCATGAGCAACAGTTTTCAACTTTGAACTTTCTCCGCTTTAAAGCCACAAAGCCGCCCACATACGTCAACTGCCACGAGGCTAGATGTGCTTTAGAAAAAGTTCAGGAGATAAGGCAAATGAGCCGTGTTTCGTGAAAGTCGAGCTCAACCAAAGTGATGAAGCGAGAACACGAAAAAAAGCTCAAAGTGAAAGTAAGAAAGAGCTGCTTCACTTAGGCGTTGAGGGATCTTCCGTTTAGCGTGACGTTTACAAAGGGGATTTAATAAAAATGAAAACTGCCTCGTGTCAAAAGAAATGCATCATATTTCACCAAACCACGTAGTCACTTAACCACCACAAAATACTGCTAAATAAGAGGTGCCAGTACTTTAGGGCTTATGCATGGTAGAATTTGCATCAGCCCACACAGATAATAACAATATCGGCTCAAACCTTATCCTTAGTTTCGTATTTCAGTCATACGCACATAACGTAAATGATTCATATTTGTTTGCATCATCATCTGTTCATAATTCAACTTCTTGGAGTCTTCGTATATTCATTTTTGAAAACAAATTAACACATAACACGCTTTTATTTACCCTTCCGAACACATTTTTTATTCTCAAATATAACCCCGTAGTTGTGTAATTCTAGAATAATTTTCCGCTTTGAACAGGGAATACAAAATTGTTTGATTAGGAAATAAGAAGACGATTTCGAATTTCATGATGCCTTTTGATGCTTTGATAATTAGTTTGGCAAAGCGACAAAGGTGCAAATACATTTGTTACTTATGTATTCATATTTAATTTTTATAGATTTTAAATACGATTTAAATGTTAAATTTTGGAAATAAGAAATCAAACAGTAGAATATAAAATATTTTATGATGTATACATATTTTGTGCTTATAAAATTGGCGATAGATTTTCACTTATTTATCTTTTGACACGTGCCCATCTGATTTGAATTATCGATTATATATCGTTTCTGAGTATTTATCACTCGATTGGTTAGAAAAACACAGTCGACAGTAGCTTTATTTATCTTGCTTTCGAAACAACTCACTTTTGGTGTTACATGTAATGCAGTGTTTTCGGATAGGAGTGCCTGTATTGTTTGCTTTGACTTAAACGCCGTGCCCGTGACAGTTATTTAATTCACTGATTTTGCGAGAAATGCGAACAGCGGGGAAAAAGTAATAAAAGAGGTCAACAATTTTTGGATCTGTACAATTTGGACTAAATCACAAATCCAATAACAGAACTACGAAGGATATCCAAACTTAGTCAAGGATATGTAGATGTTGGAAGAAAAGGGTGATGTTGAGTTGACACTGTCAACTTGACAGTAGCAGCAACATGTTCATTAAAAGTGCCATAAAATAAAGTCTTACTTATTTTCATTCTTTAAATTACTCACAAGAAAATTTCTAATTTTGTCTCATAGTTTATTAATTTTTATGATTGAATAAAAAGCGAATATGCTCCATCAATAAGTTTTTCTTAGATGAGGCCATAGTTACTATATCGAAAAAAATCATCTAAGTAAGCATTCACTACAGGTCTGAAAAGCTTAATTTTTTCAGATCTCCGTCGATTTCCAACCGATTTTAATGAAATTTTGCCCAGAGTTAATTATGGCTACATCGAGTAGAGCCCTGATTTGGCCGCCTGAAGCATCCAACGGTTTATGAGATATTCAATAGAAACCCAACCAATAGTGTGTTTTTTGGAGATTTGAAAAAATTTAAGGTATGTATGAAAAAAGTACACGAATAAAAAGCTGATACATTTTTTCTATAAAAATACAAAATTAAAATTTTCCAAATCGGTTTAAAACTGAGAAAGTTTTGATGGTGGTGAAATGTGACCGCTCCCACCACCGCCCAAAGGTGAGTTGCTAAGGTCGGCCCAGCAACTTTTCAATTCAGAACACGATTGCTTGAAATTTAGTATCTAGGCTACGCTTGGGTCTCTTGAAAAGTTCTCGGAAATGTACCCAGTCGGATTTTTGGGACATTTTTGGGAGTTCATGGGACCTTTGACCTTACTTTTCAATACAAATAAAAACTAATAAATAAAAGAAACCCAAAAAAGGAAAGCTTAGATGAGGCTAAGAAGTGCGATAAAAAGTATTTAATAAATTTCTTCTCCAGTCAAGGATATAGAATTTTAATATTTCCAGCATCAGCGCCCCATTTCACTACCATATACAAACAAATATGCATCAAATCTAAAAAATTATGAATGCAAATATACAGAAAGTTGATAAATATACAGGTCTGACCTAATAGAGTCGACTCTTAGTAATATGTGTACATAAACATGTTGCTTATGCAATTTAGTCAGCTTAAATTGAAATGGGGCGCTGATGCTGGAAATATTAAAATTCTATATCCTTGACTGGAGAAGAAATTTATTAAATACTTTTTATCGCACTTCTTAGCCTCATCTAAGCTTTCCTTTTTTGGGTTTCTTTTAAATGTTTCAACTTTGATACCATCATTTTTTATAAGAATAAAGTTTATGTGTGAGTTGTTTTTTAATTCGTTTACTTTAAAGATGTTAATCATAATGCTATAGGGTAATAGCTTCGAATGAAACTTAGAAAAACCCAGTGCATAGTCTTCATTTAGCGTGACGGTATGAGACCCTTCTTAATTTTCTTCATGCTCTCAAATTTGAGTGCAATCACACATTCATACCAAATTTCAGATTTTTCCGACCAATATAAAATACAATGTGGGACACCCTGTCTGGTCCTGACAAAAATATTCTTGCATCCCACTTCAAATTTCAGACTTGTAACACTATTCTGAAATTTCGGTTCAGAATACCCCACCCACCTAGATGACCCCCACCGGTCATCCAGTGGACCGATTTTGCTAATTTTTGAACTAGGCCTTTACGTTTGTAAACCACTCGTATATGCAAAATCGCATGTCAATCGGTTCAGCCGTTTTGGCTCTATCGTTTTTCTAACAAACAGATATGCCCGACGGTTACACAAGCTCGGACTCGGGCTAAAAAGGGCAAAAAAGAAAGCCTGCCCTGGAATTATTTAGTCATTTGATCAAAGTTTATTCTTTGACAGCATAATCTTAGTTGGGACGAATTTATTCATCCTCAAATTCTGTGCAAATTGGTTCATGAATAAGGATTTAGGCTGTCTGGAGACGTGACAAGGGAATCTTTTTAGATGTCAAGCACCGAATTGCTGCACATGTCTCAAACTGTGTTGGTACAATTAAAACGTTAACATTAATATTATCTGAAAAAATTATCATACATAATGAAAATTTGGCCATTAAAATTAAAAATCCACAAATAATATTTTTGACAATGCCCCCAAAATAATATTCTACTGAGATTTTAACTATACAGCTCGTTGACTGTTTCTTCGTAAAGTTTCTTCGAGATTATTCATGAATGGCCGTAAGTTAAATTTACAGAAAAAAACAAATCGATGGTTGCAATCCGAAAAGGTTCCCTCGTGAAACTGACTAATGAAACAAAAGAAAAAGGTTCAAGATGAAGCCTAGAAATTTATACCATCTTCGTGGGTTTCGCAATTTCAGAAGAAGGAGAGAGAGGTTTGACATTGAACTTTTATGTCATTCTCATTTTCTAGAAAATTCTTTTATGTTGATGGAACACGAGAGCAATGGTGGGTACATATGTATGCACGAGTCATTATTGTTGACCAAACACCAACCATTCTATAAAACTTTTTAAAATGAAGATAAAACACTATTTTGATATGACTGCGTTTGCTTCGAAATTATTTTACCAAATAATAATAAAATTTAGATGTACTACATATTCTGCCCATATCTACTTCAATATTCATCCTAGACTTCACGGTTTCAAACGACAGGCGAAGACACCCAAAACTACACGATTGCTTGCAATTTTTAATGCGATAATGGGCTACGTGTCTCTATATCTCTATAGAAATGGCGTCAATTAATCATGCTGAATTTGTGTAAATGTTTTTTTAAACAAAATTTCATAATTATGAATATTTTATTTTATACAGTGTGGATCTGAAACTGTATATTATTTTTACTGACCAAAATTTTAGTTTATTTTCTAAATGAATACGAGCTATCCAGATATCAAATGAGTATTTATATGTGAATTCAATGTCGATGGTACACACATCGTTCTAAAAGTACAGTTCAAAGGTCAGAGTTCTCGTACATAAGACACGAAAAGCTATTATTACAACAGGAACTACGCCGGGTCGAGAATCGAGGTAAATCAACTTTATTTCGCAGTCATGCATCTGAAACGTGATAAATAGTTCACTGTACGCATACATATGTACTTACACGAGTGGAGCCATTGTAAATAAGGCCGAGTTTAACGATGGCAATTAAATCAAAGTCAAGGATTCATTAGTCATTACAAGTTTCTTGATTTGCATATGGATGAATAAACTCCGGTATTCCCTATTAATTGGGAATTTCATATCATATTCCATTTAATTGGAGATTTGGCTGTGGAAATTCCAAAAATTCAATTTAACACAACTGACAAGTGTCTTTTCATTAACTTTGCTTTGTTGCATACAGTTGCACGAGATTGATCGATTCGCAAATTGCAGTGGTCAAACTTAGGCTATTCATAGTACGCATAAGTATATATGTATCTAATCTCCTTCGCTTTCATGCAAAAGTTTGTTGCGGAAAAAAAGATTACCGAAAATTGCATACACTGCAGGTATGAGAAGATATTTTGGCTGGTGTAACATTTGATGAACATGTGCACATTTTTCTAATCTTTATCCTTCCCTTGCATTTAACCCTGGTTTTGTGCCTAAAGCACAGTTTTGCAGCTTATTGCAGTCGAAATCCTAACTGAGGCTTGCATCAGCCAACTTTTCCCCACTGAGAACATCCGGCTCCGTTATTCTCCCATTCCGACAATGTTATTTTCAGTCAGTTTGCTTCCATTCTTTTACAGAGCTGTATGTACAATTGAGCTTGCCTGAATGTTCTGCTTCCTCGAAGCAATGTATCACATTCCTTGCTCATGTTCATGCAATTTGTGGTGACGCCTGAGCTAGGATTATTAGTTGGTTAGGTTTAGGCAGCTCTGCTACTGCAATACCACTGTCATTCATTATTGTCGATGCCACATAAAAGAAGTGTCTCACAAAATTGTGGGTTCATTCCAAAGTTCTCAGTCAATCCGTCATCACAATAATTACCGTCTGTTGACCACCTTCAAGAAAGGTTGAATTTCAGTCACCTGTAAAACAAAATTCACTCAAGTTGATTTTCCAACGTCAAAACATTTACATTCCATTTTATATTCCGTGTGGAAATTTTTGCCCGAAACCAGTGTCACGTTCTACCCATTATTCGCCATTCGAGAGGAAATCTTCCCACACACATTTATCTGGTCCACCGAAACAGCAGCTTATCGATTTTCCTCGCCAAACCAACCTGCATCTCAAGTTGTGAAAGCCTTGCTCCAGTATTTCGTTGGATCTGCTGGCTGAGCTGCCCGTCTCAGTTTTGCTCGAGTGACGCAATCATTCGTTGCATAACTTCTTTAACCATTTAAAAATCAAAACTACCTACAAACGGAATTTTACCAGCATTGTTGAACACAACTTCGTACGAAATAAAACGCATAAAATAATCCTAACAAAAATAGTAAATCGTGTAGTAATCATCATCATCATCTGACGAGTGACGCGGATTGCGTTGGTGTACGTAGTAACCTTTCGTTTGCAAAACATGATATTGCTTGAACTACTTTTTCGGTCTACACGAAAGTGAATCAGTAAAGTGCCAGACAAATTGATGAAGTAATCTTGCTAAGGTTGAACCCCGTGACCAAGTCTCTGAAATAAATAGAGCCGCCTACACACACGAACAAATCCAGTCAGTGATCTTATGCCATTTGATCTTGAAGCCGTATAAATATTTAACTGCAGTGTGTTGTTGCTGAAAAAGTTCATCAGAAATTCATCCTTGGGTTCATTGAGGCTCGTTGCGTATAGGAAATTCATGACCATGAAGAACGAGGGAGTTTGGATATTCGCATATGGTTCACTTTGCTGGAGACCTGGTGAGTAAAATAATTATGAGATTTTTTATGATGCCAACAGGGTTTTGATGTATCATTTATGGAATTATTATGGTTCAGGTTTCGAATACGAAGAAAAGGTCTTGGGTCATATTAAAGGTTTCGTGAGAAGATTTTGGCAAGGAAATACTGTTCATCGGGGCACTGAAGAAAAGGTAACCTGACACCATACATATGTAATCCTAACAGACTTCGCATTAAAAATTCTAGTTAAAGAGACGAGAAAATGACACTCTTTTATACTTTTGTAGCCTGGCCGTGTAGCAACATTAGTCTCAGATAATCATGTAAGTTGATTTTTATTTCAAAGATTTTATAACATGAAAATGTATCTTAAAACTATCTTGAACGCAAAAACACATTAAATTTGTATGTAAATAATTCATGCAGGGTGAAACACATGGATGTGCCTTTAGAATATCGGCAGCCAACTCTCAGAAAACGCTGAAATATCTGAATAACCGCGAGACGGTTTTGGGTGGATACTCGTCCGCCATGACCCTGTTCTACCCGTGTGACACTGAAATGAAGCCGGTGAAAGTGATCCTCTACATTGCGCTGCCTGGAAATGTCGATTGGCGAGGTCCAGACAAATTACACAATATTGCAGATGAGGTACAGAGAGCTCAGAATGCGTTTAAATAATTCCTGATGGCTAGTAGTACATATGTAGAGTATAGTTGCTGGCATATGTAACTAGTTAAAGGGCAAGGATTATTATTAAGCAGGGATAATCTCGGTCATAAATAACCACGTCATCTTCCTATTCATCACTTGTTTTGGAACCCAATTCGCTGAAATTGAGAATATTGCATAGCAATTTAGTAAATATCTACGTCAACAACTGTGATGTACGCAATCTTTGATGCGCATACTGAATTTTGTCAACATTGATTGATGAATAATTGTGGAATTAATCCAGCTCATTGTACTTATGCAACTTCCATTAAAACTAGATATATATCCTACGCACACTGCATGTATATTTTACAGTATTTTACTCTGTAATAGTCTACATCAGAAAGTGGGGGGATTCCTAATATAAACTTGTTGCTGATAAGTTGAGCTTAAATTAGGTCAATGCTCATCCTGATAACACAACAATTAACAAATACCATTTATTGCATTTATCTGATATGAGTTGGTTTGTATTTCAGGTGATCTCGGCCACTGGAGTGTGCGGTAGTAATACGGAGTACGTGCTAGACCTTTGTGTATTCCTGCGGGCCAACAGTTTCAAGGATGACCACTTATTTGAACTTGAAATGATTATACTGGAGAAATTAAAAAATCCTGAAGAATCGCCATCAGAGTCAAACTCGTCCTCCGAGTTTGACACGGATAGTATATGACAATTTCTAGCCTTGTCAAAAGAATGCATAGTATTAATTAAATTATTGCTAGCATACATTTGTATCTCTCTAATTTTTGTACCAAATATCTATACAAACATAACTAAATTAAAGATGTATAATTTCTGATAACACCGCTTTTACGATATCAATTATTCTGAACTCCCAGGAGTTTGCATAGTCCGAAAAGAACAGAACTATTGGGGTTTTCCTAACATGTAAATCTTATCTCGCAGGTAATTCCTTCGTCAAAATCATTGGGCATACATACAAAACTATTTATTTGTACGCAATATGACAACTTGGGAAAACATTAGCAATAGCTCAATAGTTAAGTTTGCAAGTTCAATGGTACGGCTCCACAAGCATCGAAGGTTAAAGCACACTTGTACAACTTGCATATCATTACAACAGTCAAATAAAGACCTGCTTATCATTCTCATAACATAACAGAACTGGAGAGGAGAATGCATGTCAATTCCAGGGATACATACATAAGAAGGATTTCTGCTTGGATTCCCTAGGAATAAATCTCATACGTATGACATGGTCGCATCTCCACCTGAAACCATACAAAAGAACAATCTTCATATTTTTTAAATTGACCAGTTTTTTCTGATTTTTGCTCTACCTTCGGGTAAAAATGCTATTTTATCTGCATTATTAATAGTGGGCGACATTTCTGTCAGTTCTTGTGGTTGCCAAATAATATCAGTTTGCGCATTGGTTTTGCCATAATGTCGATTGTATGACGCTGTGATTGCTGACCTCACCTCGGGAGAAATTTCAGGCTGGATGCATACCTTGACACCAACGCGAAGTGGAGGTTTCTTTGTACGCTTTAAAAACTTTTGAAAACGTTCAATGGCTGAGCTTTTCAACATGTCCCCCTTGGTTGAGAGAAAGTTGGCCTGACTTGGTCTTTTAGGGGTATTTTCTCCAGAACACGAGCCCAGTGACTGCTGAGATGGTGTTTCGCACAGATTTTTGCTAACGGAGCTGGGTGTAGATGATCCTGTTCTGGAACGAGACTCGCCTTCAGCTGAATTTCTTTCGGTATTTTGTCCTAGGGAATTTTTGGTCGATTCAAGAACCCAAGGAAGTTTCTTTCGTTGATGATGTCCAATATGAGTTCTTGGGAGGAGTTCTTGTGTTTGCAGTGAGTTTGCTCTAGTAAACGCCAGGAAGCCGAGACTTGAAGATATTCCTGACTTGACCGTTTCTTTGGATGTTGAAATCGCTAGTGGTGTTGGGAGTGCATTTTTATCGGAGGCATTCACTTTTAAGTACGTTCGTAAATTTGTTAAAGTGTTGCATATTTCTCCACGACTTAATTTGTGTATCGTTGACTGAGAAGGGATGGATGTGTCAATTACTCTAATGGTTAACGGACGATTATCCCCTGTGCCCCCATTATTTAGAGTACTTTTAGGTGAGCATGGCTGACTCATTTTCTTTGGGTAAGTGTACATGTATATGAAAGAAAAATTACAAAATCCTCTTATAAATACAAAATGAGCGGAAAAATCGGTTATCTAATGAATGCCTTTGCCATTCCGTAGTAGATTGAATGAGCTCGAAAGGTGATAAGTTGTTATAATTTTTAAATTATCATAGTTACACAATCTGAACATGAGTATGAAAAGTAAGCTAACTCGATTGCTTGACTTTAGGTGTCTTCATATGTACGTAGGTAACGCTTCTCCCAGAGTACTAAAGTATCAAATAATCGTGGTAAGCCAACTACTAATTGTAAGCAGTAATTGTTGTAATAATTATTTGGGATACAGCTATTGAGTGAACAAAAGCTGTGTAACGCATACAGCCAATATTTAATTTTTGGATGTATAAATAACTTATAGGTAAATTAATAATGCAAAATGCTCGAAATGATAATTAGGGTTCATCTTAATTTTTCGTTTTCTATCTTGACTTATAATACAAACTGACTACATATTCAACAGAAGTTATAAAAGTTAACAATCACACAGTTCAATTTTGTAAGCTATCATACAAAAGTACTACGGGCATCATGTTTAAATACATGTCATATTTCACTGGCTATTTATTTATCTTTTATTATCATACAAAGATACATTTTATTTTTACTATATGTATGTGCAGGCATCATTATCATATGATTGTCATATTATTTTTTCAATAAATTTCTGAATGATTTCTGATTATAGAAGAATTAGTGCATAGTTTAGTAAAAATTTGAGAGCGACATGTTTAAACACATGCAAACCAGGCTTTGATTTTATTTACTAAAATTCATATATAAAGCCCAAACCGACGAAAAAGAATTACGAATTTCTGTTGAAATAGATTGTTTCCATTTCCTGTCTTTCTAGAATAATACAAAATTCCAGGTCACCGTCAGATCAAAAGCCCTCACTCACATGTATCTCGGCCTGTGGTCACTGTAGTAGTCACACACCTCATAAAACTCAAGTGTGTAATTTTTATCCATTTACACGTACATCTTTTCTTTGTATTTTTCATCTTCAGCTGTTGACGATTAGTAAGAATATTTGTTACGACTAAAATGAACCTCATCGTGGGACACAAAAAAGTCGGAAACAACAGCAGTACAATCGTGATCAAAAGCATAATTACGTTTTTAAAAAGTTCTCAGATTTCATCTTTTTCATAACCTCTAATTTCTAACCTCACTTTCTTTAACGATTGAAACCGACGGTCCGATCCAGCAGCGTCATGTACGTGGGCATGCTACAAAAGTCTCTACTAAATTGTTTCGAGTTACTCCAAAATGAAGCCATAAAAGTAAAGTTGGGACGCCATTTTTATTAAGAATTGTGGTCGTAATGGTAGGTTAATGATAATGCACATAATTTTTACGACATACCGATACATACATATTTCACATAATCGGAAAACTAGTTATCCCAATTGTAAGTGAAGCTAATCAATTTTATGATTTTTGTTACATAAATGACGGGATTATTCAAAGGTCGAATGTGCCATCGTATGTGGCTTACATATTTTCCTAACGACGGTTAGTTATTAAGTTACGTAAAAATTGCGAGTGTAATGAGATTTACCTAAAATATATTATAAACATTTCTTTCTTCTGTTATAAGTTATGCTAGGACAGGTGAAGCTACAGGTTGCATAATGGCATTTAAGAGAAACATTGATTTAAAATTCATGTTGATTCAATTTCTGGTAATGCATTTGGTAGGCAGAAATTGTCTTTGAGAAGTAAATATTTATATGCAGGTAAGATCATTTTTCAGCAGTTCTTGAACCCACAGGCGATCGAACGACAAACACGGCTGTCGGTCGGCCATTAAACGAATACTTTCCTCCAGAAATTAGAGCAGCTTTGTTCTCAGACGAATTTTCTTTGATTCCTGGCCGGCGTTTCTTCTTGGGAGACTCGATTTGATGAGGTCGGCCGTTGGAAAGGAATTTCAGTGGAAGTGAAATAACGCTTTGATTTTGCTCTATTGATGACTCCTGACCGGTCGGAATGAACGATCCAAATCCTGGTGGCATCATTCCTTCAAATGAAAATAAAAATTTATTAAATCGACATGAACATCAAGAGTGGATACAGGCGGACGATAGATAATGAATGTGTCCAACTATACGTGCGTATACGTATCTACACCGAAATTATAGCCGATATTATAACTGCTCGTCATTAGGCCAACTTAACAATTTGTAATTTATCTTCCATGACTGAGCTGATGGAAGAAGACGAAAAAAATGAGGAGTGAGTTAAACACTGAACCAATCATCACTTTACCTTAAATCCCTTACGTTAAGAGGATTAAGGACGTAACGATCCTCATTCAAGAACCTCTTTCAACCGTAATTTATTACCATATAGAGTAATCCCATCCCATATTTTAAGCGGATGAATAAGTCAAAACGAAACAATTCACATGTTGCACTACCAATCATTGTGTTTACTTTTAATCATAAGAAAAAATACCGTTAGTCAACTTCCTAACCTAACCAATTTCGGAGAGCGAGAGACGTACAAATAAATACCACCGTGGTTGATGGTGGAACTGCATTTTTTCCAGATCACGACTACTGCATTGTTTCCTAATAAATGAGCATGTAAACTTTAGCAAAAAAAACTCTGATCATTTTCAAATTGCCAATAATGTATGTTATACTTATTATGAGTGCGTAACATGGATTCGTCGTTCAATATTTACAGGTCTGTCTGTACGAGTCTCACATGTGGTCTTATTTTTTGTATTTAGTATTTCAATACACTTTTTTAAAAGAGAGCTGTTAATTGAGCCAAGCCAAAAATATTTCTCATGTGAAAGGTGTATGAATTAATGAATACTTGTCGTAATTGCCCATCCGTCGGGACTGCATGACTTTTCATTCTGCCATCCTCAGCTCTGCCAACTCGATATTTCAGGTACAGTTCAAATCTATGTATTTAGTTTAGTCTAGCACTCCTTTGAGAAAGAATCCTTTCTGCTGCCAACTTAATTGATAAGCCTTAATCTGTTAATTACTTTGTTGGCTCAGTTTACTGAATTAAATCGAATCCTGTTTGAAACAGGCAAATTACGTTGTTGTTACCTTGAACAACCTTGTACTTCACGCAGTCAGAATGTCAATCAACTTGAGGTATGTGTGTGTGTTAGCATACAAAATTTATATTTTTTACTACCAATTTCGAAAGTGTATGGCGATCAAAACAAGGAATTTTACCTTCTGGTTCACTTGCCTTTACAACTTTTCACTTACAGGAATATCTCTGCAATATTGGATTTATTGTCAATAAGATTTTTGCGCATGATGCCAAGAATGCACGGTTTGTCAAATGTTAAAGCAAACATTGTATGCCGTTCAGTTGTAATTTTTTATCTATTTAAGCAAGTTTATTTTTTGTTGTACAGTAGCACTGAAGACGAGACTTGGAATTACAAACAATTAGTTTCCAACTTAGCAAATCTAAATCTAATTGTCAGATTTATGTCGGTTCGTTCCTGCCCCAACAATTTTTTTTACATCCTTTTAGGTACTCACTGGTACATTTTAACATGCGCACATTTGTGATTCATTCTAAGTTGTCAAATTTACATAATCTTTCAAGAATATCTTCTTAGCAATTTTTGACGTTATGTATTTCTAATGGTAAAAGGGGTTTATTAATCCCACAAAAACTGTGTGCCGCATGTATTGTACATGTATGCGGTATGGTTCTGATAATCTCAGCTTTTATTATTACTTATTTACGTTGTAAAATTTCGGGTAATAACTTGGCAAATACGCCACGCTGCTCAAACTAGTTTTACCATTTGCCAATGATGAATAAATGGGACCCTTTATTTTATTTATTCAAGTATTCAATGCCAAGGTCAACGTATGTAAACAATAGTGACATAAAACGGGAGATAATTTGCTATCAATCTCAGGATGACTTACAATTAACTGAATGTAGAACATGTAGAATATAGTTTGTAGTATACACACAACAAAAAATCAAGTAATTTCGTCATGTGGCGTATCTATTTTTGGAAGGTATTCATGTTCACACTTCCAGCAAAAAACAAAATTTGACAAACTGCAATGACTTTGAAGAAGTGCTGAATATTTTCACAATGTAGTGTGAAATTCCTGGTTTCCAGACTGCAATAAAATGCACTTCGATGTTATGCACTTGCTTAAGCAATCCATAGAGGAAATATGATATTTCTGTCCTACAAAACCTAAACTTTAATCAACTATGAATTTATACATTCAGCACATTTTATGTACCCGCTTCGATGCTAAAGTATATATATGGTAATAATAATGCAGCGAAATACTATATAAAAATATGTAGTATAATCATTTGTGTATGTAATAAAGTTGATAAAAGGAAACATGTGCATAGTGATACGCAGATACTTATTTTACACGTATGTATTTCTGTGAGTACAGTACCTGCGTGACATCTTCACTAATAAGTAAAATGCACCTCAAGTTATTGACTCGCATAAACTCTTGGTAACACATGTTGGTTTTTCTGCAGTGGAAATCATTTCGACAAAAAATTACTATTCGAAAACATTGTGCGAGGATTCCTTGTGTGTCTAATTGAGCTGCATGGCCTTGTTGCTGGTCAATTTAATCATTAGAGCTTCTCATTGTAACCGACCGACCAATGGACTCAATAGTATGATACGTATCCTGCATTCCAATTCTACACACGTGATGAAAAACTCTTCATCTCATCAACAATACACAAAGCCACATCATTTGCCCACTTCATTTGTGATATGCTACACGACGACCAAACATGTACACCTTCGGTTTGAACTCATCATCAAAGATCGAGCCCAAGTTTTACTCGGAATACCAAATTAAATGGAGAGCCTTGTTTAATTTTGCATCGAACAATGAGATGTAGTAGCACAAGGCACAGCGGAAAATCAATCCACCCGTTTTAAGAAGCTTGTTGAAATCCTACATCATTTTTATGGCAGAGAAATCAATGAATCGAACAAAAACGAAGTATTTGCAAGTTTCCTTTTTTTGCTATCAAGATTTGAATAGCGAAAACTTCACAACAATGTAAAATGAGACACTGGTTACAAAAATTGGTTCGCTGAATTGATGGGTTACGATTAAAATTCCACTGTGGCCACAAGAACTAGGTCTCAAAATTATGTAACACTTGGTCCTCATCGATACCGCAGGATATTGAGAAATCAATCATTCGGAGACAATTTACATAGATAGATAATCTACGTATATTCTAATATGCAAGGTGCGTACCTTGTCCAGCAGACATTGACATGGGCATCGATGGCGAGTTGGAGTACGGATGAGGCGACACGTAGCCCACGCCAGGCATAAATACGTAGGGTACTGGTGGAAGTTTAATATAGAAAATGGGCGAATTTCCAGCATCAATTCGATTAGCTTTGGTTGGCCACGAGTTCCTATTTTCCATATTGTTCACGGGCCATGTATTCCCCATGGCCATGCCCCCATCATAACTTCCATAATAGTCAGAGTCGTAAGGGTTTCTATAATCGTTATTGTAGTCCATCAAGGGCTCAATCTCATTAGTTAGTGCTGCCTGTCTTGCCAAATCGAGAAGTTCCACGGGTGGAAAAGTTCGCAAAAATCGGCTGTTTTGCCTCGTTCTCGTGTGCTTTTTGGACACGGTTGTTGGTGCGAGTAGCTTGATTTTTATGGGCTCATTGGGAACCAAGTCCGAGATTGATGATGAGTCTTTGTTAACCGCATTCACCACTGCAGCGTCTACTTGGCACTTGAGGAATGAAGAAGAAAGGAGCATTAACATGAAAATTGAAACTGAATGTCCAAAGGTCGGCTGCATCTGAGAATAAAAAAACAAAAAATACAAATTAACTTTTTCATACATATTTATTTCATGCATGCTAAAACCCAGCTCCGAAAATCTGACTTTTATGAATTTTATAGTCTGCATACAGATATATAATTTTGTTTAACATAAAAAAATACTTAATTGCAGAGTAAATAAACTTTCAATTTTTAAACTTAATCGACCCTTGTCATTAATTAATCAATCAACTTTTCAAATTTAACTTCAAAACTCGAAACTGACATCCAGCTTAACATTCCCGTTGATTTCCGGGTCAGCAGGAAATTCATGCAGTGTTCAGGCAAGTCAATGGTCACGCGATACATCACTTTTTAAAAGAATAAGGTGTGCTGTACGAGCCACTTTTTATCATCAACATCCGATTTCCCATTAAGTTTGTTGGAGGCAGTTCCTATGATGAAGTTTGCTTAATCAAATTCTGCATGGCTCTACTAAATAAGCACAAGAATGAATTGTACATTTCGGACGAATTAGCGAACGTTGTGCTGTCTTGTGCATGTAATGCAGGGTTGTATAACAAAGTAAAAATCCATTTATGTTATCCGACAGAATGTTGAAACCGCAGGAATATGGGACTGCGTGAAAAAGCTTAATGCTTTTAATAAAAACAAACCAAATGTAACCCACAGTTCCCACAGTGGTTACGTTTGCACATTATTGAGAGACACATTTACACCCAAGTGTGTACTCGTATGGTTTCGAAAAAAGAAAAATATGATTTGGTGGCGTAGTTTTTAATTTTTATAAATCTATCCTTACACATAATATGTAGGACACTTACATAAGCAATACAACTGACGTATATGTAAGAGTTGTAGAATTTGATAACCATGCATTTTAACACCGTACAACTTTGTTGAAGCAAAAAATGTATTTAAGATTAAGCCCGAGTTTGCCAATCAAACAAATATTTAATATATAGCTTAGCCCTTCCTCTCATGTAATAAATGCACATGATACATGGTAAAAAAGTTGGAAAACAAGTTGTCCATCAGCAAACCATACTAAACTGTCAAACTTATCTGTAGCTAATTGGGCGGATTTCTCGAATATTAGTAATTTGGGTGCAATGAATTACCTACTTACCTACGAAATAGTACTTTTAAACGCTATCTCATTGTTTGTGTACCTCTGTACTAATTAAGAAAAGCCGCACTATTGAAATAAATACTTCTTTGTTAGACCTGCAGCAAAATATAATTATTGTTATTCTTGACCTAGAGACCTGCAGACGATAAAATATAATCAAAAGCAAGATCAATTCATTTGAGAATTTATCCAACATGCAGAAATAAAGACTTAAATGGGCTAGTTGTGTTAGTTGTGTTATTCGGTGCGAATCATGCCATGCTTGTGAATCATCTAGTCTAGAGATAAATGTGTTTAATTATTATAAAGGTTTATAGATTAACCTGTTTGCATATAACCCGAGTTAAAACGTGCATAACTTTTATTTACGATCCCAAGACTTATTCCGACAAAAAAATATTATTAGATAAAAGTTTAATCTTCATTTACACGATTCATGCACTTATTGATGTAAAAGAGTGATAGTTCGCGTCTTCATTAACCATTTCATAAGAAGATGAGGCAGTGAGTTGAATCGTATTATTGAATGAATTGTTATCCAATTCAAGCTTTTTTCAGCTTTTTTCATTTTACTCAACACACAGAGAATTGTAAGGCTTGTAATTGTAAATCCGTATCAATTCTTGCCTTGCTTGGAATTTATCTAGTTTACCATTCAAATAGGTCACACACACTCCTGTATCGTGTTATTAGAGTACATCGAATAATAAAGAGATGATGATAGCATTTCTTGGCATTTGCGATGCTAGGAAGACGACGTTCACCATGTGAGATTTTGACCATGAGGAGAGGATGTTGAATGACATTGACCGAAACGGAATTGGATTTTTTGTATGACAAATAACAATAGGTTTCAAACATCAATGATGGTTAGGTGACATAATTATGGTAATGACTATGTGCGTACCATAGTGCTTCCTCTGCACAAATTTCATGCGAGATTGGTCGAATCCTCAATATGGAAGGACGCCACATTTATTACTTTGACGTATAATTCCATATTTATTTCTCATCAATTCGCCTCAACAACCATCCGAAATTTATTGCAACAATTGGTCTTCTTTGACAGCGTTCTACTTTCCATTCCGATTTTTTAAAAGTGATGTGTAGCATGTAATTTCATTGGCATCGTAACCATGATGGATTAAATTTATTTGTGGCATCGAGTTCAATTTCACCTTAATTTATAGTGTCTTTTCTTCACCACCGCCATTTTTTTAGATTACTTATTATTAATTCATTTAATTCCGGAAGGTGGTTTAAATTGTAAGGAAACGCCTCGCATTATTTTCAAATGAGACCTGATTAGAACTGTCAATCAGAAATACTAATTTCTTCGTCTGTAAATTACAAGAGGCTTGTCTTCAAACAACAAAACCTTATTAGCGCCGAGTGATAACAATGCTCAAAACAAACAACACTTAAATATTATGAGTCGAGATCATTATTGTTGTTGCATGGCTCAAAAATTTTTTCCATTTTTAGTACATCAAGCTTCAGGCACTTACAACAATACTAATAAATTGATATCATTTTTTAATTACTCTCAATTGTGCTTATCTCAATCACACATGTTGAAACCTTTATATTAATTTTATGGTAGCAATTTAAGACTTTCTTATCCGAACTTGAGGAGGAAGGACCTTTGTCGGGAATTCTGACTCATGAATCATGTTGAAAATATGTACTAGAATATGAATCCAATTACTCGCACCGTTGAGAATTATCCATCAATGAGTTAGTCCACAACTTTGGAAAAGAAGGAAAATTTCAATGCAAAGCTAAATATAAATAAGCATCAAACTAGATACAACGGGATGTCTAATCGGACAATTGGACACAGCAGAGATTAAAAAGAAAGTATATGCTAAGCCACTAAATGTGAAATGGCGACGTTTAGGCGATAATCAGTTGCAAAATTCACAACTTACTCATAAAATATGTTCAGGGTTCACAAAAACCTTTCTCACATTCCAACAGACAAAAAATAAAGTAATCAAAACTTGCCTCTGAATTATTGACCTTGCAAAAATCAAAACTTTCTTGATGTACATATACGATTACTTATGTAATACGATTATGGTTAGCAGCACTATTCACAATTTTTCTATGCTCATGTTGTATTTTGGGAAAAAAATTGAAAATGCAAAATACACTTTTATCTCTTCTTGTACTAAACCATCCCGTGATTCGATGTTGTATAAAAAGCAATATTATTACTACGTGGTGCATGCCTCAAACCTCAAGACGGTTAAAGTAGCAAGTATCAACCGGCCATCAGTCAGCAAAAAAATGTGATTGAACTTCATTCAATCATACCAATCAACTTACAGCGAAGAACATGTTTAGTATTTCTACATAACGATGATGCGACAAGACAGATTGAGATCATGCAGGAAATGAAGGGCCATGCTTACTTATTTCTCTCCGACACAGGTTAAGATCATGACCACGACAAATACTACAAATACTCGTATACTTAATATACGTATGTCTTCTAAACTTTTGCATGGACACCGCGGATTAATTTTGATTTATGTGATTATGCAACCATTTTGTATTTTATTTATTTGGCATTTTTCAAATCATGTTTATAAGTCTTCATCAAATTTTTCTGTATGTACTTCAACTGATTAATCAACAATTGAAACTCATGATTCCAATATAAATTGTGGCCACGATTATGCTTAAGTATAAGGTCACTCAAACTTGACCTATCCCTTCAGGCAGGATGAAGCAGTTGGTCGTGTTAGCATATGTGTATGTATGCATATTTGAAATAAAGATATAAATTAAGACCAGCACCAGCAGTCCAATCACATATGCACATAGCCATTCTGCCGATTTATAAAATATGTATTATACAACCAGTCGGCCGACAATGAATGGCATCAGTTACTTGTGTTGTGTATGTACATATACGCCACTCACAATTAAGCATGATTTCGTTTGCTTAAATATCAAGCCTCGCAATTCACAATCACACCAGAAAACGATAATTCGTTAAAGTTAATGCCAGTAATTTAATTCAGTACGGGATCGATGACTATCATCCGGCTCTCATATCTTCATGTAAAGCTCTCAAGAAGTGGTGTCATAAAAACTGGCCTTTCCTGATCTGACGAGTGGGTCGCCAAGTTTATTACTACAACTGAATTATGCTACTACATTTATACTACAAAGACTCATCATCGGCCACAACGCTCATCAATGCAATCTACACTTGTCACTGCACAGATTGAAGACGCTCATGCCGAAAACCTGGGCGTCATAAATAAGATCTTGATTTTCTTCACCTGGCCCGGGATCAACAAGCTACCAAATTTAAAACTGAAAAAGCGGCTACATTGGTGCTGGGCATTTCAATTTAATATTTATGTATTTATTTGCATGTTATACGACTTGGTGGATGTAGTAATTTTTGAATGTATTTCTTGCGGGTAGTAAAATGTTAAGGAAAACGGAATGTCAGACTACTTAAACTTGTTAAAGAATAAAAAAGGAAGGGCAGCACAGTGACACAATTCCCAATGGAGAAGTTGCTTGAATGGAAAGCATAATTTAAAATAAATTATGATCGACTCCATTATTTTTAGGAAAAGTTTCTTGTTTGACTTTTCAGTGGGCTTTGTGTGTAAGGTGGTGAACTTGAGTTGATGTCGGTTTCACCGGTTTGCTTATTTGGCTCGTTTGATGAGAAATGTATAAAGTATTTTACAAGTGCCTTCCTTCCTTCGTCTCACTCAAGCAATGCAATGTCACCGTTAACTCATTCGAAGCACTTATTTATAGATTCCTTTTGTTAAAAATAAGAGTTCGCTAACCAGGTCTTATCGTTATTCAAGCAGTAAAATTGTACCTATAAACTGCGCTTCATTAAATTCCTATAATCACTAAAGTTTCAATACTGATTTTTTTCACTAATCAGTTTTCCCCTTGTCAAAGTCGGTCGTCACACATCTTTCGACTGGCCGATAATTGGATGAGGGTGAATATTGCACGAAGCAGTCATTTCACGAGTCAATATTTGGTTTCCTATTTATTTAGTTATTGATGACTAAGAAAATTAATGTGACGTATAATATGTATAGTAATCTCAATCTGCATATGTTCATGTTGACCCCAGTCTGCAACTGTTTCTAATCAAGATCAAGAACTTTGAAACCACGTTTTAAAATTAAAGATGCATATTTATTATGCATATCTAATGCAGTCAATTTGAAAAACCTTTTAAAAAATGAAAATAAGTAAATAGTCTTAATTTCTGATACGTCTGTCAAAATATTGCAGAACAAATTATAGGTTGCGGATAGATCTGTCTGTATGTTGGCACCACTAGGATAATCAGTTATTGTATAATAATATAAAAACCCAAAAGGACTGAAATCGACTTTTCAGCCATGATAATCAAAAATAATTCGTCGCCATTATTATTGTACCCTGGTTTTCCGTCAACAAGTACCAGCAAGCATGTAGTGCAATCTGCACTTATCACCTTCAACTCGAAATCATAAAACATAAAATATTATGTTCTAGCAGATAATGATATCGCAGGTACAAATGTTTGGGTTTTTGACACTGCTTTGAATCAAGTACTTTTCTAAAAGGAAGACTGATTGATGAGCGGTTAAAGGAGTCACCTTTAAAGGGGAGGAATGGGGGTTATTATTATGGTCATTTTCGCCGAAACTACCTTGAACTGCATCGTCTTTGATTTGAACAAAGAAGGAACGACGAGTTTATTTCTCGTTGAAGCGCTTGTTGAACTTTTGTTTGAAATCACCTGTGGTGCAACTAACCGAGGTGCAATTTGTTTTCGCTTCACATCACCGTGAAGAAAGCCCACTTTTGTACGAGACACCACAATCATAAGTGTGTTAAGTGATTATAATGATGCTGCACTGAATTCAATATCTGCTGAATGTAGAGTACACGACAACGAATTATATCATCACAAACGCACACACACATAATCGCGTCATACAATCCTCAATACTACATCGTGGCATTATTTTTTGGAGTCGGAGTGCTCTATTCTAAATGCGGGTATTCATTACATTTCGTGGAAATTGCTGAGATAATTGTGCATTGTGAATAATTGTGCATTAAAAATTAGGTCTACAACAAGAAAGAATCAAAAAATTAAGCTAGCAAGCACATATTTATTTATAGAAAGTACTGGATGATAGGGCATTGCCATTGTCGCTTAATTTTAAATCAAGAAGAAAAAATCAATGCAAATATTACGACGACAAGGGTTAAGAGATAGACCACACAGCGATGCAATTGAGCCCATATTACGGCATAATGAATTTTTATTCTATTTTTACTAGTGTGTGTGTATGATAAGCATTATATTTCCGTCAATAAGGCACTAACGAGGGCGAGAGATTTGACCTTTCACGATTCGGCAATACCTTTGTTGTGCTCTCAGATTTAAAGATTTTGAGTGGAATTGTGTATATTCAATGTGAAAAGTGGAACATATTAGCAAATCCGGTGTTTAACCCCAATGCGAGAGTTTCGTGACTCAGTAACGGCGAAACAGCGATAGTTAACAATATTATTGTTGGCAATTTAATTTTATACATACTTTGGATAAATACGATTGGAAAACTCAAACGGTCAGACTTTTTCAAAAAATGTTTTTGGTTCAAAAATTATTTTTCCATTTTTCAGGTGGGCTTCTATATATGTACGTATGTAGATTCGAAGAAGTCAAGTGATGGGTCTAATATCAAATATCAAGTATCATGAATTCATGCAAAATTATGAGGCTCGACAAAGCTGACTAAACAGTAAATCCGTCTCAGGTTAAAAGCTGTCTGCTACAATTAATAATACAAAGATTAGCTACAATTTACCAGTCTGTATGTCTTATTCAGTCGGAATCACATCTTCGTCTGGTCTGAATCCTCTTGTTGGCCTAACAAAATATTTGAATTGAAACGTCAGTTTCAAATTCTTCACATGACGACTGCCTCACTTATGCAGACAATGAAGGATGGATGGCTTTTGCCACTCGACTTGCTATTTGCACGTACTTTTCTACTTGTTGACCCATCTTTGAAGCCATTCAAGCTGTGCTGGTGAGAGCACTGCTGGTGGCCATCATAACCACTCCTCAGTCAGTCAGCTTACATTATTACTTAACCACTTCAAAGTTATGCCCTTATTGTGCGGAAATAAAGTAAATATATTTGGATCCCTTGTTCATAAATCTGTATTACAAAGTAAACAAAACTTGGAAGAACGGCATGCCACCATAATCACGTTAATTTGCATAGTACCGAGTTCATGAAACTCAAATCTATTTTACAAATTAGCTCTTATAACTTGGATAGAGAAACAGTTTGCTTAAATATTCTTAAATGACAACCACTGTGAATTAATGATGCAATAAAAATGATTTAATACTTTCATTTTAAAGCAAGTAGTAAAAACTAAACATTTTATAAATTGGTTTTCGTTGCAAATATGAATTTGGCTTTGTCTCAACTGGAGAACTAGAATTTTAGAATTTATAGTGAAAAGTGTTCCAGCAAACCACACAAATTTCACAGTTTCGTATCATATGTATCTAAACGAGGTGTATGTATTTAGAATAAATGGGATGAATCGTAAGCATCAACCGTATACATTTGTGTGTAAGAAGAATATTGTTTGACGTTACAAGAATACCAAGTAAATATCCGTACTAAGGAATTTAATCATTTTCTAAAATTACAAAAAAACCGTTTAAATTTTGATATAAAAATCCACCCGGATTCTTTGAATACATGGACTAACAAGAGTCATGGTTTGTCTGGGATGTTTTTTGTACTATTTTTTCGCCAAAAGTGAGAAAAATTAAAGTTTAAAAACGATGAAATGATAAACAATAAATCTATGTATATGGATGGATATGTACAACCTGTTATTGAATTCAAACTTGACTTTTGACTCATAAAACACTAAAGAGTTTGATGGCTCGTTACTTTTTTGAAATGGGTGTTTCTCTCATTTGGCAGTCAGACATTGTCTGAGAAATGACAAAGAGAGAACAAAAACGGCAAAACAAATAATGCAGTGGGCGCTTTTATCCAAATGTCTTGTAAAACCTGTAATTAATATCTTTCACTGAATCATATTTTTCTTTTAATCCTTGCTCAAGAATTCTGGCCACGACTGCAAAGCTATGAAATTTTTTCATTCCAAGTATTTTCTAAGTGATGAAAATCCATGATGAAATTAGTCTATAACTTTATGCAATTCTGCACGAAATGTTTACATGAGATGCAATAATAATGATTATTATTATCAGTTAAGCTTTTTTTACTAAAAATTCCCTTATTTATACCGGTTTATGAATCACACGAGAATTAGATATGCATTGGATAGTCGTACGTTTAAAAATCGTAGGGAAATTGCCTACGCATTTCGATTCAGAAATAGAATTTCTTAATTAGTCCTACTCGATTCATAATTAGTCAGTAATTAATATTTAGCTTGTGACGACGAATGATCTTAATTATCCGATTAAATAGTTAGATTTTATATGCATAGCATAGCAGCAGGTCCAAAATACATATGCTTACCTTGGTACACCGATGTCTCATTTTCCCCAGTTCTATTGCAATATAATCCGATATTCTAAATAGCATGACAATTGTTTCAGCTCTTAATAATTTGGCAATAGTTTCACAACACAGTTTCGTGTAATCTACTTAACAATATTAAAAAAATATATTTCTTTCTTTACTAAAATTAAATGATATGACATTAATCTATATCGGTTTTCAGTTATTCACAAAATGAAATGGACCACTTTTTCTTGATACTGAATATGCCAATTTCAGTCCAATTTCGTGCACTAAAGAAGTTGGGTCGTTGTATCACTGGTGATCTATCTAATTGTCTTCCGCACCTGAACATCCTTTTCTTCAGTCGTGTGTCCAAAGTGAGACTGCCGCAGTTCTCACCGTCGCATCGCGTGGTGGTTGCAGAAGAGTCAAGGCGAAGGCAAGTTGAGATTCTTTCGAGAGCACGGCAGACGTTTTTTAAGCAGCCTGAGAATGGAGCATCTTTGTCGTTTGGTTTCAGCAGCAGGAGCACGAAATGAAGGAAGAAGAAGACCAACAAGGTGTATAATGCTTTGTTGTGGTTGAGGTGTGCGTGTGTATCGCAGCAGTGGTTAAGGCAATCAGTTAAAGGAAGATAAAGTACATTATTATTGTGGGTGAACGTATCATCCGACATACACACACGACGGGAAGAAGTCAGGGTGCTGCTGCACTTTCTTGGGCTTTTCTTTGCAAGAAGTAGCAGAAGCCATCCGATGAGGTGAATGAGTATTTGGGTGTTTGTTCACATCATGCTTCAACATTTTGCCTTACCTTACCTATTCCAACCGAGGTAGGTGAAGGCTAGTCGTATTTAGTGGTGTATCAATCCAATGCTGCAAGTGGTTTTAGTAATTTTTACATCCATCCACAAGAAGTAGAAGCTTGCACATTTTGAAACGAAAAATATGCCAGGCAGTAAATACCGCTTATCTATATGGGCACATCTCTTTCGATAGCATCTGCAATTCCTCTGGTATGTATGACATATTTTTAAGCCAAAACTGAGAAGGATCCATGTCTACTAATTCCATGGTGTTACTCAATTCGGTTAAACGGACCTCGGTTAAAAACAGGAAGGATTTCAATTGTTAAAGTTTTATCTGGCCAGTTTCAATGATTAGCTTCATTAAAATTTTATTTTATTCTTAGCCATATTAAGACATTTTTGTCACTGGTTTCAAATATAACTTGTACTAATTGTCTATGTATGCCATAGATAGCATGATGATTGCCAATACAAAGTTGGCCAGTGTACCCTCTTTATTAATCTTAGGTAAGTAATTAATTTGGCCATTGTCAACAGAGTTGCATAGATTGGCAATGATTTTGTAGAATTTTATCTCATTGTGTGTTATAAATATATGGAAGAAAGTCACACAACGAGTTGAGCAAAAGCGAAAAGATCTACTTTAAAGTAAACCTTACGGTTGTTAATTTCCGATATTAATACTCACCTTGCTTTCCTAATTTTCAGATACTAAATAACACAAAGATACTTTTGATACTCATAAAAGTTGCTTATCAAGTTTGCCAAGAAAGTCACAAAATGACGCGTTGTGACTGACTTTGGACACTCTTGGTTTAATAAGCCGTGCTGCAAATGTTTAAGTGGGCCAATTTCGACTATGATAATTTGCTACAAAGCGTGCTATCCGACTTATGTGCGAGGATGGTGTGATAGCAAAATAGATTCGTCGATTGATAATTTCACTTGAGATGTCTACCGTGTGACTGGTACTTGCTGTAGATTGATTAAATAGTGAGATATATGCGAGCTTAATTGTCCCACAATTCAAAATACAATGCGGCTCGATTCTGTAAAAGCCGTGGTGAACAAGCAAGTAATGACATGAATTAGCTCAAATCTTTGGTATCTAGAATCAAATCTAGTCTACAAATTCCAAGCCCCAATGGGACGATAATATTTTCGCTGTGCCATTTACAACAGACAGCGCTTAATAGAGTCCATGCCCCAATGAGGAGTTCACTTGTTTTTCATTGCGGCATGCAAGCAGCTTAAGTCTAGTAAATTATCAGATTTAAGGTAAAATAATATTTTTTGATTTAGGCATTAAAATTGAGTGACTAAAGTCAATGAATGGATTTTCATTTTCCTTTGACTTTAAAAAATAAACTTTACAAATAATGATTATCAAAATATTTATGTACAAATCAGAAATTTTCTATTCATTTGCTATCGCAGCAAGACAGTATGCATATGTAAGTATTACCTGCGTATAATTGTTCACACAAATCAATAGTTAAGGTGTAATCCGGATAAAAATGTCATCGTTAATTTGAGTAAATTGATACTTTACGAAAATGTGAATATGGCAATAATTTGTGTGTAATAAATATATTCTAATATTTTTACATTTACTTTATTTGCCTAGTGTTGTAAGAAATATTGTAGGAATTATTTGGATTCATGTTCATGATTCGACCTTCATGTCGGATGATAAGATTCAACATCGTAAATAAATAAGCAACAGATTATCACACTCAAATGTGAGAGAACACACATTTTTCATACTAAACCTGAAACCGACTGGCAAGTTCATAATTGGGCTTGTACATGCATACATAGTTGTCGAATGTATGTAATAATTTTAAGAATTTCTACCCTCGACAAAAACATTTTCAACGTGCATTTGTTGCAGATTAATTATTGTTTTATTGCAGTGAAAATTCTTCGAATGTCAATAAGATTCGTAATACATTTTATACCCTACTCAAAACTCGTTGCTGGTGTCAGAGCTGGTTGAACCAGAGTTGGTATGAATCTCAAACGAATAAATGTGCAAAGAAACTTACATATTATTTTTCATCGACTGACTTTTATTGTCATTACGTACGTCAAGTAAGGACTTTGTCGAATCTTTATTTGGGATCGTTACCCTACAAAATTAACTGAAGGTAAAGCTTTCAATATATAACTTTAAGGTCAATAGTACCATTCAAGGCACAAATTGTAAGATTAATTAGAATGCAGTTTTTAATATTTTTTTACAACTAAAGAAATACTTCTTGTTGCGAATACAATGCAGAGTTAGCAGTAATTGTACAACTTTTACGAAACAAACATAGTCTTATTGCATGGCGTGTATAGAAAAATAAAGATGTACACATCAATCATTTACTGCACTAACACTTCGTCAGTTAAATGCTTCGCATTATTTATATATCGACAAAACGACGGTACTACAAAGTAATGAGACAATTCACACTGAGCACAGGCTAACTAATCGTAAGTAGAGTTTGTATTAATCACACACAAGTGTAAAATAAGCATACGTACATTGTGTTGTTTTATGCACATGCAACATCTATTTGTGCAAATAGTTTGACTCCTATTGTCTTTCTGTGTTCCTTGGTGATTTAGATAAATGAGTCGAGACATTCGTAGCGTGCTTTTCATTGTCTGGTTGCTAATAATCCTTCCTCGTTGTCGGTAAACTAATCAATTTTGGCTGCTTGTCAATCACTGACTTTGAAATTCGTTTTTCTTGATATCCTCAAAATTGTGTTATCCACGCATATTTTCCCGCATAATTTTTGCAAATTTTAAAGGAAATTTATGCCAAACTCTCGCAGATACTTACATATCTTTGGCAAGTTAATATATACATATAAGTAAGTAAAGTTTGAGTAGAAAATCAAATTCCATGCTTAATAATCTTTTGCCATGACGTAGCGCTTTCCTCGAATTTGCTGCGTTTTATGGGCATGGAGTTCCAAATAGTGGAATACAATGCAGGTAATAGTTAATATCTGGCTAGCAATTTTTTAAATGTGTCCTAAATATCCTGATGGGTATATCCGCCGTGATATGTAGTCATAATCGATTCCTTTACTTATTGAAGAGTAAATAATGCTTGTATAAAATGATAAAAACTGAATTGTGCTCATTTTATGATTTCATTAACTGATTTTCTGGCCTAATTTTTTTTGGGTAATCACTGACTAAATTAAACTTCATGAGTATGTTCTGGGTCATCACGAATTTTCTCGGAATATTTCATCTCAAAAAAGGGTAATTATAAGATAGAAAGTACCTGAAAACACTTGAGACTGATAGGACTTGTTAGTATTTATGTATCCTCATGCTCATTGTTCTTTACATGTTTTTTGTTGCATTATGGGTATTTGTATTAGAGAGTTAATTTTGCATAGAATATGCGAATAAGTAAACTATTGGAAAGTGCAAAAAAGTTTGGACAAGTAGGAACTTTCATGTATTAAAATACTTTCTACTCGGAGATTAATTAATCCGTGGTTTTCTTGCCTGTGGACATTATTTTCTGTCTCAATAAAATTATTTCACAAAAATTATAAACAGGTGTAACAGAATCCGTGAGTAAAAACACTGTTACTTCACTTTCAGCATTATCAAAATAAATTCATCTTAATCCGTTTGTTGTGTAAAATGAGACATTATTAATCACTTGATCCTGGAGTTAATCAACCATTACGGTGTGTCAAATTATGCCATTCCGCATGACCGACTGGGCTTATTGTCTACCTTGGTACATCCGTCAAGTTTCAGTTACGTGCCATTTTATGTCTAGATTTTGTGAATAAAAATGTCTTTTGTCGACATACTCTAATTTACCAAATCGGAGGATTTACCATACATAGGCATCAGAAGGATGTATGTACATGTGTTAATCAAATGATTTGCAGTCAAATGATGAAGCTACCCTGAAGTCATTGAATATCAGTACTGAGAACTTTTAAAAATCAACATGTAATATCCGGTTTTTTAAATGACGTAAATCACCAGATATTGCATTAAATAGACCAAACATAAAAAAGTACACATCCTCCCAGATAATCAGGATATTGTTGACAATCACATCAAGTTACAATTCAGTGCCGAGTAAGTCCAAGGTTGGCGAAATGCATTTTCCATTTAAAAACTCATCAAAAGATAAGAGTCCAACGACGACGGTAGATAAATGAAATGGCAGCAAAAGGGTGAAGATATAATGGCTTTCTGCAATAGACCGGTGGTTGTTTGGTGAGCAATACAGCAAGAAAATGCTTCCTTTCGTATCCGATACAAAACATGAACTTAATTCATGCCAATTTAACACCCACGTGAATTAAACGTCTGTTGAATTGGTGGGAGAAGAAGCGACAGTTTATAGTTTGGTTGAGAGATTATTATTGTGTCATAATACGGGAGCAGTAGTAAAAGTATCATCGCATCTTATCATCACGTACAACCTTCCACAGAGGATGGTGATTAACGGGATGCTTGCAATTTATCAAAAACGAACTCAGAGCAAATCTCATCTGAAAAAAATTTCAAACATACGTCACATACTAACAAGTTATTTGTCACGCTTAACAATTTCCAAAAGTAAAGTAAGTCAAAGAACATCACCACCAACAAATGCATCAAACAACGACCACATTTCTCGTTCAAATATGAAATACTCATAATTATGAACATCATCAATCCTCACCTCATTTTCCCATATTCCCTTAAAAGCGTATTGGCTTCGTATTGATCATCACGCATCATCTACGGATTCCTTTGTAAACGAACTGTCGACACAATGCGAATGGAAATTGGATGCAACGTTTCAATTCCGCGACGAGGAGAACAAAGGCATTCAGATAAAAAAGGAGATGACATGACACACATAGAAAATAATGATGTGATCATAATATCTCACCAAATCTTCAAATTCGATGAGTTTTGAAAACTTTTTGTTGTTCCGAATGGTTGGATATATATATTTTAGACTCGAAGGGGATGTACAATATATCGCCATAAGCCAGGGCACCGTACTTGCTTACACAAGTGTACATAAATATGTATGCATGTACTTCTGTGCATGCAGGAACGGTGGTGTGGTGTGGTTCCGCTGATACCGCTGGGCGAAAATAATACAGCGTGATGACGGTGCCACAGGGCCATATCGGAGATACTGCAAATCGTCTCATGATCCAAATCAGCCGTAAATAAATGATTCTACATGGTATCGCTTCAAATCATAATTAAACTAAATTACGGAGGACGTGGTATATAAATATCAATATTTCTAATTTATTAGTGTCGCGATAAAACGCTTGAAATATATTGCCAGCAATATGCCTGCCTAATCAGATATCCACGAAGTTAATTAATATTTGTTCCGGTCAAGTATTCCTGGCTGAAAATTATTAAACTTAATCAGCATCCTCACTTGCGGAATTTCATCGTGCACGGATCAAAATTTACAACCACCTCTCAAGGACATTGGCGAATCACACATCAACTTTTTAAACCATAAGGAATAATAAATCACAGCAATCATTAGCATTCAATCGAACTGCGGCCATTATAATTATATCACATATTGGTTGGTAGAATGATTGCCGTAATTTTCTACCCGACCCAAATTCTTGGGTGGGTAAAACATGGGACGACCGACCTGTTGTTCTTGTGTCGTGAGTTCCACTATTCACAACGAACATTCAAACAATCGCAAACTACTTTGAAGACAAATGTCAAATTCATCAACACCTTGTTTACAAGTTCTGCCATATAGACGAGTTTTTTAATGAAATTGCAAACAATAAAGCTCGGCATTCTTGATCCTGACAATAACATGCATTTTACGGCAGCATCACTGGTACAGAGGTGTTGCAAGCATTTGCCGAAAACTGAAAATTGGAAAAATTACCGCCTTGTTTTAGTAATAACCCCTGTTTTGAATGCCTAACAATAAAATCAACTTTATTGATGGCGTATTGCTAAAATATAGGATAGGAACAGTTTCATATATGATTTTTCTGATTATTTATCATTACGGAGGAGAAGGGAGGAGAATCACCTAAGTGTGAAAAACTTTATTTATACTTTAAAAGGAGTCTTATTAATGAAACCTATCCTACATTATTTAATAACTAAAAATGACCATTTCCGGCGTACGTATTGAGAAAGGCCCGATAAAGTTATAACGGGAACATTAATACATAAGTAAATTAGCGTCCCATTTAACTGCTATTAATAAAACGCATCCATATCTGTTTGCATATTTAATTACACCTCCTGAAATCTGAAAGCTCCTGAAAGGAGAAAGTTAATTGATTTTTTTGCAGACAATTAATGCTAAGGTGTCCTGCAAAAGATAAGTTGAAAGATACAATAATATCAAAATAATTTTGTCAAAGTCTGATTGACATTCACTCGGAGTCAGTTGGTGCGCAGTGTTATTAGGAAGAAGAGAAAAGGTGAAAGGAATCAGTGTCATCCGGCCAAGTTTCGAAATCAAAATCAATCTTTATCGCACGCTGATCAGATATCTCTCTATCTGCACCGGTCACCAATCAAGAAGAAAAACTAGTAGCAGAGGATTTACGACGAACATTTTCGCCTTGGCTGCAACTACTCAATAACAATTTCTTTGCGCACCTACATATTTACCTGCAGCAGATTGACAGATGCAGGATGCAATTTTGATTTACCATCAATTCCATTTAGTTAATGAGCAAATTGCTGCTGGTTGGAAAGGCCAATTTCTGTTTTATTGGGGTTGGGCGACATTAGTGTCGGCGTTTTATATTATTTGGGTGATATTAAATCATATTGGAAATCAGCCAGAAATGAGTCTTTAAATTTGCCGAAACCCCTTCAGTTTTGATGTGGAGTACAGATAAAAAATTTACAAACTAAAAAATAAGAACAAATTCCTATACTTATTTTTAAAATAACGTTGACACATTTGCTAATTTTTAGTGAAGGTTTAAACAAATGTGCAGAAAATGTGATTACTACGACCTACCTCATAAGATCGCTCAAAAACTCGGACTGCGTAACTCTTCCAGAAAAATATCTAAAACAAAAATCACGGATGTTCTACTTTCTAAGTGGTTTCAGTTTATGACGACCATTGAAAATTTTATTACGATTTTATTACGATTAATTTATTATTAAGCGAGCTACGACATTAATTTTGTCATGATTTTATGCATAAGTCTGAACTCCCTTCATTAAAAAAATTATCGATTGTCACATTTATGTCTCAATAAATTCAAAGACTTAAAATCAAATTAAGTAGGTTTGATTTCAAAATGACTTTAGCTGGAGATCACAATATATGTATATGCGGATTCATTTTCACAAAATATATATGAAGCTGATCAACACTTGAACACTTTGCATACGTTAAAGCGTCACTTTAAAAAAATCTAAATTTTGAGTTTACATAACAGTAAAAAGGAACAGCATGTTGCCATCATTATGAAAATGAGCTCAGCTGTAAATTAAAATGCATATCCTACAGGTTATCAAATTATCGCTTCAACTAGTATTCTGTAGGTTACTTTTGCATATTATTACATGCGATGTGCAAGGTCGAGGTCGTGGCTGATACCGTCACAAAATTTTACACACTGCCAACCGACACGATCCAACATTTTGGTAAGAAGCCTGCCTGCCAGCCAACAACCGGCACTTATGCATGTTCAACGTCTTTATTAAGATTGTTTGCGCTAATATTTCCATCTTATTGTATTTTTCATCTGCTGATTAATTCTGAAGGGGCTAAGCACATCGGAACGCCCATATTTTGACTGATTAAATTTGAAGTTTTTTTACAAATCAATATTCTTTATGTGAATTTGTTGTTGAAATATATGTAGGTAGCAAAATGGGTGGTTAAGATTAAGAAGATGTGCTATACGAAACGGAACAAGTGATTGAAGGAAGAAAAAGATTGCAAACATGTTATACAATTTCCTATGCGCTGTATGTACATAAATACATTGACGCCATAGCGCACTTTCCTATAGGCTGAATTTTATGCATGTATGTACATATGTATAAACCGGCTTGAAGTGAAGGCTGCAGTATGTATAATGCGATTTCACGCCAACTCCATCACACATAATTTAAAATTTTTAATATTCGTAATAATACGTCAAGTTTTTCGAAATTCACGAAGATTGACTTTATGCATATTGACGTAACCTGAATGTACCTTACAACTTACAAATGCTAATTGACATAAAAAAAGTTCAATAGTAGAACATGTATTTAATATTGCATGAAATACTGGATATGAAATACAATGGTGTTATGAATTTCGTCAGACTGATCCTGAGTTTCATCTCATGTGATAAATTTATGCATGTATGTATGTGAGTAGGCTTGGATTGAGTGCACCCAATGCCAACTTGGGCAGTTGGTATTTGGTATTATACAGAAAGTACTAATTAGTTATTGTAAGGTAGTTGAATTTTCTGATCAATTATGAATATTAAGAGTTGTAAACCTACCCATATGCAATCATAAACTAGCCCGAAAATTTCAATCTCGGTGGCTTGTAAAAATTAATGATATACATACTAATGAACTCGCACAATTTTATGTATGAGTGTGCATTTAGTAATTAATGAGTACAAAACAGCATTTAGTTTTAACTTGTGTAAATACTATGTATTAATTTTCATTAGCTTCGTGTTGGTAAGAGAGAAAAAATGTAGACCCATCAAATTACTGATGTGAGGCATTTACAATTCCTGAAACTGGGGCCAAAAAATTCGTAGCAAAACAACAAACATTCAATGACCTTTGTTTTTTTATTGAAACTTTTGTTTATCTTATTTTTATTAATTGGATAACATTTAGGTCAACCACGGGATCGCACATGTCGGTACACAATTCAATTCATATTCCTGTATTACTATTTAAATATTAAATTGCATTGGCGAGTGATATAATCTAAAATAGGTATTTCTCATTTGAAATAATAATTATGCGTTAAGAGGAACAATGTACCGATTCCGCCAATCAATTCATAATACTGTAGTAATTAAATAACATAATGATGACCTAGTCATTTAGTTAATATACGAAATGTTGCGTGCTTTCCAAAATTTTAATCGCTCAAAAAATGGTTCTTGACCCATTCGGGGTTCAATATCAAGGTGATATCGCGAAAGTGTGTGATTTCCGGAAGCCACATTGCGTATTGGATTCCACGGAGGGATATGAAGAATTTTTGTATTTGGCACACTATAAATGCAAGATAAAATTAGTACAAGTTCATATATGCATATTTTTAAAGGCGCATTTTTTCATGTACCCAGTCTCTGCAAATGTCACCCACAAACTGATTAATGCCTTTGAAAAGACATAATCTTCGTCTTCGGGAACAATTTCCCGTCTTATGAAAGGAGTGTTAAAGAACAAAACCATTTCGTCCGAGTGTCCAATTCCCACATAGTTTGGCTCTTTTATGCGCAGAACGTATTCGAGGAACCAACTGCTAAGGGTCCCAATCGCAAAATCGTATCGATCTGGAAGCCGGAACGGAAGTTGGCTTTTTACAAAGAGCAACTTGGCCATGGCATATCTCCCGCTATACGTGTAGTAATAAGGGTACACATTCGCCACTCGAGAGTGCAATACCGCCGCGTCATGGTTATCCAAGAAAAATGCTCGGTCAGAAATCATATTCGCTGTATTGAAGGAGTGTGATTTCAAGAAACTGTGCATGAGCCCATTGAGGTCTCAATTACATTAAACAAATCACGTACCTGACATTTTGATGGTTTGCAGGTTAATTTCAGAGTTGTTCAGATAAAACTGCTTAATATCTTTGAGTAACGTTGGGTTAACTTCTGAGGGGTGAAGGTTCAAAAATTTGGCAGCCATTTGATCCCATCCTGAATTGACCAGCCGGTTCATTGTCGCATTTCTAATTATTGCTGAAAATTATACACATAAGCATTACGCGAATTGAAAAAAATTAAGCCAGGTATAATATATGGAAATAGGTAAGTGTGCTGTAATACGTATGAGGTAAACCAATCCTTCTTCTGAATTGACTCCCGTCATCCTACCCGTTGAAATGCAAAAATAACTCAGAATACGATTTATGTATTTTTCATGGTCATAATGTCAAATCGAACCATGGAACTGAGGAAGGAATTTTCCCTGCCTTTAGCAAATGAATAGGCTCGGCCGGAAGGAACGCATTTTTTATGGCACTTTCTACCGTTGGTCCGTACACTGATCTCTTGTTGTTGGCAAGATTATTCTAAATATAAATCATCAGTGTTAGTGATAAAGACATTATCAGTCCTGCGGATAATTTTTGTAGGTTGTGACACATACGATGTATCCAAAATGAACTCTTGTAATTCTATTAGCATCCAGAGATTTTAGGCAAGCGACCATCATTGTTATATTGTCAGTGGGACAGTCAAGATCATTTGCAAATTCCATGGCTTGTAAATGGGGATTTTCGATTAATGCCCACGGTGATATCGCCGTACCAGACATGCTGATGGCCCTGTGAAACAGACCTGTGTTGGATAAAAAGAAACATAATAAATAGAAATTACCTAATTGGGGAGATGACTTAATTTAGTTGGATAAAACCTTTGGAGAGTGGAGAAAGCATATGGCAATGAACTGCAGCCGCACCCGCTGACTCGCCCATGAGGGTCACCCTTCCAGGATCTCCCCCGAATTGGGCTATATTTTCTGACACCCATCTCAGAGCCATTGTTTGATCCTACAGAAATTATGTTAAGAAACTATGTAGATTGTAGGCAAAAGCAATTTAACTAAAGCAAATCGTAAATGCAAACCTTCAATCCCATGTTCCCAGCTATCACACCATCTCCAGTATTAAGGAAACCTTACGTAAATAATTAACAGTACGTATGTAAATGTGTACAACAGTTGGATTTTAGACTTTAAAGGAAAATTTCTTTAAAATAAAATGTATAGATAATTTACCGAACGATGCAAGACGATAGTTTAATGTGACTGGAACAAAAATATATAAATAAAAATAGGCAAATGCTTCTTCACTTTCTCTTCCTCCTTCATTTCGTATCGACTTTCTCTTTAACTAATGTATGTACAATCGAAACATAACTCTTCTTTTCTACAGTAGTAGAGCTCGGCTATAAGCTTTTACATTGTTGGGAAACACATTTTAAATTAAGGAGAAAGTTGATAACGAGAGTAATCTGGTTAGGAGGAGCGGAGGAAAATTGTGGCATAGAAAAATGAGAAATATCTCTCCGCATACCAAGTACTACATCTTCATCCATGAAATATTTTGGTCGGTAAATATTTGAACCACCGCTCATGAAAATACCTGTAAGGTTACATACATAGATTCGGTGGTCTTATGTTCAGCATATTGCGTAATTTGTGGGATAAACCCACCTCCATGGATGAAAACAATCACAGGATCCAATTGTCTTTTGTGAAGCTGAGATCTTCCTTTTCTGCTAGAAATCTGTCATGTCAAGTAAAAAATAATAATAAGCTATCATCCTATGAAAAATAGAAACAAAAAATAGAAAAATAGATTACCCTGTGGGTGAAAACGTTTAGGAATAAACAATCCTCATTTCCAGAAATTGTCATGCGAGTAATGATGTTCATTTGAAGACATTCAGCTCCATACCGCGTGGCGTCTCGGACTTTACTCCACGATTGAGGGGGCTCTGGAGGCTTAAATTTCATGAACAGATAATGTATAAATACAGATCTACATTCAAAACAGTAAAACATAAATAAGTGCAATATACCTCAAATCGTAGGTTGTGGACGGGCGGAGCTGCGTAATAATACAAGACTTATTCAACAATTTTAGCCTTTATCTAGGAAATAATATTGTAATCTAAGAACTTCAGCCGAAAATTTGAACTTATTTCATCAAACGAGGTCGAAAATCTCAAAAAAGATATCAAAAAACAGTGGCGAAGCACTAGTCGGGAGCGTCCGACAAAAGCTTCTCCGGATTGAACGGAAAGGGGTGTAGGAACCATTGAGAGCAAAAAATAATTAGTTTCAATCCTTGTCTTTCGTTGTCCAAAATATCGCTTAAATAGATACAGTACTTTATTAAGTAGCGCAAGCTACTTTATGCGATGACTAAGTTAGTCTTGTACCTGCATATGGGATACCTGTGCAAAAATTATGTAAGATAAAATATACTGAAACGTTATTCGGGTTGTGGACAAAATGCATTTTTACTCCATATTTACCTCTGAAACTAAAGTATCTTCTTCCATTTCTGGAAACTTCTTTTAATCCTTTAAGTGAGCCATACGTTGTTTCACTTAATATTGTACTCCTGTCCAAGATTAAACCGCTTCTCAAAGGACCACGAAACACTGGAGGAACAACGTCGTTTACGGAATTGTAGAAATATGCCAACGAACTTATCAACAGAGCCAACGGTGGGACTTGCTGCTGCATTTTTATTTCATCACAAGGAAATATATTCTACAAGGGAACGATGAAACGGTCCTAGTTCAGCCTAAGTAAATATTTAGTTATAGTCCGACCGAACTATGTATTCACTTTCTTGAAACTAATGAGCACGGTGTAATATTTAACTGGTGTGAAATCACATCACTAACCAGTCGTGAATTAAGGAAAATTGATGAATTATTAGTAACCACCTTTGACGTAACATAGCCAGGCTTTATATAACAATGGGAATCCATTATTTTGGGTTCTCATACGTACTTGTTAGAAGAACTCTGACAGTCGATTGAAGGTTTATCAATAGTTTATGCATAATAATGAATCAGAAGGCCTTTGAAAATATTTTCCGAAATCAGTGCACCATAAATAAATAAAGTGTGATAGCTTGTGAGCCACATGCACTCCATATCCTCACATAATTTCGCGTCCTACCATGCTTAACCTTAATTCAAGGTTATGAAGACATGCATACTACCTCTTGGGAATCTACACATTCTTTTTGCACTATATTGTACGAGGTAGTTAATTATACACCTACAGACAGTGCTCAATTTCATTAGCTTCCAGGTACAATGCCACGACGGCGACGACGATGATGGGATGTATAAAAAACAAAACCTGTTGGCAAAAGAGTGCATTCCTGATTCAAGCTAATCCGTATACATGCAATTATAGTGTCCTATTGAGTAAATCTCCCATTCCATGTGCTCGAGAAAACAAAAAAGAAAATCAGAAACTGACATAAAAAATATAATTAGAAAGTACGTCATAGTTTAAGTTCAAGATTAATTTGAGTGAATAACATTAAGTTGCATTTTTGTGGCTACATATCAAACTTTATTGCTCACAATATCAGAGTTCGCATTATAAAGACAGACTAATCCTAAGACGCAAAGTTTAAAATATCTAAAACTAGTAGTTGAGATCATCTGATACAATAAAACAATTCCCCATAATATATATATTTCTGCTCATATGCAAATTGAAGGGTTTGTTGTGTTATGATATTGAGTAATGCACTGGAATCCGGGTAAGGAACTGAGAAATTTAAGACGCTCGGACCACGGAGCTTGAATCAGCCCAGGAGACTTTGCGCTGTCTAATTTCATGTACTTCAACGGTTGCCCACTTATGACTGGAGTCCATTGGTGTTCCCCGTTGAAGGCTGGGGGTTTCCTAGAATTCAACAAAGAAAAAAATCATTATTATAACAGTGAAAATGATTTTAAAATATTTAATGTGAATTTTATACCCATGCTTTGCAAAATATGCCCAACTCCTAATCAATTCTCTTGAAAACTGATATTCTTCATGGCCAGGGTCGATCCTGCTGAGTACGGGGTGCATTTTGAAAAATAATGCCAATTCGTCCGCATGAGACACTCCCCAATGTTTCTCTTGTATTCCAAAGACGTGTTTTTTTAGCATTTGAAGTCCAGTTGCCATTAGTCCATCCAAGGCCATTGGTAGCTTCATTGTTATTCTGAAGTAGCCTTGAGCAACTCCAAACTCTCCGTGGTGGTTGTAAAGGTAGAGGTAGAGGGGCAAGGACTTTGCGAATTCTAAGGCCGTTTCTTCCATCGGCTTAAAAAAGCTAGTGTCTGAGAATAAGTCGACGATTTCATATAAACTGGCCATCCCTACAGTTTTATTTCCCAAATAGTAGTCCCAAATTTGGGATGCGACTTCATGTCTAGTCTCATTGTGGAGATCTTCAAAATCCATAAGAACTGGGGAGTGTTTGTGCCATTCGCTATTTTTAAATATTTAATTTTTAAATATGTATTATGAAATATATTCTACTCAATACGAATTATACACGAAAATAAAATACTCACTCATTCAAGGAATCCGTGATTGTCTGGTTCCTTACAAAGTCTAGAATAATAACAATGCACATATTTAAAAGCAATAGTTAATATGCACAATAGCATCAATACATATATAAATAATTTCTTACATCCTGCATAAATTAAGCCCTCGTGCGAATTAGCCCCGTTAATCATGGGCACCTTTGAAATGATTTCTCCTCGTCTCAAAAGCTCTCTAGGATGCTCGGATAGAAATGTCTCCGTGTCATTATCATTCGGCGATCCGCTTTCAATTGTTGGTGCAAAGACATCCAGCCTGGGATGCAGAACGTCGTGGTTTCCTCGAAATAATTCAGCAATACGATACGAGCTAACCTTTTGTAAGCATTCGACCATTTCATGAGTAGACTGGGTTGGACAACCCAACTTTTTGGCAAATATTTCAGACTGTTCTTTCGGCTTCCGTATGAAACTCCAATGGGCAAGTGCAAAACCACTGTTAGAGATGGCCCTCGTGAATAATCCTGTGGGATAGAACAGAACAAATGCAGATGCAATGTAGCCTGCATGCATTATTTGTATACAAACAAATCTATTACACACCTTTTGACATTGGTGATAAGGTGTGCAGATGCGTTGATGCACCACCAGCAGATTCTAAAATAAATAAATGAATAAATAAAGTAAATGCAATTAGATGCAGTAAAATTGTGCCATCCAAATGGAGCAAGTGTTGCCTTACCTCCCCATATCGTAACCAGACCAGGATCTCCCCCAAAAGATGCGATATTTCTTTTAACCCAACGCATTGCCATCACTTGGTCCTTTAAAAGCGTTAAGAATGAGTCCAGCATATTTACATTTAACTTTAAAGTGATAAGTTTTAATTACAAACCTTCAACCCCATGTTACCTCGAACCACGCCGTCACCAGTGTTAAGGAAACCTGTGTTCATTGCAATAGTTACATACAGAAATTTTGTCATCGAGTAATTTTTCTATTACCGAAAGCTTGTAGTCGATAATTTATTGTGACTATTACAACAGCTTCATCCATAAAATGGGTTCCCCGAAAATCCATTGCACCTACAAATATTTAATTACATAGTAGGTTGTGGGTAGTAAAATTGTTGTAAAATTGAGCAATTGTATTAACCTAACATGCCGATTAAAATTTATTTTGATTTATTTAACATTAAAATTAAAAAAATTTCTCACGTCCAAAGTGAAACATCCCACCTGCATACATATAAACACACGTAGTTAGGTTATAGCAAAGTTGTAAAATTGAGCAATTGAATTAACTCACCGTGGATGAAAATAAGCTGTAAATAAGATTATACATTTATGAACAACTTTGCAAATTAATCTACGTGTTTAGTTGTTGACATGTATTATTCAGTTTTTCACTTACCACAGGAAGCAATTTTCCATCTGTGGAGTTTATCTGAAAATTCGGTATGAAAATATTCAGTGAGAAATTTGTAACTTTGTAAATTAGTCGGTTAATCAGAGCATCCTTTTTTGTAGATGCATAGATTTAATCGCATGCAAGATTTGTTGTTTCTTCTTAACAATTACACGCATTGATAGTTTGGAATTTAAACTTTGAAAGTGTGATAAAAGTCGTTAAGAAAGTAATGTACTAACCTGTGGCGAATATATGTTCAAGGTTAGGCAGTCTTCTTCGCCCATAACCGCTTGTAAAAATAGATCGTACTGTATTAAACAAAATCGGTGTCAATATTGTCAGATTGGCCAATATTAATTGTTGTAATCGTAACTGAATGCTATAAATGATATGAATTAAATTGTTTATACCTGTGTACAGGCAGGACCTGCATATACGTACAAAAAATGAGTTCAACAACGGATTACCTTTTGGAATTATACATATTTAAGTAATAAGTACATACCGTAACCCGTCGCGTCTTTTACACCTTCCCATTTGGGAGCAGGGATTGGTGCCTAAAATTTCCCAAATATTAAAAAAATTACCATAATCATTTCTTACAATTTCGACCCAACTAAAATTAGTTTCACGCCGCGATGATTTTATTATCTCTGATTTTATTCTATTCTTTTCACTCGGTTGCACAAGGCATGAGCACCCATCCATTTTATTCGTTGAAAATATCATTGCCTCTGCAAAAGTAGCTCGGTAAAATAAATATTCTTCTCTAGTATCTATTTTTCAAGTTTTATATCAGTTTTAAAAAGTTAGTATATACTAATTGAGAACCTGCAGACCAAGTTAATGATTATTATGGAATCTGTATACACCAGCCATCCATGATTCCTATTCCTACATATGCAATGCACTTGTTTCAAAGGTATGCAATAAACATGAACCCAGCAGTAGAGTTATGGGCTTGTTGCTTGCTACAAACTATGCAAACCACTTTCACTTATGATTCATTTATAAAATTAAAAGTTTGATCGTGCACCATTGCTTCTAAAGCGCACATGACATTCTATTACAAAATTTTGAAATAAATATCATTTAACGTGCAAACGTAAAGCATGTACATGCTGATTTTTCACCTGAAATCTCAATTTTCCAATCATTGCCTCTGAGTAACGAATTCCTATAATGTAATAAACACATCAGCATATTAGTCCTCATCTATGTAACTCGTTGAATAAATTTATTTAGGTTATGTTATTATACCCAAAAATTCATAATATTCTCGACCCTCTCTGGAATAAGCTGTGAATCCCTTGAGTCGACCATCCTCGATGTCCACAAATACTGGAGGTCCATGCCCATGGAGGAGTCCGTAGTTGTAATACATGAGCGTCATCGCCGCGATCATTGCCTCATTCACTCCGCCATAGTATCGAACTACCGCTGCGGCCAGCAGAATTGGGACGTAAATGTAGGCGGATATCAATAGGAGTGATTGCTTTGTTGATTTACTACTCTTCACATGCGACGATTTATCGGATTTTTGGCTATAATCTTCGATTCTAATTGAGACTTTTTTTCTGCCTTCGAATAAATTAGCTAGATATGTCCATATATATTTCTGCTTTTCACAATATGACGAACCAAAGGTTTCTTTGCTTTGTGGCGTTGCAGCAGACATGATCGGATATCCGCAGTTTAAAAGACACTTTAACTAAAATGAGTAACTATCTTTTATCTTTTATGAAGAAGTCTCTAACTGTTTCACGCCAGATTTACTGTGAGGAACATTTCAAGGAAAATATTTTTACGGTCCCTTTCCGAAGCTGGAAACTGGACCACTGGACACCACTGACTGAAATGAGTTCTGACGCACCAGAGATCTTTAAACACTACGAAGCTAAGCAAAAAAATACTTCCTCACAGACGACTTTACTTGATCTCTGCCACCACATTCATTCGTGGTAGTAGATGCTAGAAAAATACACGAGCAGTGACTACAAGGAAATTTCTCTTTGTGTGATCACTTTTGCAGTTTGGCGACCACCACAACAGTTTGGCTATGCTAGATATGTCCTGTTGCAACTATATACTGACTGCACCAACCGACACCAATGTGCAACAATAGTGTTGCACTGGTCTTCCTTCTTCCAAAAGCGTGGTTGCAGTCATCATCCAACCAAAACGCATGCAAAGACTCTAAGAGAGCTCATGTACATACTTATACTTCAATTGGCTAACATTTTACATCTAAACATTTTGCGAAGCCAACAAGAACACCAATCTTAACCAAATGCGAGATGAGTCGAGAATCCACTGCGCTTTGAAGGAATAATGGTAGCGCTATAAATTTACCTTGCATTGTGACACGCAGGACACAGATATGCTAATGGTAAGTTGTAAATGTAAGACGGCTATACTCTGTGTTTTGCAAATTTAATTAATTTTAAATTTTAAATGCAACCGAAAACCAAATTATCATGCATAAATTCACTGTTTATCTTTTTTGTTTACTGGGTTCAAGGATTATTTATGCATGCATGTAAATTGATCACAGACAAGGAAATAAACTTTGTCCCTTATTGATCATGAAATGTAAAGGTTAAGTTCCTTGAAAAAAACTGGCATTGATATAGTTTGTAGTTTGCGAAATTGACTGGACAACAAATGCACTCTTTACATATTTATCTTTCTAAATGAATTAATGAGAATGAAATCGAAAATATACTGTCTCTGCAATGTCACCGATTCATTGCCATCAGTGGATGCACATAATAAGTACTGTCGTGTATATTACCATGATTTCATGGTCGAGACAAATCTCATGGCATAAATAAGGAATGAAAATAGCATCTGAAATTGAGAAAGTATTTATTAACATTTGTCCCCATAACCTACTTTTGATCAACAGCTTACTGATATTCCCCTCTTCGGCATGCCTATTTTATTACGATAACCAAATCATTAATGTCAGATAAGTAAGTGTTTAGCCGATCCAAGTCGATGATTATTTAAACGACAGCAACGGACAAGTAATTCATCATTGCCAAAGCTGTTTCGAGAATGAAACGAGATTCCCTCTGGATTACTTCTAAATGGCGTGACCTTCGTAACATTGTTTGTATCATTTTTGTATCAGGTTTCGTGTCGATTGTTTCTCCATGTTAGTTCATTAAAGTCAGATACGAATTGTATGATCAGTGTTTCGTTATTGTTGGTAAATTCGCACATGCTATGTAAGCGAGATTGCATTGCATACAATTTCCAAGAGCATACATATATTCATACGCCCAGCAAAATATCTATAATCTGCATATTTAATACATATATTATATACCATACCCTGGTATTTGCAAAAATCGATAATTTTGCATTTTGAAGATAATATTGATGAATTTGGAGGGACATTTAATTTACATATCACGGGGCATAATATTTGAAGTTGATCTATGTGGCGACTGGTTTGTTTCATTCGTGGGGACGACGAGCGACGCTGTGTTGCTACACTTTTTTGTCGTCGCAACTCCTGGCAGGCAAGTAGCGTCGTAATACCAAGAGCCAAGGGTTTCGTGTGCGTTGCGTACTTACTTTTATGCGTATGCGTGTGAGACAAGTGCGAAAAGAACTGACTGGGGAATAACAAGTCAAATACGAGAATAGCACTCCCCACTACAGCAAAGCGTAGCATGGCATGGTGCATAGTTTCAGCACATCAACACAACAGCAGCTGTTTTTCGTCCAACCTTTGAAACTTTGTTTGTTGTTATTTAGTGTTGGTACGTTTTAACTAATTCTGCTGCAGCCCCACCCTCGCTGTTCTGCTCAAGTGTGACATTGTCGACATGATTTGGGCACGGAGGTTGATGTTTTCCACGACTGATCTCATTTTTCCTGGATTTTCTGATGCCACGATTGGAAAAGTTGATCCAAATAGAAAAGCATTCCGTAAGTTTGTTCATTTTGAAGTCTTTAATCAAGGCTTATAAAATATTAAATAATCGTACAAGTTTCTAATAAATGAATTGGTTGACAAAAACTTTAGGTGCAGTGAGGGTCAGATCGTCTTGGAGCCTGCAGGCAATTTTATACGCTGATGCATTGTTCTTCACATTCTGGGTCCTCTCATTTCTATGCACATTTGACATATCGGTGAGTTTACTCATTTGAATTTACGATAAAAAAAATACAAATGATTATCCATCATCGTTGTTGAATAAATTGCAGATGTCCGTATTGAAAGAATTACACGGAAACTTGATCGTTTGTATGACCGCACTTTTCATCATTGTGAACGTGCCACGGTTAATGTTTGGATTCAGAGGAAATGGACGGGACAAACTGGAGTTGCTGGCATTGTTTTGGATGACCACGTTCATTGTTCAAGCACCTCTGTTGGGATTTATCCTCTTTACGGACATATTCACTCCAGTACTTCGTGCATTTACCACGGCGATGGACTCATGCATGATGATCCTCATCATTCTGGAATTTTTATTTGGAACTTACCACTTGAAAAACTTGGTAAACGACGAGCTAAGAATAATAAAGCTTGCTAAACTAACGGAACGATCCCCACCATCACAACCTCGCCATGAAGAAAATGCAGAACCACTCGAACTTCCGGTTCCTCTCCGAAATCCGGGAGATTTGGAAGTACCTCCTCGCAATAATGAATATTATGATGACGATGATGACAGTGACGATTGGTCTAGCGACGGAGAAACTGATGACTACAGGCGTAAATTTTTGGAGACAAAAGAGGATACCAAGGTGGATTACAGAGTCAACATTCGACGTTTAACGCCTGAGAGAGAACCTGCAGAGCCAGCAGATGAAAGTGTGTTCACTGCAGACGAAGAAGAAGAAGATAACGATGATGATTCGAACGTCGTGACTTCAACGTCGGATGCAGTACGCCAAAGATCTACCCGAGTTAGTTAAAATGTGTGTATATAGTTTATTACCGTACGTATATTCCTTTTTTGTTGTAAATAATCCACCTCAACTGAAGCTCTCTTTAAATTTTTAAGTAATTGATTGCTAATGTCGATATTAAGTATGCATTGTTTGTACAAAGCGTCATTTTATACACGAGTAATTTTACTGTACTCATTGATTTTACTGATATCAATGAATCATTATGATTCAATCATATATTCAAATTTTTAGTACAATGTATGTTTTCGGGTATGTTGTTGAATCTCATTATTATACTGTTTTATACTATTATTGACTTATTATTATTATTACGACACAAACTCTATTCAAAAGTCTTTCATTTTGATTGTACTGTGTAATGACAATTATACGATGAATTACTGTACATATGTATTTTAACAATACTTGTAAAAAAGCAAATCAAATGGTACAAATCTATACCGATCCCGATATTGTCTGGGCGGAGGAGCTATTCAAGATGAAAACAGTAATAAAGTCAAACCAACCTTGCACAATAATGAAAAAATGTTCGAAACCATTAATAATTTGACCAATTTTATCAAGTCGCGAGTCAAGCCATTATGACATCATCTAATGCTCATCATTACTTATTATATGCCATTCATTTTATTTATTGTAAAATCAGGATTCTATGAATTCTAAAAAAAACGGATTTGCAATCCCTAGTTAATATTAATGCGTACATACATGACTAGATAATTAATGTGGGTGGACCTTTAGCCGAGGAGCAGACGAGCTTAACTCTATGTCATTAATGCGCGTGGAGCGTCCTCGTCGGGACAAACGCATCGATCTGTGACGGTGAATGTCGCAGGAGGCTTTCGTTCATAAGCAGACTTTCCAACCTGCTTTGTGGGGTCCAAGGCTGATCGCAAGTGTTGCTTCTGATCCTCAGTGAGCTTGTTGGGATATTTGACTTTGAATCGGATAACAAGATCTCCTTTCTTGCCTACGATTACGATATTGTGACGGTAAAATCAGGTTTTGTCCAATTTTGTTAACTACAGATTAACAATTTCACCTGGTTCGCCCAACACCGGCATTCCTTCCCCGGCCAGCACCTTTTCATAGCCGGGCTGCACCATGTGGACATTGAACACTTTGAAACTGCGTCCATCCAGAGTTTTGACTGGGACTTGTGCCCCACACAGGGCTTCACAAAGGTTCACCGTTACCGTCATGACCAGATTGTTCCCCTCACGCTCGAAGATCGAATGAGATTGGATTTGCGCAACAAAAATTACGTCAGCTACAATACATATATCATGAAATATGGACCACGGTAATTTACACTGAATAATGGAAAAATAGAGAATGAGAACCTGGTTGAATTTTACCCCCTTGATCTCCTTCACTCGGAAAGTTGAACTGCATCCCTTCTAAAGTTTAAAAAAATAGCGTAACATTTTATGAAAACGTAACACAGAGTTCTATAGCTTTATATGATGATTGAAATACCTGATGTTCCTGGAGGAATTCTCACCGTCAAAACCTTGTCACGGGACTCCAGCCCAGTTCCATCTTCCTTGAGCACCTTTTTGCTGATGATGAGTTTTTTAATTGCTCCGTTGTAAACTTCTTCAAATGTTAATGGCAAAGGCTTCAAAACTGGGGGTTCCTTTGGATGGAAACCTTGAACGTCTTTTGAAACCATTATATCTGTGGGGGCACATGATGCTGCCAATAAGTCGGCAAATGGATTGTCTGTTCCAAAGAATTCTCTTAAATACAAATAAATACATAGACATTATTAAGCCATCCTTTTGTAATTTTGTTTGACATCCAGGCACACAAAATGAGACTAATGGATGCACATTATAGGATTCACCTGAAAGTTCGAAATGGATCCCCATGATAAGCGTACGGGTTAATGAACCCATCCGGCCCTGGAAGCCCTTCCTTTAATGCCTTTTCTCCAAATTGGTCATAAATCGCTTTTCGAAGAGGATCATTCAGCACGTCGTAAGCTTCTGCGGTGAGCATGAATATTTGAAGAGACTCCAATTGCTCAGCCTGTTCGCGCATCAATTGTTCTTGAGCGTGCTCCGACGGGGTCAACATTGGTCTTGGTCGTTGTCGTTTTGGGTTGTGAGCCAAGGCAAGCTTCTTGAACCTTGTATATAATTTTTTTATTCGCTAAATAATGAGAATATGTCGATGTGTGTACATATCGTGTATGTCTTACGCTGCATTGATTTCCGCTTCAGTAGCATCCTTCCGAAGTCCTAACAATCTGTAATAATTGCCCATATTGCAACGAAAACGAGTATATATGACCAAATACGATTCTTTGTTTGAAGACAGTTAATTGAAAAACTTTCCTTGATTTTTATTGTAGTTCTGAATTGAATTATTCATAAAACTGTCAAAATAAGAACGACAATTGCTTGACTTTCGGTATCCTAGGAACGCTAGCATTGGATGCTATGAATTTATCTTTGTGTTAACCTTTTAAAAACGGATTCCACCAATAAGGTGGAGGGCGATTTCGATCTCTTGGCGACGGACTACACCAATAAGGTGTAGGCCAACTTTTTCTCGTTGACGACGGATTCCACCAATAAGGTGTATGGTTACAGAATTCCGTTGAGACCGGGCTACATCAATAAGGTGTAGGAAAAAAATAAAAATAAAGTGACGGAGAAAATTTTCTCAGCTGCTCCATTCTTTCCTCCTTATTTATCGTTGGACTTTCTTCACGCTTGAACTGCAATTTTTGAGGGGAGAGCTGTAATTGGGGGAGTAATTGCATCGTGCTGAACATACAGCCAGCCAAAATTCCAGAAAAGATAGGAAAATATCCAGTAAGTGTTGTATATTTTGTTGTAATATGTATGTGCATAAATGTTAAATATTCCTCGAATATCGACTCAAATTTATTTCACGTTTCAACAGGTACTCTCAACTTTTGGAAATCATGGCTATGCAAATATCGGAAGGTGATGACGACGACCTCTACTACGACGCTGCTTCAGAAGATGATTTTGAAGCTGAGGACGAGTCTGACAGCGATATTGACGAGGTTTAATATTCTTTTCGTTTGTGACCATTCCTCGGATTATGACCTTGCTCTACTTATTAGGATGAAACCATAAACTGGGATGAAGAATTTCGTCCACCCGTGCATAATTTCCAAGGTCCAGATGATCAAATAAAGGATGATTTTCGCCACCACTTTGGAACATCTCTAGACATTCTCAGAAAATTCATTGATGACTCCATGGTCGAAAAGATAGCTGTGGAATCGAACAGATACGCTGAGCAAGTGAAGCGAACCTCTCTCCGTGCATTTATTGGTTGGACCCCAGTCACTGCTGCTAATATCTGGCGCTTTCTATCTCTTATTTTGGCCATGACGCTTGTTAAAAAATCATCTTATAAAGAATACTGGTCAATAATCAATAATCCACAACATTCTCACGAAGTTCCCCGTAGCACGGAAGCCAAGAGGAAGACCTTCCCAAAGCCGTGTCTCAGTACCCTTAGCGAATATGCATATTCCAGAACGAGTTATGAAAGAAAACGGTTACCCAAGCAAATCCGATTGTTTCCACTGCAAAACAAAATTGGGGAAGAGGACGATTACGCAGTTCAAGTGCCTTGCTTGCGAGAAACGTTTGTGCATTGGTAGCAGCGTCTTCAACTGTTTCAAATTTTATCATGACGAAATGGTAAGTCGAGAACATGCTGTTTATCTTTGCTGCGAATTTATGTAGTGTATTCACAAATAGTTGCAGTTATCGCAGCAGCCGGTATCGCAGCAAGTAGTGCCACTAGCGGATCGCAACGAGTCACAGAACACTGGACAAAATTCACCACGTTACGATTACAATAACTTGTTTGAAATATATAATGCATCCCAAAATCATGATAGTAATGTCATCAATGATGATGATTTACTGTTCGTTTAGTTAATTGTTGTACTACTATGAAAATCAAATCCCACTGTCATGTCAAAAATTTATAGTGTGTGCCATTTGGCTCAGTTATATTGTTGATTTATAATTGAAATTTCATGTTCAAAAAGTGTATAAGGTTCTAATTATTGTTCGCGAATCAGTTCTTGGTTCGTAATAAATCAAAACTGCATAAGCAGAATATTCAAAATCGGTTTGCATTAATTCAGTCCCCAACTGATTTTATCACCGCCCCACAACTCGGTCTCAATGGTATTTTGCACCCCAGAAAGTCCGCCCTCAAGAGCAATAGAAACCATTTTTTCCGTTTTTAAATGGTATCCAGGTCAAAATTAATTAGTTTTTATAAGGTTAATAAAACACCTACTCAATTGGCGCAAGTTGGAGTGAAGTGTAAATGCATCTTTACTATTAGAAGAGGGCACTAATGTCAAGCAATCGTAGTGACAACAAGGTGGTGATCATTTCTTGTAAAATGTACCATTCAGGTTCTGCCTAGAGATCCGGTAGTATGAAACCATCAGATAAGATGGAAAATTCAAAAAAGGACACGGATCAGCGGAAATCGGTTCCTAAATCCACAAAACCCACAGTTAAGGGACAAACCTCAAAGGATAATGGGAGTGGCAGTGGGTGCTGCCGAAAAAAGAAATCAAAGGATCCAGAAAAAGCTAAAAAGACACGTTGTAGCTGCTGCAATAAAGAAAAATGCTGTAACATGAAGTGCATAATTTGCTGGATTATTTTTGTAGGCTATCTTTAATTATATGCCTTTACAGAATTTGATATGATATAAACAATTGGTTACATATACTTGTACGTTTTTTTGTATTCCTTCAGATAATTGGCGTCTGTCTTGTATTGAGTTTGATCCTTGATGTGTGTGATGACCTGACTTACTCATTCAAATCATTGCATACTTTTGTACAAGCCTCAGTTCTATCCACTTATTCGTTTTTTGGAATCGCACTTTCCATTTGTTTGAGCTACATTTTTTTCATCAAATGTGGGGTGGTAAAAAAGTGCTGGAAACTAGTGGTAATGAATTATGCTTATGGAATCGGAGTTTACCACTCGAAATTACGGAATATCATTAAATAAGATTTGTGACTTGCAGGGAATTATTTTCGTTGCAATGCATTTTCTCGTTGGAGCAGGCCTGGGATGTTTTCTTTATCATGTCAAAAAGAAAGTTATTCCTACTAAACATGGGAATTGGTCCGAATCAACGGTGAACTGCGTAAACAAATGTCTTGTATACTCATTGGTCTTTCTCGTTTTGGGTGTAATACCATTCATCGTGTTTATGTTGGAGTATCGTAAAAATCAGAAAACTGTTCATCCTGGTGACCCCACAAATGGTGGTAACGACGAGTCGCAACCCACCCCCGCCACGGCTACGACCCCCAATAACAATAATAGTGGTTCTGTTTCTGGAAATCTGGATCGCACAAGGAAATCGTATCTTAATACCAGGGCCTCGATACAAGTAGGAGGGTCACAAAGATCTACTTTGGAGAATTATCCCACATCTTCAATACTTAATACTAGTAGTCAGAGATCAAGATTCTACTCTGCGCAGCCTGAAACGGGTAATTCCCCTACAGTTTTCGTAAATGTTTTCAGTTTTAGGCCATTTTAAAAACCCGATAGTAGACGGATAATCCTTACTACTCGACTTTTAAGATTCCTAAATTTTTGTGAATAAATAATTACTACTGATGAGACGTAGGGGAAAGTTTTTATTGCCTCCGTATATATCAGAACTATACGGCGATACGTATCGATGTATGGGTTTGAGTTTAGTTGTGCATATGCATGTAAAGCCTATTTTCTATTATGCAACTCTGTACAGCCTTCTATATTTAGCTTACCTATGAGATTAACTCTAGCAGAATCATCTTACATATTTATATCTGTATTCAAGTCCCATCACATGCTGATTCAAGTAAAGCATTAGATAACCGAACATACAAATTTTCGCTTGAACATATTTGAGTTTTAAAAAACATGTTGAAAGAAGCATTGTACACGATAATTGTAGCCATCGTGGTTTTATACGTTAACGTGTTCTGGGAAAGTCTCGAAACTTTTATAAACGCTTACAAGAAGGGGGAACCTGTTGAGATTGACACTGTATTTGGTCCTCTGATAGGCCAAACAGGAGTCACCAGAACTGGGAAAGAAATATATAAATTTACTTCGATTCCATATGGAAAGCCAGCTTTGGGAGAATTAAGATTTGAGGTTACCATAAAATAATATTGGCCTGGATTAGTAATAATTAGAGGAGAATAAAGCTGTATTTGAGCAAAATATAGTATTGTATAACTTACAACAGCCACCAGTGAAATTTGGTAAATGGGATGGGGTCCTGGACGCCAGAAAAAAGTCCCCGATATGCACTCAAGTAGAATTCCTTCGCAAAACGATGCTTGGTCAAGAAGATTGCCTCTATTTGAATGTTTTCACTCCAGTGGTGAGAAAATTGAGGAATATTTGTTTATTTTTTGCATACTTTAATTTGAAATATACATGTTTGATATGTGTAAATACTTATGGTACATACAGCTCTCGAAATTCCGAGACAAGAAGCTCCCCGTAATGGTTTTCATATACGGAGGTATGAATTATGTTTTTATACAGTGGTATGCATTTAGTTATTATGGAACCTACAGTATATGTTGTATTGGGTTAATTTATTAGGCCATTTTATGTTTGGGTCAAGCGAATTTTATACGCCAGACTATCTCCTTGATGAAAACATAATTCTCGTCACTTTCAACTACAGGACAAACATATTAGGTTCGAGCAACCTAAAAAAACTACAATGACCGTCAGTTTACAGAATAATGCAAATGTGTCTTGAATACATCCAATAAGGATTTCTGGGTACCGGGGACGCCACTGTGACTGGCAACCAAGGTTTGAAGGACCAGTCCCTTGTGTTACACTGGATCCAAGATGCAATATCAGCGTTTGGCGGTGATCCAAACAGGGTCACAATATTTGGGGTATAAATTACATGCGAAATCATGAATCTAAATTCATCGTTATGACACAACATACAATATGAACATGTATTTACCTAATTATATTATCAATTATGTGTTTAGAACAGTGCTGGTGGAGCTAGTGTCACCTATCACATGATCTCAAATATGTCCAAAGGTTCGGAATCCTTAATAATTGGGTCGCACAAAGCAAACCGGTTGGATATACTCATTCATTGCCTTTCTATTTCTATTATACATATTTCAAGGTTTATTTCACTATGCAATATCGCAAAGTGGAACCAATTTATGTGCATGGGCAATGCGAAAAAATCAAAAGGATCAAGCAATTCGATTTGGAAATATGGTTGGTTGTCCTACACAAAATTCCAAGGACTTGGTCACGTGTTTGAAAAGTAAACCTGTGGAGGAACTCATGAAAATCCATTTCGAAATACTGGTTTGAACTGTTAATTAATGATACATAAAATATTCAATTCTACTTCTACACAAGTACATATTTTCATATGTAACAATATAGGACATTTTTCACGAGGAGAATGCAGTTTTTGCACCAACAATCGAATACGTGGATGAAACCAGTGATTTGACCAAAATATTTTTATCTGAATCTCCAACAAAATTGATGCAAGAAGGAAAATTTCATAGAGTTCCTTGGATGAACGGTGTTGTAAAGGACGAAGGGTGCTTTAGATCTGCAAGTAAGTTGTCCACGATTTTGTCGTTTGCTTTCTAAAGTAATTATCGTGCTGTTTATATTTATGTTTATAGTTCTTACGAGCGATGCAGAGAAAATGCAAGAGTTTAATACTAATTTTAGAACTTTGATGGCTAATCTAAATGTTCTACCAAATGATCCTCTGGTATTGGATAAAATTCGAGAAGAATACTTTCCCCAAAAAAATGGACCATTAACTAGAAAGGATTTGCAAAATATAACTAATGTGATAAGTGACCGATGGTTTTTCAGTTGTGCAAAAGAATCAGCAATTTATCATTCCAAGTATGCACCAGTTTACTTGTATTTTTTTAACGAGAAGCCAGACCTTGGATATGGATACATATTGGAAGCGTCGAGAAGTTCATCTCTGCCAACAAGGGTTAATTTAATGATGGCTTACTTAAAGTTCCTCCTTTATCATCACCTTCTTGGCTGGAAGGTTGACGATTATGGTAACTAATTTAATCATGCATAAAAGGAATACTGTACCAAATTAGATTTAACAATCTTGTCAAACTCATTGATTCACTTATGTAAATATCTATCTAGGGATTTCTCATACAGACGAACTTCAACAACTTTTTATGCTAACCCCAGAGCTCAACATTCCCTACAATTCTTACAAGTTTACATTTTCTCAACAAATGACTAAATTATGGGCATCCTTTGCAAAACGAGGGTATAGTTTTTAAATTCAATTATCAGAAACAAAAATCAGAAACACAAATCAACTGCTTAAAATCTGGTCTGTTTCAGGAAACCAGATCCTTTTTATGGCGTGGAATGGAAGAATTATGCAGGTGGTGAAAAGCTCATGTATTTGAAATTGGAGTCAAATAAGCCTGAAATGATTCAAGAACCGTTCACATCACGAGTCCAATTTTGGAAAAGCTTAAATTTACCACAAAATTAAATAATTATAAAAATTTGACTTTGTAATTTGTATGTATCAAGACAGACACCATGATATTTATTCATTATTAACATAATATGCTAAATAATATAGATAAATATCCAGGTCTTACATGGCACTGTTAGCACACAGACTTTTATGATTTCATACAACGGAAAATATTATTAACTGGCACAACCAAATTGGATCAATCCATACTCTCCAGTTACCATCCAATCTGCATTTTTGGCTTGAGTTGCTTGTGCGACACCAGGTTTCAATCCAGCAACACAATCAGCCTTAAGCGTTCTAAGAGTCAATAGCGGAGATGGCAAAAATCCCTGGAGGGCTTCCTTAAATGGTGTTTCTGGTAGCCAGTTAACGTCACCAATGAGCTTCCTATAATTCAAGTCCCCTTTGAAGATGAGCACAGTATTATGCTGAAGAATGTCGAATAAAGTAGAATCGGCACAAGCCATTTCATGATATGCATGAGGATATGTCCAAAACTGGCTTTCGACCACTGTCCACCTTTAAACAAAAATAGTTAATTTTTAGGTCAATTGTGGATTGGGTATTTTCAAGTAAGTGTCATATACAAATTAAGGTTAATGAATTCCTTACTTTTTAGTTATAACATAATTTTTCCATCTTTTTCCAAGATCCGTTAATATTGGATACTCGGTAGCATCAATCATGGAATCGATTAACCAATGAAAGTCTTGGGAGAGAGCATCAGAAACAAACCAAGGGATGGATTTGACATGGAAATCAACTCGATCAACTTTTTTCATTAATACGTCAACGAAACATAAATCTGTGAATAGTTCAAATCCAGCATTGTCCAAGATGTACCCAATAGACACTGGCGTGTCGTTGCTATTTTGACAATTTTGACGTTCAGAGGACTTTTCCCTCAAATAGGTCCAAAAGTTGGCCGAATCATCACACAAAATATTTTTCCGGAGCTCATGAAGTTGGTCAACAATGTCATGTTTCTGAGAGTTGGCTTCTCCTTCAGATATGCTCAAATCACAGCGATTCCCCCAAAGACTTACTTCCAGCATGTCTTCCATCACTTCGTCATCGGTAAACTTATCAGACGCAGTTTTCACAAATTCTCCAAGAACACAAGCAGCATCAACAGACTGGAGCCAACCATCTTCCTTCTGCTTTTTAAAGACGTCATAGTCCTTCAAAAATTTAGTTGATTGGAAGGAATCATAAAGTCGTTTGTACATGTAGCACTCTGCAAACAGCCAGGGAGCAAAGTACCATTTGACATCTTCAATCTTTCCATCAAAATATCGTTGACCCATTAATCCCAAATAGGTATTCCAAACTGTTGACTCTGTTTTTGTAATTGATTTGTTTGTTTGCATCTCGTTTTTTAACTTGGCTAGGTCACCTACCACAATTTTCACCTCATCACGAGCGTCCTGCAATTTCACAGTTGTAGCAAAAGCAACTTTTAAAGTGATACTTTCGGTTCGGATGTACATAACAATAGTAATTAATAACATAATGAGGATTCATTAATATGCACATACCATTCCAATCGTGTTTCCAATATCATTCTTATCTCGCGACAATTGATCAATTACTTTTGTTATAATAACGGGTAGACGATGACCGATTGTCTTGAAAGCGAACCCTCTAATATCATTTTGAAAAAATTAAAAATTGCAGAAAGAAACAGTTGACGTGAAAGTTTAGGGTCGACCTACTGTTTGTATTTTGCAGTCAGCGGAACCCCAGGAGGACAAGGCTCATCAAGTAAACTGGCTTGAAGTCGCAAGCTGCTGCCAAATTCTTGTTGGTCGTTTTCTGCCTCGGACATGATGATTGATTGTTGAAAGTTTGGAATGAATTTATAATGTATAGTGATCAAGGTCGAATATCTAGGAAATTTACAAAAAAATGTTACTATTAAGTCCACAATCAAGTTACAAAAAATACCATTTATTTATTTTACTGTCCAATAATTCAAGCCTCCTGTGGAGTCTCATCTGTGCAAAATATTAGCTGAAAACTTTAGAATTAAGTGACGATATGCAGGAAGGCGCAAAGTTATATGCAAATCAAAGCAGAACTTGTGTGCAGATAAATGGTTCCCACTGTGTCCAACTCGATGATCAAAAGTGCTACAGCTTTTACCTCAACAAACAGCGTGGCTAAATCTCCTGAATTTGACCCGTTAAAACCATATCAAATGTAGCAGATCATGAAGCTTTGATCGCTTGCAATTCTAGAGGATTTCTAAGAGACATGACTAATACTCAAAGATTTATTCCAAGTAGAAAAATAATAGGCATAGTAAAAGTATTGAATTTTTAAAGTACATGTATGTCAGTAAAAGCTATAAAGTAAAGCTATAAAGTTGTATAACAGTTAACATACTATTTGTTTTGTCACAAATTACTATACCTAACAAAGTAATAAATATCTATGTATCTAGTAATAAAGTATTGTGCACTTGTTGCAAAAATAATTTTAATGATTGGTCCGATCAAAAGTCAGCATGGCACAGGTTCCGGCAACTGCTGGATGATATTCCGAAATCGTGGATGTTGTTTGAATTGAGCCTCCAATAAATGCACAAGACGTTCATTGATGAAATATATCTACACAAAATTTAAAATAGGTTAATTTTTGGATTTGTAGACGCATTGATTATTAGCACATTATTTTCTACTACTGCTCCTTAAAATGTTTTAATTATTATTACCTGATGACATGGACTCAGCTTTAATTGGCCTTTGTCAATTTGGTCAAGAAGAAGATGATCCTGTTCAGTCATTGGGGGACAAGTAGTGTCCATTTCCGCAGGGTAGTACGAAACGCTGAGAAGAGGAGAGCCATCCACCTTTAGAAATAACTGCGACCATACATGAATTAATCATATGCAACAAATATATACGCACATATATAGCGTATGTGTTACCAACTAACATAATGTGCCTTTTACCTTGTTACACCCAAATCTAAGCATAGTTATTTGGTCAAATCCAATGTCTACCGTTAACAGTTTTCTCACACTTCCGTGAATTGAATCCCTTGCTTTTACCAGAGTTAGGTGACATTCATATGTAATCCTTCTAAAATTTGACATTTGTGTTAATCAGTAGACTCCGAAATCATCATCAACCAACATTTCGGACATATACAATTAATTTATATGTATATTATTTAGACTACTTACTGAGTGTTAAACAAAACACGTAATCGATTGGGGTTCATTTCTGAAAATGAACGAATCTGATTATTCCCAATTTGCAGCAACTTGAAAACCAAGGTGGCGGTCCTGTAAGCTGGTGGTGGTATCGTACACTGTGATATCTGCTTATGTACATGAGGGACTGGCGAGTTTGTTGCAGTACTAGTTACCATACCAGATTTAGACGCTGTGGAACAATTGGTCTGAACCGTTGTAGCAGTCGTAATAACTGTCGCGATCTCCAAAGGCTGTGATGAAGGCGATGGTGAAGAAGAAGGCAAAGTCTCTTTTGGGACCTCATCTTCTTTACTTGGCTCAGGATCCTTGGATTTTTTCACTCGTGTCTTCCGTACGTCTTCCGCAAGTGGAGAATCTTGAGACTGTGGGGTGTCATCAAGGGTGTTCATAGCCTCTTTAACAGCCACGCCAACGCTTTCCTCGCGGGGAGTTATTTGAGAACGCTCTGCATTTAATGATTAAGAAGAGAGGATAAGTACTTTACAGTTGCATTCACATACACCCACCTGAATTCATGAATAATTTCATTCAAGCAGCAAAACACGCCACTATCTCACTTTACCTGCTTCTACGATCTCTAACCGTCCCATCAAATTTCGTTTCAAGCTTAAAAGTTCACACACTGTAAAGTAACCCCTCATTCGTGCTGTATCTGGTACATCTTGCATGGTAATTAATCTCTGACATGTTTCTGGCACTTCTCTCCAAACAACCTCTAATCCTCCAGGATATGCCAGAATTTCTGAACTGGTACTCCACGGCATTCGAGAAGCCGGCGCATTAGATACCGTTCCTCCTGCTGTTGAAGTGCTATGAGATGTCACCGACGACGATGTGGACGTTGTTCCCCCAAATTGGCCTCCATGATGATGACACACGTGGCTTGAAAATGCACTGGACGATGAGGGTCCATTTCCGTGATGATGGGTATGGGAGTAATTGGTACATGAATTAAGATAAGTCATGGACGACTGTTGCCCAACGATGCCCTGCATAATGCTGTTGATGCTGTTTCTAGTATTATTAGAGGAGGAGGAACCGTGGGTGGGCATTGAATATGCCATTGGGAGCGCTGGTAGAGGACAAATTGAACCAATTCCTCCTCCTCCTCCTCCAGTTGTCATCGTCGAAATCTGTTGTTGCTGTTGCGGACCAGTGTGATGAATTGTGCTACACCCACCGCCTAAAACAGTCCCTCCGCCATTTTGATTATAACCGCTAAATTGGGGTAATTGATTTCCAAAGGCCCCCACACTCAAAACATTATTGCTATAGGTGTTTTGTTCAGGGGAACCATGAGTAATAACACTCGGTCCTGCTAACCAATGCTGTCCCGGAAGATACTGATAGTCCCCTTGACCCTGGACATATTGCGGATGATGATGATTGTTGTACGAATGATGCTGATGATGGGTTTGAGTTTGAGACTCCTGCAGAGTTCCTTCGTCTCCTTGTCCGTCCATGGCAAAATACTCCCCTTGACTGACTAAGTCGAACGAAGGATCCTCCTGCGATTCCTCCTCCTGGAACAATCACCAAATGCATAAGTGGGACATTAGAATTTCCGTTAAGTTTCTTGACCAGTAATACCATTCAAATATAAATAATTCATAATTGAGGTTAATAATATTTATATCCTCATCCTGCCTTGCATCGCGTAATTAAATCAGCTTGTATCATTATTTGTATGAAAAGTGGGTCACCTCGTCTGCTATCTAACTGGAAGGTAGCATTCAAATTTAATAAAATCAACTAATAATCAGTTCCCCTGACATATCTGGGTATCACAGTCCATACTCAACCTACTGATGAGTTTACCTGCACCCTAAGAAATCTAAACCTCTCCTCTATCTTTGATTATGAATTATGGTTTTCTTGCTTCCTGGTTGTTGACTCAGCATCATACTCTTGTACTACAAAGCTGGATTCAATTCTAGAACTGATAATACTACTTCTCTCTTCTTTTATACATAGATCAGATAAATGTTAACATGACTCAGTCATTGACTGTTTCACAATATTATTTTACAGTTTCAATTCAAATTCAAAATCAGAGTTGGAGAGGTGACCGTTATTTTAATTATTACACACATTGCTGATACATCCTTGACAGTCCGACGGTGATTTTGGTTCTTGTTCCTCGTCAGTTTTGACTTCAGGTGAGTATTCAGCTGAATACATGGTATTGTAGAGACAGGAAACAGTTTAAGAACTAAAGGAAACAGATTTTGATTAAATCAACAATTAACAATAATATTCCATAATATAAAAGAAAACCAACCAAAATATACAAACCAAGAGAAGAATCGCATTAATAGTAAAAGCCGACAGGAGTCCATGCATGTCTGTCGGTTCCAGAAAACAAAGAGAAAACAAACTGCGCTTTCTTCTCCTCAGCTCTCATGTGGCCTCGCCGGCAGTGCATTTATAATGAAATGACCAGTACTAAAACATCATATAGTTTTCAATTTTTGCCGACAGGACCGAAATATGATGCAAATTATCAGTAATTAAAAGGGTCGCAACAAAACTTAAATACTGATGGTCCTGCTGGTCCGATTGATGAAAAAAATGAGACCGACCACGACGACGAAATAGCGCACGATGAGGAGTCTCACCTTCCCCATTTCTCAAACCTCCTCGAGCATCAACTTAAACTGCCAATCCGAGTTTTCTTCACACAACGCAACGATTTTGCTGATAATTATAGAATTTTACATTTTTTTTTTAATTCACAAAATTTATTTGATATACAATCTCTGAAGAATTATATTGCAGTTCGGGAACCCCTCCGTAAACCCAATCAGAGATAAAAATCCAACATGTTTTATCACGTCAGTCCAATAATTTAATTTTGTTGTTGATATTTTTATCTTAGTTCATTTGGAATTTGGGTCTTTACTAATAATGCTGAATTTCAGATTGGAATGGACCATGAAATTTTACTTCATCCACAGTATTTCGGTCCTCGACTCATGGATACTGTAAAGCAGAAATTGTTTACAGAAGTTGAAGGAACTTGCACAGGAAAATATGGATTTGTCATCGCGGTCACAACCATTGACAGCATTGGAGCTGGTACAATTCTCCCTGGACAAGGATTCGTCTTATATCCAGTTAAATATACAGCCATAGTGTTCCGTCCCTTTAAGGGTGAAGTTGTAGATGCTGTAGTCACACAGGTCAATAAAGTGGGAATGTTTTGTGAAATTGGACCGTTAAAGTGCTTCATCTCTCACCACGTAAGTAAAGTTATGATTTCAATAATTAGATAGCATCATTGTTACAATACTAACAGACGAAGGATTTAATAAATAGAAGGCAAATATTATTTTTACTTTGTTTGCAGTCTGTTCCAGCTGAAATGGAGTTTGATGCTTCCAGCCAGCCACCCTGCTACAAATCTAAGGATGAGGATATTGTAATCAAGCAAGACGATGAAATAAGATTGAAAATTGTGGGGACAAGAGTGGACGCGTCTGGAATCGTAAGTCGTTATTGTTTATTTCCGTTAGTGTGCAATTGCTTAAAAATAAAAAAATAAAAAAAATTGTAATGATTTTCAGTTTGCTATTGGAACCTTAATGGATGATTACCTTGGGTTGATTTCGACCTAAATAAATTCTTGATTGACTTTTTTATATATACATTTAATGTTGAGTAGAACTATTAGTGTTAAAGTACTTCTTCAATCAGATTTGTCAGGCATACAAACTTAAACCTATTATGTCAACCTTTCCCATTCATATTTATTATTCCATGCGTAGATTTTTTAAAGACTGATATCTTTTTTGTGTAAACTTCTTATATGATGGGTGAAAGATAAGTTTTATACCAATCTCATAATAAACGTGTTTAGTTCCACACTTCCAACTTTCTGCAAACGTTACTGTATTAGTCAAACATTGTTTTGAAATGCATAAACATATTAAACGGTTTAAATATTTTCATAGAAAGGAGGCGACAACAAATGCATGTCTTCTCTTCTATCCAATTTACGACTCCACACACATTGTTATTCACAACGCACAACCGTATCATATTATCTCACCCTGAAGATGTAACATCTGAAGACGAAGACAATGATTTAGAGCCAGTTTTGATATGTCTGCCTGGCCTGATTTGTGCTATGACATACTATATGCCCTATAGTGTCAGACCTGGGTAATGAATCTCTTCTATCTGGTCCCTCCGTTTTGTTCATGTGATTTGGCAAACGATCTCATCTTCGCTCGTGTGAGTGTAGGGACAGAGCTTTTGTTCCCACCGGGTATCTGGTCCAGACAACGTAAGCATAACTTTCTTTATTTCATGGTGTTCATAATTGAAGGTTGGCAGCGGACAGAGCACAATGATGCTGCTGCCGTGGCCAAGTTTTGCTTAATTTGAAAAGCTTGTTCATTTGCAGTTACCAAATAAATACGAATACATATTATGAATCAGGTACATAAAAGAGAGATAAAATACGGTGGCTGTGCTTTGCGACGTAGATCCTATATACCTAGATAGATACCTGTTATGTAGATATCTACACGAAAAGGAAAGTAGTGGTGAAAGGCTGGAATTGTGCTGTGGAGCTTTGCTGCCGTCTTTTGGTAGACAGTGTTATCGGGATTATAATAAAATACCTGCCGGCCAACGGCATGGCATTATTGATGGGCAAAATGTACATCCGGTAGCTCCCGGCACTCAAATCCGATTTCATTTCATTTGATTTTGCTTTCTCCTTTCTGCTCACAGATTTTTGTCCAACTCGGCACACAACATCACCAGCACCCGTCCAGCCAGATCCTTCTATCTCTACATGCATGGTTGGTTGGATGATATGGCAGGGAATAAGTTCACGAGAGAAAGCTCAGCAGCAGCCAGCAACTTTCTCTCCATTTCCACTCCTCCTGCCTGTCTGTCTGTCCTCCATTCCTCAGCCAAGTCAAGTGTGGACGTGTGGTGGGTACATACGCAATGATGGCAGCGAAGAAAATCATTCCCAAGGAAAAATCCCTTGGTGAAAGTAGAGGATTTGGAGAGGCAGCAACAGGGAGACGACGACGGTAAGAAGAAGAAGGACGGTTGGTGATGGTGGTGGTGGTGAAAAGAGTGTCGGGGGGACTGTGGATTGCAAATAATGCTTGGTTGAGCTGAGTCGAGTCGAGAGTTGAGCTGGCTGAGACCAGGAGGACTCTTCCGGTGAAAGTGCAATTGGGAGAAATCTCTGCGGATGCTTTCCATTCTCCACTTACGAGCCAAGTGCGGTCTTTTACAGAGACAGAGCCGGAATTAATTTCATCTCTCTTCCCACACATCCAGGGAAAACGTTAAATGTACATGTGCCACCGTCGCCAGAACTCTCGCTCCCTTGTCCCGCACATAAATACGTGCACATATAGAAGAGAGATGACCAACCAACCCGAGCTCTGGCCATGTATTCACCAAGCAAGACGCTTATTAAATATTTGGCTGGCTACGAATCATACACAATCCTATTTCAATTAGTTATAAATTGCAATGAAACGAGCAACATCTGCTCAACAACCATTCCTAAACTACCGACTCCATAATGAATTGTTGTGCTATCCACTCTATATTTACTGCACATGTACCGCTTCCAGTAGCAAAAAAAAACAATATAACAATAGAATTTTCAACGATTCGTTGCTGACTCTGTAATTTTTAAGGTAATGTGAAAGTCCAAGTGCCATGGGACTTACGGACAATGAAGCTTAAATACAGAAATGGGACCACGTCTGCTTTACATGTTTCAAGCTTGCCAGTAAATGTGACTATCATATGGATGGAACTATTTTAACTAATCCTAAGTTGGAGAATTTTAATACTCTAACTTATAAGTTGACTTGAATACCCAACTCTTTATTCAATTTTCAAAGTCATTCTCTGCATTGTAGCACCTTTTTGGACTGAACTAAATTAAGAAAATTATTGGAACAACTGAACGTAAACCGACTCGAATGTGAATTAACGTCCTTTAACTCCTGATTTTCTTACCCGTTAATCCTGCTACATACTACATGCTACTATTATTGGTGCATCAATGCTGCAAAGCATTTTGCTAAAGAATTATAATGGAGCTTTACATATGCATATTTATGGGTATGCATTATGTTAATATGTATGTGCAGATGCAAATAAATAATGTGTGCGATATGTACAACATCAACAATATAAATAGAAGCATATAAGAATATATATATCAATACGTTGTATCGCTTTCACATTTTCTTATCTTGCTATCAGTGGATGAAAGAAGGAGAGCAAGCGATATTACTTAAGATGACAAAAGGAGTGAAGGAGGGAGAAAAACAACAACTATTATTACGAGTACCATGTGGGAACTTGAGATGAAAAAGTGATGCGAACCAACACCACAGTGAATGAAATCCGTGGAAAGAAAGACCAGCTATCGGAAAAAATCTGATGAGAAATAGCAAGTGAAGAAGAACGTGGGAACTTGGTATGATGTGGAGAAAGGATAAAAGAGTTAATCCTGTTGTGCTGGAGAAAGTGTCTTGCATTTCGAGTCGAGCGTCTACTTGTCAGCCAGTCGTAGATACTTATCTAGTACTACTCGATCTCATACATTTATAAATCTGGGCCACCCAGAAACTACACATTGCCTTCCCTCGTCCTCAGACGTATTTATACCTGGTGCGAGCCTGCTGTCCTAAATGAATCTTATGGCAGTAATTGCAGTGTAATGAAAGTAATTTGCAGCTTGTTAAAAGTAACAGATTTTCTTTTTGTCAAATTATATTCTGTGTAGAGCAATCTCATTTTTCAGGAATATTTAGATCTTAGATACAGTAAGCATTATATGTATTTATTTCAGGAGTCGTCAGTTTATTAAATGTCTCATAGAGAAGTTTGATTGCACAGATGCTATTACATGTGAAATGTATTATCCACGTGTGAAACAAACCAGACTGGTTAGAGATTTGTGTGTAGTGTAATCTGACTCATTTTAGGGCTCAAGACTTTCTACAGTAGTGGAGCCCACAGATATATAGTAGCATAGATGGAGGAACTGTTGAGACAAGTTATGCGGTAAAACCGCGGAAAAGAACTATTTTTTAACACTAAGTACGTTATATCCCACGATTATGCCCATTAAAAGTCGAATTTTGGATATCCCGCCATAGCTCAAAAACCAGGTCGATTTCGAATAAGTTGTAAATAGGAGAAATCTAAGGTGGGCCATTCCAAAGACGGTCCCACTTTGCTTCGATCGCTAGAATGTAACATCTTGGCTGTAGTATTGGTAAGAAATTTGCAGCCGAAATTGCGAAAATTTTCAAAGCTTTGAACTTAGCGCCAGACACAAGCTGCATTTCGAAAAATGGTTTATGAGAGGAAATACCACATAGCTCTGAGGAATAATTATCTAGTTGCAATATCTTCAAAAAGTCAATCTTGTTCATGCTACCCTTGTCAGAATGACACGACCCGAAAATCGACATTTTGAATTTTCGCGCCAAAAGGAGGCATGATATGAAAAAAATTTCCGACTAAAATTTGTAGCTATTCCACCTGTGGATATAACCCTGTCGCTGGTTTTTTTTAATCTTTGGCCTAAATCATTTACGGTGGTATTTAGTGTTATTTTGTAAAACAAAACGTTTTGGTGCATATTTCAAAAACGTTTCAAAATTTCGAAAAACGGTATGCGTGCCCTATACCTAGATTTGGGAGACGGTCATAAAGTTCTTTTACCTTATCTTTCTATCTTGTAAGGTTTCGCCACACGAGCATTTTTATTTAACATTGGAGTGTCTGCTGACATACTATACCTTTCATATACACATCCAGCAAGTGAACGTGGATAGAAAAAATAGAAAAAGCGTCTCAGCATGGGGAATGATTTGGGTATAATTTGGGTATAACGCATGGTTGCACGGTTGCACTTAACCAGTGATTAGCACGTTGGCACGCCATTAAAAAATCGTAAAAACTACGAAAACAATCATATTCGTTCGAGTTTTCTCTTCTAAGTACAAACCTAAGTCAAGTGCAGGCATTTTAAATGTAATAAAACTTACTGCTGAGGTTTATTGAATTAAAATTAGCAAGTTTAATATTAATTCACATATCAGCTGAGATTTTTTTGTTATTGTTTTTGGAGATTGTGGACACGGGCAGGGTTTAGTTCCACCTCAAAAACACTACCGACTTTTTAGTATTGATTGCATAGCAGATCCACCATCTATACTATGTATATCTGTGGTGGAGCCTAACGGCATACCCATTTTTGGATCATCGTGACAGTAAACGGTGTGTGAAATGGAGTCATCATCATCATTCAGTGCAGTGATTACAAATCAGACAGGAAATATCAGCCAGTCTTTAATCGCCATTCCGCTTTCCACACCTTTTCATCCAAATGATGATAATTTAGAGCACGGTGGGCAATTTGATGGGAGGGTTGCTCATTAACTCGAACACTAGCTTCCGTTCGTTAATTCGCAAATTTTAGTTACATGGGGCCGCAGAAGCTACGAGCATACGTAGGTGTGATTACTTAAGTATGCGCATAGTTTACCTCATACATATTTTAGTTGACCTAATCAATTGTCTATGTAGCAGTTAGAAAACTACCTTATTCTTAGAAATACATAGGAATACATAGATCATATTTGCTTATGTATTGGGTAGATAAGCGCTGTACTAATGTTTTGTCAAAGTACTTTTTTTAACTGAAATTGAGATTGACAATTCTGGGAATAGATTTCTGGGATAAGATTTATTAAGAAGTTCCGTCTAAACCGATACTCTAATGGTTTTGTCTGGTTTCCCATTAGCAGAAATTGCTACACGGTTCCATTCATTGTCCGGACACTGTCACTGGGAATTGGCTGCGTATCAACTTGAGTGA